CAAATTATTTCGTCTCTTGGGCTCTTGGCAGACAGTTGTACCTAGGTGCCCCATGTGGCTAAAACGACCTGTGGCTGGTGACATTTTGGAAGTGGAAGGTACGAAGTGCAATAAAGGAACACGACTTGATGTCGAAGAGACAACGAGGAAGGAGGTCGTCATACGATCTCTCAGTACCAGGCTGAGTCTCGAATCTCCGCTACATTCTAGAGTCATGGTATCCATTTCTGTCAGTACCCACACAAGAATCACCACCACGATTCAAGATCACAGTCAATGGATTTAAGAGTCCGATTTTTCCGCAAATGACGGACCAACTCTGGACCGTTGCTTATTTCCGTTGAAACGGATTCCGGCATCGAAGAGCGAAAAAAGCACTCTACGAACGATCAATAATAGTAAGCACCACTGTGATAGTCAAGAAGGATTCAAGTCTTATGTATAATTCCCCCTTCGGGTTTAGCTCATACCCTATCACTGACAGAGCTCGGTCTTTTGGCTCGGTCTTTTGCATTCCCGTCATATTGTTTAATACCCAATGCCCGTAAGACTCACGAAGATGCGTGCGGCTTCCTTTCTCTCGTAGAGAGCTAATTATGTGTTACTACTCGAATTCACCGTCGTCTCGCTGTTTTTGATCCTAGTTCCTTGCATATTTGGGTCTTCAAGCATGCCTCAGAACTCGTCCCCAATCACATTGTCGACTCCGAGCTTCTTCTTCAATGATCCACTTGATGTAAGTCAAGAGACCATTGCCGAAGGAGCCGAAGCTCCGGTAGACGATTCTTTCAATTTCCCGGTCGACACTTCCACTGCAGGTAGTGGAACTGCCGTGTCTTCGGCCGCCAAGACGGAGAAGAAGCGGCGCCGGCCGGCCCTATCCTGTGAGCAATGCCGGCGCCGTAAGATACGATGCGACCGCAGTTTACCTTGTGTAAATTGTGTCAAATCCAAGATCTCACCTTGTACTTATGCCCCTACACATATACCGGCCTCACGAAACAAGAAAAGCACAAGCCATACTGCTGGTGCAGACCCATCTTCGCAAGTGCCAGGGAGATCAGCGCCTACCATTGACCCTAATCAAAGACAATCCCCATCAAGTTCATCTGCAAGACGGCAATCCTCCAGTGTCCCAAGCTCAACAGTTGGATCAAACTCAGAATCCTCGACTGTTGATGCTTTGGCCGCGAGGGTGAAAGAGCTTGAGCAGAAGCTGGCCGAGACATGTTATATCACTAAACCGGAGCGAGATAGGATAGAGGAGCCCGACGATGAAGAACAGAATCCAGCCCCAATGAAGGGGACTGTCTCCAAGACAAGATTCTTTGGCCAGAGCCACTGGATGAATGGTGTTGATATGGTTCGTCTGATACCCTGATACCCTACATGCTGAAGTCATCTCTCTAATATGGACATAGTTTCCTAGTGTTCTTGATGTGCTCAAGTCGGCAGAGTTACAAAATAAACAGCCTAATATGGGTTTCGCCAAGTGTAAGACTTTGGCTCGCATCATCAAAGCGAACCGTCACAAACCTGTATCGACAGACAAGCTGGGACAAACCATCCCGGAACGTGGCCTTGTGGATCAGCTTGTCAATGCATACTTCGACACATTTGAAGGCGCGATCCGGATTCTCCATCGGCCTACCTTCCGAGCAGAGTACGAGAGGTATTGGCAGAACCCAGAAGCTGCTAGCCAAGTGTTTGTCATGCAAATGCAGCTTTGTATGGCCATTGGAGCAACACTCCACGATGATGTCTTTAGCTTGCGACCTGCTGCTATGCAGTGGGTGCATGAGGTCCAGATTTGGCTCATGCTGCCACCGGAGAAAAGTAGGATGACGATAGCCGGCATTCAAATCATGTGTATGATGAGCATTGCCAAAGGATGCTGCGCTGTTGGCCAGGATCTCACTTGGGTTTCTACTGGATCCTTGGTCAGGCAGGCCATGTATATGGGACTACACCGAGACCCAAAACATCTCGGAAATATGTCTGTCTATCGTTCCGAGATGCGTCGACGCCTATGGGCAACTATCTTGGAACTCAACCTGCAATCCTCTTACGACGCTGGAGGCCCGCCATTGCTGTCCTCAAAGCACTACGATACAAAACTCCCAGCTAACCTTAACGACGATCAACTGACAGACGAGCCGGATGCCGACAGACAACTAGCTAGCAATCCGGAGACCTTGACCGACATGTCAATTCAACTTGCCCTTCAGAAGTCTTATGCACTGCGTTTGGTCATCATCAAACATGTCAACGAATTTCGGGCGAATGACTCCTACTCCGAAACACTCCGTCTTAACTCTGAACTCACAAAAGCATGTCGAAGTTTGACTGAGAATCTTGCAGCTCTGGCGCAAGCCCAGAGACATCAGCCACGTATTATCTTTACCCAATTCCACAGCGCTCTGGTCCAAATGTTCACATATCGCTGCTTCTTATCTCTTCATCAGCCCATGGTAGCCCGTTCCAACGACGACCCAACCTACTACTACTCCCGTAAGGTCTGTCTCGATTCGTCGCTTAAGCTTGCACAAATATGCAGTCTTTCGACGCCCCGATATGGGCCGTATCCTCCCGGTGGTTCGATTGACCCCACGACAGGCCTCAACCGTCTCATCACAAACGGCGCAGGTGTTTTCCGTGTAATTCCCCTCCAGACGCTCTTTTCGGTGGGACTAGAATTCATCAAGAAGTCAGAGGAACAGCGCGATAGTCTTGGTGGGCTTCCGGCTATGGGCTACGGAGAACTTCGCTCTGTTCTCGAGGCTGCTCAAGCGTGGTACGAGCGACGCTTGCTAGCAGGAGAGACAAATGTAAAGGGGTACTGTTTCGTTGGAGCTGCCTTGGCCCTTGCTGATGCCCTCGAGTTGGGTTTGTCCAGGGAGGACACTGATCAGACTATCATCGAAGTTGGAGCAAGTACCAGCAACAAGAGTTATGAACTGTTGAAACAGGTCGCGGAGCGCGAAGGGGTGACAATGGTGAATCCTGAAGATGAGGAGGCGATACAGATTGATGTGCCGTCGTTTGATGCCGATGCTATGCAGGGCATCATGGATATACCGTTGGACTGGATGGTGATGGGTGACCTGGGCTTGGACGGGATGGGAGGATTCAACTGGGCCCGGGGCAGTATGAGCATGCCTCAGCAGTTTGACTCTGTTGATCCATCAGTGGTCTCACAATTCTAGGGCTCATGTCTCGATTAATGGTAATGAATGAATGAACGAACGAATGAGTTAACAAGACTAATCTCACCTCATGTCATATAATACACATATTTACAAGATATCCATTCCCCTGCACAGGCATTCAAAGAGCACCTGCTACGTTGATCGTAAAGTTTACGAAGACTTGAGATGGTGCTTCGCTATTTCAAAACTGATGCATCAGTCGATGGCCTCGGCGAATACTGGGGTGGGATCCATAGGAGATGATTGACAAAATGCTGGTAGACCATGAAGCTTATTTACGTATGCAAGTACCTGCCAATGGCAAATACTGGGACGTCGAAGACACGAAGGATGAACCACAGGCAATACAGAGAGGAGCGAGTATATAATGAGGGATATGCAATAGATTCTTTGTCCAAAACACCCCCCAAGTTCGAAAGGATATAACATTATTAATCAATGGTCATTGTACATGGGCTTTTCCGCCTCGTAAATCTTCCACACTTGTTGCGACGTGACCCAGCAATGTAGCTCTATGTATGTCCATAGTTCTTCGTCGCCTTGGTCAACAGATTTCCACCCGGGATCACTCTCGTGGGCATCCCCACGAATCCCCAAGTAAACTCCTTGCCGCATCTCTTCTGTCCGAGAGATCATCTCCTCCTATTCTATAAAAAGTCATTTCCACGCTCGACTGCCTTGGTCTCTCCGTATGCATCTGAATTCAGAGGTAGGTAGATGTTCTACCCCTAATTTACAGAAGAAGCTCAAGAGGGTTCTCGATAACCTTCTTGACCTCCTTGAGCCACTCAGCACCGACGGCACCGTCAACGACCTTGTGGTCGAAGCTGGCAGTGAGGGTGATCTGGTCGTCGAACTCAACACCGGCCTCGTTGTCGGAGGGGATGGCAACCTTCTTGGTGGTACCAACAGCGAGGATGGCGGCCTGGGGAGGGTTGATGACGGCAGTGAAGTGGTCAACAGCGGGGTTCATACCCATGTTGGAGATGGAGATGGTACCGCCCTGGTACTCCTCGGGCTTGAGCTTGCCATCACGAGCCTTCTTGGCAAGAGACTTGACCTGAGAGGAGATGGCCTCAAGACCACGGCCCTCGACACCAGTGACGATAGGGGTGATAAGACCAGTGGGGGTGGAAACGGCGACGGAAACGTCGACGTTGTTGAACTGGCGGATGTTACCATCGCGCCAGCTGGAGTTGACCTGGGGAACCTTTCGGCTGGCAACGGCGATGGCCTTGATCAGGAAGTCGTTGACGGAGAGCTTGTACTTGCCGTCGGCGGAGGCGTTGAGAGCCTGGCGGAGCTTGAGAAGCTTGCTGACGGAAAGAGAGCTGGTGACGAAGAAGTGAGGGTTGGTCTGGGTGGACTCGACCAGGCGGTTGGCAATGGTCTTGCGCATGCCACTGATGGGGATGTCCTCGTAGGTAGCGCTGGGGGCGCTAGCGGCGGGGCTGCTGATAGCCTTCTTCACATCGGCCTCAGTGATCTGTCCGTTCTTGCCGGTACCCTTGAGGCCGTCGACGCTGACACCCTTCTCGCGGGCAAGTCGCTGGGCGGCAGCGGCAATGTTGGGCTGACGGTCGAGAGCAGTCTGGAGACGGCCCTCAGACTGGTACTGCTGAGGCTCAGGAGAAGGCTCGGGGGTGGAAGCAGACTCGGACTTGGACTCAGACTTCTCCTCCTTAGGGGCAGCGGGCTTAGCGGCATCACCACCAGCGTCCTCGATGGAGAACTTCTCGAAAGCGGCGACATCGGTACCCTCCTCAACGAGAACGGCAATGGGCTGTTAAAAAGCAGTTAGTAACATTATACATCATTATTGAACGATATTGGCCATAGGACCAAGATACCCCGAACCCCGAGTGGTGGGCTGAGTGGATTCAAAAATTGAAAGACTTACGCTGCCAACAGGAATATCCTTCTCACCAGCGTCCTTCAGGATCTTGGCGATAACACCCTCCTCCTGGAACTCGAAGTCCATCTGGGCCTTGTCGGTCTCAATCTCGACGAGGACGTCACCGGGGGCGATGGAATCACCGATCTTCTTCTGCCAGGCGCCAATGTTGCCAGCCTGCATGGTGGGAGAGAGAGCAGGCATCTTGATGACCTGGTGCTCGGGGAACGAGGCATAGTATCGCACAACGTGGCCAGCGAAGCCGGTTCGCAGAGCGCTGTGGGTAGGGGCGAGGACGCGCCTTCGGAGAGCGGCGCTGAGCATTGTGGAAGATATTAAGGTCCTTTCTAATTGATAGAGATATTAGTCGGTGTTGAACATGGGGGGCAGCGCGAATATGAATTGAGCCACTTTTGGGGTATTGGGGGGCACAGGAAAAAGTACTCACCGGCCGGATTGGCAATTGAAAGAAGAATTATTCAAATACGTGACGTGAGGTCACGAACAGGAAATCGAGAGCGGAGGGAAGAGGTCAAGGACGGAGAGTGATGCAGCTCTGTCGTGAGAAGGAGAGGGAGAGAAAGAGTCGGGATCGGAGGAAATCTTTGGGGTTGGACAGACGTGGAGTTTTTTGCATGTTGAGCTCCGACGACTGAGGTACTTTGAAGCTTTGGCGTGGACTAAGCCCTTTTGGGATCCAAAGTGACTGCAGGGGCCTTGTCAAGAACCCAGCGTTGGAGGCAGAAGCGACCGTTGAGAGGGCAACATTTGGGCGATTTCAGGGCAGTTCCGCTGTTTTTTCGAGGCATTTAGGTGACCGAGGCGCTATAAGGCACACAACTAGACGAAGACCCGCCAAAGAACTGGGAGCTCAGAAAAAAAAAGGTTGTAGACGCCATCATGGTACCTCGAGTTCGGGGGATCATTACGCGACATGAGCGAAGTCCGGGTGAATAAGAATAACGAACAGGGCATGTGTAAGTCATTAATGTTTAGTTGCAACAACTGAGATCTGCCATCACTAATTTTCCCTCAACTTCATAATTCTAGTGCCCCAAGCCTATCTAAGCATCAAGCATCCTTCTCCAACTTGCTGATAATTGTGTTGAGACAATTATCAAGTCCCTAAAGTACCTCCATCTTATCTCCATTGCACTTCCGTATTGCTAAATTTTCGTCGGGCAAATTATTTTGGCTTCGGGATAGATCGGCCCGGATGGTGGGGTCTTTAATTGGTTGAATTTAACTAACCTCAGATTTTTAGTGTCGACGGGAATAGCAACATTCAAGAAATCACTTAGCTCTAATTCCGATATAAGAAGATGGAGCATCACAGCTGTCAGAGAGATATGACGTGAAGGTAGGATATCTAAATTAATCATCATTACATACATCTAATTTATCAAATCAAATTTATACTTTTAAGTTCCCCTTCATGTCATTAAAATCCAATGAATATTGTATCAACTTCCTCCTGCCCACCACACTTTGACCAACTCTTTCGGCCCACTCAATGCCGATGAGAAGGATCTTTTTTGCCTTACTTCCCTGCTCCCTTCAGAACCCTTCGAGCTCTTAGAGCTCTTAGGTTTGGAAATGTTGGTGTAGCCTTTGGTGAGCAATACGGATTGCCGTCGGGTACCGTCAGCCCCCAACGTTGCTGTCCCTTGGCGAACCATTCCCAGTGATGGTTTTGGTGTTGGTTTGGGGGGAGGTATTGGCCTCATCTCAACATCCTCTGGTATAGAATCCTTAGGAATAAATGCTCGAATACCGAAATTGCCTTCATTCTTCTTGGCCCGTCCGTCTCGTCCTCTAGTTCGTCCTTTGCGATCCCATCCCATTTCGAAACGCTGTGGCGCATCCCCTTCGGTGAAGATGGCTTCGAGCTCACTATCTGGCTGCCATTGCGCAGCACGCGGTAGCGATCTGAACAAGTTGCCGTCAACGAGAAGGGCCGTGACAGATGCGATAGTTGTCGGCATGCGAGGCAGTCGAACTCGTCGCCAATACACCCACGAGAAAAGGTGAAGGAGCATCAGTGCCCCCACAAGGCCCTGAAGAACCCTCGTAGCGATCTCATCTTGGTGCAATCTGACCTTTCTTGCTATTTTGCTACCGCTGATGATCGGAACAGCCTGAGACACTGCCGAATCAGGGTCAATGCCGCTGACAATAGCGGTGTTATTGGTCTGTGGGAACGTGCCCTTCGATGATAGATGGCGTCGACTCTTGAAATTCAATGATTGGGCTCTTATGATGCCATGCTGAGACAGTATAGCTGACTGGGTTTGATTTGTAGCATCCGCAGATGAGCTTCCAAATGTCGAATCGGGCACAGCAAATTGAGAGACGTTCAGCATTGCAAAGAAAGGGTCGAGCAGACCATCCGAGGAGACGTTGACAAGTGACGAATATTTGAGTTCCGGTATGGCGACACTCGTGTCCTTGACGCTGTGCTCGACAGGAACAGGAGGATGATCTGGGAAGAGGTTAAGCTCAGCGCCCTGGAGGACAACATCGACATCAACTGCTTCGATCGTCTCGTTACAGGCGAGAGCATTAATGTTGCCCACCGACATATCGCTGCTTCCCAGATTATCGAGCTGGCCCCAGATGTATATCCAATCGGAACATTGTGATGTCGAGTTTGTCTTCCCTTGCCCAACGCCAAAGACTGTGCTACCGCTCAAGCTCTTGGTGCTTTGCGTTCGGGATGAGCCCTTTGTCGTTCCAATGATAGCGTTGCTGCTACTTTGTCGTCCCAGTCCACCACAGGCTTCACCCGCAAGGTCCACACGCAACGGGTTGACCGTTCCATCATTGGGCTCGACTTCGAGGGTGAGGTTGGTGGAAATATCCTCAGACTTGTACAGTCGACACGCCATGTTTGGCCGTATTGCTGTGAGCTGTGCGCTGACCATCAAATTATCACTGTTGTCCTTGTTGACTAAGGATATACTCGGCATGTTGAGATCGGCGTAGGTGAACCGAGGATAAGGAGCATCGGCGGCGAGTATCAGTGACGCCATGATGGTGTCGTTGTTACAATCGGTACATATAGGGTCGTCGACAGAAGATGCTAGACTGTTGGCGAAGAAGTCTTCGGTACGTAGTGGAAGGCTGCTGTCAAGCTCAATGGGCCTGGGATCAAATAAAGGAGCAGACGCAACTACCACGAGGAGTGCCACAAACCCACCAGAAATGGCAGCCAAGGCAGCGATATCACGGATCTTGAAGGCTCGTCTAAAAGCCACATGCCTCAAAGCATTAGCCAAGTTCAAGCCAACAGTCTCATCAAAGTCTCCCCGGTGTTTTAGGTGGGAGAATGGGGAGAGGAGCCTCGTCCACCATTCTAACGACAGCATATACATGGCCACCAAAAGTAAGACAAAAGCTGGCACAACAGTCCATGCAAAGTATGCTGCATCGTCATCCATCGTCCTCAACCCATTGTAACGCTGCGACAAGCGAATAGAAACCTCGAAACCTATGATGATACATGCGAGGGCAAAGAGGTATATCAGTCGGATTAGGCCGTGCATCGAGTTGGGCTGTCTCCAAGTAGAAGAGTCGTACTTCTTCGGCTGAGCGGTTGCTGTAGGCACTCTGCCCCCGAAGATGTGAAAGTAGCCCAAGTTGGGGCTGTCCAGCTTCTCGTGGCCTTCAGCTCCGCTCATGTAGGTCGAAGCCTCGAGCCTTGATCGGAGGACTCTATTAGGTGCAGGACCCATGCCCGTGAGCGATTCAACGAGCGGGTGACTGTGTGCGACTACCGAGGCCATGCCAACGATAGTACTGGGATCTCGTGGAAGAAAACCTCTTCTCGGAACCAGGAGTATCGTGACCAAACTAAGAAGCAAGCAAAGTACCAGAAGTCCTGTTATCAAGTATGCGGGAGCGGGTCGTACGATGAGTCGTCGTCCAATAAAGCTGGTGACAGCGGTCGAAGAGCTAGGTGATGGCTCCATCATGGCGTATTGAGCAATCAGAGCTGAAGATTGTGCGTAGAATCGTTTGGAAAGATGTCTTAGGATGTCCTTGTCTGTTAGTGACTCGGCCTTAGGATAATCCCATCCGTTTCTTAAACCCAGCGCGAGTGCAGCCGACATAGCCTCGTCGACTTCGAGAATGGCGCTTCCATTGTATGACGAGTTTATGAATGTAGATAGAAGCTGCTTCTCAGACAATTCATCGGATTCTAAGGACTTGAACAGAGCCCGGGTGACTGCCCACGGGTGAACTTGGTCGAGAGTGGTGTCCTTCGCTTCAGGTTTGGGAGTGATTGAGAGAACTGTCTCAAAACTCTTGGCAACTGTAACTTCGGTGATACTGTACTTTGGTTTGCAAAGAAATCCGGTCGCTGACGAGATGTTGCCGAGTCGCCCATTCGAGGTTTTCGATTGCCGTTTCAGTTGATCGATATCGAGGTCCAGAATACCAGCCATAATTGCTACTCGCTGTTCGTCGTCTTTCGTTGAGCCACCACAACTGGCTGGTTGAAATGCCAGAAATGCCCTTGTTAGGTCTTCGTCTTTGGTAGTCGCAAGTTTCGTGCTCGAAATGGTTTGTGTTGAGGAACATCCCGCCTCCGACATCGTCACGTTCAACGTGAGAGAGCCTCCATCCAACCTCATCGAATCCAAAGATACGTCGGCATCTTCACATTCCAAAACCCCAATAAATCCATCCACGTCCGCCGTAATGCCTATTAAATCTGTAATATCGCTAGAAAATGGTGTATATGCTGTTTCGGGAGTAACCCCGTTCGGAAAAGAAATGTTGTCGGCCGCCAAAGCAGCGAGAGTAAAATAAGGTAACGATCCAGTGTCTTGTAGCCTGGAAGCACTGTTGGAGAACTCGGTCTCGACTGTGATAGCAGTCTCGTAACGAGCAACAGTGATGACTCTGGGCGTGACAAAGGCCGTGGAGAATATAACAATTAGTTTAAATATTATTCCGGCGCTGACCGGAGCTGCAACAAGCCAGTCCCTATTCCGGACAGCTTTGATAATAGCCATAGGCTCAGAAAGAGAAACGTAATCCAGTAAAAGAGACTTGTCGACTTCGAGTTGGTTGTTCAGCATGCGAATCCAGGGCATAGCGGCCGAGGCTTGAAACTCGACTCTGTTCCAGAAAGCAGCCACAACGATGAATACCAAAGTCGTACCATATTGCCACAGATACCTTGACGCATCATCAGCTTCGTGGAGACCATCGTTGTGTTCGGATAGTTGAAGTGCGATCTGTACTCCTGCAATGAGAACTAAAAACGCAACAACATAAAGAACCAAGATTCGTCGATGGAGAAAGACGGGTCGCCATGGTAATTCGACTTCAGTAGGCTCGGCTGGAGTTCCTGCTCGCGGCGAAGGAGGCAGCGGTAGACTGACTTGCGACTTGATGCTTCCAAGAAAAGGCCATCGGATGCCCTTGGCTGTAGATTGTGTACTCCTATTACTTGGATCATATGGTGCTGCTGAACTGGCTAATCTCTCAGAATCGAAGAAGGAAGCGATATTTCCGGGCTGCTGAGGTTGAGAGCTAATAACGCTGGGACCAGGACCAGAGCCAGAAACAGAACCAGAGAGGCCCGACCCGTGCCGGTGCGAGTTCGTACTATCGAGAGCGCTTGATGGTCCAGGCTCAGAAACATCGTTGACCCCGTGAACTGAGCGAACATGTCGATGATACGAATCGTAAGATTGGCGGTACTTGGGACGAGCAACATTGGCGCTCTGACTCGCTTCAGAGCTCATTGCTGCTAGATTTCGTGTATTTATCTATAGTGTTCAGTGTTGCGCATCGTCGATTCGTCGTGTTTAATGGCGAGAGCATGATTCTGAAAGTAGTCGCTACCGTGGAATGTTCCCACAGCTCTACATAGCCATGTTGTAAAGGGAGAATAGTCGTAATCGTTAAAAGTTGGTGGATGAGGCTCTCGTGAGAGGGGAGCTGAAGTTTGGCAGCCTGATGGTGATGATGATGAGGAAGAGTGACGTGTAAATGAATGGACTCAGCCAGAACCAGGGCTGCAAAATAATTGGAACAAGGTTTTGTTAATGACAGACGTAAGCAGAGAAGAAGCAAAAAAGAGACGAGAGGAAAAGTCGTCACGGATAGAGGTGAAAGTTTGGGAAGAGCGAGTAAGATGAGAGAAGAGACAGATCAGATTGGCATGTTGAATATCAAGGGATTCCTTGCTCGCTCGCATAAGGCGAGAGAAACTAGGTAGTAATTGGTCTATACCATATACTCGGAATTACTATTAGATAGATGTTCCTTGGTTAGCAATGACCTAATGGTTGGTGCCCTGCACAGTACTGGAGAAGAAAATAGAAGAGAAACTCTGGGCACCTGCAGTTCCCCGTCCCATGTCTTGGACGGAGGAGCCTCAAAATGTCATCGCTTCAGGAGATGGAAGCCCACAAGGGGATGGATAAGCCGAGTCTAGGTGAAACGGGGGTTGTCTTTGCAGGGGTTCTTGTGCCTGGGATGAGATCCCGAATCAAAGTTCCTCGTAGGCTGGGCTGCAGCACAAGCACAGCAGGTGACTTGGTTTCAATTATTGGTCAGGGTTTATGATAGTACTGCAACCCTTTCAGTTGGTGGCTCTTGTTTATCGTTTTCGCTCACCTGAGTCCTGCTGCGGGTATTGTTTAGAAATTAGGTAGAACACTCACTCGAGCTGCACCTCAAGGCTGGGCACAAAGAAATACTGGACGATATTGGCGGAGAAATGTTAAAAACAAGTGGAATCGTGAGCATTTAGCTCAGGATGAATTACCCAAAGGGACGTTTTATTCCCCGGATGGACAAGGAAAGGGATTGTGTGCATAAAGTGAGGGTATCCTTGTTATCCATGCGCTTGAACTTTTCATTGGTATGCGAAATTATGCCCGATTCTTGGCATTGGAAACAAATTATGCCAATGGGATGATCCATGCAGTCATAGAAGTGAGTAGACTCTACACTTGTAGGTAGAGGTCTCAATGATGCTTCAATGATTAATGTTCCAGACTCATCCGGAGAAATCGTCTAAGCGAGCTGCCATGTCAAGCACAAGCACGGTTTCGAAAGTCACTAGTGTCGTCCCATTTCACGCCATCTCCATTGTTTTGCTTCAGTAGTCTCCAGAGCTTTGGGCATAACCGAGATCAACAACGGCAATACCGCATGTAATTATGCACTGCATGTAACGGGCATTAGATTAGATCTGGAGCTAGACCAAGCATTGTAACTTCGAGGTAGATCAAAACATGCCCTAATGCTGATCTGTTTATTCTTGAGCAGATCAATTCCTCAATACCAGCAATTTCCAGCATACCAAGACGTTGGTTTCAGAGACGTAATATTAATAGAGTCAGCCTTCTCTAAGAGTAATTGTCTGTGCTGTCTCACAACAATCTTCAGCCCAACGGTGCCCCACGACCGTTGAACATGCATCGTAAACCCACCACTTACTAGGTACCTAGTAAAGCGACAAACTAATATGGTAGCATTCAATTCTAACTCCCTCTTTGAGTCGCCGGTTGTTCCGGTTCCAAGGCTGCCCAATCCACCAACAGTCCAACACCATTCAAGAGGCCTCGATTACTACAGTCGAACCACGCCATGTGCTTGGCGAAACCTTTACAGAGATCAAACTACATGAATAGACATGTTTTGTCTCTGGTCGATGTCGCGAGAATCATGTCGGATTTGGATTTGCCACTCAAGACGTTACCTGAACTTGAAACGAGCAGTGAAATCGCCAACGCCTCCCTCGAAGCCACACAGAACAAGGAACCAACACGACCTGCCGAAAGAGTGAAAAACCACATGATGGAACTTCAAAATACGGCATTTTCCGCAACCTTTATATAGTCACGTCGGTCCCATTGTTGTGCTGATGATGCGATTAGAACGACGAGATGAAACTCATAGCGGCTGAAGTCACGCCCACAGTTTCAGAAGTTAATATTCCATCGAGTACGTGTTCAAGGAACAATGTGATAGATACGGTCTTGCAGTAAGTTTCGAAACACCTAAATCGCTTTCAGAAAGTGAGTATGTTATGCTGTCTGAAGGTGTTTATCACGAATAGGTAATTTGACATGATTTCTCCTCCTCGCTGATTCTACCGCACGATAATATTCTATGTCTGCCATTACTTGCCTGGTGAGATCTTCGGCAAAAGAGTCACCTCGTGATTCCACAAGATAATCATCCTTATCCGAGTCTTCCACAGCAGACGTGATAGTCTGGCATTCCCAGCAAAGGCAAACAGAGTACTCCAACCCAAAACGGATACGATAGAGAGTCTGCGTTTCATCATTGCCAACAGCCAGTTTAGACTTTCCAATCTTATCGTCGTGGTTGATGAAGCGGCCACAGCGTACTTCCATACAAGTCTTGTACGCTGCGGGCGAAAGCTGGCTAGTGTGCCAGACTAGGTCGATGTCCAGCGTCGGCACGAGCATCTTGCCAGGATACAGCTTGAAGAGCTCGAGATAGTTCTCGTAGCGCTCGACGGCCCTCTGCATAGTTCCTTGCAGAGCTGGACTTCGGATCCAGAGATGTTCATTCATCTTATCGACAAAGACACGCTGGCGTTCGACGTTATCAACGAGTTTGCCGACTATGGCTGGACGAAAGACCTTTTTGATGCTCAGCGTCGTTGTTTGTCCTCTCTTGATGATTGAATCGAGAAGAACATCCCAGTACACGCCATCTCCTTCTTTACCCTTCCAGTTGTTTGAGTAATATTTCCAGGTGTCGCGGATGGGACCCTGGGAAGAAATGGCTTCGTGCTGCACAGCCTTTAGCAAGCTGATCTGTATTGGTAGTGACGTTGATGACTTACAATTAGTTTCCATGGAAAATTCACCCTGGGGAGGTGCTTCAGGGAGAAGGATTGACAGTACTCCAGAAAGTCGGCAGGGTTGAGCAAGAAAGCATGCCAGACCATGAGAATATCTAGAAAGGGTCAGCCACGACATAGCTATGAGATGAATTGGTATGCTATACACACCTACAGGAGGCAGAGATGAATGATCGGTCATGAGTATCTCTCCTTGGCCATCGTCGGCCAGCGAAGCATCATATTCTTCAGCCCACACCCTAAATCTCTGCACAGCTTCACCAAGGTAGAACGTCCACTTCTTATCCTGGTTTCTCTCCCACTCAAGATCTCTCAACGTGATCTCTTCATTCACCCACTTCTTCAAAGCCTTGACGTATCTACGCCGGTAGACCTTCTTAGTAGCTGTTCCCAAGCCGAATGCCTTGTCCAATGACTTGGAGTCCAACACTCTGATCCGCAGTGCATGAAAGACCTCGATTAGTTCCAGATGAACTGCGCATTGTGCTGGAGTGGGTAGGTAGTTGCGGTGCAAATCGTCAAGATCGTCGAAGGTGCTTGGCTTGGGAATTATTGGGTTCTGGTCTACTGTGGGTGCTGACATGTAGTATGAAGAGTCTATCTTTCTGTTCAACTCTTGGCTTGCTTGATGAAGAGCGCCTAAGTTGTATCCGATTAAATGGGACATGTTTCTGAGGTCCAGTATGGGTATAAGATTGAATGATAGGTGAGAGCAATGCGGCCTTTGTTTCTTAAAGAGCACTATGGCTAGTCAAAGATGTGAGAGGACTTTTGAACCAAATACTTCTAGGTTCATATAAAGAGTAGGATAGCTTGGTTATCATGGGGACAAGGAAGAGTCAAGAGTCAGGTGAGGTAGAATTGGATGTGATGTTGTATCGTAACCTGGCCGAGGTACTTGTGAACCCACCAAAATTGTGAGATAGCGGCTGTACCTTTTACAGCTTACACTGCCCACATTCGCTCTCCAAGTCCTATCTCGCCCGCGCAGCGAAGAGGGAATTATCTACAGGCAACAATTTAAATCCCGTGTTTCTACTCCGCCCAAATGGACTATTTACGCGGAAATTACTTGCGTGAATGCGGAATTTAAGGCTGACCTCCCATTGCCAATCTTGCTGTTTTGGGTCGTCAAAGACTCTAGACGGGCGAGCTGAACACACTAGACAGGGTCCTTAATGGGGCGAAGTATCAGGCGATGTTGTAGTTAGGCCTTTGGTGATGGCCTCGGCAAGGAATGGATATAGTTGCAACGGGTGCCTGGTTTGTTAGATATATGAAAATGGCTCATTGTATGAATAAGAGCTGCGTCCCATCGGCACAATGACCACCAAATCAACTCAATCACAATCAACATTAATCATTCACAATGTCGCGTCTAAGGAACAAAGTCTTGCCTGTTCTCGCAGTATCTTCTTTACCTTCATCCCATATCACGTCTGGACCTGACATATCATGGACAAAAGTCGGTTCTGGAAAAGACCATCTTCTCTCAGAGCTCGAGAGTCTATACTGGGATGGCGTCAGGACTGAGCTTGAGAACATTGTTCGCACTCTCAAAGTCTGGCAGCAACCAGAATATGCTCAAGTCACGATCCAAGATGAGGATGACGATCATATCCATGGATTCGATACATTTCTCGATCAGGTTTCCCACGAGGCTCGAGCACATGCCATAAGATATGGTCAGTACCTTGTTCCAGATAATTGTGTATTTCTTTTACTGACATACAAAGGGGAAATGAGAGAGAAACAAACAAAGAAGAAGAAAGACTGGTATCCTAACACCAAACCTTTCGGCACTAAATTTGCTAGAGATGCTGTTCTAGACAGCATATCGGATCGGATAGCGCAGCAGGTGAGCGATGGCATCAAGATCGACGTGCGACGGGAAATTAAAGGTACAATAATCAACCTTCATATTTGATATTATGCTAAGACTTGCTATCTAGCTGTCACGAAGCTCAAGGGTATAGAGCAGCGAGCCTGGATGCTGCTTCAAGCCGCCGGTATGTATTCTCTCCACGATTAAAAGGAGATACTGACAAGATTGGTAAGGGTTTCTGGATATAGAGAAGCTGATTGAACATCGTTCTCCTCCTGAAATGCTAGGATTATGGAAGAGACCAGCCATCCCTCAGCGTAAGTCCCAACTCCTGTAGATTCAAGCTACGTACTGACGCAAATACAGTTACTCTATCAAATGTTGAACAAGATGGAACTCTCAACTTTGAACCACTTCGTTGCATGCAAAAGCGATGCAAAAAGGTTATCCGAGGGAGCATGTTTGTCCATGACAAAACTGACTCTGAACCTGGTATCATTTGCGAAGAATGTTACCGAAATCATTATTACGGAAAAGAGGCATACACAAAAGCCTACAAGCACTGCATCCTGTCAGAGGCTATTACCCCTGAGATGAGCAGAAAGATCTGCAAGTGTCTCAATCTACAAGATACCAGTACAGGTGAACCACAGAGTCTATTTCCCATCGAGGAACCCAATAAACATAAAGATACCGGTAGTGAAGGGGAAAAGTGCGAACTTCTCCAACTCGGCGACATGGTCGCTCTTGCAAAATATCACGGACTGCAAGAGAGTGTAGGGGTCAAGCCACGATCTCAGAAAGACACTGAAAAGGCTGAGAAGCAGGCAAAGGCCGATTCGAGAGGACTCAGCTCGCGGTTTTACAAGAATTCTATTTTAAATGAGGAAAGGGCTGGTGAGAGTGACTTTGAGGCAGAGGAAGAGCTTGAGCCGGGACCTGAAGCCGAAGGTCGCAACCGACGTCTCAGTGCCTTGAAGGCTGTCCAGCAGCTGGGTGTCTCGGGCAATGTCAGTGTTGCGGAGGAGGCCGTCGGAGATACCGACATACCGCTGTTCTTCAGGAAACACGCAGAGAAGAATCCTTTTGGGAATGTTCACATGGCACTCAGGGTCGGGCCTCTTGTCGTTGAGAATGGTGTCTCGCAGTAAGTATTCCGTTGTACCCATCCTTATAATTCGCTTTAGTACACTATCTCACATTCTTGTAGTACCAAAGGCGGCGCTCTTGTCTCATTGAGGGAGATGCCCGTTTTCCAACAACGCTTTCATCTTCATACAATTCCAGGGCGTGAGCTAGCGATCGGCAGTGGTTCTGATCGTCTTCTTTGGCAACGTAAGAGGGAAGTCAAAGATCGCAAGAGATACAAGGCCTTCATGAAACAAGTCATAGGTGTGCCCTTCAGTGGAGGTCATACACTTCCACATGATCAGGAGCTTTCTGTTGTCCGTGATCTTTTGGCCGCTTGCGAGCAACAGTTCGATGATCCCAGCTTGTCTACGACTGACCAGCTCAAACTCCTCAACTCAGCACTAGAGCCAGTCCTGGGTAAGCTCAAGGCTCTTCTTGGCTCAAGGATGAAAGTGTATCTCAGCAGCATTGCTGAACGTCTGTTGGATAAGAACATCAAGCTGGCGTGGAGTACAACAAGCAACAACTGCCAAACCTTTTGCAGTTCGCTCATCGACAAAAACATATTTGGACCTCTTGTCAGCGGAGAACCTCCTAAGACTTTCACGGACGCAGCTCCTCTCTACGCCATGAGTTTCGTATGCCCAGATGAGGGCTACAAGAAGTCTAGAGGTGTACGAACCAAGTTCGATGTTCCGTTCGGGCTCACTGAAGAGTACCTCCTCCGCTTCCACTTCGGGCGTCACGGTGAGGCCGATATCATCGATACCTATCAAGAGTACTGGTATGACTGGGGTGCTTTTGGCAGTACACTGTACAAGTATCAGGACTTGTACCCGTGGGATTGCACAGAAGCTTATGGGAGATATCCAACTAAGTGCGGCGACTGTAACCTCGCCAAACACGTCTGGGCATTCCCATTTGACTCCTGGTCTATGTCTTCTCATCACTTATCAAGAGATCGTCACATGTACGCACCAGCATTGACTGATAAGACTTTAACAGCCGTTGGTCCAGATGCTACGCCAAGCTCGTGGATGCGCAACCGGCTTACTGTCCTGTCAGCAATGTCTACCCTTCACCGAGCTGCCACAGCCATGGCTCACTCACTCAAGTTCCAAAAGGCCACTGCATGGCTACACAAAGGCCCGTCGCATACTCTTCTAGACCCGTCGCTGAAAAGAGTTAAACTGGGTGGTATACACCGTGCTCAACCATGCAGTCACTACTTCGAAGCAGGTGTTTATAGCCACTACTTCATCGCCCCATGGGCTACACTTACACGGCCTAGGCAAGTCGAAGCCTACGAAAAACAGCGCAACGGCCGTGTTAACCTCCCCGATGTACCAAGTTCGTCCCGCAAGCGTCGTTTTGCTCGCCACATAGAACTGCCAGAGTACAACTACCTAGACTTTTCAGGCCAGACGACGCTTATGCAGCTCAACGCGGCCAATGATACTGCACCACCTTGTCACCACCACATCGGCATGGATAAGGTAGACGGCTGTTATAGCGACTCACACTTCAGTCCCACATCGGAGAAGCCTCGTCATGTATGCGCAAGCGGGTGCGGAAGTTCTACGCGCAATGCGGCCGAGTGTGCGAGTGGAGAGACTATCAGAGCCGCAGAGGCAGCTGCGTTGGCAGAAAGTGCTTCACATTCTCATGGAGGGGGTCATTCTAATAGTGGAGGAGGGACTTCAAGTTGTGGTGGAGGAAGTTCGAGTTGTGGTGGAGGAAGTTCGAGTTGTGGTGGGGGGAGCAGTTGTGGAAGTTCAGGTTTCTGAGGGGTGTAAGTCGAAGCATGTACTGTTGAGTAAATATCTTGTCAACTGTAATATAGCGTTGTGTATGCTGTACTGTACAGTAGTGGTGGTAACTGGTCTTGCCTTTTCGTGCATTAAACCCATGCAAGGCACTTCAACGGTTCACTCTAATAGCTAACGTTAGCATCTGTATACAGTGCTGGTAGAGTTTGCTAAACTTCAACTGCCTGCCCCTCTTGCAGTCTTTGCTAGTTTCTCAACCTCCGAACCTTCTACAGGTTACCATCATCCTGTTCAACCGAGTGCTAAATCTCTTCTTCGTGCATAAGACTTACATTATATATCCATAATAACTCACTAGCCGTGAAAACCTTTATCTTTGCATATTCTAACAACTCTTCCACCGAACAAAGTGGAGGAACACACGATTCATTCTTCGCTTCAACGGGAGATCCGCATGTCAGTCTATCCACAGTCTTCCAGCAGAATGGTTCTGAAGTCTTTTTTCACGTTTCTTCGCCACTGTTTAAAGACTTCTCTCGCTCCGCTACGGCCCGAGTTGTTTCTCGAGCTTGACACATGGCCATCTGGATCCGCGGCATGATCGGTTCGATTTAGTCTTCTGTCAGTCGGTCACTAAGAGTGAAGATACTGAATTTGAGCGATTTACATGCTTTACTAAGAAATTTCTGCGCAATTTGTTCAACATTCTGATGAGATGGTTACTGGGTGTGGTATCTTGACTGATGCTTGTAAGATATAGAGCTACTGCAATACAACACAACTGCAGCTCAACAACTTGACCAATATTACCTCGCTGTAAGAAATCCCGACAAAAACTACAAGCTTCCTTGATGCACACACTTTAGAAGTTCTCTCCACCTCTCTTGCGACCCTCTGTGTCGGTGTCAGTCTCCACCAGCTCTGGTCGGCGAAACTCCACAGAACAGCACTTCCTGAGTCAAAGATGTCCACGACAGCAGATGACGAAAACAGTAAAGTATCACAAAGCATGTGATGAGAGAGAAAAGGCTGCATTGGCGTATCACTCGTCCAATGCCAAGAGAGCAAAGTGTCTTGTCTTGTCTAGTCTGTAGGGTAGGGCAGGGCTCTTCTGGGTCATCTCCACCTTACGCCACGTTGTGTGCTGTGCCGTGATGTGATGCTGCGATCTGCCAGGCACAATGACAACTAACTGCACGCTAGTCAAGGCAGACAATTGTCTGATTGGCCCTGTGTCCAGGTACAGGGCAGCCGTTGGGAGGCAAAACAGTTCTCGGCAGGGCAAAAGCCAAACTTTATGCCTCATAAACTACCACCACAATTGAGTCAGTGGTGGCAACCAAAAGCACCAAGTTTCTTCTAGCTGCTTTTCCCTACAGTAAACAAGCACATGGCTTGACTTGGGCTTGGGCTTCTTGCGGCCCGCTACCGAGGAATATGATTTAGAAATAGATGCCATTTTTGACAGCTTTGTGTGACACTCTTTTCCAACCACCTTCGTCACAGCTGAGTTATTATTATCCTCCACAGGTAACTCAAAGTTATTAATGTCTTAACAATGTCCGGGAACTTGCTTATTCACTTCCGTCGCCGAAAATCTTCCCCGAAGAAACAAATGCCTACACAGTCCGTGAGAGCGCACAAAGCAAGGTCCACTGCTAGCTAGCCCCTTTATTGAAACAAGACCAACCTGCATTAGTTCACCACCTACACAAGCCCCAGTACAGGGCACTCGTGGGAACCTCGGAGCCTATTATCGTTCTCATGTACCCATCGAGAAAACGCACCAAGAATTGCAAAAGAAGAAAACTTATGCAACCAAATGAAGAGATTTTTCACACGGTAGTAATCAGTTGATAAGAGTTAGAACAATCGGTGTAACTCCCCATGTAGTTTATTTCATCAATTTGCGTGACTGACAGGCTCAAAATCTCTTCAGGTACCCAAAGATCTGAGAAGAGACTTGGCAGACCAGGTTGGCTCAAGCAAGTCCCAAGTACAGACAAAAGTAAAGATGATTGTAACGCGGGGATTTGGAAGATCATTTTGACAGTTAATATATCTGAGGCAACAGCAAGGACACACATTAATGTTAATCGAGATCACGTTTTTTTATCACAAGACGAAGTGGAAATAAGAAGTGAAGGTAAATATATATCATATAATATATAATTTAGAAGTGGTAATAGATAAAGATCCCAAAGACAGTATCCAAGATGATGATGGATAACATGTTGATTCCCGCGCACCGTAAACACCAGGTATAGATAGAATAAGCCCAATTCTATAAAATCAAGTTTACGCAAATGTCAAGCTGATAGCAATGTCATAGCTTATTTGCCGGAGTAGTCAATGTCGACGGTGAGGCGGACCTTCTTGTCGTTGATGTTGAGACCAATACCATCCTCAGCCTCCATACCGCCGAGGTAGGCGTTCTCGCCAGTGCCACCGGGGTTGATGGTGGAGCAGGTGTTGTGACCGCAAACTCGGAGACCGGGGATGTCGAGGTTCTCCTTGGCGGAGACAAGGCAAGAAGCATCGGCGCCGGACCAGCCACCGTTGCGCTCACTGCCGAAGTCAAACTCGAGCCAAGTACCGGCAACGAGACCCATGGCGGTGGTAGGAACCTCCTTGGAGGCACAGGCGCAGCCACCCTGGGAGTCCTCGTCGAAAGCAACGACCTGAGAGCTCTTGCCAGAGACGGTGAAGTGGAGGGGAATGTTCTTGGCGAAGAAACCATCGATCAGGCCCAGAGGGCCGATCTTGTTCCAGCAAGCACACTGCTTGTCCTCGCTGTGGTCGTTCTTGAAGGTGGTGGTGTAGGTGTACTTGTCGGCGACGTCAGAGTCGACGGTCATCATGTTGCAACCGTAGCTGCCCTCAACACCAGTGTTACCAGTAGAGGCGATGTCCTCAAGAGTGGCACGCTTGGCCTTCTTGCCACCACAGAAGGGCTTGAAGCCAGAGCCGGAGCTGTGCTTCTTACCCTTGTTAAGGGTGGGGAGCTCGGGAGTAGAGGGGCCGTTGGCGGCGTAGGACTTGGGCACGGCCTCCTCCTCCTTCTTGGGCTCGACGGGAGCGGGAGCCTCGGGGACAGCGGTAGCGGGAGCGGCGGCAGCAGTGACAACGTGAGTCTCGTAAACAGTGACGGGGTTGTTGGCGACGATGAAGTCACGCTTGGCGTGGGCACGCTGGTGAGCGTGGCCGCTGGGGTGAGCAGAGGCGCCGAGGGCGGCAGCCAGGAGAACGGCGGAGGAGCTGAACTTCATTTTGAATGTTTTTCGTAAAAGACGTTGCTTTTGGGGTATTTCCGGATCACTTTGGGTTGCCTTTATATAAGGACTGTGTTGCAAGTTGGTTTAAAGGGAGTGTGTTAACGCGTAGCGTTTTTGAAGGAGTGACTAGAAGGCAACGGCCGTGATTCAAAGACTGAAGAGTGAGGAATAGAAGGAGAAACAGACGAGGGAGGAAGTGAGGGTTATAAAGGTGAGCAAGGGGTGTGTGTCTTGACTCCCCTTTGACCACTTGTGGGTGGTGTGTGCCTGAACGCCATGTCTCTGTCATGTCCTTCTTTCGTCCGCATTTCCAGATGGGCACGCCCCAAGCCCAAGGATGTTGAACAAGCCCTTGCTTCAGTTCCCACATCGCTTTTCCCTCTCCTCTCCTCTTTGCTCCGCCAGAAGATGCACTGTCAGCGGTGGAGCTGGGATGTGGGCGAGCATCAGCACCTACACCGACGCCAAAACCAATGCAGAAACGACGCTAATCAGACTTGTGATGCGATGGCCCACCACCCTAGAGTCCAAATTCAAGCTCTGCTTCCGACAGGTCCCAGGGGTAAGGGATCTCATCCCTGTCAGGTACCAAGCCCACTGGATTGGTCAATGTCGCCCTACATCAATTCCCATGCCGAAATGGTCAATTCCCTTCCTCCCCCTACCAGGCCAGATCGCCGGCCGCGTCAGCAGGCTCTGCCAGGTACAGTAAGTGTAAACAGAGGGAAAAAAACAGGGCCGCTGGTTCCAGCGGTCGGCTAGACCAGAGAAGAACTAATAATGGAAGACGGTATGGCGATCGCTGATCATCTTGTCTAGAATTCGGATTGTCGATGAAGCTGGTATCAAGGCGAAGAAATTGTTCATCTCCAGAAAAAAATACAGAAACAGTAGCGATTTTCAGAAACCAACAGGCCATGAACGGGATCGAAAAAGCAAATGCAACATGACTTTGAGAAGGAAAATGACATCCATGAATGTTTCTTGCTCGGACAATGCCTTTTCGTCCCGACCTGCAGTTGACCTGCATTTGTTTGCTTAGACTTGCATCTCGCTCACTGTGTCTTGTGTTGAAGCCTGACTGTGACTGTGACTACGACTATGACTGGCGAATGATTGAATCGTTGTCTGTCGTGGCAGCCATGATCAATGCGGTGAATCGATGCTTGAATACGTGGACCCATAGCGGTAGCGTGGGGAACGCACTCGATGAGTGACCGGATGCTGTGTGCTGTAAATCGCCTGCCACGATGTTTACGGCAGCGTATACGTGTATCGTATCTGAGTGCATGCGCGTAGCCTGTATCATGAACCGCTGTGAGGGCCAAGCGTTTAATCGCAACAGTCGAAAGCTTCTTTGTTCAGAGTCCGATTCGCTAAAGACTAAAGAGGCGGCGCCCTCTTTCTCACCGTTCGACCCGTCGTTGGTGTGTTTCGTAATTTTGGTAGCGTTCTCTCCCCCAGACGACGCTTCACGCCGCAGCCGCCCTCCCTCCCTCCTTTTTCCAAACAAATGCTGTAAACAACATGGTGACAGTATCCGTAACTAAGCTGACTGCCGCTGATGACCTGACATGGTCGAATCAAATCAAATTAGACACTTTCGCTTCCCGGATTGGAATGAGGCCGGTCGCAGGCACGGTTGACGATGGCATGGTCCCTGGGGGCTGTGGAAATGAGACAATCCAGCCACTCACGTCTTTTAGGGGAGGCTTCTGATCTGACTCGAGAGATCCGCTCCAGGCTTGGCTGGATTGATAACAGCAGGCGGTGGCTTATGGCAGAACAGTCAATGACACGACTGGGCCATCATTACAGAGATGATGTCTCGCTCAATACACAAAGGAATGTCGATGAACAAAGAATTCATGAAACATCCAAGTTCAGATAATCCATACATCTCGAACGTTGTAGACGCTCAGCACTTGCTGTTACCATTTCTTTTCCTTAAACTCTCAGAATCAATGATTGGTTGGTCCGGAAGTTGAATAATAAACAAGGACCCCAGCAACAAGAACCAGGGCAGGACCACACAGGGGGTGCAGCGTACAGACGGCTTTAACACTAGATCGAGTTATTACCCATGTTCTTAGCATGTTCTATCGATCCTTCTTCCTTTGCAATTCAGGAGGCAACCACAAGCAATTCGCCATATACCGGATCGACGCTTCAGCTCAACGCTAAACTCACAGCGTCTTCATTCTAAAATAGTTATCTGAAAGCTTGCTTTGCAACGCATCGGCATACCAGACGGTATCTTTGTCTCCCGACGATTTAGTTTGTCTCATCTCATCTCAACAAAGACACGCATCGTCATTCATTCTAGAACCAAGGACAAAGACTGCACACCATGAGCCATTTTCCAATGCAAAGTGTTAAGCATTGTTACTAAAAACCCTTCCCGTTATTAGTAGCTGATCCTTCCTGATACGATATTACTATAATCCCGGGCTGTATAATGTAGTGAAGATGTGGAGACTCCCCGCTTCCAAGTTGCTATTCCTAGCATTATGGAGTCAAGGCACTCCCCAGACCATGTTCGTCTGGAGATGGATGGTCGTTGAGATAACCTTTCAGGGTCTGTGATGAGCGAGATTGAGCAATGTGAATGTCAAGAAAGGGGCGAGCAAAAGAAGGCAAAGTGCCTTCTTGTGTCTTACAGATTTAGAGTAGATCTTCCGGTTCCTATTTCGCTTGGTCCTTGATCTCATGCCAAAGCGGAAACTATTGAATGGGGCACCGGGAGAGTCTCTAGATTCTAGAATTGACACTGAAACATTTCTTGGCTGGTTCAAGGTTAGGCGTATTACAAGAATGATTTATCTCAAATTTGGGGGTAAGATCCCTTTGTGTACTACTAGTACAACACGGTGATACGTCGGGACATTATTAACAGTCAGATAGGAGATGAGACAAGGCAAGGCGGACGAACATCCACGTTGTAGAGAGAGACCTCTTGGATAAATCACCTCTGTTGAGTTCTAGCTAACGCCGCCAGAGACCAGTTGTTGCTCATTTCAACCTTTCGAGATAGCGCGCCAAGGTTTAACTATACAACCGCACTTCCAAAACAAAAACCGAAAGCAAGCGATGTATCAGAAGTAGCTTCTCATAGCATCTTCGTAGCCAGTACCACCCTTCAAGTCCTGTCCAAACTTGGCGTGAACGTCAAGAACTTGTTTGATGTGTCGTATACTGAGAGCCTCGCCCTTGTTAACGGCAAGGTCCTGAGCCGAGCCTACCACGTTCTTGATTTCCCGTCCGTTGAGATCCTGCTTCGAGAGCGCGTTCAAATCATCCTCTGTCAGCGGTTCCACCTTGAGTTTGCCCAACTTTTGAACGCGGTCCAAGAACATCATGAAGATGGTCCGCTTCGCCTTGGAGTCAAGGTTGTCGTACCGCAATGCGATGTGAATTCGAGACTGGAACGCTTCGTCGAATGTCTGGAACACTCCCAGATTAGTAATTGCACCTTAATAACAACTGCGAAGTTAATAAGATACGCACCTCTACCCGGTTGGTCGTAAGGAACAGGATTCCCTGGAAGTATTCCAGTTGCCGGAGGAAGATGCTCACAAGGGCATTGCGATGGATATCATGCATATTACGCTTCTCAAGGAATACATCTGCCTCGTCCAAAAGGAGAATCGCGCCCCATGCGTGACAGATGTCCAGTATCTTCTGCAACTCCGCCTCGAGAAACCGCGAGTCTGTTCCAAGTTCTCCAGCTGAGGCCATATACAGCGGGCACTGAAGTAGCTCCGCGATGCCCTCAGCAGTGAGTGTCTTGCCCGTCCCAGGAGGTCCATGCAAAACAGCTTCGAAAGTTAGCTTTCCTCACAAAAAAGGACATTTGTTTGACTTACTGACAAGGCCTTTTCCTTTGCCTTGGATCACATCATCAATCGTGTTCGCTGCATGGTACTTGCGAGACTTGACCAGAGCTTTGATCAAATCCTTGGTGCCATCCTCAAGAACCAAAGAATCCCAGGCCTTCTCGTTCCACTTGATTTCATTAACCCCAGAGACAGCGAGCTCAAGCCATTGCTTTTCCGAAAAGGCAAACCCAAGCACTACTGGCGAGGCAATAAGATATTCCTCGTCAGTGAACTCGAGAACGTCGCTTTCGTCGTCCTTTTTGCTATTAGTCTCGCTCTCCTCTTCGCCGCCGTTCTTAGATGGAAGCTTATCAAGTTCGGCTTCCTCTGGTTCGTCCTCAATTTCGCTTTTCGGGAATCGAACCATCCGTACCTCTCCGTCAGAGTTCTTGTATACCTTGGTGACAAACTTGACCTTTTCTCCATCGGAATCCGAGCAGCCACAGCAGTTGTCCGAGTCCGAGTCAGAATCCTCACTATCGGAAAGAATGTCAGGATCCTTAGGCTTGACAGTTGAGACGCTGTAGTTAGGGTTGATCCTTCGGAAGATAGTTGGATCAATCATAACACGACTAGGTTGGATGTTAAACTTCAGTACTTGGCCCTTCTTTCGCTTCATGAAAGCAATGCCCTGGTAGCTCTTGTAGTGGACGCCACCAAGTGACACGAACTTTTTACCTCGCTCGATCAAGTCACGACGGAGCTTATCCTCGTTCTGATGATACTGTAGCGGGTAACATGAGAGGCTGGTGATCTTCTTGGCTCCCTGGAATTCTTCTAGTTCCACTGACGTGCTGCCGTAGCCGAATCTTTTGCCATCAAACTCGAAGTACTTTCCGTCGACGTAGTAGAACTCTCCCTTGATGATGCTGCGATGGAGCTGTGCCATCTCGACCTTGAAGACTCGTGGCTCCTGGGTGGTTCCGTAAGTCGTCGTATAGGCCAGTGTGTTGGGCTTCCACAATGCCCAAAGCAAGTCGAACGTGATGAGACCGCTCTCAAGCATGGGGTAGAGGCTTTCCTTCGTAGATTCGAAGTCATGATCGAGGTACTTGATCATTACTCTCAAGTGTTTCCTCTTGTCCTTGAGTCGTCCTTTGTTCTTCTTTCGAGCCTTCTTAGTCTCGCCAGCAGGCTTAGCTTTCCGTAACGCCTTGAGATGGCTGCGCATGTCTTCTAAGTACCTAGAGCGAGTTAGCAGGTATGTCTCAAAGTTTCCCTGCCGTCAAGATATTATAAAAAGTGGCCACCGAAAGCCTAAGAGACGAAATAATTCAGATCCTTCATGCAAGTTTCCACTAGCACTTAGACCAACTCATTTTGGCGTCATATGCTTTGGGTGACAACTTCTCTACCACATCGTAGTGTCTGAGACTTACAGGAACAGGAGATTGGGGTTAATCTTGGGGACCTCATCCACCAGACTGATACCTTCGACGTTACCGATCACATCTTGCAAGCACTCGCGAAGGAGTTTGCTCTTAATATCGACAAGGGTCGTTCTATACTTGCCCTCCCAGTCAAAGGTTCGGCGGACATGAAAGATGAAATCTTCGTACTGGGAATCGGTATCTGCGTCGGCTGTGTCCTGCAGCTTGTAATTGTGAATGTTGCTGTCCCACACCTGATCGACCCGCTTGAAAGCCGGATTCTTGATCTTTTTGTCTTTGCCCTTCTTCTTTTTCTTCTTGGTACCTTCCGAACTGTCAGAATCATCGTCGTCCTCCGAGTCGTTATTCTGGAGTTCTGTGGGGATCGGAAGTCCTCGAGCCGGACGGCGTCTACCCAGGCCAAGTGCTGCGGATGCCTGATCCATTGCGGCTGCACTTTGGGAAGGGACCGGATAGGAAGTGGGCTGCAATGAATACGGGTGCATCGGTGCGCCATAGGAAGCATAATTAGCTGAACTGGCCAGCTGATGCTGGAGTTGGGCAAATTGGAGCTCCAGTGCCTTGAACTGGCTTTTTAGATCACGTTTCGATGACTTCTTGTCGTCTTTAGATTTCGTATCATCGTCTGAAGAAGAATCCGAGTCAGATGAATCCGAGTCATCGTCATTCGAGGCAGTCCCCGAATCAGAGTCGGAAGAAGTGTCAGGAATCTTGTTCTTGTTCTTCTTTTGCTTGATAGATTTTTTGCCCTTGGTCGAACTTGTTTTGCTTACACGCTTCGTCTTCTTTTTGTCCTTGTTCTTCATACCGACTCGCTTCTTGAGTGATCCTGCAGTCCTAGATGGCTTGTCATCGTCATCTGAATCCGACGAAGCGCCTTCATTCGAATTGCCAGAACCATCCACATCCTCCTGCTCAGAAGATGCTTTGGTCGTTCTGTTCTTGGGTTTCTTTTGGGGACGCTTTTTTTTTGAGCTGGAATCGTCATTGTTGGTTTGCTTTGCCGTCTCAGAAGAAGCTACATCGAGATTTGTCGCGGTTGTGTCCTTAGCATTCTTGGTATCCGACTCGTCTTGGGCAGGCTTTTGGGTGGTGTCCTCGCCACCCTGGCGATCTGATGGACTTATGGAATCCTTGGGATCCATTCTGATGAGAGGTGTGATTTCTTTCTGCTGGGATAGTATGATTCTTAATTCTTTGTGGAAAGGATGAAGGTGTATCAATAGGCCACTGAATACCTACAGAAGAGAAGGGTTGAAGAAAAGAAAGAGACAGCCGAACGAGATGGAGGTAGAAATAGCTACCTTAGTACTTACGTGGACTGCATATAACAGAAGGCAGCAGCAACGCAGTCAACCACTGGCCGCAGGTAAGAATCGTCCTAGGTTTAGGGTGCTAAAATAAAAGTGGCTAGGTACCTACCTAAGCTGGCATAAAATGACCAAATTATTTTGTCTCTTATGTTCCCAGCGGCTGAGGAGAAGTAGAAATAGGCAGGCACCAACCGCATCAAGCCACAGAAACGTGAAGGGGTATTCTATCCTCAAGATATTATTGGACAAGGGCAGATGGTTCAGCAACAATCATTCCACCACATTAGGACTATAGGTCGGCTGCAGATGACAATCCATGATTCTGGCTGGGTAAGCCTACAGGCAGCCAAGAGCAATCCATGGATGCCAACATCAATACTACATGCAAACGCCTAGGCACTCTTGTATAACGTTCGGCGATGATCCGGTGAAGAATTGCAGGGGATTTACAGCGAGGCAGATAGTTGTTGGACGTTTGAGGTTATTCCAGTTCACATCGAGCAAGTCACATAGCGTTAGGTTGGTGCTTGCATGGAGCCTGATTATCATGGAGGTCTGGCTACACCATCAGACACGCTAAAGAAGAATGTAACTTAGTGGATCTGAGGCCTTGACGCTAAAATAGCCACAACCAACTGACAGTTGATGATCTTTACTCCGTCAGCCTCAACTCTACAAACATGGAAGGGTATCACTGCAGGTAATGGACACCGTAACAAACAACTGCTGCCAAGGTTGAAAAAGGGTCTTTAGTACCATGTATCCCAGTCCGCATTGCTGAGACAAATCAGAGAGTCCCCATCTTTAGTCACCCCGCGAATAGCCTTTCTAACGCCTGCCACCAATACATCTGTAACAAATGTCGACCGCCTCACCATTCTTTTATTGACCAATGAGAGAAGATTTTGTCAAACCAGTCAACAGAATACTGGTTATGAGTCCTTGCCGGGGCGAAAAGGCCAATTTCAATTATACTTCACATGTAATACAAGGGCAGAAGGGATTGCATCGGACCTGGGTTGGCAGGCAAACCAATAAGTTACCTGCCTTGTAGCAAACCTATCCTCAATAAAAGTTTGGCTGAAGCTGTCCATGAGTGCAACATTAACCTACCCCGCTCGTATCGGTGCAATGTCAAGATCATGAATACGATAGATGACAGAGTGAAGTCGCTGAGATTGACATTCTACTGCAAGAACCCACATGCAGTGCTTGTGTTTGTCTGGGTAAACAGTTTCTGCATTCACTGCTATCATCAATAATAGCGAACAAGCGCCATGTAGATACTGCTTGTATGGTTACCACCTTTGCTGATGTGCTGGCGATGTGCAGAAACTGGTCACAGCATGAAGCAGCCGACAAACGCCGTCCAGTACTTGTGCACCCAGTGTCACTTCATCGGGCAGTCGAGACGATAATTTTAGGATAGTTGCATAGGAGGTAATAAGTTTCCAGGTTGACTAAAATTCGATGGTCGGGTACCGGGTAGTCCAGCAACAACGTGATGTTGCTATTCATGTTTCATGTGAAAAGATATCATGTTCGTCAGTGATTGCCTCAAAGTATGTGCTCCCTGTTGTGTCTGTCAGCTTTTGAGGTTGATTATCAGGTAGGACTCTTCACGTCTAATGAGGCGCTAGAGTCATGGAGGATCCCTCGATACTTTGACCTGACCTAAACGTCTTGGACGAGAAGCACCAATGAAGAAAACGATGACGATCCGTGTGAGGTCCGCCTGAGATAAGATGTAAGAGCAGACCCAGTATAAGTTATCAGCGTGTTATCACCGGGGATTAGATCCATGTCTGGTATTTTCAACTTTGTCCAAGCTTTTTGTAAACGAGCCGAGAAAAACCTGGCCAGCCCCTCTCACAGATCCCTTGGTGCACATTACTAGTTAGCTTGCAGTATTTGAGACACTGCTTCGAATTCATCATTTCATATATATCTAGACCTTCCAATACCGGGTATACCAAAGATGACGCTCCTGAATTTTATAATCTGTAATCAATGAACCTATAAGAGTCTTCATTTGTCGACAATCGAAGGACGTATCATGGATGATTGTCTCCCACGGATATTCATTGGATTAGCGCGCCCCGCGATGCTGCAAGCATCCATTGTAAACAAGCTCCCGGGCAAGATGGAGCAAGAGCACAGACCTTCCCAGGTCCGTGAACCAATTGATGGCCTTCACAACGTCATCACTGTCGCGAAAGTAGCTCCTTCCCGCAGGTAGATCCGGTGGATTGAACCTTGAAGGAGCTGAGGGAAAGAAGTTGGAAGAGTTGGTTTTCCTTTTCTCCTCTTCAATCTCATCTCCGAGGCCCTTTGTCCAGGCCTGAGTCTTGCAAGCTGCAATCAGCCGTCAATCAATCGCTGCACAGAGAGATCTTTCTGAGACAGCATCGCTTCTGGATCCAAATTTAGTTTGATCCGTTGCGACACAGCAGCATTGCGCTTTCGTGGATCGGCCGATTGCAACCAAGACAGACTCGTACTAACTCAACTGTACGCGACGCCAACTCTTTCCCTCCGGAGCCTGAGACTGAGACTCTCTTCAGCTCAACTCCCTTTGTCTTCAGCACACCTAACTCTCTTACTCAAATCAGCAGCTGAGCTTCGTGGCTCACAGCAGTCATTATGCCTAGCACTTGGGCGCGCTTCAAGAGCCTGTTTGGTGGTGATGCCTCCAATGGTTCCAGCCGTCGTGAATGGCTTCATGAGGAGGAGAGAGCTCGTAAGTTCCCCCGCTAGCCCTAGCGAAGAGCAATTGGCCATTGATCTAACTTATCAGTTCTCTCTCATCACCGTAACCAGGGCATCACATCTGCCACTCCTCCTGCCGAGGTCATGAAAGTTTGCCTACGACTCCGACATCTGATTCGCGAATGCGTTCCCTGCGAGCTCGAGGAAAGTGCCATTACGCGCTCTCACAGTACGGTCATTACCAAAAATGTTGTCCAGGCGGCCAAAGAGGCTGGTGGTCAGAAGTATCGTGCATGCGTCGTGAGTTAAACCTGTCCTGTTGTGCATTTGAAATCTTTTACTGACTCGATATCATCAGGTATATGCTCTGCTAGTTAATATGAAATGGTTCAAGCGCGAGGCGATCGTCGAGCTGTGGGATGCTGACCTTCATGATCTTCGCGCTGTTGCTTGCACTGTCATCGCTAAACAGATGTAAGTGACGCATAGCCTATCCATTGCCCTTGCTTGCCACTCGACATTAGCTGACCATAGCTAGCATCGAAGGAGAAGAAGACCTAGAATATCTCCTGCATCACGTCCTTCTTCGCCGGTACTCTTTCCTGATTGGCAAGGTTCCTACTCCACCAACCAATGTCATCGAGAAAGCTGTGGACTTGCACGCTGTTCGAGTTATTGGTTCCTCCGGCTACCAGAAATGCATTGCATATCTCTGGCGTGGCTGGCTGGTTCAAGACGAAGACGACCCTTCCGAGTTTGTTGACTACAAGAACAAGGCGAACACAAATTTCCTTGTTCACATGGATCCTGACCGTATGCGCGCCCCTCGTTATCAGAATGCTGCCCAGCTACTCTTCTCTGTCATCTACCTGGGCCTTTACACGGCTGCAGTCAACTCTGCAAATCCGACAGGAGTGCTTGATGGTGCTGAGATTATTCTCTATATCTTCACCTTTGCTTATGTTTGCGACGAATGCCTCAAGTTTTGGAAGGCCGGCTATGCTATTATCGGATTCTGGAACGTCTTCAACTTCATTCTCTACACCTTCTTAACTGCCTCGTTGGTCCTGCGCATTATAGGACAAGTGTACTGGGACAACGATAAAGTTTTCAACAAGTACAACGAGCTCAGCTATAATCTGTTATCGTTCGTCGCGCCGATGTTTTGGTCACGCCTTTTGCTCTATTTCGATAGCTTCCGCTTCTTTGGTGCTATGCTAGTCGTGCTGAAGGTCATGATGAAAGAGTCGCTCATTTTCTTCGCGCTACTCATAGTTGTCATCGTTGGCTTCCTTCAAGCCTTCATTGGCCTGGACATCGCCGATGATAACATTATGGGGGACACTTGGTTCATTATCGAATCCATGCTCAAAGCCATCATGCAAAGTCCTGAGTTTGATGGATTCGAGAACTTTGGACATCCCTTTGGTCTAATTCTCTACTACTGCTTTACTTTTGTTGTCATGGTAAGTGAAGAGATGCGCAATAGGCAATCTAGGAGGTCGGAGCTAACAATATGGTTTAGATCATTCTGCTTAACATCCTCATTGCGCTTTACAACTCAGCCTACGAGGGTATTTATTCGAATGCTGACGACGAGTATCTGGCGCTTTTTGCACAGAAGACAATGCAATTCGTCCGAGCTCCTGACGAGAATGTCTATATTGCTCCATTTAACCTTATCGAGATGGTCATTTCAGGTCTACTGGAATGGTGGGTGCCAAAGGCCACCTATGAGTTTATCAACGACTGTGTTATGGCTGTGCTATACTCACCCCTCCTTTTTGTCGCTGCTCTACTCGAGAAACGAGATGCGCGTAAGATTCGAAGTAACCGCAAGAGAGGCGAAGAAGATGACGACCAGATTCATGAGTGGGAACAATTCCAAGAAGACTTGGATATGGAGGCTGAAGGTTGGACTAAGACCTGCGAGACCGCCAAGCCGAATGTGGAAGACGAGCCCGCCGTAATTGAAGTTCGCAAACTGCGAGCTGAGGTAGATGAACTGAAGTCAATGCTTTCGCAATTCAGTGATACCATCAAGGGGAGCGGTGACGAAGCCATCACGAGATCCAACACCGGAAAGGCGCCAGAAACTGGAGATGATGGGACCCAGACTGCGTCAGAGGCCACCGAGACTCTAGATACACAGGACACATCGGATGCCCCTGAGGGAGAAGCGGCATCTGGTGATAATAAGTCGGGAAAGAAGAATAAAAAGAAAAACAACAACAAGAAGAAGGGTGGCTCTAGCAACTAGGGATCGGGGTCACACAGTGGTTGATTTGGAGTGGTTGATTTGGATTATGGTATGTTTATGTTGTGTTTTCAGTACTTATATTGCGCTTCGCTTTCGTTTTGGGGACTGTTGGAGTTACCTTTTCGGACAGCTATGGTTCTGAGCACTTTGATGGTTTATATATCCAATGAATTGTTGCGATAATTGTATAAATTATACGTACCTATGCAATGGTAGAAGAGCTTTTAAGTACAAACAAGATTAAAATCTGGAACTGAACGAGCACTGAGGTATTACAGCTTAAGTTAGTATGAGTTGACTATTAGTTCGTCTCTTATACTTTCAAATACCAATTCTTCTGACACCCTGACGGGCAGTTAGGTAGACCGATAGAGATTCTATCAATGAAACTTTTCTCATTTCTTTAAACAATCTACTAGGGGGAACATTGAAATATCTCCCAGGTGAACTAAGTTACTACAAAAAGGCTAAGATAGGCTCATGACCCTTTCCTTTGCTTATCAAGTGCTTCGCATCGTGCCTTGGTTCCTCGGTCCTTTAGTTCGCAGGAGGGAAAACTTTTCTGTATCAAGTTGGTTAGTTGGTGTATAGTTCAGAAGTTTGGGAATACTGACGGAATCGTCTTGTCGTACGCTTTGACATCGACGGGCATAAATGTGACGAACACAACTCGAGAGAGTTTGCTTCCCTCTTCACTTTCAAGGAACTCCCTCACGGTCTCGCAAGCGATCTCAGCGGCCGACTCGTTGGGGAATCCGTAGACACCTGTGCTGATAGCACTGAATCCGACGGTCTTCACGCCATTGTTGACGGCAACTTTCAGACTCTCGTGATAACACCTGGCAAGGCTCTCTTCGGGAGTGTCGTTCATGCCGTAGACAGGACCGACGGTGTGGATAACATGCTTAGCAGGAAGGTTGTAACCCTTGGTAATAACAGCGTCGCCAGTCTCAATAGGACCAAGCGGTCGGCATTCCTTAGCTAGCTCGGGACCTGCAGCGGCATGGATGGCGCCATCGACGCCACCACCGCCAAGGAGTCGCCTGTTGGCAGCATTGACGATGGCATCGAGTTTCAACTTGGTGATATCTCCCTGGGTCAAGCCGATGCGGTCATTGAGAGAGCCATCTGGAGTAAAAGAGCTAGAGGTCGACTTGGAGGCGGCCGCGGAGAGAGGAGAATTTGTGTCCCGATAGAGCTGGGAGAGAGTGGGAATATCGTCGACAGCTCGGGTAACCATTGTGACGAGTCTTCTGGCGAACATGAAAGTGCAAGAGGTGTAGTGGGGTAGCAATTCGAAAGAACTGTCAGATGGTCAGCATGAATCTTCTTTTCCCCAAGAGAATAAGAAAAATAAACCTTTTTGTTTATACTAAGGCTTAGTATAATGACTGAAGTTTGTTGTTGGTTTGTTGGTGAGGTTGGGTATGATGCAATAGCCCGAGGTGGTACAAAGTGGAATCTGCTTGTTTCTGTTCTTGAAGGTGTAATGAAGAAATGTCAGTAGAAGCTTGGGGTGGGCAGGCCTTTTATACTCGAAGGAGATATGGACTCGTGATGTGCTGCCTTGAACTTTGTTGGTTCAAGTCTGAATGGGAAGAGCAATGGAGGTGAATGAGCGTTAAGGTGTCAGAAGATTGGCTGCCAAGAGCATAGGAGACGAAATAATTTTGTTACCTTGTGTAAGGTATGCCTAGAATGGTAACTTGGGCTACTTTATTTTGTCACTTTGGGCCTTGGAGGGATAATTCTTCTGTCATCCACCTAAGGAGGTACCTAGTAGTGGAAGCTCCAGCTCTGCAAAGTGGGTCGGTTTCGAAGCTTGGGAAGGAGGGGCAACACCCATTCATGAAAGCCAAGCATTTGCATCAGCTCTGGAGTACCATTGTATGAATGGAACTTCAAGAGGCATTCTTCAAGAAGCATTCAAGAGTCAGTGAGTAAGTCAAAGTTGGGCCGATTATACAAAGCAGAGATACAAAATGTCCAATGTCAAAACTCATCAATACCCTTTCAGGGTCACTTGGGGATCGGATAATTGTAATAGACTGACTGAGATATGTAAAGTTCAGGCGAACGAATCTGCCTTGAATCAAAAAGAAAAGTATAAAAGCCCAGAGTAAGAATCTACATGAATCGATACATACAGGTATAAAAAGCAACTTTCAAAAGGCACGACCTCAAACACACTCAATAACCACCAGATAGGCCTGATAAAACCTTCCTCCAAGACACGGACTCTCCTTTTCGTTTTCTGTGATTGACCTTCCGCTCAGGTTTCGAAGGCTCAACTCTCTGCTTTTTCACAGGAGCAGGTGCCCAACTTGACTTGCGCTTCAAAGTCTGCCGTTTCACTCCCTTCTCGTACTTCTTGGATCTGGAAAGCTCGTCACTTCCAGTGCTTACCTGTTCATTCTCATCTGAAGTCCAAAGTGGAGTTGTGTTACTGCCCTCTCCCGTCTCATCTTCTGAAAGGTCAGTGTCACTGCTGCTAGGCCCAATGTCTAACACTGCACCAGCTTTAGCCGCATGGCCACCAGCCGGCACATCAGCCAGGTCGATATCCGAGTCAGAGTCGATAACTTGCTCCCGTTGCTGATACGTGACCCCAAGAGGGCCAGCTCCAGGAGTATTTACAGGTGCTGCCATGATTTCTCGTGGGTGCTGATTGACAAAAGCTGAGGGATCCCTGCTGGGAATAGAGAACGCTGCTGTGTGTGGAAGATCTTCCGTGACCGTCTCGCGGATAGCATAAGGATGGGGCATGGTACCATGCGCTGCTGGTGTAGCACCGCCCAGTGGCCGATTTGCCTGGACTGCCAGATCGGCGGCAGAGTTGGCCACCCACGCAGAGGGCTGGTTGGGTTCATGTGCTGGGAAAGGAGAACCAGTCACCGAGTAAACTGAGAAGGAACCGCTGTTGCCGTTAAATGATTTGGATTCAGAGAACGGAACTGGTTGATTGTCCATTTGCATCTGTTGGAACTTGGGCGGGATTAGAGGTGTGCGACCAGCCTGTGCGACAGCTTCTCCTTGCAGAGTTGTAGCACCTCTGTTGCTACGAAGATTGGAGGCGATGCGGTCGTTATTGGCCTGTTGCGCTGCTTTTTGCTCCTCGTTGAGCCGACCGACAAGATTCTTCACTCCATCGAGGTCGAAAATGCCAGTGGATGGTCGCTTGATCTGTTAGTCTCGAGCGTTGTCGCCGCGGTCGTCATCTAGAGTCCCAGACAGCCGCTGAGCAATGCTCAACTCGTCTATATTCTCTCCTGAAAGGGGTATTTTATACTCCTGAAGGAAGAATATTCTGTTGAAGTCCCTTCTCAAAGACTCGAAATCCAGCAGATCCGTACCTGTCAATTTCAGCATCTCCTTTTTAGCGAGGAAATAATATCGTTGATGCGGCAGACGGCGTGACTTTCGTAGCATAGGCAATGTCCACATGAGATCACGCCAGTTGTGGTTAGAGGCATCCAACTCGAGAAGCCTCACCAAGTCTTCGACTCTTCCGCCAAGGGTCAATATTCGCTGTCCCCAGTCCCCTTCAAGTCTCTTCATACCGTCCCCTATAATGTTCAGGAGAGTTCCAAGGTCTTTGAAGACGACTTGAAGGTCTTTTACATGCTCTCTCCATACTGGCATGGCTTCCGGTACATCGCTCACCCAGAGATCGAAAAGGGTGCTTCCGCCCTGGTACAATTCGCAAAGCAGGGTTTCGTGATGAGCAAGTTCTCTCTCAACAACTTTTGCGAAATCCATGAGTCTGGGAACCACACGCCCTTCAAAGTGCTCGACTTTACCCGACTGTAGCTTTTGTGCCCACAGTTCTCGACGATTATCGAAGGGTGCTATGTTCTGGTAGAGCATTTCGGCGTCCCAGTCCGCCGTGCATCCCAGCTTTTCCCTTGTTTTATCCCAGATCTCATAGAGTAACTCGAGGCTTTTTGTATCGAAATCGGCCAGATGTACTTGGTTGATGTGTGCCGCGAACTCACAGAGAATCATCTGAATCTCCCCCCCGAGTTTAGCCCAGCGTTGTACATCCACCCATCTAGCAATCTCGCCCAGGAGTCGTTCCTTCATCAGATCATAAGACGCTGTTTCGGCAACGATATTGTAAAGATAATTGTACAGGATATACCTCCCTTCCTCTTTCAACTTGTCTGTGACCTTTATAAGAAACTCCTCGCGTTCAGGGCTAACATTCAAACTTTCGATGGCTAAATCGTTATACTCCTGGTCCGCAGGGTAAAAGTTGAACTTGTGAGGCTTCTTGGACGGCTCCCTCAGGGCAGCGGAACCGTATTTCTCAATTGCGACTTCCCAAAAACTCTGCGAGAAAAACTTGCTGACATCTTCGAAGCGTATAAAATGACTGAGATCGGTGAAATGAGCGTCCGACTCCTCGAGGTTCGGTACTTCTTTGCGCTCCCATTCACTTCTCAGATGTAGACATATGAGCCCGGCCGCTGTTCGGAGGAGCGGAGGCATGTTGAATTTCGTAGTACTATAGGTAAAAGGCCAGTATCCACCTGCCATGACCTAGATATCTCTCGTCAACATCCCCTATCTCATATAGCATATTTGAATTGAGAGGGGCACTTACATGTTCTTGATAGGCATGACCAGCCTCGCCAAAGTGGTCATCTTCAAAGCAAGGCTCATCCCATCGGTCTATATTCTCATAATCTCTAAGTGCAACATCTAGTGTTCTACAGGCTGCAATTTGTTCAGGGTCTGTGATGCCGAATGAAACGGGTTCGCGTAGCCACTTGTAGGTGCTGGACACAAATGCATGCTATTATACCAGTCAACATCAGAGGTACTTTGGGAACTGAGGGGACTTACCATCATCTCGTGAGCTATACAAGACGCAAGTACGGTGTTAGCCATCAACTTTTCGCTCTTGGTATATTTGTCTACTAATAATGGCCAGACCAGCTCCGCGTCAATGTGTACAATGATCTTAGTATGATGATCAAAGAACTGCGGCGCTAAACAATAGCCCAGGCTGGAGTGATCTTTCGTGGTCTTTCCTTTTGAATCAAATCCGCTGGTCAATTTGATCGAAAAGACTCGACATAGGGCTTCCCAAGAAAGAGAGTTGGTATCAATACCAGTGTCCTTTAATTTCTGGGCGCCTTCGACCTTTCTGGGACCTAGAGCGTCTCGATCGCGCAGGAAGCGGACTTTCTTGTTTCTATTCTGATCCTCCATGTCGATAAACAGTCTTTCGTCGATCCAGAAGCGGTTTGTGATGTCTTTCAGACCATCGATGAAGTTTTCATCCATTAGGAGTAATCGAGTGGCGAGCTGAAGAGCTGGTTGTAAGACATCCCATACACGATCATTATTCTTGAATCATGAGTCGTCAGTATCTTTCACATGTATAATTCGAATACACATACCCTGGGATCCCACTCCTCACGTTTACCGTCAAGAGTATACACGTAGCGAGGACTTTCAGCGTTTTTTCCAAGCTTACGACAATCCGCCCAGCGCTCCCTATCGAAAAGGCTAGAGTCATCGGTGAGTGATAGAAGTATAAGAAGAAGGGATCAAGTTTACCCATATAGAGGACCCGAAAGTTGATTCACTTCGGTGTTGTCCCTAACGAAATATCCTTCCGCTAGAATCTGGTTTTGTTAGCAAATGCCAAAAGTTGCCTATTAGCTTGTAACACTCACTTCATCCATAGTCAAGCTTCCGAAGAGGATGTTTTGCCAGTGTTCATCAATAAGAAGATCCTCGTATTGCTGCCTATATTTTTGATCCGTGTCGTTCATCTTTTGCATGTCCGGCCTCGCTTGCTCCATGTAGTCATTTACATGTTGGCCGGCATCTTTAGCCAACTCGTCGAAGCGATCAAACAACTGCTTCCCTGTCTTTATATCGGTACTGACATTGAAGAGCTTTCTACTCTCAGATCGTGTAGGCGATGCTCTAGAACGGCCATCAGTTCGACTGGGGAAGATACCGAATCGCTGGGCGTAGATGGTGGGGTTGCTGAAGTTATCTCGAGGCAACAGAGCAGGGCGTAGTCGATCAAAGATAGGGTCGCAGATTTTGAACGCAGTCTTGTCTCGTGCAGGGCCTTTGTCTTGCCATGTTGGATCTGTCCAGATGGGGCGGTAATGGATGTACTCATAACTGCCCTGGACACTCGCTTTGCGCGGTATAGGATAACGTGATCCATGTTCTGGCAGACTTGGGGAGCCATCAGGAGGCTGTTTTCTAGATGGTTGACTCGAGCTTCGAGGGTTTGTTGTCATGGTAAGACAGCTATTGGATCGTAAGCGGCGCAGAAATGAGGAAGATATCTCGGAATGTCACTTGAAAAGCTGGGTCTACAAAGTCGTCCAAAATTCCGGGTGCTATACAGGTATATTAATAGATGTCAAGCTTCTGCATTTATTTGTAGCCACATGGATTCTCTTTTCCGGGACAAAGATCAAACTACAGAACTGGATTCATCCGGTCAACAAAGAACATCGAGGGCGTTGGTCACAAATGCAGTCTTTCAACGAATAGACCTTAGCGCAAGAGCAAGCAACAAAGACATATTAGATGTTATATCCCAAGTACACTGAGGCACTGAAAATTGACTGTATTGGGGCTCATTATGGCGAACAAAGACTTGAATCGAGCCAGTTCGTTGCGGTAACGACCCCCGTGAACTCGTGTTTTTGAGCCCAGACAGAGCATAATGTAAATAACAAGAATCCAATATTGCAATGGGATCCTTTCCAATAATGGCCAGAAATGTTCTTTCGAGAAAGTAACGCACATCTATATGGAAGACAGTGAGAGTGGCCAGCTGGAGCCGTTAAGCAAGCGTTAAGATGACGAACCCGGTACAAAGTGCATTAACTTGCCAACACGAAAAGGAAAGAGACATCATATGGGTTCAAGAAGCTAAAGCCGACCATGACCTGCATGTGGTCCGAGAAGCAGCTATAGCATCAATCTGATTTCATGGGGGAGGGGGACTGAGGATAATGAAAGAGCACACCTCTCCTTCTCACGTGTTTAGAGTCCCGCAACTTTGTTAATAAACTGAAGCGTCACTTTTCTTAGGCACAATTAATTACAGTACGTATTGTCTGATAACTGTCGGTGAGCTGGGGGCACAAATCTGGGGTGGTCTGGGGCCCCGCGATATTCTTATCTGGGGTCAAAATCGGAATATTTGGCACCTACGATATGTCGATATCGAGTCCTGGAATCATCTTCACAATAATCTGGTCTGTGAATCAAGTTTCAGCGATCTTCTCTGGAATGATCATATCATCATTTCTTTGTACTGTACAGTACAGCAGTTACAGTACAGAGAGCGACTAACGAGTAGGCATCCATCATGAGCCACTAGAATACAAGTGCCGTGGCAACGTGGCGGAGGGAAAGGCTGGGAAAAGCAGCATCTTGGTTGTAAAGCCGGTCCCACCACCCATGATCAAATAAGGGTCGAGGTCGAGGTCGAGGAGCAAATGCTACCTAAAGAGGACTAGGGTGTCTATCATGACTTAGACTCGGCGTGTCCGTCGTTTGTTGGGCAAAGGTCTTGACCCGGGAAAAGACAAAGGCAGTAGCAAATTAACGACGGCTAGCAGACTTGAGTTGTTGTTTCATTATCCTGGTGTACAAGAGCTGAGCTTGTCAAAGTCAAGCCCATTCATGCAGCCAACCATGGAGAGAGGTTTGAATACCCTGCAGTGAGAATTAAATATCCAACACTTTGTTTTTTCTTCAATAGACTTTCTAAATGCCCGATCACTTCCAATAAGCTGTGACTGTCTAAACCTAAACCGGATTTGATGGAGTATATCCAGATCCTGGGCTGTTCCGAGTATCGACTCGACAAGAAAAAATCCACGCTGGCGGCTTAACGGCTTTACCGTGCACAACGAGTCAAGACTCTCCATTTCCCAGGCTGAAGAGGTAGTACGAATACGGAGATAGTAGCCACATGGTTGAGTTCATATCTGAGGTCATTGGCTTGGAGACTAGGAATACTACGGTACATACTGTGATACTGTACTCTTAGTCAGGATGGCAATGGCAAATTTGGATATCGATGTTGGAACAAGGATCTCGAAGAATCTGTGACGCGGCTAAACAGTAAAGGTCGTCAGGGAGACGGCGGGAAGTGGATATTCAAGGTGGACAAAAGATTGGAGCAGTCGTTTGCTCATTCGTAGATTTGGATGGTCGTGAGAGAGCCTTGCCAGCCTTTTTGATGGCAATGCCATGGAACATCCACCGTTGGGAACAAGCTCGACAGCCCAACGGAGTTTTTGCACTGGAGCACTGGATCCAGTGCGGGCATGGATACCTTGGAGGGGTAGTTTCAGTTGGAAACCAGACTACACTACCTCGAGGAAGCCAGGTGTCTTGAGATAGCATCTTCAGGGTGAAGAGATTGTAAAGACTACGAGATGCAGATAAGGCAATCCGAATCTGACATCGATACAGTACAGTACAGTACAGCCCAGGCTATGGATGAAAGACAGCAAATAGTGAATCGCTGTCCTTTACAAGGAACATAATTTGTGCATGGGTCTAGCCCAGCGAGGCACTAAATCGGAGATGCCTCCAGGGAACTTTCAATGCTTTTCAAGACAAAACCACTCACCGCCCTCATCCACTTACTATATTAGGTTTAGCTCAAGCGCTGATAAACCCGATAAGCTGAGTCGCCGCCGAACACTGAGGAAGGAGGGGTAGAAAAATTGGAGGGGTAGTGCAGAGATGGGCAGCGCTTTGAAAATTTTGGTGGCCGGAGGCAAAGTAAAAAAAATTTGTGCAGCGAACCTAAAGTGCACTGGTAGAGGTAATAAAAATTGTGGCCCTTCCTCTTCCTTTTTCAACCACCCTTCTCCCTCCCCATCTCTCCTCATTCTCTTTCTTCTTCCTCCATCGCTCTCCGGTCGTCCTCCTCCAGACGAACCTCTCATTACTTTCTTTACTCGCGTTCTAGTTTGTTCTTCGGATTCACCTCCCTTGAACGAACACCGCCCCTCATCAAAGAGGAACTTTCCATTATCGCCGAATACAACAGAGTCGACTCCTCCATCGATCTCTGTCTCTTCGACGACCTCTTTTCTTCCTTATACCCCAAAAAATAAAATCCCAAATCGACATCATGCCTACCGAGAACCAGCAGTCGATCAAGGTCCTGGACGAGCTTTTCCAGAAGCTCACCGTGTCCAAGGAGTCCTCTGAGATCAAGGAGTCTTCCAACGAGTTGGCTTCTTTCATCAACGGTCGCATCGGTGACCAGGTTGTTCCTGAGAAGTAAGTTACTTTATTTCACCATGCCATCATTTGGCTCTCCAGTTCAGGGATCATCGGGCAGTCCAACAGGATGAGGACTTAGTCTACACGACAGATATCTATCATTTATGCACTGGCTCTTTGCCTCTTTGACAGATGCAGTCAGCAGTTAATGCTGGTCTGACTTCTGCGTCTGAGGCACTCAGCTGGAAAGCGGCATGAATTGATGGTATTGGCGTTGGACTAGACGAGCATCAGAACTTTTTTTCTGCAAATCGTTTGCCCCTCCCCCTCCGCTTGGGTGCCCAATCTTGCCCCTCCACGACTGGGTGCAATGGACGCGCTAGACCCTGTTTTGGCAGCCCCTTCTATGAGCCACAAAAAAATTGAGCCTTGTTCATATGCTAACCGCTCTTGTCTACAGTGTTATCGAGGGCCTGAAGAAGCAGCTCGCCAACAAGAAGGACGCCACCGCCCGTGAGAAGGCTTGCGTTGCCATCGAGGCCATCGCTTCTCACGCCGAGGTTTCCGCTGCCGTCGAGCCTTACCTCGTTGTCCTCCTCCCCGCCGTCCTTGCCGCCGTTGGCGACAAGATCACCGCTGTCAAGAATGCCGCTCAGAGTGCTGTTCTCGCCATCGCTGGCGGCATCAACGCCAACGCTGTCAAGGCTGCCCTTCCCTCTGTCATGGAGTCCATCCGATCTGCCCAGAAGTGGCCCGAGAAGATGGCTGCTCTTGACTTCGTCGAGTACCTCGTCAAGAACTCTCCTGCCCAGCTCGCTTGGCGTGTTCCTGAGCTCATTCCTGTCATCTCCGAGTCCATGTGGGACACCAAGAAGGAGGTCAAGGAGCGTGCTTACAAGACCATGGAGCAGCTTTGCCAGCTGATCATCAACAAGGATATTGAGCGTTTCATTCCTGAGCTTATCAAGTGTATCGCCAAGCCCGAGAACGTCCCCGAGACCATTCACTTGCTCGGTGCCACCACTTTCGTTACTGAGGTCCAGGAGCCTACACTTGCCCTCATGGTCCCCCTTCTGGATCGTGGTCTTGCTGAGCGTGACACCGCTATCAAGCGTAAGACCGCTGTCATTGTCGACAACATGTGCAAGCTCGTCGACGACCCCAACGTCGTTGCTCCTTTCTTGCCCAAGATGATGCCAGGTCTCCAGAAGAACTACGAGAACTTGGCTGACCCCGAGGCTCGTGACAAGACCAAGCAGGCTCTTGACACCCTCACCCGTGTTGGTGACATCAAGAACGGTGTCATCCCTGAGCCTACCTACCCTGGTGCTATCAACATCATCCTGCCCAAGGTTAAGGCTGCCCTTTCCCCCAAGTTCGCCAACTACGTCGAGAAGATGGAGCCCGTCACTGAGTACATCTCCGCCATCGCTGGTCAGCTTGTTGACGAGAAGGAGACTGAGGGTACCATCTGGGTCGACAACCTCAAGGCTTACGTCTCTGTCATCTCTGGCATCGACAGTGCTGAGTCTGTCGTCGAGAACATCCGCAAGACCTCTCTCCCCGGTGCCGTCGCCGAGGCCGAGGCCGAGGAGGACGAGGAAGAGGGTGAGGATCTCTGCAACTGCACCTTCTCTCTTGCCTACGGTGCCAAGATTCTTCTCAACCAGACTCACCTCCGTCTCAAGCGTGGTCAGCGCTACGGTCTTTGCGGTCCCAACGGTTCCGGAAAGTCCACTCTCATGCGTGCCATCAACAACGAGCAGGTTGAGGGTTTCCCCAAGCAGTCCGAGGTCAAGACTGTCTTCGTCGAGCACGACTTGGACTCCGCTGATACTGAGATGACCACCATTGACTGGACCATGAAGAAGCTTGAGGAGGCTGGTGTCACAACCACCCAAGCCGATGTCGAGAAGCAACTCAACGAGTTCGGTTTCACTGAGCAGATGGTTCAGGGTGAGATCAGCGCCCTCTCTGGTGGTTGGAAGATGAAGCTCGCTCTGTGCCGTGCTGTCTTCGAGGCTCCCGATATTCTGTTGCTCGACGAGCCTACCAACCATTTGGATGTGAAGAACGTTAAGTGGCTCGAGGAGTACCTCAAGAACTCTGCTTGCACTTCCATCATCGTCTCTCACGACTCTGGTTTCCTCGACAACGTCTGCCAGCACATCGTTCACTACGAGCGATTCAAGCTCAAGCGTTACAAGGGTAACCTGGCTGCTTTCGTCGCCCGCAACCCCTCTGCCAAGTCCTACTACGAGCTTGGTGAGTCCGAGATCGAGTTCAGCTTCCCTGAGCCCGGTTTCCTCGAGGGTGTCAAGACCAAGGCCAAGGCCATTCTCCGTGCCACCCACATGTCCTTCCAGTACCCCGGTACTTCCAAGCCCCAGATCAGCGACATCTCCTTCCAGTGCTCTCTGGGCTCTCGTATTGCCGTCATTGGTCCCAACGGTGCTGGCAAGTCTACTCTGATCAACGTCCTCACTGGTGAGCTTATCCCTACCGAGGGTGAGATCTACCAGCACGAGAACATCCGTATTGCCTACATTAAGCAGCACGCTTTCGCTCACATCGATAACCATCTCGACAAGACTCCTTCCGAGTACATCCAGTGGCGATTCCAGACTGGTGAGGATCGTGAGACCATGGACCGTGCCAACAAGATCATCACCGAGGCTGATGAGAAGGCCATGGACAAGATCTTCCGCGTTGAGGGTACTCAGCGACGTGTTATCGGTATCAACAGCCGAAGAAAGTTCAAGAACTCTTACGAGTACGAGTGTTCTTTCGCCCTTGGTGAGAACATCGGTATGAAGAACGAGCGATGGACACCCATGATGACTGCCGACAACGCCTGGTTGCCCCGTAACGAGCTTCTGGCTTCTCACCAGAAGATGGTTGCTGACGTTGATATGAAGGAGGCTCTTGCCTCTGGTCAGTTCCGACCTCTGGTCCGAAAGGAGATTGAGACTCACTGCGCCAACTTCGGTCTCGACGCTGAGCTTGTTTCTCACTCTCGTATGCGTGGTCTGTCCGGTGGTCAGCGTGTCAAGACTGTCCTTGCCGCTTGCTCTTGGCAGCGACCCCATCTTATCGTTCTTGACGAGCCTACCAACTATCTTGATCGTGACTCTCTCGGTGCCCTGTCCAAGGCCCTGAAGAAGTTCGAGGGTGGTGTCATCATCATTACTCACTCTGCCGAGTTCACCAAGGACTTGACTGAGGAGGTCTGGGCCGTCATGGACGGCAAGATGACTCCTTCCGGCCACAACTGGGTCCAGGGTCAGGGTGCTGGTCCTCGTCTCAAGGCTGACGATGGTGATGAGGAGGAGAAGTTCGACGCTATGGGTAACAAGATTGTCACCACCAAGAAGAAGGTCAAGCTGAGCTCTTCTGAGGCACGAAAGAAGAAGAAGGAGCGTATGGCCCGCCGAAAGCGTGGTGAGGAGGTCTTCAGTGACGAGGAGGACTTGTAAACGCATCCTCTCGACACGTATACTCATCTCTTGTGACGACTTCTCTTGATGATTACATACCATTTTCCTTTGTCATGCGTTGATCAAAAAAGTTACTGGTGCGTCTTTTGGTAATGGATGACTGCACTTTTGGGCTCCGATAGACGGACTGCTCTGTTAGACTACCGCCGTGGAGGAATGAGGAAATGACATGGGGGATTGGAGGATCCCAACTGTGTTTAAGCCTCGACATGGTGGTTTGGAGGTTGGCAAATAGTTAGAGCCAAATAGACTTGATTACGATCACTCTGTTTACGAATGAATGTGAATGCAGGAAGACCTGTATGGTATATTTGCCAATTGTGAAAACTATGGTGTTCCGAATAGAACTTGATATGCAACGTGCTTTAGTACTAATGTATTCTAATCTTGTGATCATTTAACAACCATAGTTATGAGGCTGTGTGTTAGTTCGGTGGCTGACAAGAATTGTCCTCCAAGGTTCAGTGCGCCAAAAGTAAAGTAGCCTAAGTGCTATTCTAAGATGCTGAAGGTGCCTAGATTATTCCGTCTCTCATGTTCTCAGCGGTTTTGACGCCCTCACGGTTAGCTACCCTAGAAATCACCACTTTTCGTGATCTATACTGAACTCATGCTGGGCATAGATATTTAGGTAGTTGTCATCTCTCAACATAAATACAGCAGCACAGCACAGCACAGCACAGCACAGCAATCTTACAATCATCTGTACAACCTGCTACAATCAAGGACAAAAACCAAGATCGATTGATTTCAAAGCGAATCGATAGAGGGTAAAAAGACAAAAAAAAATCATCTGATGAGACTGGGACTCGAACCCAGGAGGATTGCTCCACCAGGAAATTGGTGTTAAGGTTAACCTTAACCTGGCGCCATAACCAACTCGGCCATCTCACCGGTGATTGGATGAAAGACACAGCAGCAATCAAGCTCTAACAGGCGATCAGTTGAAAAAACAGCGCGAACACTACCCTGGAGAAAACCTTTAATTGCAACTGCAGCGTCTTGTTCAAAGTGCAGTTAATTCGTTACAATTCTTCATGAACTGTTGTTGTCTCTTCTTAGATTGGTTATTTCCAACTGATTGAGGGACCTGTTCTGAGATTGTATGCCCTTCATCGGTTGTTGATGTATCGACTTTCGCTCTTTGCCTGAAGTTTCCGAGGCGCAACCCACGGAGTTTCCTCCTTCCAAACTGCAGTTCAAAAAAGAGCTTTCATTCATAAGAACAATTAATTAATTAAAATATCACCCAAAAGCCTGCCAATCAATGTTCCGTGAGTAGGTAACATTTCTTTATTCTTTGGCGCGTTATCCTCTTCTCTCCTCATTACGCAATCAACACTGTCGCGACGTCGCCCAGCGCCTGTACTCAGCACAGACGCGTCGCAACTCACAAGACCATACACACATGGATGGATTACACACAACCAACCCTTCTGCACCCAGAACGATATCGCAAAAATCTTCAAAAAATGCAAAAAGATAGCTGATAGGCACTGAGAGACTCTGCTCCCGCCAGGGCTTGAACCTGAGACCTTCGCATCACTGAATATTCAGATTGAAGTATTAGTACGACGCTCTAACCAACTGAGCTACGGAAGCCGATCAGCTATTGTTGGGGCTCGGTAGCGAGAACTGAGCAAAGGAAGGTTGTCGCATCACGAGAGTCGCATCACGGGACCTTGAAGCAGAATCTATCGACTCTCCATGTGCTATTAAAGCTACTGGGTCAAACACCGTTGACTGAAGACATCTGGTGACAAGACGCCCAGTAAATAAATGGTGGACCGTGGGCAAAGACATGTCGGGCCAAACTTGTGCAAATGAGAATGCGACACAACCTGATCAAAAGAATTGTATCATCTATAACTAAGTATTGACTAAAACAGGTCGAAGATCTCCAAACTAAATACAAATAACTTGACAAATTTGTCTATTCTATCTCACCCACAACCACATCCAGATTCTCATCGAAGCAATGCACCAGGCGATCAATCGTACCACGGTCTCCAGCCAGGAGTCCTTCATCAGCGCTGACGGTAATCTTGACCTCCCTGTCCTGACCAACAATGACATTGAAGAACAAGCGGTGCGCACACAAGTGACTCGCATCGAGCTGATCAATGGTAGACACAGTAGACGACGGTTCCGTAGTGGTAAAGTAACTCGAAGCAAGCGACTCGGGAAGTCTGTATCTCTGAAGAGCTGTTTCGCTTTCTTCTGACTGCGCTAATTCCTTGCGGTGAATGATGTTGAGGTATGTATTGAACGCAGGGCTCATCTTCGAGATACCATCTGCTTGTGCAAAGCAAGTAAGCTGAGCAAGATGGTCCTGGACAGAACTAAGCTGATCTTGAGTCACCATGTCCTGGTCCACGGAGAGCGGCGTCACAGTGAGTGTTGGTAGACTGGAAGTTGTCAAGTCAAGCGTTTGCGATCCGTCGCGTGATGAAAGAGACCTTGAAGCATGGTTCAGACCAAATGTCGGTTTTGTCGTGTTCATCGTTCTCTGATGCAGAGCCCTAGCGTAGGCGAGGATAATGGCTGCAGAGACCTCCGAGTTACTTCGCTGCGAAAGATAGTCAATTGTGTATGGCGCAAGCTTAGTCGCGAAGGTTGACTTGAATTGCGGACCAAGAGGAGAGGCCGTCGCGGCATTGCCAGGACCGAAGATAGTGTCCTCAGCGCGAGACAGGTACTGTCTCCAGTATTCGACTTCGGCTTCGGGCTGCCTGACGTTGTTGACTTGCTCGATCACACGTACAAGCGGTTGATGCTCGCCCGTGAGCTTGCCAGAACCCAACAGCTGGCCGAGGTCATTCTCAATCATTTTGATGCTCCATCCATCGTACAGAGCGTGATGAAGTCTTAGCACGACTGCTTTGCCATTTGAAGATTCGAAGAACGAGAACCTCGCTGGTGGTTCCTTCAAGTCAGACACTTGGAGGTTCTGCTCGCCAACATGCTCGTGAATCAGGCTCTCGATGGTCTGCGACGAGTCCCGAATGACCGAGAAGTGCTTTGAAGGTGACCACTCCCAATTGAGTGTCACCTGGAATAGATCTTGACCATTACCACCACACGCGAAAGTAGTTCGCAGTATATCGTGAGCACCCACGAGCTGCTCCCAAGCGCTCTTCACCTTCTCCTCCGTGAGAGAGCTGTCAACTGTGTAAACCCACGGTGGTTCAAAGAACCTCTTCCCATTGTGCACCCACTGCTCCAAATGAGATCGTTGACCAGAGAGGGCAGGCAGAACGTACTGAATGCAACTCTCTGATAAGTCAAGACTCTTGGCCATCGCTGGAATGAGTCCGTCATCCACCACCAACTGCTTCTGCACCGGATCCTTCTTCACAGTCTTGTTCGATGAAGCCCGTGTAACAATATCCCGAACAGTAGCTCCCTTCATAATCTCAAACACACTAACACTCAATCCAACCTGATCCTTCAAAAGCTTCGATAGGCGAATGGCTAGGATCGAGTCAAGACCGGCACTGATCAATCGGGTGTCGTAACCGATCTTCTTAGATCCGCGTCTCGAACCGATGACCTTCTCGACAACGTTCAGTACTAAGTCAGCCTTCGGGGTCAACCCGTTCAGCTCTGCAGACTCGACCGGGTCGTTTCGTGACTTAGACACAGCCTCATTGGCCACCAGAAGCTGCTTCGTGTCAATCACTGGGGAATCAGAACCGTGAAGTACGTGGTTCAACGCGGCGACCAGCTGTTCACCCGCGACATTGACATCCTCCATCGACATCTTAGCTCTCAGCTTTCCGTTCAGTTTATTGTCTCTGATATGGAAGCTGGCAATCAGAGGGTAATCGTCGTAGGCCGGTCCAGTTGAGTCCGTCGCGTCGGCGTCTACTGGACCGAAGAGCGCTTCCGAATTGTCGGTCGCGTTTGAGGCACCGAGCACACCGTCAAACACGAAGAGACTCTGGAACAGACTCGCCAGGGTATTGTCTTGTTGAGTTGATCGCCATTGCGTTTGTACCTTCCTCAAAGACGCCATGGAGTTGGTGCCTCTCGCAGAGTCAATCTGCTTCTGCACGAGACCTAGAGCCTGCGAGACGGTGGCAGCCTCAATTGAAGTTCCGAACCTGACTCTCATAGGTAGAGTGTTGATAGTAGGTCCGACGATAGCAACGTCGTCATCTGCATCGGTGGACACGACTTCTCCGTATACAACATCCGCTTGATGGTAGAGCGACTCGGAGAGGACCTTGACCCATGCCAATTGAAGCGCTGCTTTGACTGTCACACCAAGCTTTTTGCACTTGTACTGCAGAAGAGACAGGTCATGCTCGCTCAAAGAGAAATGGAAGGCAGAGGATGCTTTGAGCTCATCGACCGGGAACTCAATCGGCCTGTAGGTGTAATTACGAACAACGTCGGTCCAATACGCGATTGATGCTCGTTGCGACGAGGCGACAGTCTTAGCGAAAGGTCTGAACAGATGCTTCAAACTGTCCGTCGCATCGGCTACACCACCCTCAAGATGTCGACGGTAATTGTTGCGTAAAATCTGCCAGACTGCCTGAATGGATGTCGCATCATAAAGCGCGTGATGAATGCGTAGATCAATCCTGCCAGGCGTCGTTGCCTTGACCTTCCAGCTAACAAGGTCGCTTTGGTCAGTGGGCGAAACAATGCCGACCCATGGAGACTCATCGTCTTCAGTGAACATGAAGCGAGTTCTCAAGATTTCACATGACCGTACCGTATCTTTGACCGCAGCGAAAAACTTGTCAAGATTTGGGGTGTCGGATTGAAGAGCATGGTCGGTCAATTGAATGGCGTGGACATAGGTATAGGCGTCGCCTGTGGCGAGTGATGCACTGAGCATGCCCTCTTGCAGAGGTGTTGCGACAAACATGAGATCCTTAGCGAGGCTATTGAGGGTTCTGTCGTAGACATCCTCGTCGCTAATGGCGCCAACATCAGTCTTTGATGCTTGGGTGCCATTGGTGGTTGTAGTCTGCTTGGCTAGGGCGTCTCGCAGAAGCTCAGCGACACCCTTGATGGTACGAGCCTTGATGACGGCATGTGATGAAAGCTTGGTCTTGTTTGTCTTGTTGATCTGTTTGACGAATGGCAGTACCGTGATGGAATCGAGTCCGAGCTGGTACAAAGAAGTAGATTCCGGTTTGGAGGATACTTCGGAAGCATTGAGACGGAGGAGTCGGCTGATGGTGGTTTGTACCTCAGAAAGAGCCTTCTTGTATCCTTTGTCAGTTGTGACTTGGTCAACGTTGTGGCTCTCAGTGTGAAGGTGACCCGGCAAAGTCGCACTGGCAGAAGGAAGCCCAGGTACAATGTCTGACACCTTGACGGCAGTGTCAGCACAGCTGTACACCACCTTCTCAAACAACTGGCCGACTTCGGTCAATTGCTTCTCATTCAAAACGCCTGCAGAAGAAAGAGTCAGGATGATCTCGCCATCGGAGTGAAGGTCGACATCAATGGCTAGAGCCATGTCGCTACTGCTACGAGTAGGCAGAGCAGTCATGTGCCCGGGTCGAAACTCGTCGCCAGCCTCAGATGCTGGAATAACGTTGATGCTGAGAAGGCTGTCGAACAACTTATCTTCTGATCCAGACCATCGCTGAACCTTGTCGACGCTGACTAGTGGCATAGTGCCTTGAGACACAGCGAGATGAGCCTCGTGCACTCTTTCGGCAAGTTGAGGTAGAGTCTCGTCTTGTCCATGAAGGGTCAAAGTGCGGATAAGGGTATTGAGGCATGGACCGACGAAGCTATCAACGCCTTCGGCTACGTGGTCGAGCAGTGGCCGAAGTGACATGATGAAGCCGTAGATAACAGAAGGGCTTTGTGTCAATTGAGCCAGGCACAGGCTGGTCGCCAGCTGGAATGCTGAAGACGTCGATATCGCAGCGCCCGACATGGACTTGAGTTTAGCATTGAGCTCAGAAGTGGTGTAGCCAAGACGAAGAGTTGAACGAGCCATTGAACCGTCCGTGTTGTTGTCATCAATACTGCCGACGCGGCATGGCTGAACGTTGCGCAATTGAGCCTGCCAGGAATCCTTGGTGGCTTCCAGCTGACCACTGGTCAGGTAACAGTGGCGAGAAATGTTTGAATGGATAGCCAGGCTACTGTTGTTTGTGGAAGCTGAGTCGACCTGAGTATTGTAGGCTTGTTCGAGCTTGTGCTTTAGCGATTTAATGGCGACACCATCGAAGAGTGCATGGTGGATCTTGAGAGACACAGTCAATTCGTCTGAACTCTCCGTGATGACCAGGCGGACGGGAGGCTGCACGTTCATCCCAGCTACGATGTCGGCTGGATGAGCATCTTGCATCGGGGAGAAAGTCGGCGATCGAAGCACCACCTGGAACACCTGACCATCTTCATCTCGCTGAATGAAGCATGTCCTCAACATTGCTTCAGAAGCCATGACGTGCTTGGCAGCTTTCTTCCACTTTCCAACGTCGGTATCGCGACTCAGATGGTAATTGAACTGCGCGACATAAGGAACGTCATGTCCCTCCGCGCCGCCACCATAAGCGCTCAGCCATACCGATGAGCGAGCGATGAGCGCAGATTGAAGAGGAAGACATGGTAGCACAGTCTCAATATTGTTCATATCGAGGCCATCTGGAAGAGGCCCAAGGTCAGTCGCTGTAAATGTCTTCGCATCGTGTAGCAAATCCTGGTGGTCATCTGTCGAGGGCGGCGTCGAAAGAGGGGTACTGTTAGTTGTCGATATAGCTTGGTCAGCAAGTCTGGCAATGTCCCCGACCGTAAATGAAGGATTGAGAATGTGCGTCATCTTGAGCTGGGAGAAGCCTCGCTTTCTGAGAAGCGAAACAAGATTTACAGCAGAGAGACTATCGATGCCCAAACGGTGAATGCTGCTGATTGAAGTAGCCTTGACATTGACGCCCACGGCCTCCTCAATCGCAGAGACGACGAGGACCTCTTCTGGACTCAGGCTACCTCCAGAGCTGATTTCGGCACCAGCGTCACCGTCCTGGTCTTGCTGCTTAGCCACGAAGTCGCTTGCCAACCGCCCTAACAGCTTGGTGTCGACCTTGCCAGAGGCCGCCAAGTAAGGAATCTTGGTGACCCAGACCATAGTAGGTACCATAAATGTGGGAAGCTTGGCCTGGCATTCTCGCTCGATCAACTCCAATAGTGAAGTAGATTCGTGATCCTGGGCATCCAGCAACTCGACTTCCAGATCGCCTTGGGCCTTAGGGCCGCTCGCTTTCCTCGCGACAAAGCCCAGCAATTGTTGCTGTTGACTTGACCCTTCCCCGCTTGACGCGACCGCAGCAGCAAAGTCCAGGCCTTCCTTGTCACCAGCGACCTGCTTCAGGAATCCCACAACCTCGTCTAACTCAAGTCGTTGGCCACGAATCTTGGTCTGTTGATCCGCTCTACCCAAGAACTCAAGTGAACCGTCGTTCATCATGCGCATCATATCACCAGTTCTGTAGACTCTCTTGGTGCTACCGAGGATCGTGATAGTCTGGAAGCTCTTGGCTTGTTCGGTCGGGCGATTGAGGTAGCCCATTGCGACTTGCGGGCCAGCAATGCAAAGCTCACCTGGTTGCCCTCTTCTGGCGACCACGAGCTCATCAGAAGTGGAGCTGGGGCAGAGAAGAAGAGCTTCAAGGCCATTGAGAGGAAGGCCAAGGTTACGTGCATTGGAGTCGCGATTGACGGGATGACCTAGACAACCAATTGTAACTTCGGTTGGACCATAGAAGTTGAAGAGGACAGCCTTGTCTTCTCCGTTGTGGGAATCTTGCGCCCAGGTGTTCAACAGCTCATTCGAAGCCTTCTCGCCACCGGTTGTCACCACTCGTACGGAAGGAACATCCTCAGGTGCCAATCGCAATTGAGTCAAGACAGAAGGGACTGAGCCAAAGTGAGTTATGCTAAACTCGTTGATGAGCTCTTTCAGATTCGCCATCATGGATGTACGGTCCTTGCCGATGACGACTCGATGGCCCAAATGCCAAGGCACGAAGAGCTGAGTGAGATGAGGATCGAAGGCCCGAGAGGTGAGATTGAGGTATTTGCCGACACCGCCGAGTTTCGCGGTTGCGGGCGAGTGTTCAATTAGACGGTCGCTAAAAGCAGAGATGAAGTGACACAGGTTGCTATTGGAGACTCGAACGCCCTTGGGTCGACCTGTAGAGCCGGAGGTGTAGAGAAGATAGCCTCCGTCGCCACTGTCGAAGCGATGCTCAGATGCAGGCCAAGATAGCATGTTGTCAACATCTCCCTCCCCGTCGGGGAGCAGTACTACTGGGGCATCGTTTGCAGCGTCGAGGCCGAGGTCATTGACAAGCTCCCCAGTGGTGATCACTAGTTTAGCACCAGCGTCCCGGATGAGGAGCTGTTTGCGAGCAGACGGCAGGTCTTCGTCTACGGGAAGATAGATGAGGCCAGCACGGAAGATGGCTAGAGTGACCGCAAGAGACTTTATATCTCTGCCCAAACACATCGCTGCCGGATCGTCGGGTTGCAGATTGGCTTCATGCTGCGCAAGCATGGCGACGATGGCGTTGGTAAGCTTGTCTAGCTGCGAATACGTGACAGTCTTGGAGACGACCTGCTCGTCGTCACCGGTGGAGTGGAAGATGACCTCCTCGGCTGCGATCCAGTCTGGGTGCTGAGAGGCATACAAAGCGACGCTGTCGGTCGGATTTGCTTGAGCCTTCTCGCTTTCGGCAGCCTCTCCGCTGATCGACAGAAGGCTACTTCTCATGCTGTTCTGCAGCTGAGACAAAGGTGTGGCAGGCGCTTCAGCCATTACCCGCGCCTGCTCTAGGATCTGGTTCAGCAAGAGCTCCAGCTGTGGTTGCGAGATGCGGCGTCCATCGCCAGTCAGTTCAATTGTCTTGCTACCCTCAAAGATGTTCAATGCAAGAGGGTGCTCAACGTTAAGCGAAAGGGCTTGTCCCACTTCATTGAACAATTCGTGTGAAAGACTACCTTCGTCCTCGGAAGCTGGATGGTAGACAAACAGACCTGGGAAGGGAGCGTTACTACTTCCGCTTCCCCGATTGAGCATCTTCTTCACATCAACAGGATGAAGGTTGTGCGTAGTCTTGAACAATTGCGCTGAGTCGCGCGCCATTTCCTTCCACAGCTCTTCGGCAGAAGAGGCATTGGAGCGAACTATGAGAGGCAGAGTTGCAATAGCGGGACCAACGACGCGTTCAAGGTCTGGGTGTAGAGCTCTCTGAGAGACAGTGTGGCCAAGGACGATTGACTCCAGCTCCAAGTACGACGCCAGAACGCAGCCAAACGCGGATTGCAGCAGAGCCGGAAGCGAGACAGTCGTATCAGATAAAGAGAGCGATACAGGAAGACTCTGCTTAGCTAAAAGGATCTTCTGTACCTGCTTCTGACGCGATTGCGTCAAGTCGGGGAAAGGCGCATTCAACATGCCTCCAGCGACCGTCTTACTGATCTCGTCCATCCGCCGGTTCCATAAGGCAGCCGCTTCATCTCTCTTAGTAGGAGGAGGCAGTAAACCCAGCTCGAGGCCCTTGTCAAATTGCGCAACTTCGTCAGTCACAGGCTCCATGTTGTAGAACTTGGTGACAGTCTCAAGAAAGACTTCGGATGCGACCGCGTCATAGAGAGCGTGGTGCATGCTAAGCATCATCTTGTTGGAGTCTTCGACGAAGGTCACAGCCCAAGGTGGTTCGATGGTTGTCGTGGGGGACAATTCGGACTGCAGCGACCTAGCCACATCCCCAAGGCTTCGGTCGCCCTCGCTAGGAAGCTGGGTCCAGCGAACAATCGGCTTCTCACGAATGAGTTGAAGAATAGTAGACTGTACGCCCTTCTCCTTTGCCCACACGACAGTGTTGGTGCTTCCCTCAACCTCGAGCTGCGTTAGAGGAACGAAAATGGTGCGAAGGATGTCGAAGCGTTTAGCAGCTGCAGTCCAGGCTCTTTTCAATTGGCGAGCGTCAACTTCATCCAAGTGACTCAAGTCGAACACGCGGTGAGCCCAATAAGCTTGTGGTTCGAGCATAGTCTCAACGATGAGAGACTCCTGCATCGGCGTGGCGGGTAGGATGGTAGTCGTGTCGCTTGGTCGCAGCTCGCCTTGGATGTGTGTAGTGAGCGCGTCCTTGATCGTCGTAATCCATGCGCTCTCGGTAGGCTCTGCTTCATTAGTCTTCTGAGCTTCGGCCTGCTTTGGCATGCGACTTAAAGTGACGTCGACTAGCTCGCCTAGTGACTCGCATCTCATGAGATCGAGTACACCGACCTGACACTGAAGTTCTCGTCGCAGAAGCCAAGCCAACTTAGTCACCTGCAGCGAGCTCAATCCAAGACCTGCCAGGCTATCCTCGGGAGATAGGCTCTCAACAGGGATATTGAAGTTGGAAGCGATTGTTTGGAGAATGGGAAGCTGATCATTTGTCCACTGCTGCTTCGGCTGAGCCGTGCCTTGCGAGACGGCAGAGTCATCCCTACCAGCCAGCACGTTGAGATCAGACTGGGCGTAAATGGCTTGCAACGCCTTGCGGTCAACCTTGTTAGACGCTGTTCTAGGCATAGTTGTGTCGAGGACGACCACGTGTCCGGGTACCATGTAGGAAGGTAGAAGATCCTTCGCTCGCTTGAAGACTTGTGTTCTGATCTTCCCAGTATCGACACCATCGGCCTTGACAGACACGAACGTGACGACGACCTTGTTATTGTTCTCCGCGGGAGCGCCTGGTCGCTGAAGGTATAGCGTCTCGACATGCTCAATCGCCGCATCATCGTCCTTCAGGCTTGCACAAGCAGCGCTGATCTCGCTCAATTCGATGCGGATACCAGTGATCTTGACAAGATCGTCGTTGCGGCCGAGGAATTCGAAGCCGTGGTCATTCAATCGGACAAGATCGCCAGTCAGGTAAATACGCTCGTCAATACTAGGACCGCCTGCGATAAAAGCCTTCTTCGTCTTGGCTTCGTTCGCAAGATATCCCTTGGCGACTTGCGCACCGCCCAGAGCCAGCTCGCCAACACCATAACGAGGGACAAGCTCCCACCGCTTTGTTCCTTGGGCAGTCTCGACTTCGCGCATCACATACGCTGTGCAGGGAGTGAGAGGGAGACCGACATTGGCAGCCTTCGCATCGTCTCGACTCTTGCCATAAAAGCGCCTCATGGTCGAGACAACGGCGTTCTCAGCAGGACCATACGTGTTCCACGCACGTGTAGTGATCTCAGGCGCCGCCCATGCTTCAGCGACGTCTTCAGTAAGCTTCTCGCCAATGAACGTAACGTATTGCAGAGTTGAGCCCTTGAGCTCCTGCACAGCAATGCTTGCACCAAAGGAAGGTGTCAAGTGTGCGTGCGTTGGGCGAGACTTCCAGATAAATTCTGTGAAGGTGCCGAGTACAAGCTCCCTTGTGCCACTGATGACACTGCCCGCCAATCCCCACGTGTAGAAGAGGTCCTGTACAAAGACATCGAAGCTGTAGGCCGACAGTTGGAGGGTGCGGACTTGCTCGCGATCATCGTGTTCGACCTGGACTTGAAGGTCGCGCATGGCGTAGGCAGCGGCGCTGTGCTGGATCATCACACCCTTGGGCTCTCCAGTAGTTCCTGATGTCCAAAGTAAATAGGCAAGATCTTCGCCACTGACCTTGCGCGAAGAAATGCTGTCGCGTGGCCTGGCTCGGACGGACGTCTTTTGGTCCATGTATTTGTCCACAAGAATGACTTGCACATCCTTGAGCGCATCCTGGGCAAGGCAAGGTTCAACGAGAGGAAGGGACTCAGTGTTAGTAAGAAGCACCTTGCTCTGCGCTCTAGCGATAAGAGAAGTGCGACGCTGAACAGGAGACGTTGTGTCAATCGGAGTCCATGCAGAGCCTGCCTTCAGAATAGCCAAGATCGATACGTAAAGCTCAACGCTACGCTCCATGCAAATGGGGATGATGTCGATGTCTTGTTCGTGAAGAACGTTGGCTAGGCCATTGGCGCGGGCGTCAAGCTCAGCGTAGCTCAGAGTGATCGGAGGAGCATCGAGCGACGGGTAAAAGCTTAGGGCCTGGAGATCTGGAGTGGTAATAGCTTGATCTTCGAATTGAGCATGCAAGACTTGGGTCCTGCTTTGGACTTCTCGAGTCTCTTCATCCATTGTCTCCCACTCAGGCTGCGTTGGGATGCTTCCTTCTGCAGACAACAGGCTTCGTTCAATGCGCGCTGGTAGACTTTGCACCAGGTCATCAGGAACAGAAGAAAGCAAAACTTGGGTAAGCGCCGCGAACTGCTTCACGATACACGCTGCAGAAGTCTCCGAGAATGTCTCGTCGCGATAAGTCACCTTGAAGAAGACTTCATCAAACCTGCCATTCCGATCCGCAGAGTTTGGGTTTGTGGGGAAGACCTCAGCGAACATGGCAAAGTCGTAACGAATAGCAGGGTTCGAGACCTCTGTCCAAAGAGTAGCCTCATCCTTGCTATCATCAGATGAAGGGTACGCTTGGAGAGCAAGAGCCGTGTTATAGGGAAGAGTCTTGAAGACACCGAAGGAAGTGTGTCTGTGGCCTTGAGCAAATCGCGAATGGTCCATCAGACTGCCGATGAGCTGGCGTAATGTTTGCGACTCGGGTAATGCGACGCGACATGGAACAACAGAGAAAGTAGGCGCGTGGATGAATTGATCATGGCCGGAAAGGACACTTCCGAAGGTCACATCATCAGTGTCTGCCTCCGACAGGATATGCAAGAGCATCGCCCAGGACGCTTGGAGCACAGTGAGTGGCGATGCACCCAACGCTCGACTCCTGGACTCGAGAGATTGCCAAGGAATGTTGCTGGCGTGCTGGACCATGGCGTGTTGACGGGCACCTGGCACTGGTGGTTTGACGTTGTTGCCGCTAATGGCGCCAAGTGGTTCGGTCTCCCAACCTTCGAGAGCCTTCTGCCAAAGCTGATCTGTGTTTGTACTGACATTCGATGCCCATTCAGAGACAGCCTCGTAGATGCCCTGTCGGGGGAGGGGTTCCAATCCAGCGTATTGTCTGGCGATGTCGCTCATCAACACCTCGAGAGACGGGCCATCGCAAATGCAGTGCGCTGCGCTAATGATCAGAAGACCACTGCTGTCTGAGGCCTCAGGTTTGACGATTTGAACTTGATACAGTTTGTAAGACTCGAGATTAAGATCGCCTTCAGCCAAGTCAAGCCACACCTGCGCGTCGCCAGAGGTGTCTCCCTCGCGCAAGACGACATTCGATCCTCCGACCAATTGAACCCAGGCATCGGGCTTCAAGATAGCTTGAATGAACGGCGACAGATCATCATCACAAGGAAGCATTGCGCAACGGTAGATGGCCTGCCTAGAAAGTACAGCCTCGACAGCATGCTTCATAGCAGAGGTGGAGGTATTGGGCTTAAGTCGTAGAACAGTATGGCTGATGTAGTTTCGCTTGTCCATGGCGAAGCTGACAGCCAATTGACTCTGCGTGCTAGTCGCAGGGAGTACCATTTCGATGTCGGAATCCTTCAGGTTCAGCTTGCTGACGGCCTCAGGTAAGTGCTTGGCGGAGAACGCTTCAAGATCGGCTCGGGCGCCGGCCTCTTTGCTGGTGAGCGCACTAGGTGCCTCCAGATCCTGCGCACTGGGGAAGAAAGCCGAACGTATAGTGGTGCTTGAGTCAAGCAGTAGAGCAAGTGATGGCTGAAGTCTTGCGCGGGAATGAGCTGGCAGAGTATTGGCGTCAGGTAAAAGCTTCCGTATGTCTCTCAAGATGCGCATTGCTTGAAGACTGTCAATTCCAGCATCTGCGAGAACAGTAGCAGGCGAGACAGACTTGGTAGTGGTAGAACCATCGCTGATAACATTCTGAACGATTGTAATAATCTCTTCTTCCAGCTTCGCATCCTCGGGGCTACTCAGAGTTTCGACATCATGCGCTGGATCCCCAGCCGTAGAGCTCTGCTGAAGACCAATGTCTTTTCCCAATATCTCATCGACAATTCGTAAAGCGGCCCTTCGATCTGCCTTTCCTGAAGCAGATCTGGGAAGCTCATCAACTTCCAAGACCCTGAAAGGTCTCATGTAGTCTGGCAAGTGTTGTTGCGACGCCTCCACGCACCTCTTGTGGGCTTCGTCAAAGTTCACCCCAGATCTTTGCTCAACAACAACAAGACTGACTATCTTCTCTGAGCCGGCCTCAACACCTTGTTTCCAGACACAAGCCAAAGTCTCTCTCACACCGTCAACCTTGCTAGCGATGACGCTCTCAATCTCACCGAGCTCGACTCGTCGCCCACTGAGTTTAACCTGGTCATCCGATATTCTGCCCAGGAACTCAATGACAGGTGAACCTGCGGGATCAAAGACGATTCTTGCCCTGTCGCCGGTCTTGTACGCTCGGCCCCACTGTGGATGATCAATGAATGCAGATGCTGTCTCGTCGGGGCGGTTGAGGTAGCCGAGCTTGCTCACTTGAGGACCTATGATGACGAGTTCTCCGACGGCGCCCATTGGAACGGGCTCCAGACCAGATTGCGACTTATCCACGATTAGAGCTCCGCAAGTTGCCAACGGTGTTCCAATGACGGAACCCCGCTGACCTTCTGGCACATGCGCTTGCGCAATGCAATAGATCGCCGTCTCCGTAGGTCCATACCCGTTGAAGATACCTCTTGGCGCATGAGAACTCTCCTCATTTCCTGAAGGATTATGTGGCGCGAAATCCTGCAGAAGTCTCGCATTTAAAGTCTCACCACCAACCATCAGCCCCTTGATGGACTTTGGGTCCAGAAGACTAGCGAAGCTGGGTGTGATATTAGTGATGTCAGCCTCCAAAGTTGTGACGACCTTGTCAATGTCTTGAAGTGTTAGATGTCGAGGTGCGCAGCAGAGAGTAGAGCCACTACTCAAAGTCCAGAAGATCTCGAAGAGTGAGATATCAAATGTTGGTGCTGCGCCTTGGAACCATCGGACAGGTTTGGTTCCAGGTGGCGGAAGAGTAAAGTTGTAGTGAGCGCTTAGAGAAGAGATTGTACATGAGGCGGAGAGATGGCTAACGGCTACACCTTTGGGAAGGCCGGTTGTTCCTGATGTATAGAGGATGTAGGCGATGTCATCTTGAGTGACTGATGGAGATGGATGGTTTGTTGGTTCGATGTCGCTGGAAGAGAGGAAAGGAGTGACATCGACGATTTGTGAAGATGAACCTGGTGAAGCCAACCACGAGTCCGTGGACATGAGAGACGAGAGAGTCAAGATGACTGATGGTTGCAAGTCCTTCATTAGTGCCTCCTTCCTCTCCTGAGGTGCATCCACGGGAAGGGGGCAGAAAGCCGCTCCTGACTTCGAAGCTGCCAGATAAGATATGTAAAGTTCTGGGCAAGGGCCCATGAGAACTGCAACCGTCTTGAAAGATTGAGATGATTGAGCACAAGTTTCTGCCAGCTTAGCAGCCAACGCTGTTGCAACATTGGAAACTTGTCGGTAGGTGAACTGAGCTCTGCTGCCATCTTCAAAACTGCTGAGGTAGTCGATTGCGGTACTCTCAGGACTCTCGACCACACGCTGCTCGAACCAGTGGTGTAGAAGAGTCGTCTTGTTCTCTTCGTTTTGAGAAGGATTTGAATCTTGGCGAGGAAGGCCCATGGGCCTCGCCTTGGGTGGAAAGTTGAGTACAGAAGGTTGAGACCACTCAGAGTCTCCAATAATGCTGTCAAACATGCTTCCCAGTGCCTTGAGAGCTGCTTCTTGGATCACATTCGACTTGGCTTTCAGATGAACTTGACCATTTGCTTCGATGTGAAGCTGCAAGGCCTGATAGATCTGTTAGCATATCTGTTTCCCCGTGGATCTTGGAAACCTACCTTTCCATCGCCTATAGAAAAGTCGGTAGGAATACCCTGACCATCATCAGATTTGGCCGTATCATCAATTTCGATATCCTTTGTAGGAGTTGAACGGGCTAGAATGTATCCACCGTTTCTGGAATCTTGTATGCAGAAGCTCTCTCCCTCATCAAGGACAATGAGTTGCGATGCCAGCTTCACAAATGTTTGTACGGCAGTCTTCCCATCTGGTCTCGGCTCAAATGAGCTAGTCCAATGGATTGTCTCTCCATCAGATGATTGATGAGATTGTTGGTAGGTATGCAGTGGCCGAAGCTGCGTAATAGGTAGCCGTAGGGGAGACGATCCGTTCTCCATGTTGTTGAACGTCTGTTACACCGAGTATATACGTGTAACTGAATGTCAAAGTTGTGATGCTTGGCTGTGGTGTTTACACAATCATCTATCAGATCTGATCTAGACATGCCCAACCAACCCTTCACAAAAATTACGTCGGCCGTTATCGCTTCTCATTTTCGTTAATGACGATATCCACCCTCGACCTCTGCATAAACGAGAACTTCAACACAGTGTGCCATTCTTCATGGGACCCTCCATAATTAGTGAAACATCCGATGCACCCTCATTTCGGTAGCACAGTACCAAGTGGGCAGCTGATGATCTGATAAGATTACGGCTTGGTCTCCTACCCCAGTCTGAAGTCTGAAGCCGAATGTAACCCCAAATTCGTTACGTACTTTTACGCCGATCCCAGCGGCCGCCCTCTATAATGAGCACTGTACAGAGTGCGGTACAACCCTTACAGGTGCTTGGGCTACTGTACTCTAGGTAGCAGTGTCTCACTGTCATCAAGTCAACACCCACAAGCCATGCTACGTCATGACACATAAGAACAAGTTATCAATCAATTTTATCAATCGATTCATGTGATCTGCATAATATTTTACTATACTACCGCAACTAAACGAAATGCGCCTCTTGGAAAAATCGCTCACGCTGCAGTGCAAACAACATAGCCGTCTTGTGCGGCAGATGGAACCTCTTCTTCCTTTCCTGCGGCAAAAACCTGTCCTGGATCTGCACGTGGTTCAAATCATACTCAGGCTCCGCAATAACTTGTTTAGTACGCGGATCCCTCAGGAAACAGCAGTGCTTGATGGACGTCGCCACAGCTTGGTACCGTTTGCCCCCGCGGAAACGCTCCTCTCCTACGATGATGTGGCTGTTTTGGTCGTGCTCGCCCACTGTAATGTTGCAGCCTGCTCGGTAGAAGCATGCAGCGTTGTCTTCCAATGCCCACCCGATCTCGGTATATCCCGCTAATTGTCCATCCCATTCGAAGACGCATGACATTGTATGCGGGTCGGCGAGTTGGGAAGCGAGATAATTGCGGTGATGTTCATCGGGGCCGCGCTCTTTCCAGGCTTTGTTGACGCGATCCGAGTTTTGCCAGGTCTTGTAAGCTGTGAAGTGCTCGGGGTTAGACGCGTCGATGTGACGGATTGAGAGCTGTTGACCAAGCTCTACAATGAAGCGAGAGTAAATGAGTGTGCCGGGCGTGGGCTTGGGCGGTCGCTGGGGATGAACGGTGCAGACGTTTCCTTTGCGGGTGAAGCCCATCTGGTTTGCGAAAACGCCCATTATGCCATTGAAGCCGGGGAAGTTTGTCACTTCGGGTCGCGATTGAAGCCAGTGCAGCGAGTCTGGTGCTCCAGCGCCTTGCCAGAAGGTATCGTGAGAGAGCCAGTAAACAGTTTCGCGCGGTGTAGATGCCGATGAGTAAGGTGATAGAACACCCAGACCAGTGCTTCTGATGTAGTCGCCAATCTTTTGGCTGTCGACGGAGATGGCGATCAAGTCGTCGTCTCGGTGCTCGGGATGGAGCCACAGCGCGTACACAGAAGCCCAGGCCAACGCCAAATCGCCATGTTCACCATGGGACGCGAACGGCGAGTGAGGATTATTGACCTCAGCATTGAATATCTCAAGCTCAAAGACGGGACCAGATTGCGCTCTGTCATCGTTGATCATGGGCGGGGATGTTCTGGTCTCTCGTCCGTCGGTCGACCATCGCGCTAGGGTAGCTTCGCCAGAACCGACGAGGTAGTCACTGCTAGAGTTGGCAATCCATATGTTTGTTCGGCCGTCGGGGAGTCTGAAGGAGGTTTCTTTGGAGGTTTGCCAGTCCTCTTTTGGTGGTGTTGGGTTGCGTGGGGGAACGACGTCAATTGGGCCTGGTGCCATTATGGGCGATCTAGCAGGTATTAGACACCGACACGTTAAACAACGACAGCATAACTTACAAGAATGATGGATAGAGTGTAGATAAAATAATACAGAGGCCAAGTCTTTTAATCACTACAACGAAACAATTACGATGGCCAAGATGCGACACAGCTCGGTAGTTATACTACTTGTAATGCGCATTCCCTTGACTCTGTTTGGTCAACAATGATCAACGGCCATTAACCCACATGGCATCCCCCAACCTCAGATCCTCTACCGAGTCTACAGTAAGACATGCCCCAGATCATGAAGCCAAGGATTAAAGCCATTAAATGCTCACTGACGTTTCGATGAAACCTTTGACGGAATTCCGAGTCCGTTGTCACGCCGCTGATCAATCCTACAAGCACATGGGAACAGGCATGGTCGGAGCAAGAAACCGACCTGCATCGCATTCCCTGAATTATCAGATCCAAAAGAGACCAAATAAGTTGATCAGTCTATCCCACTCTTACCAGCAGTCTATTATTGTACCCTAGAGCTTACAGGACATCCACCTTCCTATCCCACCCTCTCCCACGCAAAACGTCATGATCTTACTTAACTTTATGCTTGTTTTTCACCGTCTGAAGCATAAAATTAAAAAACATCCAGGGATCGGCCCTCTCTAGCGCACAAAAGTGCCGGCCGTAGACCCGGTTCAGTAGAGCCCGGCCGTAAGCTTAAACCGCTCGTATTCCGCCCACTGTGAGGATCCGCACCGTAACGTCAGGGCCGGGATCTGCACACCAAGTACCGACCCGCACAGTGACTTGTTTTTGGGAAGGTCAAGGGATGTGCGTTCCGAATACGGACGCCTTTGCAGGGACCCGATCTAATCTTTGTCTCCTGGATCTTGATCAAGGGAGAGAGAGAAGACCAAGACTTGTGCTCTAGCCTGGCAGCACTTGTTTCGAGACTCCAACTCTAGCCCAGCCATGGCGACCAACGATGGGAAGAGCTTCCCTCCGAGGAAATGGTACAGAAGAGTCCCTCTTCTATCCACAACGCCAATACAGCAGCGTCTCACTGCTCCCAAATCTTCACCATCACCAGCAAATATTGAAGATCAGAACAATGCACAAGACAAACTTCCTCTTCCTGAAACACAAGCCAATTGGCTGTCAATTTTGACATTCAATTGGCTAGGTCGTCTTTTACGGACAGGCTATACTCGACCTCTCCAAACAGACGATTTGTATGATATGCCAAACCATAGATTGGTAGAAGATCATGCGAATCGCCTAGAAGAGGCCTGGGCTACGAGACTTGCCACAAACCATGGTAAAAAGCCAGCGAAATGGCGACCTTTCTGGGCAAGAAAAACAACCGATACCACTGTCTTGACATTAGCGCTCAACGATGTCTGCTTCAAGTGGTTCTGGCTAGGAGGCATCTTCAAGCTGGCCGGTGATCTATCTCAGATTCTCTCACCACTTCTTATTCGCTTCCTCATCGGCACTTTATCAGACCCTTCGCAACAAGCCCTTCGCTCAGGCTTTGGCTACGCAGTCGGACTTTTTCTACTCTTGGTCTTCTCAGTCACATCCAACGTCCATGGCTTCTACCGATCTTACACCACTGGTGTTCTTTTACGAGGTGCTCTTATGCATGTTATTTATCGCCGAGCAACAACACAGCTCAGCGAACGCGCAAAGCTCAAACATGGACTCGGAACGGGTAAGCTGATGAGTCTCATCAGTGCTGATGTCACACGTGTGGATTTTTGTTGTGGCTATTTTCATGTTGCTTGGACGAGTATCTTTCAGATGCTACTTTGTCTCGCTTTGACGATCTGGACTATGGGATATAGTGCTTTACCAGGTTTTGGATTGCTCGCTCTGCTGTATCCCCTCCAGTCATTCATGATGCGCAAACTTCTTCTTCTTCGCAGGGGAAGTATGCCTTTCACGGACGCACGCGTTAAGGCTGTGGTGGAAGCAGTCGCTGCGATTCGTCTAGTCAAGACAAACGCCTACGAGGAGAGTCTACTGTCCAAGATTGGCAAGCTGAGATCTGATGAAGTGGTTTATATCCGTAAGAGAATGCTTCTCAGAGCCTTCAACACTGCCATTTCATATACTGCACCCACATTAGCTTCTGTTGTGGCCATTGTCTGTTATGGTGCAACCGCTGAGAATGGTATGGATGCCGGTGTCGTGTTCTCCGGACTTGCATATTTCATGCTACTGAGAACACCACTTATGGCTCTTCCTACTGCTCTCTCTGCTGTGGCTGATGCCAGAGCTGCCCTTGAGCGTTTGGCTATGTTCATGCTTGCGTCTGATGTATCGCAAAGCGAGAAGCCGGATCCTGAGTCAGATATTGGGTATCCCTCTGATTCTGAGCCTGATACCGTTATTCGCGTTGAAGACGCTACCTTTGCCTATCACGACGATGAGCAGCTCTTGGCCGAGAACGAGGAGAAGCAAAGCGCCTCCACCAGCCAACGCTTATGCTTGGACTCATTCCATGTCAAGCGCAATCAACTAGTCGGCATCGTCGGAGCAGTGGCATCAGGAAAATCATCCGTCCTGAAAGCCCTTCTCGGCGATCTTCATCTCGTACAAGCAAGATCCTTCCACCTCGGTCTCTCCAAATCTTCGTCCCAAATCGCCTTCGCACCCCAAAGCGCATGGCTTCTCAGTGAGACCGTCCGCGAGAACATCGTCTTTGGTAGACCCTTCGATCACGCATGGTACAACGAAGTCCTCACAAGATGTTGTCTCCATCCTGATATGAAGGCTCTTCCCGATGGTGACATGACAGTGGTCGGTGAGAACGGTGTTTCATTATCTGGTGGCCAGAAGCAACGTATAAGTCTTGCTAGAGCCATCTACGGTCGAAGCTCACTTTTGTTTCTTGATGACTGTTTCTCTGCTTTGGATGCTCATGTCGGTGCTCGTGTGTTCGACATGGTAGTTAACCAGGCTCGGAGAAATGGTGAAGGGACGATCGTGCTGGTTACGCATTCTATTCGATTTGCTAGACAGGCTGATCAGATCGTGTACATGGAGAAGGGCCGGGTCGTGGAGCAGGGTTCTTATGAACAGCTTCAAAGTCAAAACGGTGCTTTTACTGCGTTTGCTGGATCTACGCCATTGCTCGAAGACTCTGATTTCGAGACGGCCAGCAGCAGTGGCTCCGAACAAGCTATCGATGAGCCTACCGAGAAGGAGTCTTCTAAGTCAGAAACTGAGAAGAAGCCATCAGAGACCCGTGGAAAGGAAGTCATGCAGTCAGAGGAACGAGTCGTCGGCTCCGTCAGCGGCAGAACCTACATTCGTTACGCCCAGTTCGGCAACGCATTCCTCACTGTCCCTCTCCTGATACTGTCCATCGCTATCTACCAAGGAACCAGCATCGTCTCACCACTCTGGCTAAGCTGGTGGCAGAAAACTCAGTACATATCTATCTCCGAGGACGCATACATGGGTGGCTACGCAGCTTTCGGAGCAGGTCAATCGATCGGTCTGTTCTGTATGAGCGCTACCTTTGCCCTGTTCTGCTTCTGGTGTTCGAACAAGCTTCATCAGGCTAGTCTGTCCAAGGTTTTGCTTGCGCCGGTGACCTTCTTCGATACGACTCCTCAAGGACGAATCACACATCGGTTCAGTAAGGATGTTGATGCTGTTGATAACGTGGTCGGCGAGACGTTGCGACTCTTCATCTCTACGTTTGTCCAGGTCTTGGGTACGATTATCGTCGTGAGCATCGTCGTTCCAGCATTCTTAGCCATTGCTTTTGCTTTACTGCTTGTCTACACGTGGACGGGAATGTACTACCGGCCTTCATCGCGAGAACTTCGTCGACTGAACAATCTTCTTCGAAGTCGCATTTATGAGCACTTCGGCGAGTCTCTATCAGGTCTTCCCACTCTCAAGGCTTTTGGTGCAGTTCCTCGTTTCGTTGACGACAACGCGCGAAAGATCGATACAGAAAACACGGCGTATTGGCTCTCCGTTGCTTGCCAACGTTGGCTCAACCTCCGTCTTGATCTCTGTGGTGCAACCCTCGTCCTGGCAGCAGGGCTTCTCGTCGTCGGTCTCCGCGGCACCATTGACCCATCTTCTGGTGGTGTAGTCTTATCATACATCGTTACAGCGCAGGCAGTCTTTGGAAACATGATTCGCCAGAGCGCTGAGATTGAGAATAACATGAATTCGGTGGAGAGAATGCTGCATTATGCCTATAATATTGAGCAAGAGCCTGAACATCGGGTTGACAAGCTGGATGAGGAGTTGGAGAGGCAGCAGTGGCCGACTGCCGGGCGTGTTGAGTTCCAGGAGTTTACCCTCAGTCACCGACCTGGCTTGGAGCCGGCCTTGAAGGAAATTAATCTGGATATCAAGGCTGGTGAGAAGGTGGGAGTTGTCGGCCGTACTGGTGCTGGCAAGACAACCCGTAAGTCCACATCTTAATCGCCTTGAATAGCAGCTAGCTAACCTCTTCCCAGTGATATCTGCTCTCCTACGAATTGCCGAGCCTACCACCGGACGAATTCTCATCGACGGCGTCGACATCCACAAGATCGGCCTCCATCTGCTTCGATCCAACCTATCAGTCATCAGTCAAGACGCTGTCCTCTTGGCCGGCACGATCCGCTACAACCTCGATCCCTTCCAGCAATACGATGACGAGTGGCTCCAACAATGCTTGAACCGCGTTGGTTTGACCTCCGAACATTACAAGGTTGCCGAGAAACAAGACTCTGACTCCAGTGACGGACCAAGTCTGAACCTGGACTCTGAAGTCAAGGAGAACGGCTCCAATATCTCTCAAGGGCAACGCTCCTTAATTTCCATCGCTCGTGCTCTCGTGCGTCACTCAAGAATCGTCATTCTCGACGAGGCGACGGCTTCAATTGACGGCAGAGCCGATGCGAAGTTACAAGCGATGCTGAACGAGGTTATGGGTAACGCAACTGTCCTTACAGTGGCCCACCGACTTGATACTATTGTTGCTACGTGCGACAAGGTTATCGTCATGGATGCTGGACGCGTAGTCGAGTTTTCTACTGTCTCGGAGCTATATGCCAAGTCGGATAGTGTGTTTAGATCTTTGTGTGATGCCGCAAAGATTTCTATATGAGCATTGTATTTTTTAGAAAGAATACTTCATGTTACATTTAATTTTAGATAGAATTCTGATTGATGCAACGTTCTCCCGCATTAATTCATGATCGGTATGTCTGTGCGATAACGGAGCGATGAGATTGATAAGCCCTTCATCATCGACGCCAAGATCGACACTGCAATGTCGTGCAACATTAGCCGATGAACCTTGTGCCGTTGGTTTTCACGAGCCAACACCTCGGGAATCCACGGGTGGTAAGGATCGTCGAGGCAAGAGAAATCAGGTTTGGAGGTAGCCAATTCAATTCTGTAGTAGGAATAAGAGGCGGCTCAGGCGGAAAGGCGGAACACCTTATTTCACTCTAGGCCAGCTTTGGTTAAGGACTTAAGGTACTGTAGCTATCGTTAGCTGGGCTGGCTGGGGTAGATCCTTAGCTTTCTGCTTGTGTCTCAGTCACAAGCCAGTCACAAACCCCCAAAGAATGTGTCACTGATTCTAAATCCATCTTGAAAATTTTTGCCTCCCTTGCAAGCCTCCCACGCGTGCAAGTGCCAGGTTCGGACGATTTACCTCATATCAATCTGATTCTGATTTTCCAGGATCAAAGAGTTGCATTAAAGAGCCACCACAGTCCGTTGTACTGTCACATTATACTGTCCCCTCTATTCTCTTCAGGGATATGATCTTCACCGACGTCCCACTTCCAAGCCGATCCCTACCCATCTGGACCATCTGATTAGATGGAAGTATGTGATAATCTTGGCTTCATGCAGCAGTCGAACCAACAGATCAGATAATCTTTTGGAACAAAAAAACCACGCATGTTGATCCCCGACCAAGGTCACGCCAAACCTTTGCACCCTGGACTTGGCTTTTTCCACAGACCCGAGAGACCCTGTATCTTCTTCTTTTTTCGGCGACTTAGCTTGGCATAGCTGTTGGTCGTGTCTCTTTTCCCTCTTTTTTCTCGGTCTTGTAGGGGGCGAACAGAACCAACAGCTTTTATCTGCAAATAGTAAAGAAAAAGTCAGGCCAGAAGTGAGACTACCGATGCACCTAGAAGAGCTTTTCTTGCCCCTTTCCAACCTATCTTAGAATTCTTTCTCTTATTTCTATTCCATGCACTGCCGATCTTTTGTCTAGAGCACCCAGCTCAGGTCAGGTCAATTCATTCGCATCGCATCGCGTCGCCAAAATGTCCGCGCCCAACAACCCCTCGGGCCCAGAGTCGCAGACTCCCCCGCAAAACAACGAAATGTTCGAACTCAACGAGAAGAAGGATTACGATACCTCCAACGCTCCCGTATCCGACGATGAACACAAGGAAATTGGTGTTGGCAGAGTTGAGGCCTTTAACAAGGTCCTCTACCAGTCTGGCAAGAAGGGCAAGATCTTGCTCTGGTTGCTGGGTGTCTCAATTGGCTTGACCATGTTCGCCTACGCGCTGGACATGGGCATCACCACCACCATTTTCGGTACACTGGCTGCTTCTACCTTTGGTGTGCACAGTCAGCTTGGTACCGTCAACACAGCTGGTCAAATTATTCGTGCTATTAGCAAGCCTTTCATTGGAAAGTTGTCGGATATCACATCGCGACCGACGACATATGTTGTCGTGCTTGTCTTTTACGCTGTAGGCTTTGCTGTCGCTGCGAGCGCTAATGGCTTTACCTCGTATGTCATCGGTATCTGCTTCACCTCCGTTGGCAAGTCTGGTCTCGATCTTCTCAGCGATATCATCGTCGCTGATTTGACACCCTTGGAATGGCGTGGTTTCTTCGGCGCATGTCTCTCTCTGCCATTCATCGTCACTGTTCCTGTGAATGGCTTCATTGCCGAGGGCTTCTACGACAACTGGCGATGGGGTCTTGGCATGTTCTCCATCATCGTCCCTGCTCTTCTCCTTCCTGCTATCTTCACTCTCTACACGATGCAGCGTCGTGGCGAGAAGGCCGGTATGGTCACCATGGCCGACTCCAAGGATGTGCGAACTGGTCGCTCTGAGGCTACGCCCAAGAACCTGACCTACTGGGCTAAGCTTGCTTACCGTGGTCTGATCGACGTTGACATCGTCGGTCTCATTCTTCTTGGTTTCGCCTTTTCCCTCATTCTCCTGCCAATCACCCTGGCTAAGAGCGCCAAGGGTGGATGGAACAACCCCAACATGATCGCTATGATTGTCGTGGGCTTCGTTATTCTCATTCTGTTCGGTCTCTACGAATACTATCTGGCTCCCAAGCCCATGATGACCAAGCGCATTCTCAAGAACAGAGCTTTCATCGCTGGTGTTATCATCCACATCTTCAACCAGATGGCTTCCTCCGTTCGTAACACTTACTTCTCATCGTACATCCTCATCATCAAGGAGTGGACAACCTACCAGTGGACAATCTTCCTTGGTATCACCACCATGGGTCTCTGCCTGGTCGGTCCCATCGTCGGTCTTATCCACCGTGTATCTCATCGCTACAAGGGTCTCATGATCTTCGGTGCCGCAGCCAGGATTCTTGGTTACGGTCTTCTCATCAGCCCCAACGGTATGATGACTGAGGACACTGCTCGCCTCGTAGCAGCTCAGCTCATCTTCTGTCTTTCATCCCTCAACGTCGTTGGTGTCCGAGTTGGTGTCCAGGCTTCCGTTCCTCACGACGATGTCGCCTCGCTCATTTCTATTATCACTCTGTGGTCTACTCTTGGCTCTAGTATCGGTAGCGCCCTCGCCACCAGCATTTGGACCGAGCAGATGGTTGACCAGATGCACGTTGAGATGCCCAACGTCGATGATACGACTATTGCCACAATCTACGGCAACATCAAGACCCTCAAGACTTATGACTTCTTCGATCCTATCCGCCAAGGGTCCATCCGAGCTTACTCTATTGTCAACGGTCACATCACCATCCTTGCCATTGTCCTGTCATGTATTCCTCTCATCGCCTCTTTGTTCATGCCCAACTTCTATCTTGGCAAGCAGCAGAATGCTGTTAACAACAAGGGTCTCGATGGCGAAGTTGTGGATATTCCTCAGAACAGTACTGCGGCCGAGAACACTACTGAGGCCAAGCCTGCTACTTTCACGCAGAAGCTAGCTGCTTTGTACCGCAAGTAGATGGTCCCCATGAGACTTTTGTGGCACTTGCAACACGTCAAGTATGGCCTGTCTCATAACTACCATTAATCGGAGTGCTTCAATTACACCCAACCTCAACCTAATGTACATAGTAGTACTCGAACTATAGCTCAAGTAAAATCTACCTTAATATATGGCTGGCCGCCAGGCGCGACACCAAAGCCAGATGACGTTATCCTCAACCTATGACATCACTTCCTTTATGTGAACTGGCATCTCCCGTCGCTTTGAAAACGATGTTATTGTTCGAGACTTCTATTATACCTGCCAAGCCTGTACTAGCCAATTTTGTTCAGGAAAACTACGTGAATCTTCAGATGACCATTTCCCCACGTGATGATAATGACCCACAACGTTAGTAGCGTATTATCTGATCATCTGATAATAACGCTCCCAAGATAACGATCTCTCAACATCACAGGGTCGAGATACAACATCAGTCACCCAGGATGCGATACTGGAAGTTGAATAAAGCAATATGGCTCCTAAACTTAGTCACCTTCACCGCTGCATCAAACGCGTCGTCAGCCAACCCCAAGCTATGCGGTAAAGCGTGTCGCCAAACATTCCGAACGCTGAAGTTCGCCGACGCGCCTGAGGGTGCATTCTTTGCAAGACAGGAATGCACCAGCCGCTTGTATCAAACTTCACTGCATCTTTGTTGGGACATTCATTGCCTTGAGGATGTTTGGGTCGCTGAGTCAAGGGCTATGAACCAGACATGCCAGAACATGTACGACGCATATCTCGCTCAAAACGATATAATCGACGGGATCACAGATGATGAGAGGGCCCAGATAGTCAAGTTCAATGCGACAGACCCTGGCCGTACACATCGATATGATGAACTCATGCTACCAACCCCAACTTACTTTAATATCTGGATTAGAACATTGGTGAGTAGTCTAAACTTGACACGAGAACTATATCACTGAGGAACCCTAGGCGGCACATGATTATGTATGGGATTACCACTACTACTACGGCTGGGCAATGGGAATCTTCTGGGCCATAGTGATAGCGGTTGGTATGGCGAAGCAAGTGCTCACACGGCTAAATGCCATGCAAGGTCAACGGAGTGTATGGCTCAACCGTAATATTCTAACTCCAGCTACATTTGGGCAACGCTGCGTGCAAGACTTTGGAGGCTGGGGTACTTTGCCTCCACGTATACAAACACTAACACTCTCGCTATTCGTTATACTAAATATAGTATGCTCTATCCACGGATACGAAATATTCGAAGGCTATGGATAGTAAGTCTTGTCCCGAGAGACCTTAATGTTTGAGCTTTTGTTGACGAGAACTCAGCTACCCTTCCGTATGGCTTCAAGTCATTCGCCATGTCTCTGACAGAACAGGCATCATCTCGTTCGCCAACTTCCCGCTTATCTGGTTGTTCGGCATGCGAAACAATATCGTTATATGGTTAACCGGCTGGGATTTTAAGACATACAACAACTTCCATCGCTGGGTTGCAAGGATAGCGACTGTACAGGCTGTGGCCCATTCTATTGGGTATATCATCATTATCTTTCAGAGTAAGTGTACTCGATAAGCACTGGAAGATCGATACTAAAGACTTTAGGGGGCGGTTGGGAATATTTCTGGAGGATCTCGAACTTGACCTTTTGGTGGACTGGTGAACTGGTACGCTCCTATCTGTCCACCTTAGTTCTTTCTAGCTAACAGCATGACAAGGCAACCATCTTCATATGTTTGCTTGTCGGCCTGTCATTCTTCTACGTGCGTCGTATGCAGTACGAGTTCTTCCTCATCTCGCATATCGTTCTATCGGTTTTGGTCCTCGTTACAATGCTCAGGTGAGTCACATCGCAACAGCTAGTCTTTATCCCAACGTAACACTAATACACACTGTCAAGCCATGTCTCCATCTTCAGAGGTGCCTACGACGCGCTCATATGGATTCCCGTCTTAATATGGCTACTAGACAGAGCCATCCGCACAGCTCGAATGTTGGCGTTTAATCCTAAGTTCTGGAAGACCACCGCTCAAATGACTTATAACGAGGACTCACATATGATCCGAGTCACTGTCCCAGTAACATCAAGTTTTTACAACATCGAGCCAGGAACATTTTACTATCTCATGGTTCTCAACAAATGGAACTTCTGGGAGAGCCATCCGTTTACGGTCGCGTGGATCTCAAAGTCTGGGCAACACACCACACCAGAACAAATTCCACTGCTAGGCCACCTCACTGACGAAGTCGGTCCTGAAGCTGAGAAGACGCAATGGGAGATGACATTCCTTATTCGTCCGTACGACAGCTTTACTTCGCGACTAAAAGGTTACGCAGAGCAGGACCAGCCAAAGCCAGCGAAAGTTCAAGTAGCCATTGATGGACCCTATGGAAAGACGCTACCTTTAGAACGCTTCGATAAAGTTCTTTTCATCGTCGGCGGCAGCGGTATCGCAGTTCCACTTTCATACATGCACAAACTTACATCCGGTACTGGACCGAGGCTGATCGAAATCCACTGGGCAGTACGACAGACTGCTCTTGCTGTAGATGTTCTCAATCAGGAATTGAGCTGTGTCCTTGGCAAAGACCAGGTCAAGGTCTGTATCTATGTGACTGGCGCCAACGATGCGGGACCTCTCGATACAACTACTTGCCACCTTGCGGAGTGGAAAGATGGCCGACTCAACGTTGAAGGTATTATTGACAATGTACTGGACATGGGTGATCAAGGCAGTCTTGCCGTGGTTACAAGTGGACCTGCCAGGATGGCGGATGAGAGCCGAAGCGCTGTGGCTGATCGGACAATGCATTCCCTGCCTCGTATAGAGTACTTTGAGGAGAGCTTTCAGTGGTAGACAGATTGGTGGATACAGATAGATGAGACTTGACCAACAACCAACATCGCCACGTGCATTTCAGTGCAGTCTCACCCGAGATCCGGTTCTGACTCCTGCATGTGCATTTCCCACAACTGTTCCAGAAGTCTTCTGCTACCGCGTCTCGGACTCCGACGTACCGTACTAATAATCGAACTTGCATGACTTATCCCTGATTTCGGGACGGAGCGGAGTGACAGGAATTTCATCTGGTCCCATCCCTGCTTCATCCATGGGTTCTTCCACCGGTGTCCTAGTTCTGTCGTGTTGCATGACTGCCACCGACAGTGGATAAGGGTGACTTTGGAATCCACTGTGATCCTAGAAAGGCCGAAATGGAGCCAGCGTGGGGGCAAGGTCGGAAGGTTAGGTCACCAATGGATGCTTAGATGTGACAGTGTCAATATGATAGCCTCAACTGTAAGTCCTTGGTCAGTAAGGATCATCTTGCAAGGACAAAACTTTATATTATCAGATGCTTATGAAGTTTTTCATTGATGGAGATGTAACCTTACTCGATCTGGATCATCGCGGCTCGATGTCACCCTCTGACGGCGAATTGCCTGGCAAAAGATCTGATAAGCAGTGACAGACGTGCAGAACGTTCTCGAACAGGTTTTATCAGATGAATCTGGAGCCTCATTCTCAGCATCCCTGCTTCCAGCTTTGCCACGGCAGATTCTGGCTGGCCGATATCGCTTCTCTGATCGCCTTCAGTCGCTGATTTAATGTGACTTGGTTGATGTCCAAGGAATATTGGCATTTGGTTCACACGAACAGGAAGAAGCAAAGGAAGAGACCGAGTGATATGAAAAGTTTCTTTCGCCCCTGCAGTCTGTTTGTATCTCTTTCTGGGTCAATATCTACCGTTCTCAGACCAGCAACCAGCCCACGCTGTACAACGACGCTATAGGCCGTAGCTGTGCCCTGGTCGCAATTTGTTGTCCTCTAATCCTCCCAATAATACATTCCCCTAGTTCGACGTATCGTAAACAGTTTTTTCCATATCCCTAAGAATGGCGCCACCATTCACCACCCGTGCGAGTATATTATACCACCATTCCTTTAATATTTCCGATTTCAAGAGCTTCTGCAAGTGTCTCTGAATCTCAATCTGGCTTCTAGCAACCCAGTTCACAGGACCGTTTGGGTTATTGGGTAGTCCAACCCAATACTTTGGGATGCGATTGTCGAGTCTATGGTAGAGAGAGTCTAAATCATCTATATCGTTCCGACGCGTGGTATTGAAAGGGCATGGGAGTTCTCTAGACATCCACCGGGCTTTATGACTCAGAATAACCGGATGTCCGATATTGAGACTACCATAAGTATTCGGAGGAAAGGTTATAAAAGCCAGTGCATCCTGCATCATCCGGTCGGTAAACGTTCGTTTGTAGAATGTACGTCGAATGTACATCTCGTTTTCGATGTAGGTATCGAGCATACAGGGCGATGCTGCCGTGATAGGCGTGATGTTGCGCCTCGTGCCGAGGTATGATAGAATCTCGATTCGAATTTCCACCGGTAACGTGAGGAAAGTATCCTTCAGGTTGCCCATAGTCGTGACATCAGACAGGTTGAGCTGCGACATTGAGGTAATGATGAAAGACATTGTGGATGTGAATTTTTGAAGATTAGTTTGCAAGTCGTAGTTCGAATCGACACAATGGTGGATATGAGCCAGAAGCAGAAAGAGAGAAAGGGCGACCAGAATCAAATATATACAAGAAGGCCGTCATGCTAAACTTTGTACCAAGCAGGTTCTAAGGTTGATAGCATACATCAAGGAAATGCACGCAAACTACTAAATACATAGACTTTACAGTTTTGTGATAACAGAAAGCTTATCCTCTAGTGTTTAGACCGCTATGATAGAATTACCTGGATAGTGAGTTAAGGACATAAAGTGTCTCAATTATTTGATCTCCTAGATCTCGACGGCCAATTCTTTCATTCACCCTTAACATCCTTAGCTGTCTTTGTGAGAACAATGGTCTTGGGACGAGCACCGAGAAGTCTATTATTATTTACTCTTGCTGCGTGATGAAGTCGAGTCTCACTCATGCCGTAAGAGTTGCAGTCAGGCTCTCAACGCTTAAACAAAACTCTCATACTATGGCGTAGCTAGATTTTGGACGTAACGAAAGTCTTGTGATGGATCAAAAGTGACAAAGCTGATCAGACGAAAGATGGTGTTTTTCTTTTTAGACTTTTATTGAACCAGTTTCGTTGAACTTTATGCTAATAACTCCCTCAACATCGATACAGGTTCTGATATACTTTCATCATCACGACCAAGTTATATCATGCAAGTTATGTCATATTGGCCGTAGACTTCAATGGCGCCATGACCATTTGTCAAAGCAGGAAGTGTCTTGGGACAATCCAAGGTCATGGAACAGGTTCTTAACGACGAAGAGGAAAAACCATACATATACAGAACATAGCGGAAGAGGCAATAAAGCGTAATGCTAACCGACTATGGGTAACGACTCATTCAATAAATTAGGTTCTTATTGCTAGACGGCAACTATATCGGCTGACTACACGCTCTTAGATCTTGGAAACGTGCTCGCCGGTCTCGTGCTCAGCAGTCAACTTCTCATCGATTCTTTCAGCCCGGCGAGCCAAGTCGGCCTGGTAATCGGCAGTGTACTGGCTCTTGTCAACTGAAGGAATGAACCAGGGAGCGTTGGTGAACAGATAGTTCATCTCCTCGAGAGGAAGCTGCTTGGTCTCAGGAATGAAAGCCCAGACGCAAAGGGCGTTGGTGAAGTTGCAGACAACAAAGACAAGGTAGTACTTCCAGCCGACAGAGCCCATGGCAATACCGGTGACCTGTCCGATCATGGTGTTGAAAGCGAAGGAGGTCATGGTGGCGAGGGAGACACCCTTGGCACGAGTGCGGGTATCGAAGATCTCGGCAGGGATGATCCAGGATAGAGGTCCGCAAGTGGCTGAGAAGGAGAAGTTGTAGGCCCAAGTAACAATGATGAAACCCCAGCCCTGAGCAGCACTACCAGAACCAGGAGGGTAGACAACCAGCATGATAGTAGCAATGATGAAGGTCAGGCAGTTGAACAGGTTACCCCAGATCAGAGTCCATCGACGACCGAAACGATCGATAAAGGCAATGCAAAGAGCCTGGGCGATAAGAGCAATGATAGAGTTGATGGCCTGGTACTTGAGAGCATCGGAAGCGCCAATGCCAGCCTGCTCGTAGATAGTAACAGAGTAGTACTGAATAGCAGAAACACCAGTCATCTGGATTGAGGCCTGGAGACCGCAAGCAATCAGAAGACGACGGAAGCATGACATGTTTCGGAAAAGCTCCATGTAGGACTTGGCTGAGTTGGCTTGCTCATCGGCGATACTTTCCTGAATCTGCTCGATCTCCGCTCGCACCCAGGCGTCGTCGACGTTGCCATTGGAGTGCAGACGAGCAAGGGTATGCAGCGCCTTTTCCTGCTTACCCTGGTCCATAAGCCAGCGAGGCGACTCGGGGAAGACGAAGATGAGCGAACCGAGGATAAGCGCGGGAATACACTGGATACCGAGGGGGATTCGCCATTGTCGGTTGTCGGTATAGTTGTTGTATGTGCCCCATCCTGTCCAACTCGCGATAAGGGCACCGATGCCCAACATGAATTGCTGGAGAGCGGTAACTCGGCCTGTTTTACAGCGGGTCAGTTCATTTATGCTTATAAAATCGGGTACCCGAGCGGGGATGTTTTGTGGAGTTTTTTCGTACCTCGAATCGAAGGGTGGGCAATTTCGGCTTGGTAGAGAGGGATAATCATGGTGAGGAAACCGACACCGAGACCAGCGAGGAATCGACCAGCCATGAGGTATGAGATCTGAGGAGCTCCAGTTTGGAGAGCGCCTCCGAGGAGGAAAATGATTGAACCGATCGTAATGGTCCATCGTCGACCGAGGTATTCAGCTGTGGGACTGGCAAACCCAGCACCAAAGAAGGCACCTCCTGTGAACAGAGCAACTACAGCACCACTGAGATCGTCAGAATAGTCTTGGGAGTCGCGTTGGGTTAAGCTTACGTTTCGGGAGAGGTATCAGACGTGTTGAAGGTCTCTTTGTACGACTGAGAGGCAATGACCTGGGCAATGACACCCAAATCATAACCGAAGAGCAGCGATCCAAAGGACGCAAACACTCCGACGAGGAATTGATAAACCTTGGGCTTCATGATGAGCTTGCCTTGCTTCAATTGATTAAAGATGGCAGACGGGGATTGAATGGGTCTGATCGACAAACAGCGGGTTCCCTCGACGTTTAATACTTTTTTTTTACATCGTCTACTACCCCAGACTTTCGGCACAAGAAGCTAATTACTCCCTGACTGGCATCATGGGTTTCGTTTCTTGCGCACCAATGACAATCTTGGTAACAAGAAGAAATAGAGTGTGCGGCGCCCCATGGGGAAAGGAACGGTCCTTGCAACCTCGATTGCAAACGCGAACAGAGACACGCTAGGATGCGCCCATTCTACAGCGCGTGACAAGCTCTATAGAAGCGCTTGCTGGTGATTGGAGCGCAAGAGGTAGGAATCGGTGCTGTTGGACGTGGCTTGAGATCAGATTCGGGGGAGACTACCGCAAAAAGATGATGAGGAATGCGGAGAAGGGGGGAATTATCCACCAGTTGAGGACAAGGATGTTTTCTTCGGGGTTAGGTTCCCTACTCGGTCAAAGTATTGAGTCACTCTTGGATCCAACGGGCGGGGTTTCAGCTCGTTGACTTTGGCGCTATTCTGTTTATGCTTGTTTAGTCCGGGGAAGTTATTGGTCAGGAGGTTTTTCATGACTTTCACCGGGGAGACAAGACATGGAGAGTTTTTCGGTTGGGTATCATCCGAGGTTCAAGACAAGAGAGACTTGGCATGAGGAAAGCCCAGAAAATATCATGATGGACGGTAGCATGGACAAGTTTGACAGGTGCTTGATGGATGTAGGATAATGGCACGGAATCGTTTAATTAAGCATGAATGTAGGCAAGCAGACAAGATTAGAGATCGTCCCTGTTTCCAAGTGCTCCTGCCCAATCACAGCAGGTGTTTGAATCCAAAGTGGAGGTATCTTGCGAATACCCCGGATCCGATGCAGCTTAAAAATTGGGTTGAGATTTGGGTTATCAATTGTGGTTTCTCTCGCATGTCACTCGGCAATCAATTCCGAGTTGCCAGACCACGGAGCGCAATGCTAGCAATTTGTCCAGATAAAAAATGGGAACTCCAAGGTATTCGCTCTACTAAAACCTGTCATCTGGTTTCCTGTACAGCCTGTCTAACAGCCCAGAACATGAAGTCTTGTTCATGTACAGGGTAGGGTCGCGTCCACGTCCTCACTCGGCCGACCAACGAACATTTCCGGATATTGTTTACCGATGCCTGGAACATGAACTAACCATGCAGTGGACGGACAATTGTGCATAACCTCATGACAATACGCGTATTGAGCCGCAAAGATGCGAGTTCTAGACTCGTAAGCTTACCAATTGCGCGACAACCAATCTGACTGATTGGCAGACAAAGTGAAAACATAATTCCGCAGTGATCCTTCGCGTCAATTGCAAGCCCCTGGTCAATGAATCCCATGATCAATGTAGCGGAAGATAAAACGCGACAAACTCCAAAAGTCCTGGTTAGCTTCCGCCGCTTTTCAGGTCAGGTCAGGCCAACATGTATTCGACCCACTGTAATTGCTTTGATTGCCATTCTGAGTTAGACTCCATAATTCGAGGTCGTTGACGTCACTCTCCATGATTGGACCGGATCACGGTCGAGTGTTTCAGCAGACGAAATGACTGTACTTTACGGTATGTATATGCGCGAACACGACGATGGAAAATAGACTATTGATTTGTTAGTCTGATGCCTATCTATGAATCGAATCTAGACGCATGCTGTCTTGAGGCCGAGACTTTTACCTCGGCTCGGCCTTACTGTCCTCCGATAATCCGACCAGAAAATGATTCATAGAGGCTGATTGCCCTTAAATTTATGAGGTTAAACTTGTTCCATCTCTGCACCTTCTAGCTGGGCGTTTCCACTATATATGGTCTCAACTTATGATCACTTCTCAAGGAGCATAGTTCGTATTGGCATAGCAGAATCTGAATGAGTACAAGTACACATTTGACTCGAAAGGTCCTATCAGATTGTACAAGAAATAATGGGGAATAAGGTAAAGAATGAAAAGATTACTTATAAAATTATGAAGTAATGCGAATTGTCGTAGACACACTCGGCACACCCGCCGAGTTCATGACGAACAACATCCAATAACCAGGTAAAGCAACACCAGAGTCATTGGGAACAGTAAAAGAATAGCTATTTCTTCCACTGTTGGACAAAGTGAGAGGAATACGGCGCTGGTCAGTGTTGACCGTATGCGTTGCCGTACCGTATCGCACCAAAGAGGCCTTCTGGATGCTGCCGTCAGTTGTGATAGTCACTCTACCACCAATCTTGACGCTCTTGGTAGAGGTGTTGGTGATCTTGGGACGCGTCACAAGGTTGCCGTTGTTATCGTACAGATAGTTTGGTGTAAAGACTTGCGCGTCAAAATGGTTTGTAGTGCAATCGCCACAAAGACCACCACCACCGTTGAAGACCCTACCGTCGGGCAACAGCAGCGAAACACTGTGATAAACGCGCACGATGGAATTGGGCTGCTGCTTGTAGAAAGTGTCGTCTCCGGGAACATAAAGTTCTGGTGTAAGCTGGGGTGTTGAGTCCTCGAAGGGAATACCGCGCACTTGACCACCTGTGATGAAGGTGCTTCCGTCCGGGAGGACAACAGAGGTGTGGAAAGTTCGGGGATACCAGAGGCCATTACTAGCATAGACAGTCTTGGGGGTTGTTCCGGGCTCGCCGAGGGTGATGATGTGGGCGTCGGTTGTGGCGTCGGTATCCTGATAGTCCTTCGCGCCGCCAAAAGTTAGGATCTTGCCCTGCACAGCATCGTACATAACGGCGTTTCCGCACATGGCATCCGTGGCAACCCCGCGATTCGACTGACGTTTACCAGCTGACTTGACATCACCGTTACCGCTGGTGTAATACCAGTTCATGGCGGTGCTGGGTCCGGCTTGGAAAACGATTCCCTTCTTCCATCCGAAGAGCCACGCGTGGTTATCGGAACGGTAGAGACCTTGTCGGTCGGCCGTCAACATCGGGTTGACCTTGGCGCCGGAGAGGGAAGTCCAGGTCTTGGAGGATGGGTTGTAGATTTCGCCGTTCTTCTCGAAGATACCGCCGCTCCAGGAACCTCCAATGGTGAAGACGCGACCGTCTGAAGTAGTGGCAGATGACTGATAGCCGCGTGCATTTTGCATATCCGGTCCTGGGATCCAGCTATCGCTGGACGAATCATAGAGACTTGTTTTCTTAGCGTCGTTACCACCTGTGACAACGATCTGACCTGCACCGTCCATGGAAATACCGGGACAGAACATATCGTGCTTGGTGACAGTAACAGTGCGCTCGGCAATGACGTTGTTGGCGGGATCCCAAGAAGAGGTCAAGGTGATACCGCCTGGAGAGCCTCCAAAAGCATCGTTACGATAGGAAGAGAACACTACGACCTTGCCTGAAGTAGGCTCGACAAATGCAGCCGCGGGAACAATAGGGAAGTCAAGGGTTGGACCCCAACGTCCAAGACCAGCCCGAGGAGCGGAGTAGGAGTCAGCCTTAAAGACGTTGATTTCAGCGATGCTAGTCCAAGGCTGGCCCTTTGCCTCGGTGAGGGCGACAAGGCGGACATAGCGAGCAGGACGTGTTTCAAAGTTAGAGTACTTGGTAGTGCTATCAGCATACCAAGTACCAGTCGCAACGGCGCTACCCCAGTTCTTTCCATCTGAGCTTAGGAAAACCTCATGACGACCGATCCAGCCGTTGCTGCTTCCATCCTGGCGAGGCAGAACTGACAAACCATTGACGTTCTGGGTAGAGCCCATGTCAATGGTGTAAGTATGGGGAGGCTTTGGATCATTGCCGTTGCCCCATTGACTATGCCAGAAGGTGTTGAGGTCACCATCAATGGCTTTGTCGCAGCCTTCTCCATCGTGGAAGCTGTCGCAAGTGACGGACCATTTGTCGCGGGATATTGTAGTTCCAATGGGCGCCGAAGCCCTAAGACTCAGGAACTGGAAGGAGCCTTCGGGCTCTCCGGTTCCCGCAGCCTTGTGGGATTTTGTGATAGCCACAGCATTGATGCTGGTGAAGCAAAGTGCGAGTGTCAAAAGGTGCCTCATAGTGGCATGAAATAGAGAAGATTAATGTACAGTAAAAGGAATGAATGAATTGAATGAAGTTGGTTATGGCAATAAATCAGAAGATATCTTCAACTATTATATACCTACCTACACAAAGCGATCACTCGGTGACCGATTAGTCCCCGCATGGCGATCATGTTTTGTGTTTCAGCCTACCGCGGACCTACCGACAACCATCAGTTGAGGCACCTACCTCAAAGTTAAAATTGGAAACCTCTACGACTCCAATTGGCCACGTTAGTCTCTGGCGTCAAAACGAAATGACCTCTCTGTATTTTCCTTCAGCCGCTCAGACGTAGAGGGCAGGACTAGCTTGGCATCATGAGAACGTCTGTCTGTGCACAGCTGAAAATGACTGAGGGTGGTCCTTGCATACCCGCCCGTAGATCTGCAGGTACCAGCTCTAGAGGCAATTCACGATGTTGTGGGAGTCTTTATTGGACGCCACCAGGGGATAGCGCGTGACTAGGTCAGATCATGGAGATTTGGAGGTGTGGCGTCATGGATTTAGTACCTTTACTTAAGATCGTCTTGGGAATTAGCTGGATCGATCATGAACGATTACTTCTCGTATCGATGGTGCGAGTTAGTGCAGACTCCGTCGCAACTTGGTCGCCCTCTAACATGTCCGTTCAATCCACTGGCACTCGCAACTACCGTGGACCGAAAAGCTTAGGAGATGAGAGTGTTAACGCCTCGTGGGTCTCCCGCAAAGAAGTCATGGCTGCATCCTTCAAAAGCTGGCTGCCTCTGGCCTGATCTAGACCATACGAGTCAACTCCCCTTTTCCTTCGGCTGCATACAAGCCACTGATGCAACAGTCAATCGAGGTCAAAGCCACAACTCATTTTAGTATGCACATCGCTCGAGGTAAAATATTCACGAGATGTTTTGGCTCTTGGTTCTTGAATATGTTTCAGGAAACTTGGCGAGATTCCACAGCGTTGCACTATACCAATTCTGTCCCAGGATCGTCGATGTAAATGAAACTTGAAACTTAGCGCTATTGCCGCTTAGTTCCCCCAAATTTCGTCCGCTTCGATCGCGGGATTTCGTCCGTCTTATTGTTGTCTTCGTCCGGGCTTCGGCCGAGTCGCCACCTGAGTAAGACTTATCATTTGAACTGCGGCCGAAGGATGGTCGAATTGAGTGACTTCTTACAGCTGACAAATTGTGAATCCTTCTCACGACAATATAAAGATGGGTGTGCTTGCCATGCAATTGAAAATAAACACACACCAACAATTAAAGTACACAAACACCATGTCAGCTCCTGCACCTCTCCCGTTTTCTTTCCCCACTGGGTTGACTTCGCCTCAGCCGTTCAATATATCGGTCAATCAAGACTTTATTGAGCAGACCCAGGCCAAAGTCAAAACGTGGCGTTCACCCCGTGTTCTTTCCACCAACTGGACAAATGAAGGGCCTTCAACAGATGCACTCGACGAGATTGCCCAGTACTGGTCCAATGAATATGATTGGCTGTCAGTTCAGGATCGCATCAATAAAGAGGGCAACCACTACGCAACTTCGGTCGTAAGCGACCGGAATTATACTGCCGCCGTTCCGCTGCACTTTGTACACCACCGATCTACCAAGTCCGATGCCCTTCCTCTCCTCCTCCTGCACGGCTGGCCCTCTTCCTACCTCGAATGGTCCAAAGTCATTGATCCCCTTGTCAATAATGTCGACACACCTTTTCACGTTGTCGCGCCTGACCTGCCGGGCTTCGGGTTCAGTCCGGCTCCTTCACAGCCTGATCTTACTCCTCGTGAGAGCGGACGAATCATGGATGGTCTAATGAAACAGCTTGGTTACACGACATACGGTATTGTCAGCACTGACCTGGGCTGGTTAGTCGCTATGTGGATGGTTGGCGATGCTGAGGAAAGTGTTATTGGACACATGACTGATTTCTTTCTCGCGCCACCCACCGAGGAGGATCTGGGCCGCTTGGCACGAAATGAGACGAGCGACGAAGAGGCTACTTACATGCGGGCTTCTAATGAGTGGTATTCGTCCCACTCGGCGTACATGACCATTCATGCTCAGAAGCCTTTGGCCTTGTCTCTTGCGCTTACGGATAGCCCTGTTGGGTTTCTGGGCTGGATGTGGGATCTTGTTCACGCTGTCTCGGATGGTTACAAGTATACTTATGAGAACCTTATCACGGACGCAATGATGTTGTTCATCCCCGGTCCCTACGCCAACATTCGATCGTATCTCGAGGCACTCAAGGTATGGAACTCGACACTGTGTGGCAAGAACAATAATTAACGGAATCGTCTAGCCCGGCATGATGGACTACCCGAAAAGCATGGTTCCGACTGGTGTCACGGAATGGGGCAACCCCAATGGACCATTTCCTGAATTGGCCGCCTTTTCTCTCGCGGTATGTAAAACCCAACCTTCAATTGTTGAATTCGGCTGACATATCGATGCGTAGCCCCGAAGCTGGATCGAGAGGGTCTCGAATGTTGTGTATTTTACTAGGCACGAGACTGGGGGCCATTTCCCCGCAGTATCGCAGCCTAAGGAATGGCTTAAGGATGTCAGAAGTTTCTTCTCTGAACTTCACCAAGGATGAGCAGATTAAGCACGACGACGGCACAAATTGTGGCCATCAAAAACTTGGATGAGGATTATTATTATTTTACTATTATGCTATATGTATATACATGAGAAGTGATATTTCCAGCAATACTTGACAGATCAAATGATATGAGTCTTGCTATTTGATCGAGAGTGTTTCTGACCGGGTTCAATCTGTTCATAACGACTCCTCTTTGGTCGTCCTTCACCACCCGGCGACGGCAGCTCAACCACAGCGCCAAACTTTCCACTCTTACGATCCTGGTCTTTAGGCTCAGACTCAACCTTGAACTCCATTTTCTTATGAATGCCGTTCGTCGAGGGCCCAGAAGCATCAGAAAGGTCATCAAGCGATGCGTTAGGACCGGACGCGACTTGTGATTTGTGAGTCATTTGTATAGACGTGCCAACATTGTTGTCTGGAGCAGTATGGTTCTTTGGTGTATGGGAGTAAGAATTGGAGGGATATAGTTCGTCGGTCATCTTCATTCGGGCTAGGTGGGTAATCATGTCGGCCATGGACATTTCGATGTTGAGCTTGACGAGGTAAACGACGGGGTGGAATTGAATGAAGACGGTCTGGTTCGGTAGAGACATGAGGCCGATGAGAAGAACCTGGGACAATGTCAGTGGTGGTAGAGCAAGTAGGCTTGGTGGTCATACATCCATAGCGACGGACAGCACCATCAGTTTGGCGTTGAAGGATACTAGCGGCTTATACTTTATGAGGCGGTTTTCTTTTACAAGTCTCTCCTTCACAATGTGTAGGAAGTACCAGTTAAGAACGGCGTCAATGATGCAGATCAGAATCTTGGAAGTTCTGTCCCAATACTTGTTGATAGTAACAAAGCTGTGATTTGTCAGATGAAAGCACATCGGCTTCCTTGAGGGGAACTTACGTCTGGCTGACAGGGGGCTGGACATGCGACGGGATGAAGATACAGAATACGGCAACATTGATGCATGTCACCACAACAGCAGTACCCCATTTCAGCTGTGAAATCGTTCGTTGAGACTCGGCAATGATGGCGATTCGGTTGATAATGATCTGCAGCAGTAGCTGAATCTCGAAGACCCAGAAGAATAAGATAAAGAAGAAGATTGGAACGCTATGCATGTTAGTCTGGGCCGGTCGCGCGACCGGGAAACGATACGTACCCTGGTTTTATGACACCATTCAGGAACAGATATCCAAGGATTCCAATCCCAACATTCGCCAAAATCTCTCCCCAGATCATGTAAATGTACGAACTTCGTAGTGGGTTTCGATTTCGCCTCGTCTGTTTGATCGCGGTCCAAACTGTCAAAAAGCCAAAGCCCAGGGAAAATCCCAGGGCCATGGAAGCGACCTTGTAGTCTGATACGGATGAGGCCATGCTGTAAGGACTGACAAGAATAAGCAAAAAAGATGATGGAAACTGGCACGGGATCGGTGCCCATTTGAGGACCTGTTAAGGAAGGGACCGATACCTCGGGAATTGACTGGTCACATTGCGAGTTCGACTCGGTACTATTGACTCAGATGTGATCTGAAATTTCAGCCGCCCCGCCGCCAATAGATCTGCTGTTTGAAGATCTCAAACCGGACTATTGGCATTTTACGGATATTACTGGTGGATATAGGCGGAGAAAGAATTTGCATTGATGGTTTTGACAGGAGATCATGCAGCTCTGAAAGAGTGTGCGGCTTATTCCGCACTCATCGAGTGGGCACTGGCATGTTGGCTTAACTCCCATTGCCTTCATATCTAGTAACTTTTGAAGCCATCGATGCTAACACACAACGCCATTAACGGTGAAATGACAAATCGTTGGCGACTTTTTACCTTATCCGTGTATTCAATGAATCGTAGGTCGGTTATCAGACATGAGACAACCTGTGGAGTTTTCATTACCGATGCTACCGAGGTAGTGGAACCGCAGATCTTGTCTTGGATTGGCTGAATTTACGGACGAGATCTTCCGCTATGACAACGGAAATAATAACAGCGCTCAATTCCGCGCGCAGATCTGTTCTAGAGCCCCATTACCCCTGGCTGTAACAGGCTGTTGGAATGCAGATCAGTTTCCTTAACCTGCTGTCGTCGCTGTTCTCGTCCAAGACATCAAGGAAGTCCCCAGACCATTAGTTGATCTACAGGTGCTAGTAAGCTAGTTACCACGTGGTGCGCAAGCATCGTCTGTGCAACATCTGCTCTCTCTGTCAAGACTGGATGTAGTACGGTACTGCTGGTCTAGAACATCTAGTAGCCGAGCTTATAGGATGGAAAAGACCATTAGTGCAAGGACTAGACGAATTAGGGCCAAAACGACAACATAATTATGCTGTCGGACCGCCAAAGCCAATGCTTGGTAAAAGCATGGTCCGCCCTCAATTGGGAGCTCAATTCCAATTCGCCAAGAACCACAAGTTTCAGTGTCTCCGGTACGCCACCGGGTTTATTGGTTTCTACGGACGTAATGCGACCTATAGACTAATTCTGATGACAGTTGGTCTTTTCAACCTGACATGTTGCCACAAAGCGAATGTGTCTAGAGGCACTAGAGTACATAATGCTAAGCGTCACCCCTTATTTGCTAGGCATTTCCGGACCCTCATTGACCTTCTTCCAACTGTCTCTCTCCTTCAGACCACCCCACCACTTGGCAACAGCAGGGTACTTGACAAGAAGATCACCGAAACCAAGTGGCTCTGTCATCTGTCCATATGAAAGATGGAATAAATCGGCAAGGGTGATGCTGTCGCCAGCAAGATATTTCTGCTTCGAAAGAATTCGCTCATACCCCTTCAACGACGCGTCGAGGTCCCCGAGTTTGGTCTTGACGATGTCCGGGTTAGCGGGACCAAGGCCTCTGCGAGGCTTGAAAACTTCTTCCCAAGCGATTCCGTGGACATTCGGGTCAAAGTAAGAAAGTTCCAGAGAAAGCGCCTGCACTTAGTTAAGATAAGGTTAACATAGTGGATCGCGGTCTTCTTACCTGCTGGAAGGCTGCATATGCTTTGAAGTCATCCTCCAAAGGAGACAAGTCAATGCCCTGATCCCGATACTTGGTCGCGAGATAATGTGCAATGGCTCGACTTTCTATCAAAGATGTAAGTACATTAGAAGGTTTGTGATATTTGTCTCGCGACCTACCATAGATCTTAACACCCGCGTCCTCATCAACTAAAACGGGAATTTTATTGAAAGGGTGGAAGTTGTTGGTGTATTCTTCCGTCTTATGGGCGCCTGCAAAGACGTCCACAGGGACGAATTCGTAGTCAAGACCCTTCTCCTCGAGCACAGTCATTACCCGACGTGTGCAAGTGGAAGGATCATATCCATAGAGCTTGATGGTCATCGTAACGGGACAATTTGGTATTGCAAGAAAAGTGATCAAGGGATGAGATGGTCAGTTCAATTGATGTGATTGTGCTTTTGTTCAACATTGGATATGTGAATCTCATATTGGTGTTAAATAGTCGTTGATTAACTCTTGCATGACGCATACTGAGTCCGAATGTTGGATTGATAATTCTGAATAATCCGAGATGCTGAATACCGAATTGGATGTTTTACATCTCGTCGTCCGTTTCGGACGGACGAGTCTCGGGCGCCGTCAGCCAGCGTATCGTGACATGTCGGCGTGTCGGCGTATCGGTACCGATGTTTTCATAGGTAAAAACCGTGAGAGTGAGAATTTAGTCAGCCAGCTCGTGAAATTTGTAATAATTATCAATAGACAGGACACGTGCTACACCACTGATCGTATCGTTCCATTGGCTAATGGCATTCTTGGGAATTACACTTGGCAACTGTTGGCTTAAGTTTGATCCGTTCTCGCTGTTCGAGACTTCTCCGATTGGCCGGGTGTTGAATAAACATGTTGACTGTCGGCGGTATGACCCCGACATCCGCGTCGAGCGTAATTGACGGAGCTTGTGATACGAGTTTCCTGGAGAGATGTAAGTCTTATCCCCATGCCCACTTCTTTTCAGTATCTGGGGAAGCTCAATGGATTTGCAAACAACTACCAGGTAGCCCGGCCCTCTCATTCCTTCATGACGGCGAAATGATACTATTCGCTTTATTTAAAGGAGTGATATTGCAATGCTTCACTACATCACTCTGATATATAAATGAACATTAGAACGATGAGGCAAAGAAAAAAACAAAAAAGCGTCTCCAGACACCCAGAGCCAGCCCGTGATCTTCAACCTAGGCAAGGGAGAAGCTTGCTAAGATAAGTCAACCAGTCCAGTGGGGTGAGGCTTAGTTAGTTGCTAAAACCGTGTGGTTCAAGACTTGCACAAGGTTACCGAAAGTCTATTTTGGCTTTATTGGAACGATGTATTATCCTTTTATAGTACGGAGTATTTCTTCAATGATTCCATGAGATGCTCATGATTGTTTTAGGGAGCCGTAGGGGTGCATACGCTAATTTATAGGGCACGGGCGCTGCATGAATGTGGCACTAAGCCTTAAACATGTCTCGCCGCCATTTCCAGGGTCCTGGGTCGGGGAAAGGTTAATTTCATTGGCCTCCAGCCTTATCAACCTCCGGATAACGAGAGGTTAACCAATGTGCGTATCGTAACCCGAACGATGGATCCAAGTTCCCATTAATTAATTACAGAGTCAGACCACTAGGAAGGATATCACGGGCCAGATTACGAATAAGCGAATGCGACAAGAGGGCTAATCATGTGATTGCAAGGATATGCGCTGCGCAAGTACCTACTGAAACTGGACAACAAATATTATAAGAACGGGTCTTGCTTTGCTGTCGCGTTACGTTGCTTACTTTCTTTTTATCTCTGATTGGTCTGAGCTTTGTTGTCGTAAAAAAACAATGGCAGACACTATTCAGAGTGCCCTTGCGGCGCTGTCTGCTCGAGATTGGGCTGTAGTTGCCGTCCTTTCTTGGCTTGCATTCAAGGTTCTGCAGGCCCTGTATAACATTTCCCCTCTGCACCCTTTGAGCGGGGTGCCGGGTCCTAAACTCGCTGGAGCGACGTATCTGCCCGAGTTCTACCACGATGTGATTCTGGTTGGACGGTATACTCATGCTATCAAGAAGATGCATGAGAAATACGGTAAGCATTGGAATCGAGAAACTGGGTGGTTCAAATACTAACAAAATGAAAGGCCCTATTGTCCGAATTAACCCCAATGAGACTCACTGTGCCGATATGGCATTCTCGGATGAGATCTATGCTGTCGGTGGACGTAAGCGCGATAAGCCCTTCCATCAAGTCAATGGTTCAGCGGCTGGAACCGGAAACGCATTCGGTACACCTGACCACGATATGCACCGCCTCAGACGCGCACCTGTAGCCAAATTCTTCTCCAGAGCCATGATCGCCAGATTGGAACAAGAGGTTCACGAACTGGCGCAGACACTCTGCAACAAACTCCTAGCTGAAGCCAGCGGAAAGAAGAGCCAACCTATCGATGTTGCCCATGCTTACAGTTGCTTCACTTCCGATGCTATCTCCGGCTACTGCTTCGGCGAACCCTTTGGACTTTTGTCGCGCGATACTTGGAGACCTACCTTCCGTGAAGCTACTCTTGCGGTTCTCAAGCCTGTCTTCATTTTCCGATTCTTCCCTTTTTTGGTTGGAACTGTAAAGTTTGGCAAGTATTTTGTTGATTACTTGCCCGCCGATGCTGCGATGCTTGTCCGAACTCTGCAAATCGACATCCCTGCGCGAGTTACAAAAACCAAAACCGACCTCAACTCTGGTATCGTCTATGATAGACCCACTATCTTTGCTGACCTCCTGAACTCCGAGCTTGACGAGAGTGAGAAGGGAACTGACCGTCTTGTCGAAGAGGCCGTCACCATTGTCAACGCTGGAACAGAGACTACGAGTTGGGCTTTGGCTGTGATTACCTACTTCCTCCTTTCTCAACCTGAGACTATGAGCAAGTTGCAGGCCGAGTTGGCAACTGTCGTTGACGATCCTCGCCACCTTCCTTCTTGGACTACTCTGGAACAACTCCCCTACCTCGGAGCAGTCATCAATGAGGGTCTCCGTCTTTCATACGGTGTTTCCAGTCGCTCAGCTCGTGTTCCCACCACAGAAGATCTTGTGTACCGCGGAGAGTTTAACAAGAAGCCTGCCACTGTCGTTCTTCCCCGAGGCTATGCGGTTGGCATGTCAGCAGCCATCTCTCATCACGATGAGTCTGTTTTCCCTGACTCGTACGGGTTCATTCCTGAGCGATGGATCGGCGACGATGGAGCCATCAAGAAGAATTTGGAACGATCTATGCTTGCTTTCTCCAAAGGTAGCCGTGGGTGTCTGGGCAAAAAGTAAGTGATGCCGTCTCCCTTTGATTTCAGTGGATAACAAAGTTCTCGTTACTAACATATTGTCTAGCCTTGCCCTCTGCGAACTGTACCTTTCTCTTACAGCTCTAGTTATGAGGGTCATGCCCCATATGCGTCTTTACGAGACTACTGAGCGCGACGTGCGCTACGATCACGACATGTTTATTCCAGTAACGGTAGACGACAGCTGGGGAGTGAGGGTAACAATCGAGTCATAAGTTTAGCGCTTATTTCAGAGAAGCGCTATGTACAGAGTAGTAAATATGTAGACGAAGAAATATATACAGTCCCACAGATTTATCCAGCCGTGCTGCCATTGCTCTTATAATCTGACAATCACCTGGCCACCATTTAACGTCGGACATGGGCGTTGAAGTTGGTGACCTTGAACTGGGCACCGCTGCCGGTGAAGGGCTCGGTACCGAACTGGAAGGCTGTTGATTGTGTTAGTATAAGACATATGCGTGTCTAAGCTGAGTGAACTTACTGAGGAGGTACTGTCTGCTGGCAGGGTAACCCTGGGTGTTGGCAAGGTAGTTCCAGAACTGCTTGACATCGGAGTTGAAGTCGTAGACGGGAGAAGGAGCGACGAAGCTGTAGACGCGCATGTTGCCGTTCATGCCGGACCAGAACTCCCAGTTGCGTCCCTCGACATTAGCATTGCCGACCTTGGAACCAATGGGCTGAACACCGCCAAGACGGCCGAGCCTGTGACGTGGGTGTTAGTAGGGATGTTCGGGAAGAACCTTGTGTGGGGCCACTCACCAGATCATAAGCTCGTAGTCACCGCTGGAAGTGGAGTGGTTGGGGTTGGAAGCAGTGAAGAGATCGTAGGCAACGTTGGCTCGGACGTTGTTGCCCTTGTAAGACCAAGCAGCAGCGGACTGCATGTTGGAGACCTGGCTCACGAGGGGCTTGTTGGAGATCTGAAGACCAGCGTTGGGGTAAGCCTTGACGTTGTCCTGGCCGCCGGACCAGTTCCAGTCAACGTGGAAGCCGGCACCGTTGCTGTTGGACCAGTCAATGTAGGTGCATCCGGTACCAGAGCCGGAGGACTGTCCCCAGCGGTTGTTGTTGAACTCGTATCCGCCATTGGCGTAGTAGCTGTACTGGTCACAGAGGGACTGGGCCATAGCCAGAGGGGCGAAGAGCCCGGCGAGGATAGAGAACTTCATGTTTGATGTGGAAGATGTCGAGGCTCAAGTGCTGGTATTGAGTTGAGAGAGTGAGTTCAGAGATGATAGAGATAGTTGTCTTGGCCGGACTATCGAGAGATATATATCTAAAAGTTATACTCTATGTACTTGCATCGCTTGAAGACTTATCCACTGTAAGTGAGCCTCAAGATGGGGACTTCCATTGGTCCCATCCCGAATCGATCGACGGAATCATCTCCGTGGCTGGATATGTAGTCCCATATGGCTCTACGGCCCGTTAGAACGAAATAATGGGGAGATAGTCTAGCATTTCTGAGCATGAGGAAGGACGATAGCTGATGATATTCGGTCCGTTTAGAAAGGCGGCGACAAGTTATTTGAGGTCTAAAGCCTTGGTGGTTCGGCAGAAGGTGACGGGGATACCCCACGAACTGGGCATAGCTCTGCCGGCTGTTGGCAATACTACTGTAGATACTTTAGTCGGTTCCTGAAACAACCGTGCATCACGCCAATGATTTCTTTTGAGCCCATATTTTCTATTTCTCCACCAGTTATTTCGTCCCTGTAAGATGAGGTCGAGGTAACGTTAGGTGAGCCTTGGTAAAAGCTCCCGTGACTGGAAAACCCCGGAGAAAAACACTCGTTCTGGAAGCATATCCTAGCTGAAATATGGGGATATTTTCTCCCAAGCCCAGTGCCTTGGAATACTTACGGCCAGATGCATATGCACCCGACGGAGGGGTTGATTCCGTTCTGGAAGAGGATAAGGCTTGAGTGTGGGGAAGACAGAAATGACGGTACAACGGCCCGAGAGAATGGTCAGTGTCGCTTAATTGGGCTTACAACAGAACATGACTGGTTCATGGTACGACGAGTGCGCGATCGAACAAAGTCTAACGATCCAAGTGCCGCTGCTACTGCAATTGGTGTCTTAGATAGGATGAATTAGACTTTGTTTGACGCTTTCTTGTGTGGGGGACACGATCGATATACGAGTATAACCAACATGTGGCACCTCAAATTTACAGCAATTGTGTATATAATACACAGTTGACGTCCGCATCACTCTCTCTGACTCCATCTCCAGACTCACAATATACCCTATAGAATCTCCTCACTTCTCGGCTATTGACGCTTTGCTTCGATCGATCACTGGACTGGAAAATTACTGAATCGGTCAAGTCGCATCCCCGGTCCCATATATCACATGTATTAATTGCACTCTGCAGTCTGCCCCGGACTCCAACTCATCAACGAGGAGAGAATATTACAGGCGCGCATCACGCTCTTAAATGCGTGATCTGCTGGTGCAGCCGGTTAATCTCTTGGATGTTTCTACTGCTACGTTGTTGTCGTCCTGCTCACGTAAAAGTACAACGCTACTCCTCACTTGGTCGGGCCTCGGTTGATTGACGTAACATCGTTCTGACGGCTAAAAACTACGCTGCGACCAGCCAACTCAGCTTGGCTTTCTGCCGTGTTTTAAATCACCAACTTTCACGTCATTTTGCTTGTTTCCCCGGATCGACAGTCTCTTTTCAGAAACTTCGGATGAATGAGTATCGCATCTTGAAAATGTTCTCGTATGGACTAGTTAAGTTACATGCGTATTCACTTAGGGAAGTCCTCGGTCGAGACTTGGTGGTTAAATGAGCAAGTTATATCGACTGTTTAAGCTAACAATTAGCGTTATTATGACGTCTCATTCATTTACTCTGTCTATGCAGTGCAATAACCTTAATCTTGGAATAATTCTTGTTCAAACTTGTTTCGTATTGCGGCCGAATAGCATTATACCAGTAACACAGGCGAAATTACAGGGCCACTAATCTTGGCCCCAACGCCCCATCAAAGGGGAAAGTGATCAGCTAAAGGCGCTGTATGAAACTTTTAGCGTTTTGAAACACCCCAGTTTACCAGCCGTTATACAGGGTTCCTATACGGACCCACAACCTCCGCTCTCCCCTATTCGACTCTGTCTAGGCTGTTTAACCGTCGATTGACAGCCGCTTTGACTGTCTGAGCTCAATAACAACCTGAATATCGATGCATTTAGCATGATCAGTTACAAGGAAGTCCTGGATATGCCGTGGTCATCACCCGGCACCCGAGACCGGCAAGGATAACCAAGGACTCATATATAAACATCTTGAATCTTCCGGTGAAACTCTTTTTCTGGAGTCTTTCTTCTTCAACAGGGACTGCCAGACAGAACCTATTCGCTTCGTTTACATTCTTACCTCACAAACGACTACCAGGTCCAGCTTCTTCATCATGCGTTCCCCCATCGCTTTCTGTCTCGCCCTTCTGGGTGCTGCTCAGCTTGGAGACGCTGCCTCAGCTGGCTGCGGCAAGCAGTCTCCCGGCAGTGGCCGCAAGAACATGCAGGTCAACGGTAAGAACCGAGAGTACATCCTCCAGGTTCCCAACAACTACAACGCAAACAAGCCTCACCGTCTTGTCTTTGGTTACCACTGGCGTGATGGTAACATGAACAACGTCGCCCAGGGTGGCTTCTACGGTCTTCAGGGCCTTGCTGGTGACTCCACCATCTTCATTGCCCCCAACGGTCTTAACGCCGGTTGGGCCAACCAGGGCGGTGAGGATATCACTTTCACCGACCAGATGCTCGACTTTGCCAAGAAGAACCTTTGCATTGATGAGAAGCAAGTCTTTGCTACTGGCTGGTCCTACGGAGGATCCATGTCCCACAGCGTCGCCTGCTCCCGACCCAGTATGTCTAGCAACCCTTGACAAACAGATGAACATATGCTAACGTAACCATTACAGACGACTTCGCTGCTGTCGCCGTCATCTCCGGTGCTCAGCTCTCTGGCTGCAACGGTGGTAACACCCCTGTTGCCTACCTCGGAATCCACGGTGCCTCTGACAACGTTCTCGGAATCAACCTCGGCCGCCAGCTCCGCGACAAGTGGATTGGCACCAACGGCTGCCAGCAGAAGAACGTCAACGATCCTGGCCCAGGTGCTCGGAACCACGTCAAGACTACCTACCAGTGCAGCCGCAAGCCCGTTACCTGGATCGCCCACGGTGGTGGCCACGTTCCCGACCCTACCGGTACCAACGGCGCCAAGTTCGCTCCTGGTGAGACCTGGTCATTCTTCAACGCTGCTGTTGGCGGTGGTCGCAGCACTGGTCGACGCTGCTAAATGTGTCATGGCATCGGCTTCTTTTAAGAAGCTATGCTACGGGGAGGTGTGGAAGTACTTTATTCTCTGTACATATGGGCCCAGTGTACCTCGGGTCATTCATATACAACCAGGCACAAATCTTGTCTTACAAGCATGTGTCCAGCAATCCAAGCAATTTGCCTATTCAATTTGTGTCATCAGATTTGATATCAATACGTCACAGTACATATTCATATAAATGATTCGACAAAGTGAATATTTGTAGCTAGTAGTGTCCGTGTACCATGCAGGTGGGTAACAGAAGAATTGTCCTCTAAGGCTTAGGTTACCAAAATAAAGTAGCCTAACTGCTAGTCTAAGCTAGCATAATGCGACCAAATTATTTCGTCTTTTATGCCTCTTGGGGCCAATTCTCCTGATACCCTGAGGCATGTCCCAAACCACGTGCCGCTATTTGGGACATTTACTGTACATGTAGCAGTTCCTATCGTAGAACGACGACGTAGCGTCTCCCTTCCCAGATATAACCCTAAGATCCTTGAAGTTCTTGCCATATAGCTGACACAACTTGCTCTTGTTGTAACCAAAGCTCATGCATTGCTTGTTCTTCAAACAGGCTTGAGCACATGCACTTACACTCTTCAACGAGGCCGTTGTTCCGATGACTGACTTTGACGGAGTTCTCGCCTTAGTCACCACCTTGTTGCAGATCGTGCGTGACGGCAACTTGGTGTTGGCGATTGCTGAGGGTGTGCATGCAGCTGAACCCTTCTTCGCAGTCGTGGTAGCTTTCTTACTGGTTGTAGCCTTTGACGGCTGTGGCTTCTTGGATGCTGTAGTCGACTTGGTCTTGGTTGTCGTTGTTTTCTTCGCGTCAAGCTTTGAGCTGCCGGCCTTCTTACCACTGTCATTGGAGCTCTTTCTCTGAGCCGTCGCCTTCTGCTTAGCGGACTTGGACTGGCTCTTCGCCTCGGCTTTGGCGGCCTTCGGGTCAAAGATTGGCACTGGCTTCGACCCAGGACGTGTTCCAAACATTCCGTTTCCACCTGCCAGACCGTTGCCAGACATACCAACTTCATTGCCAGTGGAGGCTCCTGAGCCTGTCCCATCATTGACATATCCAATGCAGCCTTCAGCAATAGGATTAGACTTCAGCGGTTCTATCAGAGGATATTTGTTCAGTGACTCATCAGACCATTGATAGAATGCATCGAGGGCATTTTCAAAGTGAATGTTCCAAGAGATACCATAACAGTCACCCACAACATTTGTGTTGATATTGCCATCGTTATCAAGTGCTGCGTTGGCCTCGAAGTTACCTTCCAGGACGACCGAAGGTGTATCTCTTATCCCTCCCTTCACGTCATCAAACAAGACATTGAGTTTGACTCCAACACTGACCGGTAGTCCCAAACTGGCCCTCAGCTTCAATTCACCTGTAGCTTCGGACCTGGGCTTAAAAACTGGTGTGAGTCCGTTTGAGTGGCTATTGTCATCATGGAGCAAGTCTACCAAGATATCGATATCTTCCCACTCAACTGAAGCCCCGATAAGCAATGTGCCAGTGGCTTCGATTTCGAGACCAGCCTCGATGCCGACCCCGACATAGGGTACAATCTCGAAAAGGGTGGGAATGCCGAATGACGTAAGGGGAATTTCGAAAAAGTCGTTGTTCCATTCCTTCTCATACTTGACGAAGGCCTTCAGGCCTAGGTGTAGCCCGGCTTTGAAGTTGGCCTTGAAGGCCACCTGCGCGACCTCAACCTTACCCCAGTTCGATGTGACGGTACCGCTAAGCTCGGCCTCGCCTTTAAAGCCGCATTCAACACAATAAAGGATCAGGCCATAAGAAAGATCGCGTTCTCCAAGAGTGTAATTGTCACCACGTTTGTGATGGCCATTGGGATCGGCGATTTCGCCTTTCGCGTATGAGTCGTCTGGTTCACCGCCTTCGCTTCCCCATTCGACGAGTTTTGCAGCATTGGGCCAAGGCGCATCGTCATCGACGCCAGGGAAGCCGTCCCCCCCAGAGTCATCATCTTCAGGTCTTGGCTCTGTGACATGGAGCCATCGTTCCCAACTGACCTTAAATGACTTGGTACCCGTGAGCCTCTTGTCAAGTATGTGAGGTTCGAACATCTGTTGAAGGAGAAGTCAGCAAACGCAAAGAGCTTGTATGATAGGACAGACTAACAGCTCTCTTATCAAGGGCCCGCCTGACGTTCAAGGTTCCGAGTGAGCCCCACTGAAGAGTGAATTGCTCATAAACGTCGACGTATTCAGTTGAAGACCCTTGGACGGTAAATGTCTTGGTATCATCGGCGAAGGTGATAGACTTCGAAAGAAACAGATCGTTGGTATGGTCTTCACCACAACCATCAGTAGATGTAATGAAGACAATTTTCTTGTTGCCCTTCCACTGGCTCTTGGCATAGTTGTAAGCAGCAGTGTTAGATATGACACCACTCAGTACACCTTTAGTACAGGTGACAGTTGACACAAAGGTAGAATGATCAAGAGGAATGACAGGGTATTGGAAGGTAAAGTTAGCTTGAGAGAAGATGGCCTCGTCGCGCTTCCGCATGCGCTTGGTACCCGGCTCAGAACCGGGCGAGCCAGCCCACGCCAGCATGACATGGGTATCGAGCTCGAAGATGGAAAAGTCTTTGGGATCAACCTCGGGTGGGACCACAGGCTCAAGGGCGGTAGAGTTGTCGTAGGATAATGTGGTATCAGCATCATCACGACGGTCAAGGCGGGGTATGTTCACGCCTGGTGCAGCTAATGCATGGAAGGTGAATAGAAAAAGGAAGAGAAAAGATTGGAGACTCTGAGGTAGAGCCATAGTGGGTAGAGAGGTTCAGTGAGTGAAGCAGAAGTTGAGTAAGACAAAAGATGAAGAAAAGATGGGAATGATTGTATTAGTGGAGTTTCGTTTTGAGGGAATGTGCATGAAGCTCATATCATGGGGGGCAGTGTTCAATTGTATTATTTTACATTGCTTTCGTAGATCAAATAGAGATGGCAATGGTGGTAGCGATGGAGCCTTTTCCAGAACGCCGCATTTCTGGAAAGAAGCTCAACTGGGAGACTATGCCCGAAGCCCTCATGTTCGTCTGAGATGGACGATGCATCAAGAACCATCTTACGATCTGTCATAGACGGATTAAACCAGAACTGGCTGTGGTATCCGAAAACAAGGTATCGAGCAGATAGAATGAGAACTATCAGTATGATTGTGTCTGGAGAAATTGCTCCGATGTACAGTTCCGTACATCGTCGATAGTGGCTTATATGGATGCGGGATTATATCTCTTACCTTGCGCCATTTTATCCTTTTAAGCTTAACACGGCTCGGATTAATCCCCCATCGTACCAATATACCTTTTCAGAATTCCATATCCTTCTCCTATATGCATCAGAATCGTAATTCGGTTAACGGTTCGCTGGTATGTTCGGCCGACGCTACTAACAGCCACGCGCGGGCCGAGGCCAGATCGAATGACCTGACCCAGGCCGCTGGTAGTAAGACATAGCATTCCCCTTGAATAGAGTCAATTGAGATCCGGACTACAGGAAGCTTCTTCGGGAACTAAGAATGCATTCAGCGAGGCGATTCCCTATCTTGGGAAAAGCGTCGCATGGGCAGGAGAAGCTTCTCCGCCACGTTCGGGAGAGAAGCTAATTTCTTATGCTCGGATATCTGCCATCTTATAAATGTACCTTGCTGCGGATAAGCCTCTTTCTCGTGAAGGAGACCTTTTTTTAATTTTTTTTTTTGAGGAAGTTAGTACACAATTGAATACACAGCGCAGCCAACATATATCGACACGCCACGAGGAATTTAGATTAAACCTAGATGATGAATAAGAAGTTAGTGCTTGCTCAGGAGTCGAGTATTACAGGGTAACGAGAACGGGCTTATTGTGTGTATTGATGCAGAGTCCGGATCTAGCCATCTCGCCTATTGGCCGAAAAGTTGACCGAGACGCGGTGACTCGAAAATGAATTGTGGCTGGCTGCACTACGGGGAATGCGACTTGCCATTCCTGGACAACGAGTCTAAATCGTATCATTTCGGAGAAAATACTCATTGATTGACTTTAATGTACTCTAGCTAGAAGCAGAGCAACTGCATATCGATGGATTGGACCCGAGATTTCGAGGTATGGATGTTTGCAATAATGCTTCGCTTCAACGTCCGCTTCAACATCATGTCGAGCTATCTATGTGGCGATATCCGGATACGGATTTGACGGAACGAAGATGGTCAACATCTTGACGAGGGACTAAGGCATGGACCTGTATAAAGGTCTCTCTGTTGAACCGTAGATGTTGAGTTGATTAGCCAGCATTTTCAACAACAGCTTCCTTTTCACACCATCACACGTTTCTTCTTCCATCATGAAGACTATTCTCTTCTCCACTGCCCTTCTCCCATTCCTGGTCGCCTCTGGCCTTGCAGCGGATGGCGATGACTTGACCTGTCGTACTGAACTTGGTAAAACATCGGTGGCCAAACTCAAGACCGACACGGTCACCAAGACCAACGCCATCAAGCCAACAACCACAATTACAGTCGTCCCAACTGAGACTAAGCAAGTTGGTCGCTGGTCTACCATCACCGTGTTCTCTACAAAGACATTTACCGTTACTGGCAAGGGTGGCACGGATACCTTTCGCACGACAAGCACCTCTTTCAAGATTGCCACGGTCAAGGTCACTGCGACTGCCACCACCACTACGACAAAAACTGGCACTGTCAAGTCAACTTCGACGACCCAGGTCCCTACAAGTGCTGGATTCAAGTTCATATCCGACACTGTCAACTCTGATGCTTTCGGCGTGGCACTCTCGCCTCGCAAGGTCGCTAAGAACCCTCATGCCCCTCCGCTGATCAAGCCCGGTGTCAAGGCCTTTGAATTCCCTGCCAAGGTTCATTGTAAGTTCTTCTACCCCAGTGTACCGACCATGATATTGATGACTAACTTCAATGCTAGGTACTAAACTCCTTCCCAATCCCGATACGAAGACCGTCATGAAGACAGCAAAAGCAACCACCACCACATCTTCTACTCTCCAAAAGACCACAATAACTGAAACAATTTCGACAACCACCACTATTATCCCAGACGACGCCTCAGTTACCAAGACCTTCACCGCCACAATGAGCGTGACAACCTACTCAACCATTTGGACAACCACCACCAGATCTGCCACCGCGACCAAGACAAAGGTCATCTCCGGCCCGACAGAATACGCCGCCTGCTCCGAAGGAAACATGTTCGGTCCCGACTTCAACAGTGGAGGCACAGGATACTTTGTCACCAACGTGCTCAACAACGGTCCTGGTATCCCATCAGACTTCCAGATCGTGGCGAACGGTGCTGGATCCCCAGACGAGTGCTGCAGTTCTTGTATGCAGTTTGCAAGCTGTGAGACATGGATTTATCGCGCCAAGAACCGTAACTGCTTTTTACTTTACCATGCGGGGTCGACTTGCAAGACACAAGGAAACCATCCTAACTTTTTTATGTCCAAGAAGGGTGCGGATAGTGGAGCTGGATTTGTTGTTGGCAATGGTAAGTGTGGGTTTACCTACAGCGGTAACAGCGACGGCTCCTTGTTCAGCGTGGACGCTTGAATGATCTCCTATTCAATGCTCCCCTTTAAATAACTATGCATAGAAATTGAAATTCTCCTTTGTAACAAGAATTATCCCAAGTGCTCGTCGGAACCATGATAGGATTTTTCCAGTTTCTTCCAGTGGTCTCATGTGTAAGTGCTGACATGGAAAGATGCTATGATAATTGCGTTGCATTAATCAAGGCAGTCGCGATATGATTGCCAAAAAGAAAACTCATTGCATTTACGCTTATTTCATGACGATTGGGCTTGCGGAGTTTATGTCGAGTCGGGGTGGCAAACAAGATTCCCATCTGGAACAATTAATGTGATTGGAGTAACAGCGAGCCGTATGTTGCGGAGACCAATCACAAGTCCGCGTCACAAATGGCAGTAAGATCTTGCGGAAGTGGGTGAGATTCCTCCTGGAGGCGAAAAGTCCTGCGGAGTGGCTTGTAAAAGTATTCGCCGATCAACTACCCTCCTTTAGAGTTTTATTCCCATTATTGGATTCCGACGTGCCTGGTACGATATGGAACGGAGATAATGGGCGAATCGCCGGTAAGGCTTAAATCCGGTGATGGAGTCTGATGGTAAGACGAATCATCCCAAGGTACGATTGGTCTCTCTCGTCGTATTTACGAATATTAATCAGGATTATAGGTCTATAAAAGATATGGAAGCCCACTGCAGTCTTACTATACGAAAATCATCAAGATATATCACACTATCACTGATTACCCAATCAATCCTTCACAATGACCAACTTCGAGACCAAACTCTTCATCAACAACGAGGTACGCCAATTCACTTGAAGTGCTGTTTTAGAAAGCTAAATCCATTGAAAAGTATGTCGACGCCAAGTCTGACAAGAAACTCAGCGTCCACAACCCCATCGATGGCTCGCTCGTTACCAGCGACGTTCATGTCGCTGGCCCACAGGATGTCGACAACGCTGTAGATGCGGCTCAGGCAGCATACAAAGGTTCATGGGGAAAATATACCGCAGCTCAACGAACCGAATGCTTGTCGAAGCTGGTCGATCTCATGGAAGCCAAGGTAAAGGATCTGGCTGAGCTTGAGACGATTGCTATGGGTCAGCCTATCAGCATTGCGATAAACATCACCAAGATGATGATTGACTTGTTCCGCTGTAAGTCCTAGTAATAATAACCTCTACATGGCCATGAAGTTAACTGAACGTTCAGACTATGCTGGGTGGACTGATAAGATTCGTGGTGAGCAATTGGCTCCTGAGAATGGCGTCTACAAAATCATCAGCCATCATCCGTTTGGCGTTGTCGCTGGTATCAGTGCCTGGAACGGCTCGGCCATGTGAGTCCCCTACACTCTACGTCAGACCTACGTGGTTCTAACCGATACAGTCAACTGGGTTTGAAGATCGCTCCAGCAGTCGCCGCCGGCAACACGGTATGAAGCCTCCAATGCTCACAAATCATCTTCTAATCGGGTATAGATTGTCTACAAAATGTCCGAAAAGTCGCCTTTGGGCATGCTGCAACTCGGACATCTCATCAAGGAAGCCGGATTCCCACCAGGCGTTATCAACATCCTGAATGGTGCAGCGGAGACCGGTTCTCTGCTTGCTTCTCACATGAAGATTCGTATGATTTCGTTCACTGGCTCAGCTTTCACGGGTAGAAAGATCCAAGAGATGGCTGCCAAGTCGAACCTCAAGAGAGTCGCTCTTGAGTTGGGTGGAAAGTCGCCCGTTGTTGTCTTCAATGACGCAAATACTGATAAAGCAATCGACTTGTGAGTATGATCCCTCTATTTAGGCTCGAATGCAGCTAACTCTTGCGAAGCTGCACCAACATGTTCCTCTTCAACTCGGGGCAGGTCTGCGCGGCTCCAAGCCGAGTATACATTCAGCGCGACAGCGCGGAGTCATTCATCGAGAACCTAAAGACACGATACTCTCAGGCCACTTCCACACTAGGGGCCAGTCCTAATGATGCCACGACTTTCATGGGCCCACTTGCAGATGGAGCTCAGTATGATCGTGTGATGAGCTACATCGAGTCTGGCAAGAAAGAAGCCGAGCTTGCAGTTGGTGGACATCGTGTTGGAGACGTAGGTTACTTCGTTGCACCGACGATCTTCATCAACCCCAAGTCGGATGCCAAGGTCCTGCGAGAGGAAATCTTTGGACCAGTTTTGACTGTGGTCACTTTTGATACCGAGGAAGAAGCTATTGAGTTGGCTAATGACACAGAGTATGGTCTTGCAGGTAAGCATCAACCGAAAGTAAAGCGTATCGGTACGAGTGCTAATTACATCCTGAATAGCATATGTCTGGACCGAGTCCCTGGCCCGAGGTCTGAGACTCTCGGATCAGCTCGAAGCAGGTGTTGTCGGTATTAACGGTGGTTCATTGGGCGCCGTTCCAATGATGTCAGTGGGTGGATTCAAGCAGAGTGGCACAGGATCAGAGTCTGGACTGGAGGGTATCATGGAGTATCTGCAGACCAAAGCCACCCTGATCGCCATGCAGTAGGGCATTGAATTGTGTCGGTGACGATAGTTTACGTAGCGTCACATCCTCATTAGTGTTTGTCAGTAGCACAAACATACAAATTGGAAACCGAAAGGACTTTCATTTATCCCAAAATGTCCATCGCTTATGCAAACTGATTATGTAGCTATCCTCTGTGCTTATACTTGCTTACGTGAAGACCACACAAGCTTTTGTCCGCTCATTAATATTCAGTACCAGCCAATCACAGACACTTTCAGCTGCAAGAATATGCATATGAACTGGACGATATTCGTATTCATGTCAATACGACAGGGGATGGGCGGCCGAAGCCGACTTCCCGCCCGCCCGTCTGCCCGCCCCTCCAATTGATGGACCAATAAGGAACATTTACTTGCAACCTATCCACTCGTGGCAAACGTGTCGCTTCTAGACCATTGGGATAATGTAGTAGTATAGTAGGTAGTGCCTCATCCATCTCTAATGATTGGGTACAGGCTAATCGTGCCTATGTTCATCGAATTCGGCTCGCCCCTGGCTAGGCTTGAGGTACACAACACTAAACAAATTAGTTGACCAATGCGAAGTATTAGTTCGGCATTGGTTCCTTTGAACAATTGCTCTAAATCATCTCCAGCTGTAGCATCATGATGCGATCATGCTTCAGCCCCGAAGTGGTGTTTCCTCGCTCTCGCCCCAACCAAGTATACCATCTATCGCTTGAAATAATGCACGTAGGATTTTCATTTCAATGAGTTGTAACAAAAGATCTTCGTAGCCGGTTATGCGGCACAGAATGCGTCGTGGGTCCGTACGGAAAGCTTCCTCCGAACAGTCGGCCGCTCCTATCAACCAGGGTTCAATGTCGGGCTGGACCATGATCTGTCCCTCGATTCAACAATTAATCCTAACATCTACAGCTTATGAAGGTATCCCATTTGCTTTGTAAGAACTTCAACAGGGAACATAGACCGTATCTATCATGTCAGACTAGTGAAGTTAGGGAAGGAGGTCAACAAACGCTGAAGCAACAAGGCAAGATGGCAAGTATAAAGAGGTACGACTCTTCCATCTTTTCTCCCAGCAAACAGCCTTCACATCTTCACTCAGATAACCAAACAATCAGCTACTTCCACCAAGTCAACTTTCACGATGCACTTCGCCAGCCTCCTCTCCATCGCCACTCTGGCCTCGGCCGCTTCTATCAAGGTCAACTTGTTCGTCACACTCTTCACAAATCCATATTAAAAAACTAATAAGAATATAGCTACTCTGATACCGGCTGCCGTAACTTCATCGGCTCCCGATTCATCGACTACAACCCCAACCAGGGCGGTACCTACCACTCTGGTGGTCCCGCCGGCTCTCGTGGTGGTCTTTATGTTGACTCCAACGGATCTGGTCTCTCTTGTACGTCCTACAGCCACGAACGAAGTGTACAAAGATATACTAACGTTTCCACTTAGACCGCGGCTTCAGCAACCGTGCTGATGGTAGCCAGCCCTTCACTGGTAACTTGCGCGACGGACAGTGCATCGGCACAACCGCTGGTCTCTACGCTGTTTTCACTGTTTAAGAGCATTCTTGCCAGAGTATCGGGGCATATTCACCCTCTTTAAGGTCAATCTATATGAGATTTCAACGCCAAACATAGGTCTCGTGGAAAGCCTTGGGTATAGGCCATGTTCTAGCATAAGCATTTGCCAGTCATTACCGTCAAGAGAGCTTAACAGACTACAAATACAATATGTCATTATCTTAATGCGCTCATGCTGGCTCGGTGTCCATAGACGATTTAAACAGTTTGCTCCAGATGACACGTTGTGATTGACCATGTGATGACCTCCTGGGCAGTAAGCATTCGGCACACAAAGACGTTTATCACAAAACGTAATTTTCAGAAGACGATAACAGTAATCATACCACCTAATACCAAAAGCATATCAGTGCGTTGGCCACTGAAGTGTTGCCATACAACTGCCTTCGTATCATGCTGATTTTCATGCTTCTCAAGAGCCAGTAGGAGCAAGACACATGCTAACTCTGTCATTAAGCACAAAGCTTATCAAATGGGTCGCCCACAGAATTTTTCTTTATTAGAGGAGGTTTTGGTCATAAAACCATCATCGGAAGCATACTCTCGGGACCAAACTCGACCACACCGCCAAAGCTTAGGAAGCTAATACGAGCAATGGTCTTTGTGCGATCTGTACAACTTCCTTTCGTCGATTTAGAGGAATTCCAGTTCTTTATGCACAGTTTTCTTCCTGCAGATTACCTTCCCATTCGCCTGTTGAATTCAAGGACTGGGTACTCTATATCTCATCGTACTGGGTTCGACGGGACCAAGCAAAACCTTGGCCCGGGATCGCTTCCCGAGACCACAGCGCATACTGCAAGATCAGTCGCCGCAACAGCTTATCATATCTCAGCTCTGTCACAGTCTTTCCTCGCTGATTGCCTAGCACGTCTACGAGATCCAAGCTTCACGCCTTTACATCCTCCTCATTTTGAGGACATAGCCCTGGCACTTTACCATGAGCTTGGGAGTCCTGATGACGGCGGTACGCCTGTCCCGTTGGTCGACATGGGATAACCCACTTGGCCCGAAGAAATTCGAGTCGTTCGGGCCATGTGGATCATACAAATGGTGGGCGAGTTAAAACTTTTCGTCGCAAAGAGGTCCGAGACGAATTGTTGGTCCGATCATGAAATATCTAAGCTGATCAAGAAGCATTTGTTGCGTTTGGTATGCTCCTGCTTCGAGCCCTTGAATGAACCAGACTTCGATACTGCACAAGAGGTCAAGGCGGCGATGGAGTATCTGGAAATTGGCGGAGAATACGAGACGGATATTTATTTTCGACTGCCTCGAGCACCCAAACCATCGGCAGATAACCGATGGGTAACCGGGACCCCAAGGCCCACGGTGAGCAAACCCTTAGACAGGTCATCAAACGAAAAGTTGCTGCTTTCGGTCCCAGATGTAGTCTGGCAATGGGACCTGATCGAGCTCACACTTACTGAGCTACCTTATGGCTTTCGGTTTTATTGGCCTGAAAGGTTCTTCGCACCACGTCTTCGCCGCGTTCCATTCGAGACATTTCATCCGTTGGGCTTCGCGTTCTGGGAAAGACGCAGACTTAACCTTTTAGGCTTTGTGCCTGATGTTACTACACTCGATCCTCCCGATGCCGTCTGTCTCTTCACCTGGGAAAGTATCTTGTAGCCGTGTGGGCTTACGGGAGTAGAAGGAGCTGGCTGGAAAAGATATGACCAACACATTGAGGTGCTATAGTAGTGGTCACTGCATGTTTGTAGGCTAAACAAACGACAGATTAAGACCATCACATCAGTCTTATGATCCAGGGAGTACCCCTAGCCCTCAATGAGGAGACTAGAAAGCCATTTGCTTCTTAAATGACTCTATATTTATGGTATTTCATATTCTTACGTCGCTAACAAAAAAGGTTGATTATCACGGTAATGTCTCCGTGTTCAAGTTTCCCATCAACTCCTCAGCTTCATCCTGTCCGATAAATGCCCAAGATCCATTTGTCTTGGTAAAGTCTATACCATCAAGCCTTTCCGGAACCATAGCTAGCAGATCTTCTGCCACTGCGTCCCCTTTCGTGGGCTTTGCAAAGAACAGCCTGTTCCACTCAGCACCCTTCTTCTCCTCTTCCATCCGTCTTCTTCTTTGAGAGTCTTCGATGGCACTCTTGTGGGCGTACACCTTTTCTATGTTGTGCTCTTTAATGGCTTGGGTAACCTTGGACCAGGCTCGCCGTGATTCCCATGGTGTCTGCTTATCTATGGGTGCGATGCTGAGTGGTGATATTGGTATTCTGTCGACGTGGAATTCTTCGAGGGTGGTTTTGGATGAGTCCTGGATGACGAGTTCGCCAGTCCATTGGCCGGTGATACGATATAGCGGTTCCTTCTTGTTGTCTGGTGCGAAGACTTCAGCAACAACTTGGTTCTTCTCCCCAAACCCGAAAGCTCGTTTTCCATGGAATTCGATTTTGGTCATAAATCCGCTCGAGCTAGTGATGTAACTTGGGCCCTCTAGTTCCGGGTATGGATTCCCTGTGGCAACTCCCTTGACGAGGATAGTCGGCATAGTCATGAGGTGCTTCTCATCGTGCTTATCGTCCTTGATGATGGCATAACCTGTCTGTCGTACTGCGACTCCGCTAACTAGACTGAACGACGTCTCCTGACCGACGAACCCTCTTGACGATATCCCACGCTCTTTGTTATATATCGAGCATGCTGTGACTGGTGGATGATGCGATACTTGCTCGACAATTAATTGTGATTGTGAGCCAGCCTTGTCGGAAAACGATCCAAGGAATAATTCGCCGAGGAATGGGTTCAATGGCTTCTTGCCCGCATCTTCTGTATCTGCACCAACAAGCTGTTTCAAACTGCACACATAGTTCTTGGCTAACAGAAGTGCTCTGACTCCGGGATCGGGTTCTTCGGAAGGTTGGAGGAAGAGATCATGATGACATGCCCAGGCAGCTGGGATCTCGATAGCCGATCTCGGGGCGAGGATAAAAGGCGGGGCTGTGACGTTGGAGAGATCGCCCTTGACAGCAGCGAAATATGAGAGGATGTCCTTTAGGCGGAAGAGGTTCCCAGATTCAGTTCCAATATCAGCCATTTGTGTTGATGAGAAAGGTGGTGGTGAAGAAGATGGTGATTGTTGTTGAGATGCTGATCTTGATGCCAAGGAATCAGATTGTTGGTCTGATTGATTTGATTGATTCATTGCGGGGGAATTGATGGCTGATACAGTTGTTTTAACAAAGATTGAAATCGATTTGGGAGTTATAAAAGGGAATAACAACGATCAAGAAATGGGTATAAGATCCATGAAACCAAGAAGATTTGACGTCATTGACATTGGCACACGTATCGACCGCTTATAACGGCACAGCCAGGTTGTCGCACTCGGCTAGTGACATCCCATTGACCAATCGGATACTCTGTTTCTCTTTCGGATCCGCTGAACCCTGACGAGCACGCATCATTTTCTGTTCCTGGGCATCATGTCAGGGTCTCAGAGACATCACTCAGCCTCATTCTAACCATGTTTGCACCATGATTATCTCTCGCACTCGTTGGAGAGTCACTGTCTACGTAGCCCCTCGGCCGAGAGTCCGCAGGACAACCGTCACCGTTTTATGTTTTGACGTAGCCAAGGCGTCGCGAACAATTGACTTTTCGTTGACGAGGTATCTCGTGGTTATATACCTAGTAGCTATGTCATACTGAGGAGTGCTCGGATACTCGGTAGAAAGTTGCAAGAAAAGGGTTAGTTAGTTTCTAGGCGCAGGAGTTAGCCGATTCTTCCAATGGTAAAAGGAAGCTTCCGACGAATATGACATATCGCAGGGTCCGGCCAAAATTGCCCGAGGCCCACCCAACAAACGTTTAAGCTTGTGATAAGCAACTGGGTTGACATCAAGGAAGCTGACGATAATTACAGGGGTACACGTCTCAGCCACATGCAAAGACGGACTTGCATGGCTTGGGTAAGACGGACGTTGGATCTGACTTTAGCTTCAATCAAGGCAGTTAATCCTGCTTAGAGTGTCATGCGAGCAGTCAAAAGCTCACATAGCCACAACGGATTACGAAGCTTTCTAAACAATGATGAATCTCATTCATTGCAAGTCCACCTTGGGAAACGAGATATGATGTTGGCTAAATTCGGGATGCTGTACAAGGTAAAATCAAGAGAAGGAGATGCAGCCCAGAATAACTCCTGAGCAAATCTGCAATCGTATGAACAGCTTTCACCCTCTAAAGTAGACAACAATTACATAGGATAATGTCAATCGAAAAAATGAGTAATAAAAACAGGTTCCTGTATGAATCCATCAACTTTTTGATGAGTCTTGCAGAATTCTGAGCTACAGGGTAATTGTCTACGCTTTGACCCTCTCACCAAGCTGACTAACTCTGGCTTATTAATTCAACATGGTGGGATGAGGCATCACGCAACTACCGGGGTGTCACACCCCCCGCACTGAAAGACAAAGAACAGGTTCACTACCTTGAGAGCTTTCGAATATTTGCAACTTTTATTCAACCATATCTACACATTAACTGCCAACATGGGCGACGCTTCAGTTTTCAAATACCCTTCCCCTCTGACTGGGTACGAAGATGCTCCACCAATGCCAAGCGAGATGGCGGCGGATGGGAAGAGCTATGTCAACCCACCTTCGGAAAAGCGCAGCGACGCGTATGATCAGTTTATAGAACCGCTGGATCGAAGTGAGCGTGGTGGTTTGTGAGTAAATCATGAACCGAATGGTCCGAATAGCCATTGACAAGTATAGTGATGTTCACATCTACTATCTTCAATCAAACGAAGAACAGACAAAATATGCCAAAGAGCTCTGGGAACGTATTAGGCGAGAATGTAAGCGACATTATCAGCAATTCTACCTAACCCATTATTCTGACACACATAGTCCCTGAGCTACGAGTCTACAAAGTCTGGGATAAACCCATTGGACCCCATCCCATCGCCATGTTCGAGGTGAATCTGTTTACACCAGCGCAATTCGGGGCATTTATACCATGGTTGAATGTCTGGAGAGGTCCCCTCTCTGCCCTTGTCCATCCCAATACTATCCCTGAAGAAGGCGTCAACAAGTGGGCTTCGATGAAGAGGGACCATCTGGAGAGAGCTATCTGGATGGGTGAGAGAATTCCTCTGGATCTGAGTCTTTTCAACCGAACCTCGTGATTACAGCATTATCAAGCCTTGAGTTAGTAGAGGTAATTGAATAAACAAGAATTCTTTCATTGCGCCAAAACTTGATACGTGATGCAGGCTGACATTAACAGTAGATACATTATGGAATCCAACACTGAAACAACTGTTCATCTGTAGTTGACATGAGTTGAAGCTATCTACCAGATTTCCCGAAATACCCTATCGCATTTACTTGTGCTCGCCCTCGCCGTTGCAGAAAGGAATGGGGTAAGTCTCACTGCTGCAGAGGCGAATAATTCCCTTGACCCACTCCATATCGCCATAAGATTGGCTCTCATAAGAATCCGACATGAACTCATCCTTAGCCTCGCCGGTGCAACCATCGATGACGTTGCCCTGGACACGGCGCACATAAGGCTGACTGACGATAATACCGTGCTGGTTCTCGGGAACAGTGAAGCTGAGCGATTGGGTCTGGCTAGAAGACCAGGTCTTGGAGTAGTCGATCTTGAGCGAAACATTGAGGAGGGACTTGAGGAGAGGAATGCTAACGCCTGCGCCGCCGCTGACAGAGTTACCGATGGTCTTGCCGTTGGAGACACTGACGGTGGCCTTGGAGCCTCCAAGGCTGCTGATGACGGGGGACATGGGGACGTCCCAGTTGACGAACTCCTTGTCGGAGAGGACCTGGACCTCGGTGCTGTCCTTGCAGTCGCGGCGCTGGATAGACTTGCTGGAAGGGGCTGTGAAGTTCTTGGCGGCGGGGGCGGTCTCGAGAGCCTCCAGGTCGGTAGCCTTCATGATTTGGGTGGTACCATCAGTCTTGAGAACGATGATGTCGTCTGAGGCGAGGATCTTGGGAGTGGCGGCTGCCTGAGAAACAGCAGCAAGGCTGAGAAGGGCGAGAAGAGTAGAAGGAATCATGCTGACGGATGCGAATGATAATAATTAAAGCAGGATAGTAGTTTGTTGAGTCAGATAAAGAGTGACTATGGTAAAGACCGTGGGACTCAAAAGAGTGAATGAATGTATACAAGCAGTGTTGTTGACTCGAGTAGACTATCCATTGCAGGCGGGCCCTCTTTATCTTTTCAACATCTACGGTCCACGTCCCGATCAATGCAGTTAATCGTCTGCCGAAGCCCCATCCCTGTAAAGACCCTCTGACTCCCAAACGGGCAATGCGTATAACCTTCATCGCCCCGACATCTTTTCATCCTTGATATAGCATTGACCCATCATCAGCAAATGAAAGTCGTCTATGCTCTCCCTTCTCCACACGGGGAAATCTATTCCGTGTTTCACGTATTCCCGCCATCATGCATTTCAAAATAGAGTTTTTCGCTTGGTCTCATCCCGTTGAAGATTTCCCCATAATTCGGATTTGCCGTGTCTTGACATTTCCATCTTAAGAAGCTAATACGATTTTGACAAGGCGGATAAGGCTAAGGTTGGGATGACAGCTGCGCTGATCACTTGGAATGAGTAAGTTGTTGTGTTTCAGGTCGCGTTGCCAAGGACATGGATACCTATATGCCGTCCTGAGATAATTAATAGTTGAACTGCATTGACGGTGAAAGCTCGGATGATGCCGTTCGGCAATTACGTATCCCTTAATTTGTGGTTATATGATATGGGCTGCTTCTCTTAATAACTGTCTTTGATCTCTATCACCGCCACCACATCCAACATTTGTTGACTTACACTCTTTCAATTGCAATTGCACCGTCATTCTTTAATTGTTTGTAACTGTCTTTACTGTTCAATCGCTTCAAGTTTCCGTCTTAGCCATTCACCATGTTCGCCAAAGCTCTCACTGTCTTTGTTCTCCTCACCGCTGTGTAAGGACCACCTCATCCTACTTCCTACGATACTTTACCTAATAACAATGTAGCACGGCAAAGCTTCACGACAACTGTGCCTGCCACAATGGTGATGCCTACAACTTCCGTATGACCATTGATGCATGCAAGGTGTACAATGACGCAGGCTACAAGGTATGGATCCCATACTCTAATGATAGCTTCGAGCTGAACTGACCGATCTAGTGGGGTGGTGCCGCCTATGATACCCCATCCGGCCGAGTAAGTGACACTTCCATCTAAGTTACGACATATTGCTGACGTTAAATAGTGCGTTCAAGCAGATGCTGAGGCTAAGCTCGCTGGTGACCAGTGGGAGGATGCGTGCAAAGAAATCGCTTCCAAGGGCTTCCCCTGCGCTGATGGAAAGGGAACTTGCTATGCCGACCCCAAGGATGTCCGTGGCCGTTGTTAAACAGCTGAAAGGTTCTCAGTGATGAAACAAGGGAAGAGATATTTGTGGAAATATGAGACTTTAATACAAAAAGACATGATACAACCAATGCATCAGCCTCATACTCTAGTTTAATTTCGCATGGAAAAAATTCTCAAGATAAGCCCGACTCATTGACTTCACTGCGGAGTTAAACATTAGACACTGAGATTGGTTCAATTTGGCATGCTATATGTCCGTTGATAACTATGTACTTGAAGCTCGTTGTGTGATCACGCTAGATAAACACAAGCTTAGATGCTCTTGAAAACAGAAAGACTGGAGAGAGCCTTTCCGGGCCATGAGAACAGAGTGTTCGAAGGGCAAGACGATCCAAGAGCCTGGTTGTTCATCCAAGCAGGCTCCCAGTAAAACAGTCCAGCTCCACCACGGACCTTGCTGACGATGCTAGCAACCTTCTTGATAAATTGGGCCTGGCCATCGGCTGAGAAAGGAATGTTTCTCATATCACTGGGGAAAGGCTGTGCAGGAGAAGGGCACGAAGTCGGCCAGTCAAGCTCGCTGACGAAGATCTGCTTGCCCCATCGGTTGGCCATGTTGGTGAGGGAAGTCTCGAGAGCAGAGAAAGTGGCACCTGATCCGTAGAAAGGATAGAAGGAAACTCCCATAGCGTCAAAGGCATCGAGGGTGAGGCCCTTTTGGTTCAGGACTTGGGTGTAAAAGTACTCTTGGGTACCCCAGTCCCATCCCTTGTCAAGATGGATCATGATCTTGGGTTTGGGGCTCAGACGAGAATCCTTGATACCGTAGGAAGCAGAGTTGAGAAGACGGCCGATGTTGTAGTAAGACTTGGTAGATCCGGTAGGGAAGAGGAGACCGGCGGTGATTTCGTTGCCAATGGAGATAAGTGCGGGTGGCACACCAGCAGCCTGGAAAGCGTTCGATACTTCTTGGGTATAGTTGTAAAGTCTCCAAGCCAGGTCGTCGATACCAGTGGGCCATCCTCTTGGGATGGCTTGGTGGCCAGGGTCAGCCCAGGTGTCGCTGAAGTGCAGCGTCAAGTAGACGCTCATGCCCGCAGCCTTCGCACGCTTAGCAAGCTTGATGTTGTAGTCGAGGTTGTATTCGCCATTTGAAGGGTTCACCCAGACGCGCTGACGGACAGAGTTGACGCCATTCGCAGCGAGGATCTGCTCCAGAGGCTGAGCTGCGCCAGCGCCATTGGTATACTTGATACCCTTCTGCTCCTCAACGGCCGCAGAAGACCAGTCGACACCGCGGTATTGCAGGGCAAAAGCGGCCGAAAAGAAATAAGTCAGAAAGACCAAGAATCGTGTGAGGGTCGCCATCTTGAGACGTTTCGCGATGAGCAACTAGACTGCCCATTTTCGAGTAAGTGGGATTGACTGGCTTAAGTAGCACTGCTACCCTTACCGGGTTGAACGCTGTTAATTCGCCGAGTTGTGTATGATCGTGACAGGGGATATCAATTTCCCTCCAATTGGAGCAGTGGATAAACTGGTAATACCCGCTATTCAGGAATTATCCCGACAAGGGTCTTTAGTCCTTAATCCTGAATGAAACCTGGCTTCTGGAAGGGGATGAGAAAATCGGAAGGGAACTGCCGTCGTCCGATGTGTAGAAACGGAGCATTGACTGCCGATGTCAGCTGACCAGTCTATGAGTAGGTTGGAGAACCAGTGGCGTACTGCATACTCAAGATTAGAACTCCTACATCTGGCGCCATGTGGTAGTATACCATCCACTTACGTGGACTTGTTAAACCTCCTTCCCATATAACCAGCTTGCAGGTGCAAAAGCCATAAAACGTCCAGATGTAACGTAATCGGCTCTGTGCGACATGGTTACTCTTTCCACCGAGACATCAAGGACCTTTCGTCGCCACGCCTCGCTCATCTTCTTATCATAGTGGTCGTAGAGCCTTGGAAGGACCTGGACATCGTGAACGCAGTACAACTTGAGTGAGTCAGGAAGGGGACGCTGGTTGAAGATTTCGTAAGATCCGCCTTGCTCAGGGAGGAACAGTTTGCGGCCCTTTGCTTTGACGTCCAGCATGTTTTCCCGTTCCCGCTCGGTGAGAGGTGCGTCTCTATCGATGCACTTGGCAAGGCCATTGAGAAGTCTCCTGTTATAGTTTCGCGTAGCAACCTCCATGAGCTGAAGGTCGTGGATGCCAGCGAGCTCGATGTTGTAATGCGCGTATAAGGCATCCGAATCGTTTCGAACGTCAAAGAAGACTTTGACGATGTTGTCATCCTCGAGGACATGCTTCAAGGTGCGACCGTCTTTGCCCGGAGTGGAGAAGCATTTGGCCCCAAAAGTATGGATGTCGACAAGGTATACGCACTTGTCGACCGCATCGTAGATTTGCATGATAGAAATCGTTCCATGACGGGAGAGGTTGACACCCTCGAGATCGATATATATCGAGGCTGGGCCTTTCTTGAGCCCATAGAGAGCGTCAACGAGCTTCGAAACAGTAGCTTCGTTGTCTACCCAGACGACCAAGGGGCCCAGCTTGAGACCGGTATTCTCAAGCTTCTTCGTGATAACGTCCATTGTCGATGTGTAGGGTTTCAGACGGAGTAGTTTAAAGATGAAGTCGAGTCCTTGCGATATCTTGGAAGTTGAGGGTGCCGTATCTGTTACCTCCGCGTTTGCAAATCCTTGCTGGAAGTAAGGGATTTTGCGTTGGCAGGATGAATCCGAGAAGAAAACATATCGAGTAGCTGAGGAGCGAAAAAGAGTTTTACAAAGCAGAGGAGAATAGACTCTGTAGGCAGCTGAATTTGAGCTGATTGTTTTTAAGGTTCTGTTCATTCTAGTTTTTCGTTGGAAAGCATATGCTCCCCGCGAAGTTAAAAGTGAATGATTCGTGAAAAACACTTCACAGAATGGCCTGTTCTATGATTAGAGTTAGTCCTACGCAGAAACGCGTTATATTGCAGTAATAAACTCGTTGCACAAATAAATAATGGAAAGGGATTATTTACGCGAGTTTTTCTCTGCCTGCCAAAGCGCCCCACTATGAACTGAGCCACCTCAGTGGCTGAGAATGACGGCGTGTGTAGGCGAAGTGTACTTGTGAACATCTATAATCACCAAGTGATGATACAATCAAAGCAAAGGCATGCATCCCTCCGATTTTAGATCAGGCCACATTAATCAAGTCGAAAATAGGAAGTGCCAAGTATTGTCCTTCAAATCTGTAGTCGTTTCATCGTACCTGACTGGAAAGACCAAGTGGTCGAAATTCCAAAACTAAAAAGCCGTTGGTCTGCCTCACGGATAGCATTGTGCTCAAATGTAGCTTCTTGAAGTATCTATGACCTGTACAGGAATGGCTAAGTAGATTGAAGAAACAGGTAAGGAAGAAAATGCATTTTGTGACTTGATGAAAACCTTGTACTTGGGCAGGTCGAGATAAGGTGTGGTGCAGGCATCGGGTTTATGATGCTTCAAACGCATGACGTTGTTGGAAAAAGGATGAACTGTCATTACAACCAGTGTACTGAAAAGCGCTTTAATCCAGATAGATCATGGTTGCGTTGAAAGGCAAGACGCTGTTGCTTCCCAGATTCTGCGTGGAACAATAGCCTGAGACCGCCATCTCGTCCAATTGATGCGGCTCAGAACGAATTACTTGTAGATTAAACTCGGGTACCATTCCAGTAGGCAGTGTTCAGTATCTTAGATATAGTCAAACATGAGCCAGCCTTATGGAGGGGTACAGACAGTGACTGAGAGGTTTCATCAGTCAATACGACACTTTTGCAAGATCTACAACTGATTAACCCAAGGATATGAAAAGTGCAGATATGGCTTTAACTCGGTCGTAAAAACAAGTAATCAAATCGTCGTTTTAAGGATCTTGGCATAAACATCGTTGCGATTGGTGGAATACATTTACAGCGTCAATTTAGCCGGGCCCTCTCATCTCCACACCCAAAGTGGAAAGGCTGGAGGTTTCATGACCGCTTTGATCTCCACTGAAACATCCCACGATCGTGGCTAAAGTCAGGTTTTATCCTCTGATCAAATGAGAAGATGGGGTGTTCTCCAGAAAAGCACTTTTCCTGCATGGTATTTCGCGGGGATGACCCCCAGCAAAAGTTCCAATCCGGCCGGCATATGAGCAAATAGCCTGATTCGTACCATGCTGCCGATACTACACCAAGAACATCTCATTATGTACTGTAGCTTGCGGTGTGGGGAACAGACACCAAAGATCTGTGCCCAGTTTCATGACAACACTGCCGTGGGAAACACGGCAGCGGAGGCTACAAGTCCGCTCTACTTGAAGCATGGTCTCCACCCCATACGACTAGGGATAGCATTCTAGAATAAATAAGATCATCTCCTCGCTCCCATTCCCAGAACCTTTCTTGGCACGTCATTCTTACCTTCACTCTCAGTCGTAAAAATGAAGCTATCGTCCATCATCAGCTTCTGGGTCGCGGCCCTCTTCAGCTTCGCTCTCGGAGCTGAGGTTGTCCCTCGATCAACCCTTAAGGAAGTCACCAACTTCGGCAACAACCCCACAGGAACTCGCATGTTCTTGTATGTCCCCAAGAACCTGAAGCCAAACCCTGCCGTGGTCGTCGCTCTTCACTACTGCACCGGTACTGCCCAGGGTTACATGCAGGGCGGCAAGTGGCACACCAATGCTGAGAAGTACGGATACATTGTCATCTACCCTCAGACCCCTTACACCCCTGGTAACTGCTGGGATGTCTCTTCCAAGATGACCTTGACCCATGAGGGCGGTGGCTCCAGCACTTCCATCGCCAACATGGCCAAGTTCGTTCTCAAGGAATACAACGGTGATTCCAAGAGAGTCTTTGTCACCGGTGAATCTTCAGGTGCTATGATGACCGTAGGTTCAACTGCAGCATTGACTATGACAACCTTGACTAACAATTCTAGAACGTCATGGCTGCTACTTACCCCGATCTCTTTGCTGCAGGAATCGCCTATGCCGGTGTCCCTGCTAGCTGCTTCAAGAGCCAGGCTAACCAGCCTGCTGCTTGGAACTCGGAGTGCTCCCAGGGCAAGATGATCAAGACTCAACAGCAATGGGCTCAAATCGTCAAGGACATGTACCCTGGCTACAACGGAGCCCGACCCAAGATGCAGATCTACCACGGAACCGCCGACCCTACTCTCAACGTCCAGAACTACTACGAGACTATGAAGCAGTGGTCTGGCATCTTCGGATACTCTTCTACTCCCAAGTCTACCACTCAGAACTTCCCTCGCAGCCCTTTCAAGCGTGAAATCTTTGGCGATAAGCTTCAGGTGAGTACGGCAGATTAATAGGAAAGGCTTGTGACTAACAACTTCCAGGGTTTCTTGGGTAACGGCCAGGGCCATGGTGTTGAACACTTCCCCGATGAGGACCTCAAGTGGTTTGGCCTTGCTGTAAGCCATCTTACGCCCCCAAATAATTGAATAACCACTAACTTGAAGACCAGTAAGCCGTTTGCTATGCTAAGATCCGGACCGGTTTTTCCGGAGACAAACGTTGGATTTCCCGTCCATTTTGGGATAGCACGTTTTGCCATGCTTAACTTTCTGTGAACTATATAGTTACCAAGATTCGTACATACAACAATATCAAGATTACATATTTGGGTTTTAAGACCAGCAGCAACCGATCAATGAACGGGGACATGCCTTATTGAGATGGATTTGATGGGCCATGATACGGCTACACGTTCCCCATGTGGGAAAGCCCAACCTCTTTCTGGGGGCATGTAAGCTGACACAGCAGAGGCAATATGCCACAACAGTTGGATTTTGCAGAAGCAAGTCACCAGCACGGGTTTCGGGTGCTTACAGTAAGCACAAAGGATCATCGCGTCTCATATGCTATATAAAAGGCAGCCATGTCAAGCGTTCTAACCTCCAGACCTCTTCATCTTAATCACGACCCTAACAGCTATGTCGAAGCCAACCATCTTACTCGTTCCAGGTGCTTTCCTGGGTCTCAACCCATACGCCACTGTTGCCCAGGCGCTGCGAGATCATAACTATGTCGTAGATGTAGTTGATACCCCCAGTGCAGCTGACCTTAGCACAGAATCCGTGTCGTCGTCTAAATGGAAGGATCTTGCAGCCCAGACGGTCGAGTCTGATGTGAAGGCAATCCATGACGCCTGTGAGCGCCACTTCGAACAGGGAAGCGACGTCGTGTTGATCGGACACAGCTACGGCAGTATACCAGCCATGTTGAGCATCCAGGGTCAGACTGTCAATGAACGAAAAGATCGAAATCTTGCAGGAGGTGTCGTCGGCTATTTAAATATGGCTGGATTCGCATTCGCTGTCCGCAGCAAGAATGCGATGGCTTCTGATGAAGATCCCCCCTTCATGCCTTATCATGAATTCCAAGTACGCGGCACTGACTTCTCATTAAGATAGTGAGGCTGACATCTCTAGGACGGGATTGTAACTTTACAAGAGTCCGCCAAACCTCTCTTCTTTAGCGATCTGACACCTGAGAAGCAAGATGAGATTTGGCCGACTTTCCCAAAGCAGCAAAGCTGGGCATGCTTCCTGCACAAGGCAGACTTTATTGACACGGACATTACCATTCCCAAAGCCTATCTCAGAACAGGCCTTGATCAATGCATTGCTCCTGCGTGGCAGGATGGTATTATCGCAGCTGGAGGGTACGAAACAGTACTGCATATGGAGACTGGACATTGTCCTATGGTCAGTGCTCCAGAGCAGATGGTTCGGGTTGTGGAGGAGTTTGTTAACAGCTTGAGCGACAAGTGAGAGGACCAATTGTGACATGGATTCATTGTAAGTAGTATCTTAAGGCAATTAGATCGTGAACATTCTGACAGAACTCTAATTAAAACAAGGACACAAATGATAAGTAACTCCCAACTTCCCACAAGGGATTCGGATTATCCAATGGTGACACTCCAACAAGCCTAGAAACTGACAACAAAAGAAAAAGGACAAAAACTCGTGCAAACCAGCGATAAGGCCGTTCTACTTTCAAAGGCTTCTTGTGACGCCAGGAGCGATAGCCTCTAGCTTCTCAAGCAACTCCTTGGACAAAGCACTCTGGATTCTCATGCCCATCTTGTTAGTGACATGGCAAGCCGGACTGTTTACAGTTAGTCTCCAATTTGTTTTCAATTTAATTTGAGAGAAAGTAACTTACTCGTGAATCTGGCTATTTGTCATGTACTTCCCGTTACTCTCACGGCCAGCGAGAACACCACTAACAAGCGCCCGACTTCCCATCTCTGCAGTTCGGGCCAGGAAATCAGGAGGAACTTGATCTGCCTTTTCGCGCATCAACCCGGATTTGCAGTAGCTAGGGTTGGGCGTATTGATGATCACACTGCTCTTCTCAGAAGCATCGAGTCGACTGGCGATCTCCCGTGTAAAATACAGAACAATGAGTTTGGAGAGGTAGTAACGATTCGCCATATCGGACTTGGCAGGGTCGCTGAGCCGCGAAAGGATAGGCTCGGCCTTTTCGTCTGGTATGATCTCCTTGTAGGGAGCCCAGTAGTGAGTTGCTGAATTGGGAATGACGAACTTTCCAGGGTAGTTGGACTTGCGAAGCTTGGGGAGCAGAAGGAAGAAGAGAAGGAATGTTGAGATGACGTTGACAGTGATGGTTCGTTCATTATCTTCAGCCATGGAGAATTCATCTGAAGTGGCAAGGCCAGCATTGGCAAGTACAACGTCCAGTTTTGGTATAGCGTTTGCTCTGGTAGCAAACTTCTTGACCGACTCATAATTTGCCATATCGAGGAACCAAACCTCGATAGACTCGGGCTCCCGCTTCGTCAACTTCAATAACTCGCGGCGAGCTTCTTCGCCTGCATCGAGATTGCGAACGGCCATGATGAGCTTGCCCAACCCGAGGCGAAGAAGGTGCTGACATGATTCATAGCCCAGTCCCGTATTGGATCCGGACACTATCATGACTCTGTCGGAGAGGTCTTGCTTGGTTTCGGGGTATGGAAGGGTGACGAATAGGTTGGAGTAGATGACATGGCTAATGCCATAGACAGATGAGGCGATTGACATGACCATGATTGCTTATGAGAATGGGTGTGAAGGATTGATTGTAATGAGGTATTCTGATAATGATACTAAAAACATTCTTGGCGACTTCCTGTTGAAGCTCTTATAGATCCATCGAGTGTTGATGGCTCCGTCTCCGAGACGGGTTTAATAACGCCGCTTAGACCAACAACCAATCAGACACAAGCGGAGATATTAAATCCGCCCTCTCACTTAGCGGCGGATCTTGCTTATCTCCCTTCCATCAGACATGCTTACTCCGTTCAACTATCACAACAGAAGAAATGAATTCAGCAGGTAAATCACAGCCCTAATCAAGATCTGTCACCATGAGGATACTAATCAGCGAAGAAAAAGTAGATAAACGCAATCGGCCGCCTAGGTCCTGCGAGCCCTGTCGGCAACGAAAGTGAGTGGGGCCAGCCTTCTTCTGATCACCAAAGGGTATCTGACATGAGCAGATTGAAGTGCAACAGGGGCCTACCATGCGATGCGTGTACTAAGAGAAACAAAATATGTTCTTATGCCTCTAACGCTGATCGAAGCGAGACCCGGATAGGGAAAAACAGCTCTGTAGCGGAACGCCTCAAGCACTTGGAAAGTCTGCTGGTAGCCGTGGCCGGGCAGAAAGGTCCCATTCCACCTATTGGCAGCAACACAGCCGCCAGTGTTTCCCCTACCAATGTGTCCAAGGACGATAGCGAAGCCAGGATCGATGACACAGTACCCAGTGGACTGCCAAATCATCTTGACTCGAGTCATTGGTCGTCAATATTGGATGACATCAAAGCTATCCGTGAAGACCTTCCAAGCGAAAGCCCTGAGTCGATGTCCGAGAACAGTCCACCTGAGGCTGGTCTCCAGTCACGCAGGGAAACAAGTCTGGACTTTGACCTTGGATTATCTGATGGCGTGTCCATGGAAAGTGTGCTGGCGGCTTTGCCTTCGCGGGAGGTTTGTGATACTTTGACGTCGATGTTCTTCAGATGGCACTACAATATGATGCGTAAGCCAAGTTCGGATGGAATACACCAGCACACAACTGATATGTCGATTTAGCAATTCTACATCCCGTAAAGTTCCAACAAGAGGTATACATCCTAGGCATAGAAAGATGGATAAACACGACTAACTGTGCATCTAGTACGAGGAGTTCTGGAAAGAGCCAGCTTCCGCTCCACCCATATGGATTGCGCTCTTACTCGCCCTTCTTAGTTTGTCAGCTGGCGTCTTTGAAGCTTCAGGCATGGGTAAAAGTTCGCCTATGCCGATTCCAACCAGCAGCGATCTTTCCAGGCAGACAAAACAATGCCTCCTCCTGAGCGATTACATTGGGTCCAATGAACATGCTGTCGAAGCCTTTCTCCTTCATCTTGTTGGCTCTTGGTTGCTGGCCAGAGCCTCCGACACCCGTCTCTGGTTCTTGATGGGAAAGGTAGTCCAGCTCGCTTTATGCAAAGGCTACCATCGAGATTCTTCCAGGATGCCCAATGGGGGCCTATCGCCATTCGATGGCGAGATGAGGCGCAGGGTTTGGGTCTGCATATTCCAGCTCGACGCCCTTATGTCTTTTCAACTGGGTCTTCCTAGTATGGTACCGTCGGACTGTTGCGATACGGACCTACCTGGAAACCTGAACGAGAGTCAATTGCACCCTGATATTACAGAACTTCCACCATCTCGACCCCTCTCAGAGAACACTACAATTCTATACTCTATTGTCAAAGCGTCCATCATGGCTGAGTTCAAGAATGTTTCCAAACATACACGGTCTCCTACTACGCCTTCTCTGGATGCCACATTTTTACTCGACGCGCAAGTACGGAAGGCTTATAACGATATCCCCGACAACTTCAAGTATAGGCCGCTCACGAACTTCCTCACCGAGGACATGAGTGTCGTCATCACGAGGACAACGTTGGCTCTCTTGCATTTGAAGACTCTGATTGTCCTCCACCGTCAGCATTTGACATATCGGCGTGACAGCCGCTCTGAAGCGTCCAGAAACGCTTGCTTGAAAGCGGCTGGTAGACTATTGGAGATACAAGCAGAAATGCACCGGGTCACTCAGCCAGGGGGTCGGCTATATGATATGAAGTGGCTGATAACCTCGCTGACGCTGAGCGACTTTACATTGGGAGCTATGGTGATTTGTCTAGATCTGACTGTCACTATGAAACTCGCGACAGAAGCCTTTCATAGCCCAGCTTCCAATAAGGAGCTGCAAGGTTACTTGACAGTGATCCAGGATGCACATAACATATGGCTTACTGCCGAGAAGACGACGTCGGAAGCACGTACAATTGCTCATGCCCTGGGTTCAACCATCCATCGTGTGAACGAGTTTCTGAGCACAAGATCATTACCTGGGAGTTCTGAGATGTGGCAGACTTTGGACGGTGTTGCTTCCGTTAGCATGGAGGATGGCCTATATATGAATCCTTTGGATATGATTGACGGTACTGACTGGGTATGTTGACTATCTCCATATACTGATTGGAACGTGCAGCTAACTGATTAATAGACATTGATCGACAACCAGTTCCAGGACCCTGATATCCAAGAGTTCGACCTCGATATGTGGCTCATGGAAACAGCTGGACCTTTTGGGGCAAATGACTAGACTTGAACAGAAAGAAGATTGCTATAATTCCATAGAATTAGAATTGGGAAAAGGTAAAAAACAAACGCTGACGCGTTGTTGTGCCTCAACACGGGATCGAACCGTGGACCTTGTCATTACTAGTGACACGCTCTACCACTGAGCCATTGAGGCGCGCTTATTGGATGAAAATCCTAATGGTACTTAGCACATATGTTTCTAGCATAACGTTCGCGCACAAGCGCTTAAGCTTATTGGCAAATCCATACATTATCCTGTTCGAGAACTTTCATCACAGGCTGACATTCACAGCAAGCATCTATCTGAAGAGTACAAAGTTTCAAAAAATAAATAAAAAGAAATAAAGCAGTATCTAAGTCACCTGAGATTTTATACAATGATATCGTTATCGGAGGACTTGTGATCTTGGAATTTGCGTTTCATTCAGGTTACTTACCCTACGACCTTGCTAAATGAGCTGGGCTCGTTATCAGCTCAGCAGCTATCGATTGAAAAGATAAACGTCTTTTACAGTGGCTTTTTAGAGCCTGGGGCCTCAAATTACTTGACGCAGCACGCGGATACAAGGTAACGCCTCAGCGATGGTCTCGATTAAAATCCTATTTTTTCTTTCTTCTAAAGACTAATAATTAAAAGAATAACAAATAAATAAATAACAATACGCCTTGCATTTATCACAATCCCCATCATGCGACGCCTTGCACCATTATCGTAAAGTCGATAATCGGTCAGTTAAAAATTACAGGACCTCTACAGGGCCATCGCCGTCTGGAATGAACCTCCCTCTTAGCACAAGTCATCCAAATAATTCACCCTCTGTTGACAAGCCTCCATAATCTCGTCGCATCCCATTCTCACTCTCGAAAGAATAGTCGCTAATTGTCCCGCTCTATCTTTCATAATACCGTCAATCTGCCGAACTGTTTCCTCCAAACTATCTACAGTGCTGATCATTTTGCGTGTTACCACGCTAAGACAGTCCAAATGGGTGAGCACTTGTGTCGCGTCGACGTTGCTGATGCGCTGTGGTGTGGCTTGCTCTTTGCTCATCTGCGCTCTGTGATTCATTAGCACGCGCAAACAGTCACAGCCATTAGATGGGTACGTACACGACCAGCAGGAATAGTTTCAGACATATCATCTGCGTGGGTTCATCCACATCCATTTTGTCAGGCCTCGAGGGGTTCTCGATCGGGTAAAGCTCTCCCAACTTTCGCTTGTTGGAAGAATCCATGTTTGAATGAGAAGTGACAGATTTCATTACACGAACTCTACAGACAGACTTTGCAAGCCATACTTATAATTCAATCTCCTTCGATATCCTGTAATGCTGTGCAACGGCAACTTGCATCGCCGAAGCCATCGAGTACAAACGGGCAATGATCTCAACCATGGTTTGATGTACAGTGCTTAGCGCCGGGAATCTGCAGGTCCCTTGCTGGCCCTGAATAAGAAGGGAATGCAATGCTTGGTGATTTTGCCTGAGTCAAACGGTCTATGGATGGCGACAATCAATCTGGAGAAACGGCTAGTAATTGCGTAACGAGCGCTACCCTTAGCTGGTTATCGAGCTGGAATACAGTACCCGAGTACAAGGCTGGGGTCACCAGTCTCGACTTGATTTGAGGCCTTCTGTACGACGCTGCCAAAGATGGATGGTGCTTACGGCGTTGAACGTATTCACAGTCTAGATCATCCTTCTTTCTGACCGGCGCAATTAATTCTTGTCTTCGGTGTGATAAAGTGCATTTGCCCTCAACTTTCCTTATGTTTCCTCATCCCTTCTCCTGCCCCAAGTGACCTCATCTCTCGTCAAGCAAGACATGCATGACACCATTCAGCCACAGGCAAACAGACAGGGCTATCGGCCTCGGATTGGCGACTTTCCGATGCAGCTCTGCGAGACACGCCGGAGGGTTTCTCCGATGCTTTTGGGACCAGTCAACCAGTAAATTATTTGTGAGGTCGGCGGACCTCCGCACGCGTCAGGGTATGAGAAAAACTAGCCACCGAGAGCCTGAGTGAGAAAGCAATTCAAGGGCGACGTTTCTGCCACATCCCAGCTAGGAATGTCCCACTTTCTGCTTTTTTATCTGCTAGCTGACTCTAATATGTCTGTGGAACGACACGTAGTTATTACCAACGGTTGATCGACCCTCTGAAGATGGGGAGGAAACCTTCAAGATGGTGTCTTTTGACAAGGAGGCGATAAGACACAAATGGTTTTGAGAGCAGGATAGCACTGAAGCTCTGTCTTGTTATTCTTACAGTTGGTCCCCCTTCGCTACATTGCGGCATAACGAAGCGAATAACGTAAAAGACCTCTCTAGATCATATGTTGCCGTATTTGCCATCGGAGAGATAGTATGGTATGGGTTGAAGTTCGAACTTTCAGAAAATAATGTAATAATCAACTGACCTAACGTCATGATTTACCGACAGAGCCTCATTGAAGGCTATTCAGCCTGAAGACGAAAGCGACCGTCGGGCGAACGGTGTAGGTGCCTTGCTTACGACCAGGGACTGCGAGGTATTTTCAGCCCAGCAAGCCATATCAGTGCTAGCATACCTGCTGCCTCTCTGGGGTGAGATTACCTCGACACTCTATTGGAGCGATATCACTTGACCGGCGCAACCATGTATGGCTGCAAGCCACGCTGAGAGCCTTGAAGGAACGAAACCAATCAACGTCTCGCGACTGATCCTTGGGATTTTCAACCTCACCACGATGTTCCCAAGGCATTTTCCAGGTTGCCTATTTTCTTACAGGGAGAAAGCAGGCTGAATGGTGACAGTAGTGATAGTGAATACGTTATAAGGCTATTGACCCCTCTTCCCAAGTGATCAGTGTCTCCTCGTTGTGGAAAAGCTATATGCGTCTCACTGCTCACCAGATTTAACTATTTCGCGACTAAACATTATGCCTGTCAAGACATCCGGAAAGAAAATTGCCCTTCTAGTTGGAGTGAACAACTATCTCAAAGCCGACTCTGGCACTAGAAAAGACAACAAAGGCAACGAGGTGACCCTTGATGACCTCGGTGGGTGTGAAAATGACGTTCTCAGTCTCAAGACAATGTTGGACAAGAAATATGGAATTACAGACGCCACAGTCATGATCTCATCCTCTTCCCCAAATGCAACATCTTATCAACAGCCGACTTATCAGAATATCGAAAGCGCTTTCCAAAAGGTCACTCAAACTGCACAGAAAGGAGATCTATTCTTCTTCCACTTCTCAGGCCATGGTGCAAGACTTGATACAACCCGCAATCCACCCAATGGCCACATCAAGGATCCCTCTTTATTACCAATGGACTTTTGCCAGGGCCAACCCGCGGTTCGTGGATGGATTCTTAATCATTGGCTTCGACGCCTTTACCAAAAAGGTGTGGAGGTAGTCGTCAGTCTTGACAGTTGCTACTCTGGAGGCGCTTGGCGAACGGACGGAATGAAGAGGACTGTGGGCGAGGACTGGCAACCGCCAGTAAATTTGCCAGCAGATGAAGAACAGGCCCTGGGTATCACTGCTAACGACGTTCCCTCCATCGAGCGAAATGCGGTACCTGTTGACTCGTGGGGTATAAATCCTTACAACTTCACACTGATGGCCGCCTGCAAGTCCAATCAATCGGCTCAAGAGTGTCGCCAGGCCGATGGTAAGATCTGCGGCGTTTTCACAGCCGCATTGGTGTCGCATCTTCATTCTGATTCTCGGTTGAAGACCTATCGCGCTGTCTGCGCAGCTGTCAAGGGAAAGTTTGAAGCCAACAGCATGGCGCAAATTCCCATGGTATACGGACACGACAGACTCCAATTCTTGGGAACGACAGAGCCATGTTGTGCGATGCCACTCTACGTGCGAGTTGAGAAAGGTTCCATTCGCATTCCTGAAGGAACGATTCATGGGGTGACCCTGGGGACAGAATATACTGGGCTGTCGTCAGGCGCTCACAAGCTTGTCGTTGAAGACGTCGACGATACTGCATCGTTTATCAAAATACCCGACAATACTCTGTCCGTCTGGAAGTCAGGAGATGAGATATATCGATCCAGGTTGAGTACATCGCAACCTTTCCGAGTGCTTGTCGACCCATCTCTACCAAGTGCCTTCAACGAGAGGCTCTTGCGGAAACTCAAGCAACATGTTCACGGTCCTGTTGAGGTTGTCGCAGCAAGTCCCTATGAAGACCGGAGCAAGGCTGCAGTGGAATTGAAGTGTAATGATGGTAAAATCGAGCTCTACAAGCAGCAATCTGGAGCAGACCATGGTGCAACCACAGTAAATGATTCTGGTGCCATGGAGAAAGTACCAGGGCTGGAACTGCCATGCGCCACAGAACACGAGTTTGAACAAGCTACCATACCATCTGCCTCAGCTATTATTCACCTGCTCCGCTACCAACAAATATTTGAGCTTCGCGATCTATCCCCTGAGACCGATGTCCCATTCACCATCAAACTCATGGACGGGAACCGATCGTCAGAAGTTTCCAAGGGACAAAGAGTCTTTTCTTCTACCCAAGTCCGCCTCGTCTTCCAGAACTTGAGCAGCGAGACACTATACTTTACGGTTCTGACTTTTGGTCCGGGTCATCATATCAACCAGCTGTATCCCAGTAGTGACTCTTCGCGTCGTGTTGCACCAGGTTCCTGCAATCGAGAATGCCGTTTCCGGCTTCAACTTCCAGAGAATCTACAGCCTGGTCTCTACAAAGACATACTCAGGATATTTGTCACAAATACTAGTGATGTTTCACTGAAGGGCTTGGAACTACCTGATATTTGGAGCGAGGGGCAAACCTTTCACAGTACCAGTAGCCCATTGCGAGATGTTCAGCTGGTTGAAGAGTTTGAATGGTGGATCGACGATTTTGAAATATGGACACAAAATAGACCTGGTCGATGAAGGAACTAGACTCCTCATAGTTTGCACAGTTTAATATTCTTTGACAAGTATTTATACTCCGTAGTGTACATAAGGTGCCCAGTAAGCTAGACCAAGATTCTGGCCCCCACTGTCTATCAACAAAGCGTCTCTCGTTGAGCGGAATTGAAGCTCGATCGCTATATCCTGTAGTTCGGTGGCTGCAGAGTTTGATACATCCTGGTAGGTAACTCGATGCTCCAACCACTCTCTTCTAAGCTCACAAGTCGCCTTGTGAAGCCCTCGGCAAATCGACTCATCCGATATGCCAGAGTCACTCAATTCTTGATAGGTCATGCTTGCCATCCGGACCGACATATCATCCTGGACACTCCACAGAGTGCCAATAACGTGCCTAAACCCAGCAATCTGGCACGCACCGATAAGGTTGATGTTTTCATCAAAGGACGTCTCGTCTTTAGTCTGACCTGTACCACATGCAGAAAGGTATGCAAGGAGGGGCGCTCCTTTCTGGACGTTCATATCAAAAAGGTCAGCGACTTTAAGTGAGTCAGTCTCCCAATCTTCAAGGAGTAGACAGCTCTGTAATGGATCCTCTGTATGAACAAGTCCGTGGCCTGCGAAGTGGAAGATTCTGCATTGTGATAAATACTGGGTGACATCTTGTTTATTCCGTTCCGGGACGATAGGTCTCAACTTCATCGCACTTATGGTTTCGCTGACTGAATCTATTTCTGCTTTGGCAAAAGAAAGCGAGTCATGTCCCGGCGTATGCTCCATCGCAATAAGCAATGCTTGATCAGATGTAGAAGTCTTGATAGCATCACGACGGCCACGAATGATGTTACGGATGGAAGAACCGTAGGACGATAAAGCCCGGTCGAGCACCGCTTTCGAAGACTGTAAATGATGATAGCCTGCGGCATGGAGGGGCATTTGCACAAGAGGTCCAGTCGGAATCCACCAAACACGCGGCCATTTGTCTGGGGGAGGCGTCTCGGTAATTCCCAAGATATCCAGGATTGGACTCGCAATGGTGTCCCAAAGCCATTCAAGAGTCTGCGGATCCGACAAACTTCTGACTGACATTTGGTACTTTAGTTCCTTTAAATCCAAACTCGATAGAGGTAATGCTTGGACTCGACTGTCCGATATAAGTAGAGCATCGCAACGAAGTCTGCTGATGTTGATCACAACAATCGGACCATACTCTGAGGCTTTGTAGATCTCATTGTCACTAGGCGGGAGCATGAAGGTTTCGTAGCCGGGTAATCGTCTGATTTCAGCAGTTAATTCGGTAAAGTCCCTTGCAGCGGCGTGCCTTCGATTGACTGATCTTTCGGAATCATTGGTAATTGTATTGGTCGTTTTGCCCCGATCCAGCTCTGTCTGTAAACTGCGATATTTCTCTGCAAGGTCGGGATAGTGCTTTTCAAGATCTTTAACATCGCTGCGTATATCCTGAAGCGACGAGCCGATGATGCCGCGGCCTTGCTCAAGTAGCTTCAAGGCGGTCATGGCTGACTCCCCTACTCGTAATGCAGCGGCTGCTGCATCGGAGGCTAAGCCGACTGCCCTGCCAAGCACAAACTGTCGATCGGAGATCTCATGTGACCATGATACAAGCTTTGGAACAAGCTCCACGGCAGTTTTGGCAGCTTTAAAAACTTGTTGGATGTCTGAACATTTGGCTATGATGGCCTGACCTGCTTCAATACGGTCTTCCGTGTCTGAGTACTCGTGATTGAGGGCTGCCCTGTATTGAATCATAGACTTTGTCAAGTCCGATTCGTTTTCTTTGACGTTGTAAAGGTCAAGATATCGACCAGCTAGGTTATTTAACCGAGATGCTCTGTGAGGATGGTCCTCTGGCAAAAACTCCAAACATTGTTCTGCAATCTGAATAGCTTCTTTCAAATCGTTCAAGTCTCTTTCGTGCTGAAATCGATCCGCGAGTTGATTGCCCAAGGCGTTCAGATAGTCGACCCGCTCGGAATGATCCAGCGGTAGTTTCTCTAAGGCTTTTCTTTCCAGCTCGATAGCCTCGTTGACATCTTCCAGATTGTTCGTTCTGATGAACCGATCGCCCAACTTGATGGCGACGTTGTACAGTGGGGAAACCCCCTCGGGGTCCAGCCTAAGAGCCTCTCTGGCATATTCAATCGATTCATTGATATCGTCCTCTAATTCCGTCCGCAGGTACCTGTCGCCTAGTCGGTTGCCCAAATTTGTCAAGATGGCCTTCCGACTCTCCTCTGTCGGGTTGGCTTTCAGTGCTAATCTTCCCAATCGAATTGCCTCATCTATGTCGGTTAGAGCGTTGGTCTTGAGATACTGACATCCGAACATTCGTGCTAAGCAGGATAACCAGCTTGACTCCCAGCGGTTCTCGTCAATTATGCCGAGTGCCTCATTCGCAACAGCAAAGGCTTCTTCAAGGTAGGTTTTTTCTTCTGTTCTCTCATGCAGAATGACAAGATATCTTGCCAGTGTTATTATCCACTCGACCCTACTTTTATCGGTGTTTGATGAATCTTTTGCTTGTCGACGAAGTCGAATGCAACCTTCCAGATCTGATAAGTCTGCTGTTTGAATGTACCGGCTGTATAGAGCATGCATAAGCCTTTTCATCGCACGCTCATCCTCAGGTCTCATTTTCAGAAGCCTCTCCATGATCAAAACACACTCGTCCATATCCAAGGTCTCTCTTGTGATGATCGAACGTTGCTTGAGCAGGGAACCAAGCGCAGCCAATCCGTTGAAATAGAGGTCACTGTCTTTAGCGCTCGCCAATTCAACTATGAGCCTCTGATAGCGAATGATCTTATCAAAATCAGCGAGCTCGTTCGTCTCTTCAAACTTTTCCTCATAGAAAAATTTGAGCCTCTTGAGAAATACTTCCTTTTGGGCATGTTGCTCTTCCGTCGTCAACTCCATTGCCTGCAACCCAAACTCAATAGCTTCCGTAAGATCGTCAAAATCTTCACTTTCCGCAAATCTGTCACAAAGATTGTTACTGAGGAGATGTGACTGTATAGCCTTGTCTTTCTGGTCTTTTGAATGTATCGATGAAAGCGCTTCCCGTCGGATTCGAATGGACTCATCCAGATACTTCGTTTCACCAGTCCTGCGATATCTCTCATCCAGGTCCTCCAGCAAAAGAACCCTTGCTTGGCCCCCATCAATAGAGTCACCAGGCCTTTCATTCATGTTGTTGATAGTCGGTGGGGTAGATACTATTTTCTTCGCTAATAAACAAGAGGATGCTGACCTAGTAGCTGGTCTATATCTGATAATAAGAAACTTACTGGAGGCCCAACGTCTTATGATCGAACGGGACCTTGCGTCTACTTTCGCAATTTTACTGCTCCTTGATGTGTAGTAAGCGCAATTGTGAATAGAATAGGCATGTGCCGCGCAACCTACAGCAGTCAAGCATGACAGACGTGGCATTCTTTGATTGGCCTGTATCCCACCCGTACTACTGAGCCTGATAATCACAATCACTTCTGGCCATAAAACTACCTTTCACCCTGGAGGTGGGCATGGGACTTGGTTTAATTACAGGTCAACATCGGCTTGCATCAAATTTATCAATTGGGTTAACATTCACATAATTCAAGTCCGAGACATCACATTTTGTTCTATTTTTGAGCTATTCCGAGGCGTAAGTCCCCAATATACATATCAAATCAATACAAGATCACATTTTGTTCATTTCGCAATGACCGTACTGAGTAAAGTAATAAGAAATTCATGATCTAGCCCAACATTCCAAGACAAAATCACCGGGATGCTATTCTATGATAGCGTAAAGCAACTGAAACTTTCCGCTTGCTAGGCGTTTCAGGGTCGATTTCTGTACGCAACCAAAAATGTCCAGTTCTTGAGTTCAATTTTGTGGACTTGCTGTCTCAAAACCGTAGATTAGTCGACTCCGTGCATCCGACCAAATGATTTAGTCATGGCCCAAGAGGCCAAGCAGCTTGCTCATGTGATTGATAACAGGTATCTCCCGCCCACTGATCTCTTTGAAGGATTTTCCAGACGAAGGTGAATACAATACAGCTTGTTTCAAGTCCGAATCAATAGCCCCTCGGATATCGCAACTTATACTGTCACCGATCATGTAAGTGTTTTCGGGAGATATCCCGAAGTGACGGGCAGCATATTGGAAGATTTCTTTGCTTGGCTTTAAGACTCCCACTTCCTCAGAGGCGATGATTCGTTCGACCAAATCGTAAACCCCTATATCTTTGGCCTTGTCGATCTGGTGCTCGGTCTGTCCGTTCGTAATAATTCCGATGCGATATCCGAGATCTCGCAATTTGACAAGAGTTTCAATGCTTCCAGGAGTTGCTCTTCGACAAGATCTATATGTCGGCCTGTATATATTTGTGAAAGACTCCATATCATCGTCGGTTGGTTCCGGCATCCCAAGGTATTTGTAGAGGAGCTTGAGCTTCTCGACATCTTTTTCATGATGGTTGATTCCATTGCTCAGCCATTTATGGTAAACCTCATCCAGAGACCTGTTGTAGTTGTCAATTATCTTTTGAATTGGTATGCCCTTGAATGCAGGGAGCTTTTGCTGGACGGCGGAGATCGCACAGCTTAGGTACAATTTTGTTAGCGATACTACATAAGGACTTTGAGATCAAGGGCATACCTTATAGAATAGTCATGGTCAGAAAGAGTCTTGTCAAGATCAAAGATGATCAAGGTTTCTTCGTTGGCTACATTTGACGCTGGCTTCGACGGGGTATCACTAGGCAGAGACATCTTCTTGATGCGATCGATCAAGATGTCTTCACTGGCCACATCCAATCTCGGCTTCGACAGGGAATCGTTAGACAAAGACATCTTGGTGTGGTGTTGATGCTGGTGTCAGTGTGGCTGCTGTACTGATGGAAGAAAACAAACATACAGGAAGGGTCAGACAATGCATTTATATCTTGCGCAACGGCTTATTCTGAACTCAGTTGAAAGAAGGTTCTGTGCAAACATTACAATAGCCATGATACTTAAAGTGAGTCACTTAATTGAGGAAAACCTTAACTATAACTATCCCAATGATTGGGCGTGATTCTAATTATGCATTCAAAATGACAGGTAGGTTTTTCCCGAGCCGAAGACATCGAAGTCTGTTGTATGGCTGCATGAGTCCCTTATCATGTCAGTGTAATGGCAAACGTTAATATTCTTGAGGGACATCCTTTACATGCACATGAAAGCACTGCCACAGTCTGATATCCGATATAAATGTGGCGCAGTCGAAAAGACCAGGAAATATCTCACATCACTGAATAGCTTACTCTCTACCCTTTCCCCGCACGTTTACTGTTCTCGGCCTGACTATGGCCATTGAACATTTAATTTCTCATATCTTTTCAAAATGAGACTTATCAAAGCTCGAGTCCTTGTCGAGACGCAGCGCATTTCCTTTGAAGAGTTCTACGGTGAACTTCCACAATACGCCATTCTTTCTCACACATGGGAGAACAATGAGGAGATCACACTCCAAGAATGCAACACCAAGGGTGCCAAGCTGAAGTCAGGCTATGACAAAATTATGAAAACATGTCAGTTGGCGCTCGCAGACGGCCTCGAGTACGCTTGGGTCGACACTTGTTGCATTGACAAGTCCAGTAGCGCCGAGCTCACGGAAGCCATCAATTCTATGTTCTTATGGTACCAGAAGGCCAAGATATGCTATGTATACCTAGCCGACAAGAAGAATGATCGTCTCTCAGGTTGTCGTTGGTTCACTCGCGGATGGACGTTGCAAGAGCTGATTGCCCCAGCCACTATGATGTTCTTCAATCACTGGTGGGACTGTATCGGCACTAAGAAGAGCCTTGTAAGCGATCTGTCTCGGATCTCAAACATTGATAAGGGTATTTTGCTCCACGATGTTCCGATCTCTTCTGCCTGCATTGCAAAGCGACTCTCGTGGGCGGCATACCGCAAAACCACCCGTGTGGAGGACATGGCGTACTGCCTGCTGGGTATATGTAACATTCACATGCCCATGCTATACGGAGAAGGAAAAGCAGCGTTTCGTCGCCTACAGGAGGAGATTATCAAAACAACATATGACCTGAGTCTTCTTGCTTGGACACCGCCTGACAATTCGGAGGGTGAATACTGGGGCTTTCTAGCAGAGTCCGTGGGCTATTTTGCCTTGTGTCACAGCATGTACTCCACCGCAGACTCCCTTCTAGACGAAGGGGAGATCAGTATTTCCAACAAGGGCCTAAAGCTCAAGGCTCGTTTGTTCATACTCAAGTATTCAAGTGAAAAACATCGCTACGGTCTGGGATTGGATTACAGGACTCCTGGAAAGGATGGCAGATTTTTAACTATACCTATGCGCAAGGTGGGACCAAATGCGTTTGTGAGAGTGCGAGTCCCCAAGAAAAGCGGTTCAGACGGCAAGAAAGAGACATCGACCTCGTCTCGTCTTCAGTCTGTGTCTGCTGATGACAACGTGTTCCATAACGTCACTCTTCTCACAACATTACCTCAACTAGATGCGAAAGCGTCGCTGTCCCAAAAGGGAAACCTCGATATCGTCTCTTTCACTCGATTTGCAACGGTCAAGATCGAACTTCCTCCCGGCATAAGGATGGTTAGCAATACGGAAACACCGAGGAAGCTCTGGGACATGGAAGATAATGTCTTTTTTAGCCCTCGCGGATCATACCAAAACTGGGGCGCAGTCGTGCTTGATACAAACTCACTATTCATTTGCTTCTGGCAACTTGAAAGGAGTGATTGGGTGATGAGAGGGGCGGTTCTTGACATGGACAACGAAAGGATTCACGCTCTGTGGAAGGACCTTTATCTTTCTTCAGACGACCATTTACGTCACCAGAAGTCAGTTGTCGCGTATCTGCTGGACAGCGCCCAGGAACAGATGACATTTCCGGGTGATCTGTTAGGAGAGGAGATGGGCAACCCACTATCGTTTCGTATTCAACGTGAAGATGATTCAAAATTCTGCAGCGGTCCACGGTGGCGAGTCATTTTTGAGGCAACCGTTGGCACAACCGGTTGATTTCCGTCAATGCTATAATGATCGTAGATAAGTTCATATTCTGACAGTCATGGTCTATATATTCTGGAAAATAATACAGGTTGCTCCGCGCCAGGCGTTATATGGATCCAACACTTTTGAACACTTTAGCAAGACACCACTTCAAGGTAATTTAACCACGGAACTTGATGGCGACCTTGGATCGCTTAGCTTGACCACTTCCATACATGGCAGGACCAGGAATCTGCCAGCTGTCGCCCTGATTGTCGTAAACAGAGAATCCAAACAACTGCTCATCAGAAGTGCTGTATAGCTTCGAAGCAATAACACCAGAGCTCGACAGGTCATCATCACCAGAGCCAGTAACCTCGATGTTACCGCACTGCATGTAGAACTCAGGCTCGGAGAGATGAGCGCGGTGAAGGGCGATGAGTTCGTTACGAATAACGTACTTGCCAGGGGCAATGGAAGCGGGAATTGTTGCAGAGCTGACACCGCCGTTCTCTCGAAGCTTATCGGTGGCCCAGACACCCTCAGTGTTGGCAGGTCCAGAAACAAGACCCTCCTCAGCAATCTTGGTCCACTTGAGCTGCGTCTTATCTACAGAGGCGCAGTCGCCGTTGCAAGGCGCGATGTAGGTGATGACAGGACCACGGTGGGACTCGGCCCAGCCGTTGGGGTTGATCTCCTTGTCATCAGATGTCCAGAAGAAGGATGCAGATCCACCAGCAGCGATCTTGCCGTAGTTCTTGGAGGCCTTGGCGTCGCTTCGACAGACGAAATTGGGGCTGGAGAGGTCCATCTCGGGACCTTCATCTTCAGTAGAGAAGCTCCATCCGATAGCGTTGGGGTCGGGGGAAGGGTTCCAGCGGCTGAAACCCTGGTAGTCGGTGCCGTCGAGGGTGAAGGTGTTTAGGTAGCCGTGGGCGGCGACGTTGGAGGCCAGAAGGGCAGTGCCGAGAATGAGGTATCGAGACATGATTGGTGAAATTGAAGTTGAAGTATGTTCAAGGAGTGTATGTTTGTTGAAGGAATGTAAACGAGTTACTTGTCAAAAGTACTCTAGAAACGAATGAACGAAGAAAGTGAATGAAGATATGCTTGAATGGATCAAAACATTATTGAGAACCTGATCAGTCTTATATACAAGAGACCCGAGCACAGCCCATTACCAATTGAGAGCATTCTGCCAAGACACCCAAGTTTTAAGTTATCAAACGGATCGACATCCCTGCGAAGATTCTGAACAGAACCCCTGGCCTAGTTTAATCCTTCAACATCCTATCACGATGGTGAGCTTAACCGCCAAGCGATGTGCTAGTCATTGAAATCGGAGAGGAATGTCTTCGAAAAGGGTTTACTGGGAGCCCGATTGAGACATTCCTGTCGATCTTGGGTCGGAAAATGTCTAGTCAGGTTCCATGGCCAATACGCGCTTGCGGGTGTCGTAAGTGCCCTGGCTTCTAGTTTCTTGGCATGGAAAGGAGTTCCCAACGTAGTTTGCTTTTAGTACAAGCGCTTCGATTTCACCATCTCGGTGACCACGCGGGCAGGCCTTTAATCGAATTCTGAGAGTAGTATTCAATTGCACATCCTCTATCAGTTCCATTGTGGTAGAACATGGAACTGACCACAGCTAAGTAAGATAAGACTCCACTTGGGAAATAAGCATAAGAGTAAAACATCCATCAGGATCAGAAAGGATCGGAGTCGTTTGATACGATTCATGCATGATCCGGTTATCGCGGTGGAAGGATTTGATGATATAAGCACAGCCACTTCATCTTGTTTCAAGCTTGGATGATGATCGAGATGAGTTTGTACTAGCCTCGTGCCAAGCTTCAGCCGTTCCATATTTCAGGCTGTGGCATGTTTCATCTCATTTTGAGCTATTTCCAAGACAAGATGACTGTGAAGGTCAGCGGCCGACCAGAGAATAATAATGTATTGTGAGGTCACGCTCTACTGTGGCTGTGTCATGATGAGTCTCACACAGGCGTCACAGCTTTGTTCAACGTCGCGTTACGTATTTGGTTTGGTATAGCCGGGCTCACGTGACAAGAGGGGGGGGTCGTGCTTGCCTCGAATGTTAATGTTTCAAAGCCACGTCGCGATAAAACATTCGACTTCTATCATGGACCCGCAGCGCATGGCAAATGATCGAAAACAATCAAGAGATCTGTAAGGTCGAACCTTCATGTTCTCATTAATAAAATAACCATTTTAGTAGCAGAATTATGACAAATTTATGTCACTGCTTTCTAACACGTCGCGCTGTGCTTCGTCCGGCAACGCATGGGTCATGTGCCCAAAAGTGGTCCTCGTGCTTGCCTCGAACTTTCGAAACCGGGTCGGCGAAAGAGAAATGTGAGATTTTGCCCCCATTCTTCCAGTGCGCAATAGAGATTTATCGTGATTTGATAAGCGGCAAATGAGAAGGGACAAATAGATATCTTTCTCCATTAGCTTCTGGTTTCTGTTACATTCTTTTGCAGTATTCGGACAATGGAAAAATCTGTAGGGTAGGCATCTAAATTTCTTATTCTCAGCAACCATTTTCGAAACATGACTAGATTATCAGTTTACGAGACTTACATGTCGCTAATTTCTCTCTTCTTTCAAGACACCGTGGTCTATACATTTTGAGCGGTCATGGAGAACAGCTCACTACTGTCTTTCCAGCCACAGGAGTCGAACGCGCGTCTGCGTGACCTCTTTGCATGGAACAACATACAACCTCTCCCATGCCGAGCCCCTATGGTTGCCGTGCCATCTCGAAATTAAGCTTTCCACGATAACTAACTCGGTGCAACTTTGCGATGTTAATCAAGCTATCCGCGTATAAGAGACGACACGAGGCATCAACCTATATCCGAAGAGGCAATCATCGCATCGTAACCATTCAGAGCTTCTAGAATCTATCTCACGCGACGCAGAGTATCATCAGAATGCCGTGCTTCCGGTATTTGCAGTGTCCAGCCCAGTCTTGAAACTTGACAGGTACCGAGGAAAAATGATCCTCCACCAATGAATCGAGAGACTACGTAGATCGGGGTTAGCGTTTTCATCTTAACCCCGGGAAATGGGCATAGCTGTGGGGGCAAGGCCAGTGATCTTAGATGTTTGGGACTTTGACACGGGCCTTCATTACGGCTGAACGGCATCTGGACATTGGGGGTGATGTTGAGTATCTACATCTCACGAATTCATAAAAGGCATTGAGAATTCTGTAAAATATCCGCTTTTGTATACCATCGATCTTATCAATCATTCATTCATTACAACTGTATATACTCCTCAACAAACTTTTCACCATGTTCTCTTCTATCGTCCTTCTCAGCGGCCTTGTCGCTTCAGCTCTTGCCCATCCTGCCATTGAGCCTCGACAAAGCTGCACTTTTACCGATGCTGCTTCTGCCATCAAGAACAAGGGCAGCTGCTCAACCATAATTCTGAACAACATCGCTGTTCCCGCTGGAACCACTCTTGATCTGACAAAGCTCAAGGATGGCACTCATGTAAGTTGACCTGTTCTCGAAACCTAACCTTCAACTAACACATCATAGGTCATCTTCCAAGGAAAGACTACCTTCGGCTATGCTTTGTGGGAAGGCCCCTTGATTGCCTTCACCGGAAACAACCTTCTCATCGAGGGTGCCTCCGGCCACTCCATTGACTGTGAAGGTCAGCGTTGGTGGGATACTAAGGGCAGCAACGGTGGCAAGACCAAGCCCAAGTTCTTCAGCGCCCACTCCCTCAAGGACTCCAACATCAAGAAGTTGAACGTCATCAACACCCCTGTCCAGGCGTTCAGCATCAATGGCGTCACCAACCTTGGTGTTTACGACGTCCACATGGATAACTCCCTGGGTGATACTCAAGGTGGCCACAACACTGATGCTTTCGATGTGGGCTCTTCCACCGGCGTGTACATCTCTGGAGCCGTCGTCAAGAACCAGGACGATTGTCTCGCCATCAACTCCGGCACCAACATCACCTTCACTGGTGGTAACTGCAGTGGTGGCCATGGTCTTTCCATCGGTTCAGTTGGTGGACGCTCCAACAATGTTGTCAAGACCGTCCGCATCCTCAACTCATCCATCTCCAACTCCGACAACGGTGTTCGTATCAAGACTGTTTCCGGTGCCACCGGTTCTGTCTCCGACATCAAGTACGACTCCATCACTTTGTCCAACATCGCCAAGTACGGTATTGTCATCGAGCAGGATTATGAGAACGGATCTCCCACTGGTATCCCTACTACTGGCGTTCCTATCACCGATGTCACCATCAACAAGGTCACTGGATCGGTCAAGTCGAGCGGCACAAACGTCTTGATCCTTTGCGCTAATGCCAAGAACTGGACCTGGACTAACAACAAGGTTACTGGTGGTAAGAAGTCTGACAAGTGCCAGGGCATTCCTTCTGGATCCGGAGCGTCTTGCTAAGTGAGTGTAGCGCAATTGGGGGAATCTGAGGAGAGTTGATAGGTCATGGGCAGGCTATGATCATTTGTGTATATAATTTAGTTTCAACAATCCAAGTACATATTGCAAACTCACAGTCTTTCCCAGCCCAGTATAATCTTCTCTGTATAGAACAACGTTGGCCATTTGTTAGGAAACCCATTTTGGTATCTAGCATTCTGAGGGTATATCAGCTACTCAAGATGCTGCAATCACTACACAAATTCTGTACTCGTGTTATTCATCTGGCAATTGGGTAGCGTGGCCGCAACATTCTTGCCTCTTAGAGCTATGAAGTCGTTCGAACTAAACGCTGTGGTCTTTTAGACGTCCCGTTGTAAATAGATCACATTTCTGTTTCCGACTAGAAAGATCCTGCGAGTTTGGGCAATCGAAAGAAATGGACATGTAAGAGAACGTCTGGGTTGATCAAACTGGCTAAGCGCGCCTGCAGCGAAAGAAGGCGTCACCAAATTGTGGCTGTGCTTACTTTTGTCTCATCCTTTCAACCCAAAGACCTCAATCACTAAACAAGACCGCTCATTGGGTAGCATACCACGAAGCGTTAAAGAAACCTGCAATTATTAATGATATATGAGGTAAAAGAAATTCGCTATGCCTGCCCCACGACCCCCTAAAGGGGAGCTGTGGGAGACTCGGAGCATGCAGCGTCGCCCACGTGGAAAGCGACTGGCGCAAGAATCCGCTTCACAGCCACCACCAGAGCCAAGATGGATCAACCTCGACATCATCAGATCTTGGATCACAAACTGTAACGAAAAGCATGCAGATCATTGCCAGCGAGCGCGTCTGCCGGACGAAACACAGGGACTGCCGCGCTGGCTTATTCATGTCTCGGAGAAGCGCGTAGTGCCTCTTCGGTCTGACTATCGATATGTCGCTCTCAGCTACGTCTGGGGTAGATCGACAGGCCATGACCTGCAACTTTTAATGGAAAATCTCGAGTCATTCCAAGAAGACAAAGCACTTGAGAAGATGTGGGATCAAGTCCCCGCCACGATTCAGCATGCGATAGAGCTAGTCCGACGTATCGGCGAGACGTATATCTGGGTCGATCGCCTCTGCATCGTGCAAGATGACTTGGAGATAAAACAAGAACAGATCAATCAGATGGCTTTTATATATGGCAACGCCTATTTCACACTGGTTGCTACAGCCGCCTACAGCGCCGAAGAAGGGCTGAGAGGAATAAAAGATGTCTCACCCTCCATGCACCACAATGTTTGGCCAGAGCGAGCTAATATGGACCACTACGGGCTCGTCGCATGGTCGCCTTGGACCAAAAGAGGATGGACATTGCAGGAACTCGTGTTTTCACAGCGATCCTTGTTCTTCCATAACAATGAGGTGACGTGGGAATGCCACTGTGCTATATGGCACGAGCATATGCAACTGGCTGATCGCGATCAGAAAAGTTGTCTTGGAACATTTAGTCCAGATGCACGGGGGTTTCGGTACTCTCCATGGCCGGACCTACAAGAGTTTCATCAGTTAGCAACGAGCTATAGTCGGAGACAACTTACTTTCTCGAGTGATATTCTTCCGGCCTTTGCTGGTATCACGACAGCTTTATCGCAGTCCTTCCCCCACGGATTCTTGTTCGGTCTACCAGAGATCGCATTCGATGTTGCTCTTCTGTGGAGATCGGCTGGAAGCATATGCCAGGCCTCGGTGTTGAACGGAAAGCCTGTTCCTAGTTGGTCTTGGATGATTTGCCTCGACTTGCACATTGACGTGGATCTTTCACCATGGGCGAGCGGCTTCGAGTATATGGCACATCCAATGTCTGAGCAGGGTCGGTCGGCCACCTATCCGCCTCTCCACGTCGCATATCAGCAAGAGTGGAATTCGCGATGGAACCGAAAACGTCCTCCAGAAGGCATTTTAGACGGACTAGTGACAGAGTCAATATGTACGTGGTACGTCAATGACGAGTCGGGCGATAGACCTATCACGAACGATCTCGAAAGATTTAAAGCCTGCAGTACCGACCCGGCACTTGCGCTTCCTCCCAGCTGGCAAAGAGACGGAGATTTGTTCTACCATCCGATTGATCCACAACGAAGATTCAAATATCCAATTCCACTGGTAACTGACGAAAACTTGACCGGAGCTGAAAAGGAACCCTCGTTTTTGATAAAGACCCAAACTGAGCGGGCTTTCTTCTATTGCGAACCATCAACAAACGGCCAATCTATACACAGACTTGAAGGAGACGCCGTCGTCGACCTCTATACCAGTGAGGGGACATGGGTAGGCTGCCTTCGCGCACAGACGAGGTCTATTTTATGGCTGCTTCTTTGCAGAAAACTCAAATGCGAGTTGGTAGCAATATCGAGAGGGTATATCGATTCAAATACCGGTGGATGGTCTCGTCTTGACGAGTACGAGAAGCTGAAAGTGCAGGAGAGGGAAGACTACAAGTTCTACAATGTTTTGCTGATTGAGTGGAAGGATGGTGTTGCTTATCGACAAGGCATCGGACGCGTGGATAGAGCGGCTTGGGAAGCGGAGTTCCGCGAGGCGATCGAATTAATTCTAGGTTGATCCGTCGGACTCGAAGCGGGTAATAGTGTAATATTGGTGGAAGGTCAGTATTGGTTTGGAACGAGTTACGTTTGCCGGAAGTACCGGAAGCACGACTTTTATTGGAGCGACAAAGCTAGTCATACCATCATTTTGCCTACTCGCAGCTAAGAGTGATGCTATTCGACACTTGGTAATATCGTGACACATCTCATCTGGCTTGGACTCTGCAGTGATTTGTGCCTTCCGTTAAAAACACGCTGAAACAGTCAGATTCACATACCATCCTCGGACTATCTCCATTGCTACTGGCTAGTTAAGATTCGTATAGTATATCATCTCCGTTGAGCCCGTCGGCTATTCAAGCATGGCTATGCCACTTTATCGCCTTCGAAGGATCTACCTCACGTAAGATTTTAGAATGACGCGTGCAGTATAGCCAATCCGGAACAAGCCGTTTAGTCGGTACGCCAATCATAACCAGGAATGAAGATCACGTACCCTAGTATCGGCGATTAGAAGAGGCCGGTCTCATGATGTATAAATATGCGAGCCTTTCCATTTCCAAAATCTACAACAGTGTGTGTGAAGCAATATCTATAGCCATAATGAGTCGCGTCAGTGTCGCCGTCATTGGTGCTGGTGTGTTGAGGCTTCACCTTTCAAATCCTTGATGCGATGCTAACAACTATTTCTCAAGGCCCGACCGGCATCACGATGCTCAAACAGCTGTTACAGGACGGTTTCAATGCTACACTGTTTGAAAGACGTAGCCAGGTTGGCGGGCTATGGGCTTACGACGCAAAGCATGGCTGGACCACTGCTTTAGCGACGACAACGGCGAATATCAGCAAATACACATGCGGCTTTACGGATTATCCTATACCAGACAGTAAGTCCATCCAAAAAATCAAGTTGCTTTACTGATTAAGAACAGAGTATCCGGTTCATTTAAGCACATTCGATTTCCAAGAATTCATGCAAGGTTATGCCGAGCACTTTGGCCTTTTGAAGCATATCAAATTCGATACAAGTGTCAAAATGGTAAATAGGAACAAAGAGGACAACGGCTGGGAGGTTGAAGTTGAAGATGTGGAAAGTGGAAAGATTGATAGACGCCATTTTGATAAGGTTGCATTTTGTCATGGCTACCAGACCACGAAGAGGATGCCCGTGTTCCCTGGACAGAAGGAATACGAAGGGGAAATCATACACTCGCAGCAATACCGAAGGTTTGCACGTCCTCAAACAGATCGATTGGCAAATATGCTAACAAATCACCAGCCCCGACTCGTACAAAGATAAAACGGTTGTGCTTCTTGGTTTATCCACAACAACAGACGAGATCGCACCTCAAGTCGCCGCTGTAGCTGAAAAGGTCTACATCTCTCACAGAAGAGGACAAATAGTCGTCAAGCGTTTCAGAAAAGGACGACCAACAGACCTATTAGCATCATGGAGACGTCGCGTGATATCTCAATGGATCGCGCGTAATTTCCCAAACGCCTACAGATTCCTCGCAAACACACTCGCTAAGCTATTGACATCTCACTTTGCGGGGATGAAACTGGATCCAGCGTGGCGTCTTGATAAAATCAAGGACTTGACTCTAAGTTTGCCTGGACTGATTGAGCATATTATACCTCTTCTGAAAGAAGGCAGCGTGACAAGTGTACATGGCATCAAAAGGTTCACGGGTGGAAAGTCGGTCGAATTTGAGGATGGCACGATACTTGACGACGTCGATAGCGTTATCTTTACTACGGGCTATCAAGCTGACTTTTCGCTGGCACCCTTCGTCGAGAAGACTATTCCACAGTCGCCCAACTACCAAGGACCGGCTATCCATCGACTCTATATGAACGTCTTCCCACCGAAATACGCAGATAGCTGCGTAATGCTCTGTTACTCCGCCTACGGTAAGAACAACGGCTTCTCATTCAGCGACGTAATGAACATGGCTATTTCCAACATCTGGCGGGGCACAAGTTCTCTCCCCTCTTACAGTGTAATGGAAGAATGGGTGGACGAGCATCACGAATGGCTAGCAGCAAACTGGGCACGAGACCCAAGTATAGACCTCAGCATGGTAAAGCAATACGAATTCCAACCGTGGATGCATGAAAAGGCTGGCACAGGAATGGAGAATTTAGGTTGGGGATCAGCTGGTTGGAAGTTTTGGTGGAAGGATCGGAAGATGTATAATCTGATGAATAATGGTGTTGAGACGGCGCATATGTTTCGGTATTTTGATACGGGCAAGAGAAGTACGTGGGATGGAGCGAGGGACGAGATTATAAGGCAGAATAGGATCGTAGAGGAGACATTTGGAAAGAAGAAGAATAAGGACAAGGCTAGAGAGGAGTAGAGATGTCTTATCGTTTAGTGGTGTTTTCGGCGAGAAGGCCGAAGGCAAGATCGTAGAAGGATTCTCTAAAGTTCATCTGTTAGCGGGGACCCTGGTTAGCTTGACCCAAGCCTGTTTTCTTAATATTAAGCTTGTTAATCGGCGAGGTTGAAATGATAGTTGCCCCACAGACTCTAATCTAGATAAAGAAGGTGTTTGCATTTCTACCCCGCGGGGAAATTATGGGGGACACATTTGGGGGTTGAACTACCGGTAAAGTTGGCGATGTTTACCGTAGACGAGGTTGTCGGTGTGCGATGCACCGAACCGAGGCCTTGGCAATTTATGATGCATTTATTTAAACATCGAGGCTGATCCTACTTTACCATTCTGCAGGGCTCTCAAAATGCATCTTCTTCGCATCACTGTCGCTGTCAAGGCTGTAGGTGTGGCTTTCCTCGCTGCCACTGCCACTGCCTTTGATGCTCCTCGCGATGAGACGAGTCTCAAACTTCTCACAAAATCCGCCGACGCACAAGTCCAGGGCGTCCTCGACAACAAGAAAACCTCGTTGACCGGCTCACCACGATCCCTCACCCGCGCCGTTCGTCAATTAGTCGTGCCCTTCCTATGGGAGGACTCAACATACTTTCATAATGAAACTCTTGTTCCGCACATCGAAGAAATGCTGGACGTCCTGCAGAAGGTTCAGCACGACGACGGTACATACACCGTCGGCAACCGTCATTCCCCACCTGACACGGGCTTTTTGATCGAAGACTTCGGTATTATGGTGCGCATCCTCGAAAAAGACGACCATGAAGCATCACAACCTCTCGCGGATTTGATCCGTGGTATTCTTGTCAAAGCGGGCTCTGGTCTTTCCAAGGGCGGCATTCACACGCCCAACCATAGATGGAAGATCTGCAGTGCATTGGCGCGAATTTCTCAGATCACTGGAAATGAGACCCTTGTAGAGAGAATTGATGAGTGGCTTGCTGAGGGTATTGATATCGATGCTGATGGTATCTACTCTGAGCGAAGCCCCAATTACTACTCTGCTGTCTCTAATCCTTCTTTGTTGACTGTTGCCCATGAGCTCAACTACACTGAGCTCATTGACTATGTTCGCATGAACCTTGAGCTGTCAATTGAGCATGCGGAGCCAAACGGAGAAATGGAAGTTGTTCAGAGCCGTCGTCAGGACCAACAACAGGCTCCTTCAATTAACATCGGCAACTTCTATCCTCAATTCCGCGAACTCGCTCTCCTTGACAACAACGGTCGTTTTGCCGCCATGGCTCGACTAATCGAAGAGCTCATCGGTGAACAGCTAGGTGATTTCTTGGCTAATCTCATGGAGCGACCTGAACTCGCTGCACAGCTACCTGAGCCAGAGAAACCATTCGTGGACTTTGAGAAGCACTACAAGTCTGCTGGTCTTGTACGTGCGCGTCGCGGAAACTTGACTGTTTCTGCCTTCGGTGGATCAGATTGGTACTTGGATGGAAAGAAGGCTGAGTTCTACAACCGCATGGGCTCTGGTCTGTCGACAAACCCAACCATGTTCAAGGCATGGAACGGCAAGGCCGTTCTCGAGGCCGTCCGAATGAGCGCCAATTTCTTCAGCATGGGCCACTTCCGATCCAATGGCGTCAACGTTTCAGACAGCGGCAGCATCCAGCTTGGCAGTGAGATCGAGGTCCCTTACTACCTTCCCATGCCATCCGAGCGTCGCGACGAAAACGGCACATACAAACTCTCCCGATCCGTCGACGGCCGTTTCTACGCGATGGCAGACTTCGAAAACCGACCAGCCAGCATGCGTCGTCTCAAGACAGAAGTGGATATTACTCCCACCAAGGCTGGCTACGATCTCAACTTCCAAGTTACCGGAGAAGATGACGTCGAACTTACCTTTGAGATTACGTTCCGAGAGGGTGGAAAGTTCAAGGGTGTGGATGAGTTTGTGGATAGTGATAACACCACGATCTATCGCCTTGCTGAAGGAATGGGAGAGTACACCATGGGTGATGATAAGATTACCTTCGGCCCTGGAAATGGAATGGGAGTTATTCAGAATGATGCTGGTGAGCAGTACAGTTGGCATGGAGGTAACCTGACGTTGGCGGGGAGTCATGTCTACATCACTGGTGTTACACCATTGAACTATACCCTCAACTTGGGATTCGCCTAGGCTTAGATATACACGGATTAGAATAGATTTAGTCAAATAAGATCACTTCTTGAAAGACTCGTCCAAACTATTCATCAAAGCTCCGGTTAGTCGTGTAATCTAACGGATATGGCAATTTCGATGCAACGATGTTATTCTCATAAGCCTTATGCTGAATACAGAAGCAGCTGGCTTAATTCTAAAGTGTTATTACCAAGAATCAGATGGGCATCATCACATAAAAGAACTCTTTTTGGGTATCAGAATTGGATCATGACATTATACTATGAGGCTATCCTTATCACATCTATCATACGCATTGAAAACATCTTACTCCTCCAACTCAGCCAAGATAACATCGGCAGCCTTCTCAGCCACCATGAAAGTAGACACGGCAGTGAAAGTACCGGGAATGCGAGGGTAGACGGAAGCGTCAACGACACGCAGACCAGCAACACCGCGAACACGGAACTTAGAGTCAAGGACGGCCATCTTGTCATCATCGGCACCGATGGGGCAAGTGGAAGAGGCGTGGTGTCCCCAGGTGTTGTCCTTGATGTAGGTCTCAACATCCTTCTGGGTCTTGATATGGTCACCGGGGAGGACCTCGGTGATGTTGACGGCCTGGCTGGCAAAAGCCTTTCGAGCGAGCTCAATGGCCTCGTACATGGCCTGGAGATCCTTGTCGGCGTCACCGTTGCCAGTGTCGAAGTAGTTGAAGGTGATCTCGGGCATGTCAAGAGGGTCAGCGGAGCGGAGGACGACCTTGCCGGCGGTGTTGCGGGGGTGAGCCTTGAGGATGGCCCATGAGAACCAGTCGTGCTCGATGGTGGCGTTGACGGCGTACTGGGGGAAGTAACCACGGAAGTTGACGGGACCACCGAAAGCGAAGATGTCGAAGTTGTTCTTCTCGGCAGTAGAAGACTTGTAGAACATGGTGGCAGCGAGACCGGAAGAAGAGTAGATACCGTGGTCACCGTCAACAGGGGCCCTCCAGCGGTCGAGGCAAGGGTCCTCATCAGTGAAGAGGCTGAAGGTGCAGCCGTCGAAAGAGGTGAAGTTCTCAGCAGGGTTGCCCTGGACGCTGATCTCGTAGTGGTCCTGGAGGTTGGTACCGACACCGGGGAGATCGACAACGACGGGGATGTCAAACTTCTTCAGCTCATCAGCAGGTCCGACACCGCTGAGCTTGAGGATCTGGGGGGTGTTGTAGACACCGCCAGCGACGATGACCTCACGAGAAGCAGTAGCGTTACCAGCCTTGCCAGCAGCGCCAGTGGAGAGAGGGCTGGCAGAGTAGAGGTGCTTGCCGTCGAGGAACTCAACACCAGTGGCACGGGGAGTCTTCTCAGACTCGTCAAAGAGAACCTTGGTAACGTAGCTGTTGGTGCGGACATCGAGAGGGTAACGCTTGGTGCCGTTGTCGAACTTGGCATCGCGGACAGAGAGAATGAACTCACGGGGTCCAACACGGCTGGCGGACTTGGTAGAAAGCGGGATCTGGTAGAAACCGGGCTTCTGGTCACGGGCGAGAGTGTTGGCGTTGGCATCATCAGCGATGAGACCATCCATGGTGATCTCCTCGCCAGTGACCTCAGAGAGGGCAGCAGCACCTCCGCTGAGGATGCTGAGAAGCTGTTGATCGTTGAGGGGGATACTGAGAGGGGCAGTCTCAGTGCTCAACCAGCCGTCGTAACCGTGACCATCCTCGCCAGCAGGGCGATGGTTGTTATCCTCGGCCTCAACGAAGTACTTTCGCATGTTCTTGGCAGACCAAGAGTCATCGCCAGTGAGCTCAGCAATGTACTCAAAGTCAGACTGGTGGGGGTAGACAGCGATCAAAGCGTTGTGAGCAGTGCAGCCACCAAGAGCCTGGGTACGAGGGTACAGAGTACCCTTGAGCTTGGCATCAGCGGGAGGGTTGAGACCAGTGTACTCTCCGTTGGGAGTGTCGTAGGTGGTCTTGAAGTCACGAGCCTGGCGCTCATCGTCGGCGTAGTGCTTGACGAAGAAGTTCCATGAGATCTCGGGATCCTCGGAAGCGTTGGCAGAGTAGGCAGGGACGGTGTAGTTGGTGCTGGCGTAGTCATCACCGGCCTCAATGAGGAGGGTCTTGTGGCCAGCCATGGCCAGGCGAGCGGCCAGAGGACCACCACCGGCACCGGAGCCGACAACGATGTACTCGTAGCCAGTCAGAGCGACGGCGTACGCAGAAAGAGGAGCGGCCAAAAGGCCTGTAAGGAAGGATTGTCTCATGGTGAATTAAGTGATTAAGATCCAAATAAACAACAAACAAGGGAACTAAAGGAGTGGTTTCCCTGTAAAGTGATTATAGTCAAGTCGTCAAAGAAGGACTAAGGAAGGAATGACTGGTCAGAGATCGACTGATGAGTTGAGAAAGTGATAGACATGTCTTGTGTATTTATCTGTTGGATATGCCGACCGTCTCCCACTCTGAACCGAAGCATCCATGTCCTTAACGCAGGTTCGACGTCGGCAGTGTCCGTACCGAGGCTGCCAATGCCCTGAGTGCAGGCATATGCGATGCAACGGTATCAACATGAGTCGCACAAAAGTCCAGAAATAACACCTTCCAGAACCAATAACAGCTGCGGCCAAGCATAGTTCCAACAACCCCTTCTTGGCTATGCACCAACATCTCAACAACATGTTGCCATTCGGCGCAATCTTCAACCGTCCATCTCCATCGTCAAAGTCACATCAACCACCTCGCATAAGGGATCGTAACTGGGAATGGAATAGTATCGGAGAAGAGTGGCTATGTATAGCCTTTCTCCGTACTTCCGAGACCATCGCGGCTTGGCTCAAGTTTCTGCACTACGGCTTTGGGGGCGAAACAAGGTTAATGAGCCGCATAGCGTTGCATCCACCAACTGAAAAGATCCAATGCCCGCTCGTGGGGTGTCGCATCAATGATCTACGGCAGGGGTCATTACCCCTGACGCCCCTTTCTTTAGGAAGGCCTCTATCATAATGCCGGTCACTATTCGCAGAGCATTGGTAATTTGTCCGACTCTTGAAGAAAATCAGGTTTAGTTTAATCGCCAGGAACAAGAGACGAACACGTGCGTGAGCGGAGTTCGTCTGGTCTTGGAGCAGGATGGTGCCATAATTATGGGCATTAGGCTACCTCCTGATAATATCCGCCGCTTCTATCGAAAGCACTGACGCGAACAAGGACCAGGTGGCAAATCATGAAGATCTAGCGAGACTGTTCCATAATTCTGAGGAGTCTATTGTCCGCGAATGTTAGCGATATGTTCAACGACTTTTCGATACGTCTGCACAGGTCGTAAAACACAATGAGAAACAAAAGGCAGGATAGTTGAAGAGAAAGAAGAAAGGAAACATTGGATTGACAATAATGAACTATCAAATTTGAACCACACCCGCCTGTAATCCGCCGTTCTCAATACGTCATAGATATAGGGTAATTGGTGCCAAGCACAATAAATGGATGGAAAGGCTCGTATTTATGTTCTCAGCCTGGACTCGTATTGATGTTTATAGCTTGGAAGCTCAACATGCATAGTTCATGATCTGTGGCTTTCACTGTGTTGTTATGTTTATGTACTTTGTAGGACCTACCCCTCAAGATAATACGAAAGTTAAACATGCCCGAACGGGACGCCCTAGTGGGTAACAGAAGGATTGTCCTCCAAGGCTTAGGGCGTTAAAATAAAATAGCTTAAAAGCAGGTCGAGACTGGCATAAAATTACTAAACTATTTCATCTCTTAGGATCTCAGGGTCATTTCTTCTGACACCCTAAGGACGGCCGGCCATGTGCGGGTGAGCTCGTATGATGAGAGGTGAACGGCGGTTTTCCGGCCTAAAATGACAGCCACAATACATGCAGGGCTTGTTGAGGTTACGAGATTAGCCGATTCGATAGTATCATCTACTCACTCTTGTAAGGCTCAGCTAATGCAGTTCCTCACATTTCAAGGCCAGAAGCGTGCCGCAAAAGGGGGCCTATAAACTTGTCGTGACCCAGCAGCCACTACGCCCATGGGTCACTGTTACACTTTCGGCACTTGGTCCTACTGACTGCATTTGAATTCATGTTGAATTGTCTCTTCGTACGGTCGTCACATAACTAGTCTGCTTGTCAGTTGTCACATCCGAGACGCGACTTCACTCTGGGATCACGGCGGACATACGGCTGTCTACATGGACGTCACAAGACATGTGGCACTCTTATTCCTATGATTACAAGACATACTGAGCTTGCGGTGACTACTGCTTCTGTCTTCGGATATCTTCGCTTATGTAGTTAATAGCTCTCAATGGCAGTCTGATCGAGCATCAATTATCGCGAATGTGTCAATTGTGCAGAGGGTCTTGAAACTCACCATACGTTTAGACCGGACCTTAATAGCTTTTAGGTTCATAATCTGCGATCGTATTTGTGTTGTTTTAACTGGATACTCTGCAGGACTTACTACTTGGGGAAACCCTAACTAGTGTTGTGGCTGTTACGCCTGTGTTAAGGAAGGAAACTACGAACTCATGGGAAGGGAAAAATGGGCAGAGCCTCTCATCACACCTCGCAACATACATACATGCAGTTGCATCGAAATATCACAAGATCATCAGTCGGTCTATGAGAGACTAAGAAAGTTGATGTTCGGATTGAAAAGTGTTGTGTTTGTCAAATATTTATTTCCAGATCGCCTTTACGGAACTGTTACCACAACAGAAACTGGAATTTAACGAACGAATTTGAGTAACGTACTCCTGGCAGATATCGCAATTACTTCAAGTTTTGTAATAAGTATATTTGAAGACCTCACGATGTATAAAGTTTTCATATCTATAACATAGCTATATCCCTCCATTTTCACCGTCGTCTTTACCCATAGCCCCTACTGTCCATCAACATGCTGTACTCAGTCATCGTCAGAGTCTGGCGAGATAGGTCGAGGTGGGGGTTCAGGATGAGGGGTAGGAACGGGGGGACGAGGCTGAGCGGGCTTGGGAGATTCCGGTCGAGGCATTTTGTTCTCTGATATAAAAGTTGGATAGTAGATTTTACTGTGTCAATGAAGTGTCTAGGCTGTTAAGTATCTTGTTCGAGTAGTAGTAAGTCGACGTGGGGCACGAAGGGTTTATATAGGCGCGAAGATATAGTGATTATATGACAACCGCATGTTATGAGTTTCTGATCCAGGTTAAAAGCTGAGGATTAGTTATTAGTTGTACTCCACGTCGCTGACCCAATGGTGCGGATCAGCTTCATGTATGACAGGAACTACCGTGGTAGATATACAAATCCTTCGACCATCAGTCAATCACATCCGACTATCCTCACCACGGCAGGGTCCTCACCGTGCACCAACACCTTCTAAGGGACGTCTGTGGGTCCTGCTTACTGCTGACGCGAACTGAGGAAGCTTGGTTTGAATACATGTGGGTATCTTCATAGAATTTGATTCACTGAGTCGAGCCCAGGCACGCGCTGCGTTCATCTTCAAATCTGTCACCGCTGAACCCTAGATAGAGTCGAATCCAGGCTACGGTTATTTTCCATCCGTCCAGAATCGATCTAATGCATCCTGCCGAACCTCATATGCCCAATGGTGACATGTCTGGTGCACCACAGGACTGACATCCGGCGCGTCTTCGTCCTCCCCATCATCAGCAAACACACTCCGTATCCCAAGAGCCACATATTTCTTAAGCAATATTCTCCTCCAGCGCCCAGTTTCTCCGACACATTTCTTCCAGCGACTTATTTGCCGCTCGTCATCAGCGCAGCGACGGCCCATCCAAAAGCGACAGTACCACTGGAACCAACCACGAACATCGTACTCATGGGCTATCCATCCAGCTGCCTCCCACTCTTCAATACTTTGTCCGCACTGGACGCCATATTTGTTAATCTCGGGGTCGTATGTGGTGCTGGTGAGATACGTATCCACGTCTAGACCGGTTGTCCATGAGGCTGGAAGCTCTCTCCAGTCGTCTTGTACCGTGATGCCCAAGCGCTTTGAGCGTAATGGCCTCCAGTATGATCCGCCAAAGCTTCCTTCGCGAATGATTTCCTCGGGCGATTTATTCGGTCGAAAGTCGGGGTGTGACTCAAAGCGAATTGTTCCGTTGACGTCACGAACAGGATCGTCACCCTCGGGCTCCCATGCTGTCCACCCGGCTATTATAGCCTCGACGTCCTTGGAAGGCTCTTTACTCGACTCAGTTTCTGAATCCGATGCCGAAAGGGCTTGTTGAGGTTTTGAAGCTTTCTTCACACGGGGAGCACCTCTTCGCGACGAGGAAACACTGACTTGATCGTCATTGTCGTCATCATATACTGGTTTTGATACAGCCTCTGCTATGCGCCTTGACTGTCGCGTAGGGGCGCGCGGTGTTTCTGCTTTTCGTTTATTGTTTTTGTTACTGCTCTTGGCTTTTGGCAGTGAATTTTCAGTCTTTGGTATTATAGGCTTGATGTCCTTGAGAAGAAGTGCATTATTCTCAATGTTCTCGCGTCTTCGGGCTGCAAAATCGGCCATTGAAAATTGAATCTTCAGTTGTTATTGTGTCATGGGAATTCTAGATGCGACTGAGTTTCTGTCGCGTCGCGATATGGAATGGAATAGAGTACGTCATAGCACTCACTAACTTCACTGTTGATCAAGATCGGAAGGACCCACTTGCCAATATTCTCCCTCACCTTAGTCATCTAGCCACAACAGTCTTGGGAACTTCCACGGGTGAATACTTGACGGGAATACGGCATGGAGTTCCGCTGACCTGGGTTGTTTGCTCAAGTCTACGCTGTAACTACGGAGCGATGGTGCCATTGATGGATATCAATCTTGGAGACCAGGGGTACTCTGAATCAACACCGGGTAAGGTCTTGATGCTTCAATAAATAACATTAGGGGACTAAACATTGTTCACCCACCGACTCCGCATGTTCAAGATGATTTAAAGACACATACAGCAATGTCGCTACAGACTTGATCAGCAAACTAACAAGATTTATATCGGCGGATCAACTCTCAGCATGATGCCATTGACAACTAAAGACACAAAAGCTACCCTAGAGTTATGCAAATTCGCTAAACCCTGAATAGATCAGACCCATATATGACAGGTGCCTGGTTGGTCAATCAAGTTCTTGCTTCAGGTGAGACTGTCTAAGCCATTCTCGGGTAAAGACCGCCGTTATGTCGCCGAGGAATGGGAATTGTAAAATGGCGGTATCTTTATGCCCCTGACTTTACCTGTCATCGGGCCCATTCATGGTTCATGGACCTTGTAGAAACTTGAGTGAAATGAAGTTGCTCAGGCCATCAAGTTCTTGCGATTCGGTTGGGACTACCAAGAGAGGAGAGCCCATGAATGATGGTTCTCGACTGAGATATCATGTCAAAATCTTTTATGAAAGTCTCGTAGCTGACTGGACACTCATTCTCTGATTCCGATGTTAATACTGCGTCTCCACGCGGAAAGTCCGACCCCAATCCCTGCAGACAAAGTCCCGCCAGCTTGGCCGACCCTGTCAGTTCCAAGTCTCGATGTTCAAAGGCCAGAACCATCTAGGATCTATCCGTTAGTGCGTCAGGATTCCCATACTGCACTTTGCCGGTGGTAATGGTTCGGTTATGCCAATGCAGGTCTGCGTCAAATGTGGTCTTGATGGGACTTTTAGATTGATACCCAACAACATTCATTTCGCTTCTGCTGCTTGATCCTGATTCTCGATACCTTCGGGCTAGAAGCAATCGACAAGCTGCTTTACATACACATTGTGATAACGTAAAGAAGAGAATAAGAAGAATAGTGTTCGTCCGTCCATTAACTCGAACACTTTATATAGGGAAAGTGATATAAAGAGCTCAAGTACGAGACCGACGAGCTGGGTCTGGGCAGACCTTTTTGCGTCGCATAATCCACCGTATTATTCGTCTCACTTACCACCACGAGTTCAAGTTACGGAGGCGACTCAGACTCACCGCAACGAGACTCTGGAAAGCTAAAGTAACTGTCAACTTACCCGAGCGTGGTCTCTCATTGATCCCTCGCAAATTGGACAGGCAAGACCTGACTTGTTGCATGACGTACAACCACCGGTCCTCGATAATGGAGTTCATGACTCGGTTAAATCGGACTTATAGACAAAGACCCAGACCAGGTGGATGGGCCTCGAATGTGTTGCACACCTTTCGATGGGAATCGGACCACCCTCGCCGAACATGCGGCTGGAAGACATCTGTTACGGTGGATAGTTGGTACACGTAAACCTTGGTAATTGTCAGTCATTGTACAAAAGAAGAACTCTCCACAACACTACCTACTTTGAGGATGGGCTTTACATATTGTGGAGGATGTTAAAGTACATGATATCAAGATAACAAGACAATGGTACCGACAAGGTCTATCCTTGTACAACTTTTACAACTCATTACACAATCGCTCCTTGATCTGGCCCCTCATTTACGTACTTGATTTTAACCAGGAACCTCAAACCGAGCTTATGCTAAACTGCCCTTCGGAAATCTCAGGAAGTTTTTGTTCCTGGCATGGCAATCCCTCCTTGACAACCACATGTTTGTGGTTGTTTATGATTTCTCCAGATGTCGTCGAATTAATCGTTGTACAAGCTCAATAAGGATAAAACTTCCCGAGGCTAAATAAGAGTCTTGGCCATGCTGCAATTTAGCCAGAATTCAAGTTGCAAGGATCCGCATGCTGTAATCCGGGGCATCATGTTCCATCTTCCTTAATCGGGCTAGACATATCGGCAACCGGCCGGTTTAAACCCATTCGGATCGGTAAAGTCCCAGGAATCTTCAAATCGCCCGTCTATCTATGTCTTGTTACATTGTTCGATACCACTCGTCGAGCTTAATCTGCTGATCGACATAATAGACGAACTTAACGGCGTAAGAATCAGAAGCAGTGAGATCACTCGTCAGTAAAAAGCAAACTCATGTTTTCAATGCTGCCTTCTGCCAAGTTCTGAGACCCCTGTGACGAATGTTCTTAACGGCTCGGGAAATATACCCCAAAGACAAGGGATGCCTCGGTAGTGGCCATCGGGATGAGATGAACACTAGGAAAATATGCATGGGGTACAGCTTATCGCTTTGCTGTTGGTCGTCCCACCTTTCTTTTTCTTACCTTGGCAGTGGAAATGACCTGTCTACGGCTTTATGCCGCATGGTAGTAATATTGACAAGTGAGTTGTACCACTCGCCGTACCAATCCATCTCCCTCCTACCCTTTGTAGCAAACAAGCTGTACGCCAAGTGACATCCTCTACAAACGGATGAAAGGAACCAAGACATTTGATTTAGCCAAAATGTAAAAAAAAGGTGTGGTTACTCCAACTCTGCAGGGCAAAGATTAGTCTGTGATCTATGCATGTCACTTCCCTTTCGACCTGGCCAATCGCATCACAGAATTGCTGGTCTTGGTAAGTCTTGATCCCCTCATGACCGATCATGAGAAAGCTTTACCGTCTTGGCTCCTCATGGGATAAAGTGTTGCCACGAGGATGTGTAGATGGTGGGGAAGGAGGGGCAGAAACATCCAAGATGAGTCTAAATTTGCTTTTGTTTGTATTAGCCTGGAAAGGAGTTAGTCTCCGAAGACTAGGAGATGGGAACTTGTTCGGAATTAACCACTAGCATGCTTGGCAATATCTTGGTTTTAATGCAAAACTCACCTCCCACGAGTATATATAAGACACGATCGCTCGCCAACTGAGCATACTTTTCTTCTCCAGGTCAGCCCTCTTCGAACAATCAACAACTTGCTTCTCGGACATCAAGAACCACACTCTCATCAACATGGTCTCTTTCAAATCCCTCCTCGTTGCCGCCTCGGCTATCACTGGAGCCCTTGCTCGCCCCTTTGACTTCCTCGAGGAGCGTGACGACGGTAACGCCACGTCTGTTCTTGAGGCCCGTCAGGTCACCGGCAACAGTGAAGGCTACCACAATGGCTACTTCTACTCTTGGTGGTCTGATGGTGGTGGTTACGCCCAGTACCGCATGGGCGAGGGCAGCCACTACGAGGTCGACTGGCGAAACACCGGTAACTTTGTCGGTGGCAAGGGATGGAACCCTGGTACTGGCCGGTAAGCTTCTTTTGGATAATACGTCAGATTGTCCCACTGACACTACGCAGAACCATCAACTACGGCGGTTCTTTCAGCCCTCAGGGCAACGGCTACCTTGCCGTCTACGGTTGGACTCGTAGCCCTCTCGTCGAGTACTACGTAGGTTACATCAAACGTCAAAGGCCGAATGACTTACTGACAAGATACCCAGGTCATCGAGAACTACGGCTCTTACAACCCCGGAAGCAGTGCTCAGAGGAAGGGAACCGTCTACACTGATGGTGATACCTACGATATCTACATGTCCACCCGCTACCAGCAGCCTTCCATCGACGGCGTCCAGACCTTCAACCAGTACTGGTCCATCCGCCGCAACAAGCGTTCCAGCGGCTCTGTTAACATGCAGGCTCACTTCAACGCTTGGGCTCAAGCTGGCATGCGCCTTGGTAACCACTACTACCAGATCCTGGCCACTGAGGGTTACCAGAGCAGTGGCTCTTCTTCTATCTATGTTCAGACCAAGTAAGCTACGGCTGTCCTAATTGGATATATGTGAGGATTGTATAGTGGAGGTGTAAGAGGAGATTGGCAGGATTATTTCAGGGCTATGTACTGTTACTCGCTGGCTTTTACTGAGTTATGATGACCAATTCATGCAATGAGCAACCGCCTTTTATTCACTGATACAATGGAATTTACAAATAGAGTAACGTGACTGCGAACCATGTTTAAATTTTGTGGAATGACGCCAATTCTATCACGAAGTCGGCAAAATTTAAAACATCAATCCTAGATCATATGCTGGCACCTATGGTACATGAGATCCTCCTACTGAATTTATTTTAATGGTAGTAAAAAAGATAGACCCATGTTTTACACCTGTGAGGATAGATCACAGCCGCATCAGAATCCTATACACCTACCTATTAGATCCTAGTGCGGTAAGCAACTATGGATCCAAACAGTATCTAAGGTAAGAGAGAACTTACGATAATGCTGCGCCTCAGTTGAAGGCCAAGGAATATTGTAAATTCCACCAAATCACAAAATCCTTCATTTTCAAGGCATTGGCCAGAGGCCTCCACTTACTGGAGATAGTCATATAAATTGCTAGCTCTAACGGTGTCCTCAACTACATTCTTTGACATTTTTCTCAATCCAACGCCGAGCTGATTAGTACCAACGAAACCATGACTATCTTCAAACTTACTGCTCTCTTGGCTTTGAGTGCGTCGCATGTAGTGGCGCAAACTCCAACCCCAACCTCTTCTCCGACTACTACGAGCTTGACTCGCCCATCCCTAACAATACCGGCATGCTGGTCCCTCAAAGACTCCCTCCCCATCACGGGCGCACCAGCACCACCCATGGACATGTCAGAACTAGGTGTATCATTCGCCCTCGGAAGTCTCTACAACACCGCTGATCCATGCCAACTTCCTGCCATCACCGGATCGTCAGCCGAGGAATTTTCGGAGTGGGCTTCGGAATGGACAAGCTGGCAGGCTCAACATGTCTCCGAATACCGGATCTTGTGGGAATCTTGTAGTGATGAGCCGTATATCACTGATCTTGTTCCTGTCGGACCTGACGCGTGTAGTACTCTCAGAGCCAAGATTACAGGGACTGCTTCTGCGGGCGATAGCGGCGACAAGGACAAGAAGGACGATGAGAAAAAAGATGACGACGCGCCTGAGAAGGTTGAGAGCTCTTCAGCCTCTCGTGTGATGGTATCGGTACTTGCTGCTCTGGTTTTCGTTGGCGTACTAGGTGCTGCAGTATGATGAATGACATCGAGCACAACATTGGGCGATGTGGCTTCTTTGTTTTGGTGGAGTCTGGCTTTCCATCTCACAGGTGTAGCTCTTCTCTCAGTCATCAAAGGTCGGCGTCAGGATACCTAACTCGAGAATACTATAGAGAGATGGACACTCGGTAGATATTAATAACAATGGCTTGTCCGAATGTGCTTTGACGTCGGGGTTTTCCATTATGATAGATTGCCTGTGTCCTCGAACCAGCAAAATGCTATTGGTCTCTAGGCGCTCAGAATAAGTGCTTTGACTGGGCTCCATAGCTCGAAAAGCCGCCAAATATCGGAAGCCATGACTTAAGCCGATATCTTTGATCTTTGGAAAATACCTAACCACGGAAATACATATCATATCATATCATCCTAATGCAGTAACAGAACTTCCGTTCATCTCTTACGTCACACTCTTCAAACGCGTAATATCGGAATTCCTACTAACAAGTGCCGTCTTACATTCCAGAAATCCTTCCGACCCTGACTATTACAGATTGGTCCTATTGGCGTATTTAGTGGACTCGCCAGTGCAAAACTTGGTACTGACAACGCTTACTGCTCCAATCAGGAAATGATCGCAGCCATTAACACTTGCCGTACCTTGCCCGTACATGGATTACGATCCTTGAGCGGCTTATCTCGACCTTTTTGGGGTGGTTGTTCAGGTACGTAAGATGTAAGACAATGTGCGCTCGGAGGCTTTCGTTTGTCTTCTGATGTTATCAGGTAATTGAGCGATGGTATATCTTCATGCCCGATTTCCTTTCAATTTAGAATACACAGACTCAAACAGTGGCCCGACTGCTACACGACTTGTGTAGAGATTTATGCGCAATGGATTCTCACAACCAAACAAGAGACCACTTAGGGTCCGGACTAATGTCTAGAGCCCTCGACTCTTACATCTCCTACGCTGTCATCACTTTTCTAGCCATGCTCATCTCCTTGTCTCAATTCAGCCAACCACAAGATCTGCTTAACCCACGAAAGACTTTCGAATTTAGCAATATCCCCCGACTCCGCCGATATATGGAAAACAGTCAGAGCCTTGAGACACTCGCTGCCGGAGCTAGGCGGTTTGTTGGAAAACCTTATAGACTGTTCTGCGAGTGGGGAGAGTTGACGATTTTGCCGCCGCAAATGATTGATGAGATCAAAAATGATAAACGATTTGATTTTGGAGCGGCTGCTAGCGATGTAAGTTGGAGGCAGAACCATTCATGGGAATGGCTGTACATTATTTACCACCTTTTTAGGATAATCATGCGTACATTCCTGGGTTTACCGCTCTCCAGCACGATGAACTCATGCCAAAGATCATTTCAAGGCATTTGACAAAGGCGTTGGGTTGGTACTTGATCGAATCAACATCCCTCCAGATCACTGACCAGATGGATTGTAGCCAAGATCACGAGTCCCCTATCAGAAGAGGCTGCCATTGTTATGCGAAATGTTATTGGAGACTCAACCGGTGAGTATTCATACAGCATACCGATACTCTCTAACATCTATCCCAAGAGTGGCACACTCTCGATCTGAACGAGCACATCTCAACAATTGTTTCCCGCATGTCCTCAAGAGTCTTCATGGGCGAAGAACTCTGTCGAGATGAAGGCTGGAACAACGCCTGCGCCTATTATACCAGAAAGACCTTTGAAGCCATGATGATTCTTTGCGTCATTCCAAGATGGCTACGTCCTTACATTCATTGGATCCTCCCTCAATGTCGCGAAGTCCGCCGAGCATTAATCGCTGCCCGAAAAGAACTTGATCCTCATATTGAACGTCGCCAGCGGGTGAAAGCTGAAGCACTTGCTCGAGGCGAGAAATCTCCCTTCGATGACGCGATTGAGTGGTTTGACCAGGGTGGTTCAGCGCTTCCGCCTGCTGACTGCCAGATTGCGCTGACGCTGGCTGCTATTCATACGACTACTGACTTACTTTCTCAAACGATGATTAATATCGCTACATTTCCCGAAATGTTCGATATTCTGCGGGAGGAGATAGTTCGCGTGCTGTCGGTTCAAGGGCTGAAGAAGAGCGCGCTGGCTGATCTCAAGATTATGGATAGCGTTTTGAAAGAGACACAGCGAATGAAGCCAATTCTCATAGGTAAGCACATCAGCATCTCGCAATTATGTAAACACTGACGCATTTAAAATAGGCTGGAGGAGACGAGCTTTGGAAGACGTCACGCTCTCCAATGGAACAACTGTCAAAAAAGGTACAAAGATCGTCGTGACAGCTACACACATGTGGAGCGACGAAAACTATGCCAACGCCAAAACATTCGATCCATACCGATTCCTTCCCAAGGATTCAGGCAAGGAACAGATGTCATATCTTGTAAACACAAGCCCAAATCACCTTGGGTTCGGTCATGGTACGCACGCATGTCCAGGACGATTCTTTGCTTCCAATGAAGTTAAGATTGCGCTTTGCCATTTGCTTCTCAAGTATGATTGGAAGCTTTTGAACGGGAACAGACCTAAGCCTATGGCTTTTGGAATGGCGTATATGACGAATCCTGACGCGAAGCTGCTCATTCGAAGGCGGGAGGAGGAATTGGATTTAAGTACCTTGGAACACTGAGGGGTATTTAGCAAGTGATGGTCTGGGTTGATATCATTTATGTTGAAGACAAGGCGGAGACAAGAAGAGCATTTGTCCTCGAATAATTGTTTGGTGAATGGCAAAACAGGTTGTTATCGGACTCTTTCCAGCTGCTGGTGGTTGTTACTGGCGGTAGGACTCAAGAGGATGCAGTGAAAACGGAAAGAAGCAATGTTGGAAGGAGGCGGGGATGACTACAGGTGAGCACCGGTGTCGAATTTCGAGTGCTCCCCGCCTCCTTCCTGGTGATGGTTGTGGATTTATTTATTTTTTAGAGCCACCATTGAAGCGCTGAGATTGGAATTCATGCACCCGGGGTTCTCGGGCATTAAAACTGGCAGCACTATTGACAAGGATATTTTGTATCCTGGTAATCGAGAACTCGTGTTTCACTGGAGTACATCACTGCTTAGACTGAAATCTGGAGACCAGAAAAGAAACCGTACAAACAAAGACACAACATGGGAAACCACTGTTTTTCTCAAGAGTACCCTGAACTTTAGCGAGTCATCGAACACCATCCAATGAACTTATCCAAGCTACAGTTGATTAAGCCACCATTCCTCAGCTACAGCCTCACTAAACCCCATAAAACAATTCCACTAAATGACATCACAGTAAAACCCAGCTAATTATAGCCCAAAGCTAATATCGGTACTCCGGCACATGGAGGCTTGTCATCACGAGGAGAATTTGCAACGCTACCAGCCTTAGTTTCTTTTTTAGCTGTGTCTTAACGTTACATTCTGTTGCCTTTCTGATCAATTGAGTTTGAACAGCGTTGATTGAATTACCATTCTGGATAGACAATCTGTCGCATTCGTTCGGTGAAGGCGAAGACGCTAGACTAGAGCCGCAACGTTGGTGAAGGTAGCAGCAGTAGCAGTAGCTCGTATTATCCCACAATTCAAGGGCTCAGATCTCGTAACGTGCCGATCTGTGGAGTTGAGCCAAGAGATAATTACGGCAACATGGCTTTATATTAAATAACTGCAACTGCCTTGATCTCCTTTCCATTTTCATTCCATCAACATTCTCTCATTCATTCTTTTCCATAGCATTAAACATGCATATCAACACTTTTACCTTTCTTCTAGTAGGCCTCGTCGCCCAATCCTCCGCTGTCCCTACAAAGCGCGAAGCCGTCGACAGCTGTCTCACACAAGCCAAAGTCCCAATCGACACTCGAGGCTCTCAAACATGGAAACAGGACGGCACAGCGTACAACCTCCGCCTTCAATTCGAACCAGCTGCCATCGCAGTCCCTACAACAGTCGCCCAAGTCTCTGCCGCTGTTGAATGTGGCGCTAAGCATGGCGTTGCTGTTAATGCCAAGAGTGGTGGACACAGCTATACCTCTCTTGGCTTCGGTGGCGAAGATGGCCATCTCATGATTGAGTTGGATAGATTGTACAGTGTCAAGCTGGCTAAGGATGGCACGGCAAAGATTCAACCTGGTGCTAGACTTGGACATGTTGCGACTGAGCTTTGGAATCAGGGCAAGAGAGCTCTTTCTCATGGAACATGCCCTGGGTAAGTACAACAATTTGAAGAATTGGCGATCGTCACTAACAGTTTGCAGAGTTGGTATTGGTGGTCACGCTCTGCACGGCGGCTACGGTATGGTCGCCCGCAAATACGGCCTCACCCTCGATCTCATGACTGGCGCAACCGTCGTCCTCCCCACCGGCAAAGTCGTCCACTGCTCCAAGACCGAAAACTCCGATCTATTCTGGGCCGTCCGCGGCGCCGGTGCATCATTCGGCGTCGTCGTCGAGATGGAATTCAAGACCTTCGCCGCGCCTGAGAAGATTACATACTTCGATATCGGCCTCAACTTTGACAAGAACTCGGCACCTCAAGGAATGTACGACTTCCAAGAGTTCGGAAAGACCATGCCTGCGGAAATCACTATGCAGATGGCAGTTTCCAAGAACGGTTATAGCGTTGACGGTGCTTATATCGGTGATGAGGCGGCTCTGAGGAAGGAGTTGCAGCCTCTGCTTCAGAAGCTTAATGCTCAGGTCACTGCTACAACTGTGAACTGGATTGAGCTCGTGACTCACTTTGCGGGTGCGGGTGTTGACGTTAACCCCACAAGCGCTTCATATGATGCAGTAAGTCACCTAACTCGAAACTCAACAAGATACATAGCTAACACATCTCAGCACGACAACTTCTATGCCAGCAGTCTCGCAGCGCCCGAATTGACCCTTGACCAATTCAAGTCCTTCGTCAACTACGTCTCCACAACCGGCCAAAGCAGCAGCCACTCATGGTGGCTCCAAATGGACATCTCAGGCGGCAAATACTCTGCAGTTTCCAAGCCCAAGCCCAGCGATACCGCCTACGTGCATCGCGACACACTACTCCTCTTCCAGTTCTACGACAGTGTTGCACAGACCGCACAGTACCCTTCTGACGGCTTCGGTCTCATCAAGGGCTTGAGACAGAGCATTTCCAACTCATTGAAGGAAGGTACCTGGGGCATGTACGTCAACTATCCCGATTCGCAGATTAAGGGCGATCGGGCGACGGAGATGTATTGGGGAAGCAATGTTGCAAAGCTGGAGTCGGTCAAGGCCAAGTACGACCCAAAGAACTTGTTCCGCAACCCTCAGTCTATCCAGCCCAAGGCTTAAGTGTATCGGGGCTTCTGCATAGAGTTTGTTTGTTTTTCTTGTATAGAGCATTATAGATTTGGCATTTAGCGGCATTGGTATCTAGACTATTATATAATCCACCATTGATCTCAAGTCTTTTCTTTTTGAACTAGTGATCAACTGTAGCTTGGCAGTATTAGATAGCCGGCTTTACTTCATCAACAAGGCAGCCAAAGCTTAACCATAAAGCTCTGCTAGGTCTAGTGGTTTCGGTTGCATGTATTCATGCGCATGAGCGGGTCAAGGTCCATCTTATCATGAGTCATTTTGACTATTCCGCGCATCCCTTGCCTTATCAATCATCAGAGGCACCATAGCACTGGCAAGCTCCCAAGCCACAGTCTCCTCATAAGTCGGGAATTTCAACACCATATCTAACGTAGGACCCCTATAAACCTTTTCTGAGTCACTCATAGCGAAAGGCCACAAATCTTGGATGGATGCTCCCTGTGTAGTTAGCATTGCACCTAGTTCATCCCATAGGAGACTGCCTAGTATGCGCATGGTCCCTTTGTACCCGGGTGATTCCGCACTTGTATCTGTACCGTCAAACTTTGCATCAACGGCAAGGACAAATTTGGCTTTGGAAGGGGCTGGTTCTAGATATGATTTGATGGTGGCTTTGTCGATGGCTAGGAAGACTCGATGGTGAACTGGGACATCGAAGACGGCGTTTTTGAAGTGCCTGCTCTCATATTAGTTTGTGAACCGGCGGACATTGTATTGGCGACTTACTTCTTGGCACCCTCGACATCGTCATCCACAATATCCTTCTCAGCATCAACCCATTCGATCTTGCAAGCTCGAAGAGCATCATCGATTCCTTCTTTTCCACGTCCCCAATCCGCTACATCAGCTTCAACCCGTCTCTTGAATTTTGCCCACTTGTCGTCATCGTACTCCCGACACAGCCGATAGGCGACGAATCCTTTCAATTTATGCCCTGGTTGCCGGGCGTATTCGATCCAGCGATCTACAGTGCAAGGCTCCGAGAACCCTCTAAGTTCATTTCGGGCCATTTCTTGTCCATCGATCTGGCTGATGCTCTTTATGACCAGGCTTTCAGCATTATTCAGAGGCGCTTCCACGAGATAGAGACCTTCTCGCTGCAAGTGGTTGTACATCTCTTTTCTGTCTAGAAAACGAACTCGTGCCTTGTAATCTTGTGCTCGCCAGTGGATATTGGCCGACCACGAGATCGGCTCCTCACGGAAGCCTCCTCTGCGATCTGCTGGTAGCGGCTTGCGCTCCTGAGCGGAGAGGCTGTCGCCTTTATAACCATCTGTAGGCATGAATATGATGTAATCGGCCTCAGCTGTGTTTATGGCTAGATCGTGAATCTTGTCTGTCAGCTCCCGCTGCTTGGCATCAACGGAATCCGATGGGGGAGGCTGATGGCTACCCAGTGCAACGACTATTGGCTCTCGAATTCGGTCAATATGCTCAATCACCCACTGGTGAGCCTTCTTGCACATATCATCGTAATGGGCTCTAATGTACTGGTACCACAGGCCAGTCACGGAGACCTCGTCGAATGGACCACCCTCAGCATCCACTTTGCGCTTAGCGTTGACCGCTCGTTCAAAGACCTTGAGGTGATCCCAAATCAAATTGTATGTAGTGCGCAAAGCATGCTTAGTACGCGGGTTATTGAGGTAGGCGAAAACATTGATAACAGCAATGAAATACTGACAAGCAGCTTTGAAGTTTTTGGGGTCGTCAAGCTCCAACTCAACCCATCGTCGTTCAGAGAGGGGCGGTAAGCCCTCCCAAATTCTTGACTTCATTGCATGAAGCTCCTTGGCAATCGGCCAGAGGCGGGCAGAGTCTTCGGATGTGCCAATACGAGTGACGAACCAGTCCATAGTTGATCTACTCTGGAGGTTGAAGGGGGCAGGTGCCCAGTCAGGGAATGGGTTACAGATATTCCTGGCCTCTTCAATGGTGAGTAGAGTGTGATTCGTCTGGCCACCATCAGGAAGCCGGCCGTTGACGAAAAATTCGACAAAATGCGCGATTGTCTGGGGCTCCATGATGCGGTCCATTTTCCAAAGTCTGTGTTGCTGACGAGGGCCGGGGCGAGTTAAGATGAGATGATTGACGTCTGTTGGGCTATCGGCCTGGCGTCTGTTGCCACGAAGTCTACTGGCCTCGTAAAAGTATTGATGAAAGGGTGTGCCATTCTCGGTCAGGGCCATATCAGCCCGAAGCATTCGCTCAGCATAGTCGGACATGATGAACGATGAGCGTGAGGCGTTATCATAAAGCGACACGCGTGGAGTATGATATTTCTGCTTCACAGTTCTGGACCGGTTTTCTTAGTTCCCAAGGAAGCCTGGTAGGGTCTAAATGATTGTGTTCAGGAAATAGAGCGGTCAAAGGAAGTTGAGTTGTGAGAAAAGTTGGTCGGTAGTAAAATGAATGTTAGTTCAGGGGACCCGGCCGTTTCCCGTTACGGCCGAATCCACTATTTTAAGGCAGCGGTTGGGGACTTCATTTCATTCCATCCAATCAGAATGAGTATGTTAGAGCGACTTGCCTGAGTCAAGACAGAAGAGAAGGACTTGAGGCCATAGTTAACAGCTACCAAAATTCTTTGAGATCCTTTGAAAAGCAATTTCATTCAAAGCTGATTAATATTCGTTGTTTCGAACGTGCTTTGGAATTGCACATCCGAGCCGGGGTTATAGTTGACAAGATGAGGGCAAAATTGCAACAAGGCAAGTATTTTATCATGGTATCGCAGTTTGAACCCACATCAACGATTTTGGTGGTGTTTTGGGCATCCGTACTTGTCATCGTGATGAAAGAGAAGCAAATCGAAATATTTGGTTTCGGTATTGGATCTAATCTTTGGTTTCCCAAGGTCATCTATGCTTTATTTAGAATTCTCTCGACTCATTAAACTCCATGGTAGACCTTGGTAACAACTCCAAGCTCCATCTCATTCGCTGATCTATCGCCTTCTGTACTTGTATGCGAAACAGCTTCTCTCAAAAATCCTGGCTGACCAGGTGGTGACGGCGCCCTTTGGTCCGATTTGACCTCCTCCGTCGTGATATTGACCGTGACCTCATTCTTCTGATAAATCTTCAACGGTATATCCTTCCCGTTGATCTCTTCCTGACTATCGTTCAAGCTCATACCAGGTTCGACGTAAGTAGGTCGCTTGGGTCGTCGATCCATGCTGCTGAGATTACCATACGCAGAACGGAAGCGCGATGCTCCTTCACCAGTGCGTTGGTTGGATGATTTGCCGTAACCGTAGCGTGCGCTGAAAGAGCCGAGACGGAAGACGCGTTGGAGGAGTGTCCAGGTCAGAGGGAGATTGGCGGCTATAACGGCGGTTGAGACTTCGCGGATGTACCAGTATGACCATTCGGTGCCGTAGGGATCACCAAGACTGTATATCTTGGACATGGTTGCTGCTAGGATCTGCAGTATGTTAGAAGGTCTGGGCGATAAGGCATGACGTTATAGGACTTACAGTGAAGATGCCCAGTGCAAAGATACCACAGAGAATAATCTTCCGTTTGAGTGGTAGTTGAGACTGTAGAAAGACCGGCATAGGAAGGATAATGATCATTATGTCTGAAGAGATGTTGATGACAGCGTTGGTAATCATGTGGTTCGTTTCGGCTGAGCAGTTCACTATGATCACATTAGTCAAAACTCCTCACATGAATAGTATTGGGAAGTCTTACAGTCATCTGGAGGAACCTGCCAGTAATGGTCAAAGGGTCGACACCAAGCAGCGAACCACAAGATCTGCATAACCACGAACCCGACGACCACATATCCGGCTACAAGCTTGACCAAGAAGTTTTGCTTCAAACTCAGCCTGCCACAATTAGCTGGGTCATTGCATCCTCAGACGAACAACAACTTACGTAAGTCGGCTGTACATGAACAATAAACATCCCTTGACGCCCCAGATAGTAATCATCTGCATATGTTCGGTAACGAGCACCAATTTCGACCCGTATTCGCGTATCTTGATATCTTCGGGGGTGAGTTTCAAGTTGAGGGCCGGGTCGATGAGGTTGGTTGGTGTATGGCCGAGGACGCTGACGACTGCAAGGAGGGCTGTATATGTGATCTGATACGATTAGTGTTCATTCGTAGAGCAAGAGAAGCTGTAACTAACCATTGTCAAGGCCATGAGGTAATCATCTGCCAACATTCCCTTGAATGATCCCAACAACATTCGACGAGAAGTCCTACAAGAATCAGTAGCTGACATCACAAGACTAAAGGTGTACTTACATTCTGAAGATGACCACGAGGAGTGTCAAGGCGTACCATGCCCACATCTCGGTATCGAGTGCTGCCATGGCTGCTGGTGATGTCTTGGTACCTAGAAAAGGCCTTCACAAAAACAAACGCAATAGGTCATGAATAGCAAAGAAAAAGAAAAGAACGAAAAACGAATGTGGTGTGATCTGCAGATGCAAGCCAGGGGTGCAGCCGCATTAAGTGTCCTCTTAGATCTCCAGTGATAGACTGACCTGCATGGTCAACACGTGGAAAGCTGGGATTTTGAATCAGCCCAGTCGAGTCGGTCTAATATCGGAACCTGTCTTTTCTCCCACGATGCTTCTACCATCCTGGCCAACAAGCAAGCGATTTGGAGGTTTTGAGTTCATTAGTGCTTCGATAAGTCAGACGCTAACTGAATTGTCAAAGAGCTGCTTCGCCAGGTTACCGTCCGCTAGAGACTACCATGGTTAGACCAAGCCACAATGCACAACCGAAACGCTCGCTTCGACTAGACTTGCGGACGAGATTCCTCTTTGGAGAGATAACGAATACAAGGCTGTCTTTACTCGTATTGACAGCGGATGGTGATCATTTGAAGAGACCGTGCTTCTAGACTACTGTCATAGCTGAAGATCATGGAAATCTTCACCACTGCGAAGTCGGAACTGACAGGGCAGAAATCAGGGGACCAAATAAGGCTTGATCCACTATTACGTTTCTTTTTACTGACAATCAACAAAACATGTGATTATTGGTCAAACTCGATGCGATTACTCCCAGACAGTGACACTAACGATAAGCAATTTTTTGCGTCTCCTGTCAAAGAAAGGGGGCTGATCGTCTGTGGCTTGTCGGCGAACTACCTCTTCTAGGCACATCAGATGTCGAGTGGCGTTCTCTATTAATGCAGGTCTATAAGACAGAGATGTCGCTGCAGGGAAGACACATGTGATTGACCCCTGAGCATGTCCCGGCGATGTGGTTCAGATCTGGATGGTAACCCGATGATGTGCGCCCGCAGAGGCATCACAACAGGCGATCATGAGGTTCTGGACACAATAGAATCGGTGCAGGAATTATTTCCGCGCCTTTGGGTACATGCGACGACTGTCACGGTTATTTGCAACTGGCTTCCTTTTAGTATTGGGTTAGGGAAAGCTTTTCCGGTTTGTCCCCGTCAAGATTGAAATCATGCAAGTGTCGGTTACTCAATCGTGGTTGTCAACCGATTGGCCAAAATCCTTTGACTAAAATGCGTCATTTTCGCGCGAGGAAAATTGTGTTCCTGTCCATCATTTCACTTGCGACATCGGATGACGCCACGATTCGTGCCGTGATCCTTCGCGCTCAGCATTCGAGTCATGCTAATTTGATGTCAGTTCAGCTTGTTGATGAAGCAGTGACATCCAATGATATTAAATGGATATTATTAGTGGAATTGTCTCTCTTAACAGTAAGAATTCTACTACTAGCGCACGACGTTAGTTTGCTACATAATCATGACTCAGGAGGACTTCAAAAGTCAGAAGCCATGAGAATTCAATTAAAGAGATATTATTTGATTTAAATTGAAGCACCGGGTTTGGATTATGCATTCTGTAACCATGATGGTACTCCGATGCCACTATCACGACACGAAGGTTGAATCGCAGGTTGAAGCCTTGGTTGCTTGCGGGGGAGAAACTACTTCCAAGGTCCCGTCATCCAACGCGACCTTTTGTTCTCAAGTCGTTATTCACGTGCAGGTTCAGTGGAACGAAATACTAATGGATTACTTGGATTAAGTATGTATGCTACTATACACCTATAAAACAACAACACTGAGCATCTAAGCTACAATCTCAATGCGTCTCTTGTTCCACTGGTGGCTCAGGGCCTTGGCCTTGGGCTGTCTCTTCACCTCATCGTACAACCTCGCGGTAAGGTACTTGTAAATCCAGACAGAAGCACCGTTGTACACAATACTGTGGTCGCTATCGGTGAAAGCAAACATCTTCATCTTGTCAGGTGAAACGCCAGCGCCAACGAGGAGATCAATCATGGCAGCCGCGTGCTGGTAGTGCACGTTGTCGTCACCTGTGCCGTGGAGGACGCTGAAGCTACCAGCGATGTTCTTGAAACCGGAGACATCGTGCACGGCTGTCTCAAGGTATCCCTTCTCATTCTCGTCGAGAGTCTTCATGTAACGCTCCGTGTACATGGAGTCGTAGAAGCGCCAGTCTGAAACGGGAGCTGTAATGAGACCGAAGCTGAACACGCCAGAATCCGCCTCAATGGTCTTGGCCGTAAGATAACCGCCGTAGGACCATCCCCACATACCGATCTTGTCAGGGTCGACGTAATCGAACATAGAGACAAATTGCTCAGCAGCCCAGATCTGGTCGAGAGGCTCGAGCTTGCCGAGTTGAGATGTGACCATGGAGCGGTACTTGCGACCTTGCATGGCAGCACCGCGGTTGTCGACGGTGTAGACAACGTACTGGAGCTCAGGGTCGGATGAGATGTACTGCTTCCAGTTGAGGGCCTGGAAAGACTTGAGGGCGCGCTGGGAGTTGGGACCGCCGTAGGGGGTGAAGAGAACAGGGTACTTGTTGGATGCGTTGAAGTTGGGTGGGAGCTGCTGCATGACGTTCAGGGTGTAGCCATCGGGGTGCTCCAGCTCAAAGTAGGTGATGTTGGGGAGGTTGTACTGGGTGAGGTTCTGGTAGAACTGCTTGTTGTCGACAAGAGTACGCACGGGCTTGCTGGTCGAGTTGACGGTGTAGAGCTCTTGGTAGGGAACATCAGGTCCCTGGTAATGGAGGATGTAATAGCCACCGTTGGATGAGAAAGAAGCGCTCCAGTAGGCGGGAACGGTCTCATCGACGAGAGGAGTAAGCTTCTTGGTCTCCCATGAAACCTTGTAGACATGTCGCTCGGTTGAGTGGCTCTTGGCAGCTTGGAAGTAGATGAGCTTCTTGGCAGTGTCGATGTGAAGAATAGTAGAGACCTCCCACTCTCCGGAAGTAAGCTGCATAGCCTCTCCGCCGTTGACGGGATACAGATAGATGTGGTTCCATCCGTCTTCGTCGTTGACGTCGACGTAATAAGTCTTGTTTCCGGAAGCGCTCAAGGGGCCGACGAAAGAGATGGAAAGAGTATGCTCTAGCCATCCATCGCTGCCATCGCGCTCACGAACCACATTGGACTTGAGAGTCTCGGGGTTAACAACCACGTGGGCATCGTGGTCCTGAACACGGTTGAAAGCGCGGTAGATGAGAGCGCTGTGATCCTTGGTGACCCAAGCAACCTCGCCGATGATGAGTTCTTCAGGCTCAAAGGCATCGACAGGAACGGGCTTGTACTCGCCCGCGGAAACGTCAAGGATGTTGAGCTCAACGGTTGGGTTCTTGGAGCCGACCTTGGGATAGCGTAGGTCAAGCTCGCGAGGGTAGGTAGGGGCGACCTTTTGGTTATCCATGTAGTAAGGAATAGTGAATGTACCGACGCCAGTCTCGTTGAAGCTGAGGAACGCAATGAACTGTGAGTCAGGCGACCACCAAAGCGCAGAGCGGCCGCCGTAAATCTCCTCCTCGTAGACCCAGTCAGGAACACCATGGAACATATCGGGACCGCCGTCAGAGGTAATCTGCTCGACCTTTCCATCACTGCCACGAATAAAAAGGTTGTTATCGCGCACAAAAGCCACGGCATCTCCGTTGGGCGAAAACTGAGCATACTGAATATCGCCAACCTGGTCCTTCACAAGCGGCTCGCTCTTGCCAGATTCAACATCAAGAACAAAGTAATCCGCAAAGTAAGAGTAGCGATATTGCTTAGTATAGTTGGAAGCAGCCAAGACCTTCTTGGCGTCACCGCTGATCCAGTACTCGTGCAGATCTTTGGGGAGCTTATCAGCCGTGACAAACTTGGTCGTCTTCTCGGAAACAATGTCCTCGAGAACGAGATCACCGTCGTCGCTGAGGACGATATAGTTTCCGTCGCCGCCAGCGGAAGACCAGTCAACGCTCAAAGAAGACGGTCGCAGTTTGGCGCTTGGGCTGGTCTCGTTGAAAGTGAGGAGGCGATCGCCCTCGCCAGTAGGCTGATGGGGCTGGCGAGGAGGATCAACAGCCAGTCCCAGAGGGGCAAAGGCCAAAAGAGTGGCCAAGACGACTTTGGCAGCCATACTCAACGATTCAACGGCTGACGTTGAAGGGAAAAGAATGAGGGTGAAAGAGGGATGAGACGAGAAAGAAGAGAAGAAGGTCGTGCGCATGAGTCTTAATAAGTTTTCCCTCTACGATAAACAATTCACTGCCAACTTAAGCTTATACCAGGATCTTCGCGATCGACAAGGCCCTAGCGTGCTATCGCCTTCCCTGGACGGTTTAGATGTAAATACGGAGCCAGGGTGGAAAGGTGATAGACCTGCCCGTTTGGGACTATTTGGAAAAAGTTCCCCGTGTTATGTTGCACCTGCCAAGAGAATATGTCTTGGGCAAGCGACAAAAGTTCGCGACGACATGGACGCGATAAGAGAAACAACAAAGGCAGGTTGGTTTAGATAAGAGACGTATGACGTTGGGGATTTCTAATTGACAGACTCAACACCAAGGATTCTGACATGACCCCTCTTTAAAGACTATCGTCATCGACATGAGACGTGTTTCTCCACATCAACATCCACTTATGTATGACCTCAATCAATTGTTAACATCTAAATAAATACAACTAACCAATATCATCACCTCACAATTTGGACTCAGACCTACTCTTCCAATCAGGTTTCCTCTTCTCCAAAAAGGCCCCAATACCCTCTTTCGCATCCTCACTCTTCGCATGCAAAGCCATAACTCTCCCCGCCCATCGCGCCGCAGTCTCATACCCATCACCACCATCATCTCCGCTCGTCGCCCCGATACCAAGTTGTGTCCAGTAAGCCCATTTACCTACCGCCTGCTGCTGCGGTGACATCGATGCCAGCTGTTCCACCACAGCCGATACACGACTTTCAAGTGCATCGCTCGGCTGCGTTCCTGTTACCAACTTGACCACGTCAACTGCACCAGGATACTCTGACGCCGTTACAGGTTCAGCAGTCGCAAGCAACCGGTATGTCGCACCAGGCGACAGACGTCTCGAAACCGCAGTTGACGGGCTTGTGCAAGGCAATCCGATCTTGGCTCCGGGCAGAGAGAACTTTGTATCGGGCAACGCAATGGGAAAGTCTGTCGTCATGGCAAGCTGGAATCCTGCAGCCGTAGCAAGACCTTGTATAGGACAAACAACCAGTACGGGACTTCTCCGAATCAAGCTCATGACTTCTGCGCAGAGACTAAACAGCAGCTTCACGTCGTCATACCCAAGCTGCGAAAGTTCCTTCAAATCATGCCCTGACGAGAATACGGGTCCATCGCTGCGAAGTATAAGCACATCCGGCAGACCATGACGCTCTTTCTTCCACTCGGCAGCGCTGACTAGCCAGCCATACTTCTTCCAGATATCCGATGCAATATCCCTTTTTCGCAATGCCTCTTCGAGGTCAGAGAGGATGGGCTCTTTGAAAGGCGGTAGAAGACGAAGCTGTCCCGACACAGGAGACGTCAGCGCTTTGGTGAGCTGGGTCTTGAGGTCTTGCAGAATCGATAGACTCAAAGCATTGCGCTTTGCAGGGTTGGAAAGACGGATATACGCGGCATTTGGGGGAAGTCTGGGAAGATGCATCTTCTTTTTCTTTCTATTTGCACTTGCAATATCTTGAGCTTTGTGTGACGAGAAATACGTCGTCTTATTGCGATATAAGAACTCTTCGTGGGTGTTATGATTGTTCAAGACTCGATAAATACCCCGCACGTGCGGCTGTTGATTTACCTCGGCCAACTCAAAGCCGCATGAACGGCATTACTAAACTCATCATATCAATTTTCACTGAATTCCTAGGTCAGAAAGTTAACATGAACAGAGCTACTCTGCCCTCTCTTGGGCCTTCGGCAGCAGAAACCTATCACTTGTGGTGGTGCGTAAGACAACACATCTTGTCTTTCAGGATTATTCAAGTATATTAACATTTAGATTCCATATCATAAGCTGATCATACGTCATAACGGTCCGACTCGTCATGAACAGGTCGATAAACAAAATAATCGAATTTGGCCTCCAGTGCGAGCCCGTTCACATCCGAAGCAGCCATACCCACAAAAGCACCAGTGAAGCTTCCATCGTTTGGATGTCCTCCACACTCGTCTGATAAAAGTGAAGCATCGTAGACAGGTCCAACCTTGGTCAGCTCTTGTCCTTCGAGGGCGTAGTAGAACTGAAGCTTGCTTCCCCGAATGGTCAAAGCGAGCTTCACCTTACCCTCATTGGGAAGCTTGACGGGGTCGGCAAAGGGTTTGTTGAGACGGCCCAGAGGGAAAGTCTCTTCGGAGCGAAGAATGAGGAGCTCACGTTGTCCGTCAGAATGGGCTGTGACAGTGAGATAGAAGAAGTTGAACCGGCAGTAGTATGCTGTTAGACCGGCAAATTGGCGTTCATCTTCGGGAGAAAATTCAATGACCGTCTCGGCATCATACGAGAAATGAGTCTGACGACGAGCAACGAGTGCTTGTTCGAACCATGATCCGATGGACTCTCGACCAATTAGAGCTAGTTGGCCATCTTTGATGTTAAAGATGCGCTCAGGTTCAGGTGTTCGGAGCCATTGAAAGTCGCTGTGAAGAGTGTCCTTGAAAGTATATCGCTTCTCCTCCCAGTATGCTGTATCGTCACGCTCAGCTGGAAGATCCACGTATAAGCTTGGAACAGGACCGTTCTTGATGTACAGCCAGTCATCATCTCCCCAGTAAGCTTCCTGAATGGCAGTCTCACGACCCAGTACCGAGCGTCGCTTCTGGGTAGTAGGCCGACCTGTCAAGTGCACGACATAGGTCTTGCCATCTGGTGTCTCAACGATCTGTCCATGACCCGCTCGTTGCAGCGCAGCATGGGGCGCATCCTTTGAAGTAAGGATATGCTTCTGGGGGTGCACTTCGTAAGGGCCCCAAACGTTACGAGATCGTGCGAGCGTTATAGCATGATAATATCCTGTGCCGCCCTCTGCTGTCGAGAGGTAGTACCATCCGTTGCGCTTGTAGATATGAGATCCCTCAACAAATGCTAGGTCTGTTCCTTCGAAAATATTCTTCCTGGGTCCAACAAGCTTATTGGCCTTGGGGTCAAATTCCTGCAGAAAGATACCAGAAAATGTTTGTGGACGAGAGCGATGATCCCAGGTCATGTTGTTAAACCACTTCTTGCCGTCGTCATCATGGAACAGCGACGGATCAAAGCCCGAGGAATTAGCATAAACGGGATCTGACCACGGCCCTTCGATAGACGTCGCAGTGACAATGTAGTTGTGGGCGTCTTTAAAAGAACCGTCCTTGCGTTTAACATCGGTGTACACGAGCCAGAATTTCTCCCCGTCGTGACTCAAACAGGGCGCCCAGACACCGCAGCTATCGGGCTCACCACGCATGTCGAGCTGATTTTTGCGTGTCAGCGGGCGTACGACAAGAGTCCAGTTGGCGAGGTCCCTGGAATGGTGGATCTGAACACCAGGGAACCATTCAAAAGTGGACGTGGCGATGTAGTAGTCATCACCCACACGGACGATGGAAGGGTCCGGGTTGAAACCTGGAAGAATGGGATTTCTGACTTGAGGCATCTTTATGGATAGTGAAATGAGTTGAGTTGGGTTGATAAAAAGAGATGCGTGATTTGTGAAGTGATCTTATACCAGTTGTGGTGGTACAAGGTATCGTCATATCATTTAGGCTAAATGCATTCCGTGGAGAAGCGCGGGGGTTGACTGTCAACGTCCCCTGTCCTGTCAAATCATGACAGACATTATTTCCCGGCTTGGCGAGTGGGAAAATGCATAGAAATACTGAAATGAAAACTAACGATGGAATAGAGGGTTCCTTGTTTTAGTGATCAAGGTTCATATCACCTTGAATGTCCATGCTTCCTGGAAAGCTCTCCCAGAAACCCTGCGTAGCATCGGCAAACATGGCGTACATATTACTACCGAATGCAAAGTCCGTGTCGAACAGGTCAATATCGGCTGGGGCAATGAAATTGAGAGGGTCGGTATTGAAGTCTACACTTGTGCTTGATGCAGCTTGGTCGTTCTCGCCATCTGTCGCACTCTGGGGGCTTGTCAGTCTTGAGAGTTCGCATATTTGTCATGTCGGCTTACTTGTTCATCAGTGCTCTCAGCGTCAGGCTGGCGTACAGGATCGGGCTGGAGAGCGCCGTAGTCGATGATAGCGTTGCGCATCTCTCGTCTTTCACTTGGCGTCACTGCTAAATCGCCGTCGGTTTTGATATTACTGTAGAATATTTGCATTGCCTTGATTTTCTCGCGCTATCACCCGTTAGACATGTCCGTAAGTCAATGTTCTCAAACTCACCCAGGTATCGGCCATAGGCCAAGCTTGTCGCATATCTTTCAGAAACAGAAGACCTTCCACAATGTGTTCCCGTCGTTTGTCGATTTCATGGGGTGTGTCTCCAGGATTGGGGAAGTGATAAAAGTAGAGCATGGTTCCAACAGCTGTGTAAATGGTGAAGCCAATCCACGGTACAAGACCGCGAAGAAAATACAGGCCAAAGGCTCGTATCTCCTGTAGCATGTCACACACTTGCTTGGCCACTTGCACAAGCTCTTTGCTTGACCATGTTGACCATTGATCCCAGTCCTTGTCACCCACCCTGGCTCTCTGCATCTCGACCTCAGGTAAGTAAGACCGGTAGAGGAAGATGACACTCATGAAGTAAATGCAGTGCATGTAACAGTAGGCCTGTCCCTGGTTGGACACGCTGTGTGCTCTCAAGAGGAACAGCTCATAGTTAAGGCGTTTCGGCAAAGAGCTCTTCCAAACTTCAAGGCGGGTAAGCAGTATTTGAAACTCAGATTGAGGCTGCCATGGAGGGACGTTGTTGTCGTGCCGCGTACAGGCCCATTTTGCCACAGCTCCCCAAACGTCGGCTACGCGCATGCTGTAAGCCACGATGCCCAGGCTGCCTTTGACATGAATGCCCATTGCTGTTCCTGCTTCGTCCGGTACTGAGCCATCTAGCCTCTCGCAAACGACGACTTGACCAAAGTTGAAACTCTCAGAGTCACAAGGAAGTTGTATGCGCATGTTGCTAGCTGCGAGCATCCTGTCACGCCCTTTACCTCCACTCAGGAGGCTATCCATAAGAAAGCATGTCCAAGCCGTACGTCGCCTCTCTTCAGCATCGATGAACTCGTCGCGCGTTGCTTGAGGGGGCAGTTCTTCGAAAAGCCCAAGTACCTGAGCCATGCGAACCGCCATACCGAGATAGACCCAAGCACGTTTGCCCTCACCAGCACCCCAGGAATGGCCTGTTAGCATGAGCAGGACTTGAGCGCGGTGGACACTGGGCTGGTCAACTAGAGACAGCACCTGAGATCTTGCATGTGCAGCAAACGTGTTGCTTGCCTCAACCTGGGTTGCGTATCCTTGGGGTGCCGCCTGGGAGAATCTATGGACTGTAAGCTTAGGCGTAAATAAGCGATTTTGATAAACGCGTTACCTCACTGTGATTGCTAACATGGCCCAGATAAGTAGTGGATCGAGCCTTCTTTCTCTTATGGCGATGAGGAGGTTAGGGATGTGATGAAATGACCACTTATAAGAGCATCTCAGGTAGCTGTTCTTGACCTCATCGGTCAAGAACCCAAACGGATCAGTCGTGGTCAGATCTCCGGCCCGCACGACGGTTGGGTCTGCGCGGAGGCCATCATTGTCTCGATTCTCGGCTGTAAGCCGCTCTAGTCGGCTGCGCCTGAAGATGAACGAGGTGCCCTTCGGAGGAAAGATACATTCATCACCTCGGTCGCGACAGCGCGTACAAGGCGGGCCACCTGAGTGGATACACTGCGGTTTGCACCAGAATCAGCGGCCGGACAACATACAGAAGGTTCAAGAGAATTGTGGGTATTTTACTTTGCGTTTCGACGAGCGACATGCGCCGCATGCTATTGACTTCTTCATCGCTGGTACTTATGGGGACGGGAAGCGGTTTTTTGTTCCTGAGGTTTGGCATCTAGCTGGTGATAAGATAGGTGGAGATAAGATAAGAGCTGGTACAGTGCGATAAGCGACGAGTAGTCACAGTAAAGGGTAGTGTACACCTGAACCCCTGAATCTTTGTATATTTTTTTGCCTGTGCTTAACTTACAGGGCTCTTCGATCAATCAACGCGCTGGAACATCGCTTATTTACAGGGCAGAATGCACTAAAAGTGGCTTCCCGTCATTCTTACAGGCCAATAGCCACTGAAAGCCTGAGAATCCGGAATAACAAGGGCCCGACTCAATTATACAAAGATACAAGGGTCCAGGTGTAGATATAGCTACCGGGATCTAAACAGAGGTATTTTCGAGATATATCTACTTTCAGTTACAGCTGTACGCACAATTCTCATATAGTGTTTTTTATTCCAAATCTCTTTGAAGGGTGATGGAAAGACATTGTTCGGCTACGATTAGCTAATTGTCTCCAGCCAAACATATTTGATGTGCAACAACAATCGCTGATTAAGGACAGTCAATAACCAATTTGTGGGAAAAAGAGGCTGGAGTCGTCTGCATGTGAAAAACTTAACTGATCTGTGACTCGTTCACTGCTGCCTAAATGAAATACTTAAAAGCACCCCGTACCCCGTCGGATCCAACATAACTTTCGCATTCAAGGCCACCCACACAAAAACAACAACTCTTGACCTCGACCTGATTCCCGCCTCTATTGTCAGATATCAGATCCTATCAGCCTGTGTTTGGATTCAAGAGTGCTACCATGGCTCCTCGTACCTTCTTGAGCCTCCCCCATGAATTACGACACATGATCTATCGCGAGTACTTCACTCTCGACAAGGGTTACGCTTTCCAACCTGGATCTGGCAGGCAACTTGGATCTGGTAAGCTGGGCACCTTCGATGGTGAACCTCTAGACCTAGCCCTTATGTACACCTGCCGGTTTATCGCTTCTGAGACCAAGGACATGCCTCTGACTTTCAACACTATATACTTCTCGACAGTTTATCGTCCCGAATGGCGTAAATGGGCTGGTCGCTTCGATTACCTGCTAAATTTCCAAGAGGAGCAGCGATTTGATCTGTTGATTCACATCAGCCAATTCCTCACACCAGAAATGTGTTCTGAAATACGCGCCCATTTCCCTTGGTTTGTTCCAATGCTCCGAGAGATCGAACGACAATCTCGCACCTATCGGATCCCCGAGAGACTCAGATACGGTTTTTCTTGGGATTTAATCGACACTCTCAACGCTCCCAAACACCCATTTGAGGGAACCCCCCCAACTAGATCAGCTCTCTGCTCTGCGACCGATTTCACCCTGCGACTACTCGCCGAGGATCCTAACCCAAGGCTCGCTCAAGAAGTCCAGCGTGCTACAGGAATATGGGGCCGCCCTACTAGATTGACTAGGTTGCTCGATGAAGCCTTCACCCCCTGGGATATACCGGAATGTCACGATCTCAACACTGCCGGTGAACGATTGGAAGACGATCGTATGTGGAGCACTATGAGCAGTTGGCGGCAAGAGAGAGAATGCAAAAAAGCATACCAATGCAAATTCCGCTTCTCCGCTGCTTCGGTTGCTGTCCGCTTTTTTAAGCACTTGCCTATTGACAAACGTCAGTGCATCAGGAACGTGGTTGTTCTCGAGGATCACATTGCCGCAGGCCAGCAAGAGCGCCATGCTGTCGGACTGATTCCTTTCTGCAAAGAGAATTCGCGGCTGAAGGTAGATCTTCGCCTCGACATGGTTGGGAACGTATTTCAGACCCATGCCCTAAACAGACATACCGACTTTTGCTATCTTCATACCCGTTGGGAAGATGATCCGTCTGATCTAATTTCTGAGTTTCTGGGTATGGATGTCTATGAGATCAGCAGTCGCTGGTTAATTGAGGCGTTAGCCTTGAAGGACGCTGGAATGCCCAGTGGCTCTTTTACTTTCACACTAGATGGGGGGTCTGCTATCAATCTATGTTCCGAAATCTTTCAACAAGATGTCCTTCGAAGCGTCTCTATATCGAAAGCAGCGGGTAGGTGCTTACCTTGCCCATCAGACACGGTTCCGAGAAACAACCTTCCGCGTTGGTTGAACCCTAGCTCTATACAGGCTTTTGAGCATTTGGTCAATCAGACGTCCTTCCTGTGGTCGAACTTCCACCCAGGTAGTGTGTGGAACGTGGATCAGCTAATCGCAGATCGTCCTGGATACAATCTGGACCAATGGAAGTATGATCTCTTTCTTCGACAAGGCTACAATGTTCCGGAATCTATCTACATCCCACCCACGGACTCGATTGTACTTGAAAATTTTGAGACGCGTCCTCTTCCCTAGCGTTCCCGAAACAGAACCGATTGATATCGAAACCGCTGGCGAACTGGACGGGAAGACTAGATGATCAGTACAGCACAAGATCAAAAGCCTGCTGATGCATCAACGGAAACAGATATTGGTTGAATGAAACTATGGATCCGGGACAGCCGCAGCTGAGGTTGTATCCTCATTAGCTGATATGTATCATCTGCTGTTGACATGTATACTTAGTATTTAGGTAAGTTGATCCCTCCTAATTACAGTCTGCATTGCTTACTCGGTACTAATACAATCTCAATCCATTTAACCCATCCTTGCATGTAGCAATCGAATTACTGTCTTCATCAGTTTGCCTCTTAATAGACATCCAGGCGAGCTACCCTCTGCCGCTGCCTCATTGCATCTTTGTGAGAGGCATGATACCAGAGGAATCAAGATAAGTATTGTTAGAACAGGTGACAGTTGAGCCCTATATTTCGACAGCCCAGTATACGGCAACATAGTTTGTAGTAGACTCTGCGTAATATAAGCTGTTCTCAGAGATACACTAGCGATTTGGTACCTTGGCCAGTTCAATCATTCTTCTCCAGCGTCATGAGTTTACATTTCTACACGTAGAGTAAACTGAGGTACTCTCATTGACAAAATACGACCATGTATCATAAGTCCCGCCATCTTACTCTATATGTCTATAATCCCAGACTCCAGAAACAATTCTAAGTCATTTATTTAAACATGCGACTTTTGTTAAACCGCCTGCGCTACCACCAATCCCACACGCTCCACCTCCTTAGTCTTTGCCTCATGCCTTAACCTCTCCTTCATTTCCGCCTGCCTGTTCAGAAAGCTCAGGTACGTTTGCCACCCGACTGCCACAACACCATGGAACAAAGGCCGCCAGTCAATGCTCAGAAAAGAAAAGCTAAAGGCTGTGACCATGGGCCATAACTTGCACGAGTTGACAATGCTCGTTGGAACCGTATCCTTGACACGTTCAATCGTGCCCGAGAGGTTTTCGCCAGATAGCAACGCTTGCGCGCCAAAGAAATATGTGTTGAAGATTGGTGTAAAGACGGCCTGACCCACGGCGACTTTTGTGGCGAGGGACAAAAGACGTGACGAGTAGTTGAAGTTATGGGAGAGGAAGAGGAACCTATTGGGTCAGTATCGCACTCACTCATCCGATGCTTATGAGAACTCACCATTTAAAATTGGGTATCGCAGCAACACCACCAATAATAGCGTTCCTCACTGTCCTTTGAGGATCATACTCATTATCGCTAACATACTGCGCACTCAGATCTGCTGCGATATAAATGACGATGGCTGTAGCAACTTGCGTCCTTAATGGATTCTTGGACTGCGCCCTCGCATACGCCTGCGCAGCGGTGGTAAGTGGCCCAAGACGCTGCCACAGCGGTAATGGCGCAACGGTGCTGGGGACAGGGATGGCCTCCTCTATTTTCTTTGACGACTGAAAGCGTCGCTGTAAGTGAGACAATTTAATATTAATATTTGAGGCGGGCCTTTTCAGGGCGGTACGCAAAAGATGTATCGTCATAGTGAGAGTAAATGTATATACGGATAATGATATAAAAATAAGGGATGCGACAGAAATTGAAGTTGTGAAACTGCGAAATTAAAGATGCGATTGTTAGTCTTAGGTAGTCTAGCATTTTTAGTCTGAGCGGCCGAACTCGGACGGCAAGGCCGAGGAAGGGAAGATCTTTCTTTAAGGTGCCTAGTCTACGCCCTTTCGGGTAAAGAGATCGATAAGATAGGGATGGGAGATCGGCATCTGTCGGCTATCAAGTGCGGAACTGGAAAAGGGCAAGTCTTGACGGTCAATTGAACAAGAATTAAAATAAATAGAATAAATAAGCATCTGCTAAAGACAAAGGAGATATCTTGAAAGAATGTTCTTATAACGCCGTTCCATGCATTTCTGTTTCTCTGCCAAACACTTAAAAGCACTCCTCTTCGTCTTCATCCAACAAGCACATTCCGCTATCACGTCCTCTACTCGGTCGCTTTCTGCTTAACCTTCTCGCGCCAGCACCAACAGAAGAGTCATATGGTCTCTTCACACTCAATTTCGTTGACGATACAGATCCAGATCCGGGTTCTGACTCACAAATGACACTCGTTTGCGCCTTGCTGTTCGGTGTCAAGAACTCTTGACTCATCTGCACGACCCGCTGGAGCTCCTCCTTCATTGAGTCAATCACCGCATTGGCCTTGGCCCTCTCCTCATCCATCTGACTCTTCAGTCCGCTATTCTCGACTCTCAGGCTACATATCGTTGTGTGCGCTGAGCGAAGAGAAGCGTTCACTCTGTCAATCTCACCGCGGTACTTGATCACGGTCGCGTCACCTGCTGCAAGCGCCGCTCCGTGTCGCTTGTTCAATTCAGCAACGTCGCGCAGCTTGGCTTCTTGTGCCTCCTTCACCTCGCGCTGAAGATCCGCTGAGCGCTGTAGCGCTTCGGATAGCCTCGTCTCCAGCTCCGCAATGCTATCCTCCTTGCGACTAAGCACCTTGCGCTTGACCTCCAGCTGCACGTTGTACTCATCCTCTGCGTCGTGCGCATCGCGCTCCATTCGCTCGACTAAATTCTCCAGCTCTGAGATGTCGCGCAAGTAACCATCCACCGCGCCTTTGAGTCTTGTGTTCGCTATTTCGAGTTCGCGGATTCGTGCAATCTTGTCGCTCATGAGTTTCTCCGCCTTCGTCATTTCTGCCTTTAGACCGTCCATGACGGTGACGCGCGCGTCGAGCTGCTTTCGTAGTGATTGCTCGATCTCGTGATACTCATCGATAGCATCCTCGTCTTGTTTCGCGCGCTTGGCCATGTCGCGCAAGCGTGTGAGCATGAGATCTAACACCTCTGCGCCATGGGAGGACAATGGGAGAGTAATTTCGCCGGGGGTTAGATACTCCAATTCTAAGCGGGCGGCGCGGAAGCCAGATGCAAGAGATGTGATCATGTCGCTTGCGTCTGAACCGTGGAAGCCAAGCTTCGTGATGGATGCGGTTAATTGTTGAAGGGCACATGCTCTGTCGGACATTGTGCGTAGCATGGCGTCGATTTGAGTCTCAAGTTGATGATGTGGTAATGTTGACTCTGACTCAACAGTTGGTTTGAACTCGGAGAGCTTGTCGGATAAGCGACTGCTGAGAGCATTGTATGATTCGAGCGTGTCAGTGAGTTTTGCGACCTCCAATTGCAGTGACGAGATCTCTTCTTCCAGTTGCTGCTGCTGAGGATCTGGCATACAAGCCTGCACACCAGCACTTGTCGTTGCTATGACGGGATCGGAAAACAAGGGTGTTCCAGGAATCGTTGGGCTTGTCGGAGGAGGCGTCATATCAATGAACGATGTGCTGGCTGCCTCTCTTGCCCTTGCTCTCGAAGGTGTGCTGCATACAAACTGCGCCATAGTCTCCTCTCCAAACTCATCCTCATCAGGTATCATATCCATGAACTCTGGTGAGAACTTCTCCCGTGCCGACAATGTCCAATTGTATCCTCTCTTCTCACTCAGAGAGCGCCCAGATCGCTTGCTCAGCTCATCCTGCAGGTCCTCTATCTGCTTTTCAAGGTCCCAAATGCGACCCGTGTCAACCACAATTGTCGCATTCTGTAACTCATAAATCTCGCGATCACGCGCCTTGAGCTGATCTCTAAGCTTCTCAATCTCCTCCTTGGCCTCGATTGATCGCCGTCTCTTTTCCTGCTGAATGACGTTCATTTCCTCGCTCAAGCCATTCCGGCGAATGCGTCTTTGAACACGGCCATCAAGAACTTGTCGCAGGGGAAGAAACGTAACATCGCCACTTTGTGGTAATGCGGGAGTTGAGCGGATGGTGCTTGGTGTGTTTTCCACAGGTGCAGAAGAATGACGGCGTCGCTTGGGTGTTGCGACAGAGAAGCGACCAACCATGGGGGTTAAACCACTGGATGAAGATGAGATACCTGGCTCTGAGAAGCGGACTTTTCTCTTTGAGATTGTTCTGGGTGTCTTGACTGGCATCGGAGAAGAAGGGATGTTGTCGCATGATGGCTCTGGCTTGATGATGCTGCGACGCGAGCGTCTTACAGCGATAGGGAGATTAAGGTCTTCCATGATGAGTTGACGATTAAATTTTAATTCACCACTTAATTGCAATAGTGTATGAGATTTAAGAAAGAGAAAAGAAGATATCCAGCATCAAAACAGAAATACAGTGGAAGCAATACATCAATTATAAAAACAACATAGACCTAAACAAACACAATCCCCTTGTCTCAAGACCCGGGCATGATGTTTACCTATTCCCCAATTCTTGCTAGCGTATCCCGTCGCAGAGAACAAGAGCCAATCGATTATTCAAGATGCAGGGTCTCACTAAACGGCCGGGTCTCTGGAGATGGAAGTGGAGGACCGTGAATTTGGGGCGTTGTTTTTGGTGTGAGAGGTCGCATAAATGGTCTGGAGAAATTCACGGTTGTTTTTGTTTGGATCCACAGACTTTATGGATTGGCGATATTGAAGGGGCAACGAATGTTATTATTTTGATCATCATTGGAAGAATATCTTGCTGTTGCGAATATCTATCGCGTTCGTGTTTAGTAACCTGATGGTTTGATAGTTTTTTTGTCGCGTCTAGGCGTCATCGTGCACCCGACACTATGGGTCATGGTCGGGTCAACCAGACCCCGGTCCGCTTTGACATGGGGCCACGGAGAATACTAGACACAACCGATATGGTTTTGAAGCTATTCAACCATTTGATTCCAGTATGATAACACACTGCGCTCCTCCGTCCACCAAGTGCTCGATAATAGAGACTCCTTTTCATGACCGTCGAGCACAGTTTACATACTCACTAGTCCTTTCAGTGTCTCCATCATGTCAGTTTAATTGCCTTTTCCAAGGATATGACAATCTGAATGATGTTATCTCGATCATCGCGATGGATCTTCCATGGTGTTTACTGGCACACCTCAATTTTTCGCTGACTAATGCCCCTCCATCCGTCACCGAGACTTCCTTCACCTTGAAGTTCCATCCAATGACTCTCCGATCTCCACCCGCTTCACTATCATTCACTCACTCATTCGCTCATTCATTCCTTTATGTACTTATTCATACATTTATAGCATGAACAAGTTTAATACATCTCATCACATACTTCTCGACCAGAGTACGGAAATGCCCACGCCCTCATCTTCTTCAAAGCACGTTAAATTCGTCGCCTCTGATCCATCTCGTGGGGGTCTTCCTGTAAAGCGTAAGCAAGTCCAGCACGCTTGCGCTTCATGTCGCAAGAAAAAGGTATGTCGCACCAACCTTACTCCAGGACCACGGAACTGATTGAGAGTTAGAGGCGATGTCTTCATGCTGAAAATGCTGTTGAGGATGATAACCTCTCGCCGCCAGGTGATGGTCAAGTCCCGGTTCAAGGTCAGAATGACACACAACAATCCCGGTCTGCGTAAGTGGAACCTTGGTCGATCTGGGTTGAGTAAAGGTCAACTAACTTTACGATTCAGATCTCTACCGTTAAATGTGCCACTCTCAACACGTACAGCGCTTCCAGATCACAACCATAATGCATCCCCGTCGTCGCGCCAGCAGCCATCGCTTCATCTTCAATATGGCACCGGTGTCACCGCCCCTGCCCCAGCGCCCCCAAGACGTGAATCAACAGGCACGTCTAAAGCTCAATCGTCATCATCCCGGTTCGTAGGCGATCTCAATCCGGAGGGCATGTTCATGGAGGCAACTGGCTCAGCATCAGTTCGCGAAACCTCTCAAAAGGGCGACGTGGGTATCTGGCTCTCATCGACCACCGCCAACAACGGGCCGCAGGGCCAAGGCGGTTCATCGTCGCAGTTCATCACGTCGAGGCCGCCGCCCATAATGGATCAGTTTTTACTCCCGTTTGTGAAAGAGCACTGTCTACCCTGTTTGCCGCCCGAGCACGACTTTCGCAAGCTGCGACGTCTGTACCTCGACAGAATTCACCCTATCTTACCCATCATCCCTGAATCAAGCTTAGATACTGCCTTGCCTTTAGAGGATGAGCCCGCGGCCATTGTTCTTCGCCAACTTGTGTGTCTGGCCGCCTCCACTGATCCCTCCATGTCGACATACCTGCACCTGCAGAACCGTGGTGACGAGCTATTGACTTGTCAGGACTTTATACAATCACTCTCCTCCGCTGTACGTGCCATTCTTGAGACGAGTATCATCACCGACAGAGTGCTTCACATCAGGGCTCTTGTCATGCTCTCGCTGTACACTCAGCCCAGCAGTTCCGAAGAAGCCGATCTTCCCGCTCAACTTGGGGGCCGTGCCATCCATCACATCCAGACTCTGGGCCTTCATCTTCTCAAGTACGACGCACCTAATTGTGAAGAGCTTGAGACCTTGTTCTGTGCGGTTTGGGCAGTCGATCGAATAAATGCTGCCGCCTATGGAAGACCTTGCTTGATGCACGAAAGAGACATCGGTGCCAATCTCGACGGATGTATCAAGAAAAGACCACCTTGTTTCCGACTTTTCCTCTCAGTGATCCAGTGGCTTGATCAAGTGATCGAGCTGTATCGTCCCGGGCCGAGTGCAGAGGCTTCAGGTCTTGATAAGATCGCCTACATCGATCTCCCCGTCCTAGAAGCCATGATTGTCAACGCCGATGCCCTCAAAGTCCCAAGCCCGCTCATCGGTTCGTCGAAACCCATTCCCTCGCTCAAATTCCATACTAACAAGCACAGCAACAATTGAAACCTTCTACCACGCTGTCATTATCCTATCATGCCGTCTCCCTCGCCCTGGCACACTCACAGCAGCATCAACTCTACCACCCCCATCTGCAAATGCCCGCCGTTCTCTCGCAGCCGAACGTATCGCTTGCGCCGTCCTCCGTGATCATCTGAGCCCCATGCCCGTCGTTCCCTACGCAGTATGTCTCGCATTGAGCGTTGAGTATCGCAAAATGCGTCACAGTCGCTTGCCCATGTTCCGCGCCCGCGCCATGCATGCTTTTCGTCGCAACTGTGAAATGCTTCGCAAGTTCGGTGATTACTTCTGGAGTGCCAATGTGGTAGCTGGTCTGGGTGAAAGAGTGTTGAAAGAGATGGAACGCGCTGCTAATACTTTGACCCGGGAATCGACACCCCCTACAACGCACGAGGGAACGCCCAATTCGGTGCCCTCGTCTTTGTCGCAACCTGCTCCTCGACCACCTGAGTTTCCTGTTTCAGTGCCGGTTGCCAACCCCACCATGATCAACTCAGTCCCCAGCGTGGAACAGCCCGTCGACTTTTCACTCATCGATGCTATCTCTGGGGCCGATGTTTTCGGGGCCATAGACCCTAGCTTCAACCTGAACGCAGTGGAGGATGCACTGGAAGCGAATCTTGACATAGGATTGCCCATGAACTGGGTTGACTGGGGACAGTACGCAACGCTGTGATAGGTCAGTCTATTACAGTGAACCACTACGGTGATACTTCGTCAGCACCAGTACCTGACAACCGGTCACTAGGCCGCGTAGGATCTTGTCTCAGAGTCGCTGCATACCTATGATTTGTGGCGATATGGGCGATAAAGAGGCATCATCCAACGAGACTCCTTTCATCGTCTCGCGGCTATATCGTCGTGGCGTCTTTCTGACCACCCAGCTATGATGGCATTGAGTAAGACGCCAGCGCAGCTTACCGTCAGTAAGCAAGCGATCGCCCACGATTCAACTATAAGAATAGCCAGTTCTCCTCATGAAGACTCCTGATTCTTCACATTACCTACACCATGATGCGAAAATATCGGTCAATCAAGCACCCTGACATTGAGACTATCGCCCTTCTTCTAAGCGATCAGCGGAACAATGCGAGCAAAACGCACGATAAGATTCCGGTATCGAGCACCCACCGTCTAAAGCTTTTTAAAGTGGATCGGGAGAGATTTGGGCAAATATGCGGCCTAGTTAGTAGGGACATGAGGCTCATCGGTTGTTGCTCGCCGTGCTGTCTATAATGATAGCCGCAGTGAGCTACACTACAATGAGATGGCGAACCAAGCGAGACGCGACAGCGAACCGGCGATTGAAAAGTTTGATACAGTTGAAGAGAAACGCAAGAACGCATCACACGGAGATTTACAAAGTAATATGTAATTGGAGGTCGTCTTGAAAGGCTTTAACGACGAAAGACCTTGGCTAACGCTTACATTGTTCAGATAGACATTGGCGCAGTTATTGAGAGAAGAGGACCAGGGTTTTATGGCCTGGAATTATATTATACAATTTCTCCATTGTGACGTAGCATAGCCACTGGATCTGTGCAGTGAAGGTTGCGCTACGAGTTTCGCGTAGCACTTCAAACTATAAGCTCGGCCTCGACACATCTCGTTTACCTCGATTTACCAGCTCCTTGACCACGTAGAAAAGGGAGGACACCGGATTCGTTGCAGCCGTTGTAACCGCTGGAGGGATCGATCGTATTGATATCGTATTTAGCGCTCTTTGTCCGCTGGGCGTACTTATGCTTCCTTATTCTCAACTTCTAATGCATCCTCCTCTCAACCCATATTTCCATCTCTTCAATCAGCATGTAAAAGACCTGCTTTTTCTCCTTCGTTCTTGGCGTACATCCTGGTCGCGGAGGGAGTATTGGTCGGTAATTGGGGGTATCATAACTTCGTAATCCAAACAATCTATCTTTGTCGCATCACATCGCATCACTTCCTGGGCTTGTCGCCCGGAAACTCTGTTGGCTTTCCTCGGAATTGGTTCTTCAACTCGTCGATAAAGTGCTTCGCGAAACGTTCATTCCTGCTACCCGAATTCGGGTCCGCTGTGGTCAATCTCGTCAGCCTAATCCAGGCTCCCCTCGAGCTGCCAACATACCAGTCGCTTCACCAGGGGCCAAGGGTTCGTGAGGGTTTCGGCCGTATTGCTTCTCGTGTATCGTTTTGTGTATGCGGCCTACAGCGCGGTGGAAGCCAGGTTGGCGGAGGATCTGAGGCTGTTAGCGACAGCGAGAGGGAGCGTGGGACGAAGATTTGCGTACGGATGCGATGATGTGGTCCTGTAACAGCAGGTGTTAGTATTTGCGATAGAGAGATAAGGAGTAAAATGGGCCTACCTCTAGGGACTGAACAGCGCGAAGAATCCACCAGTGCGCGGCCATTTTGGTAGGATATTTATGCTGATGCTGATGCTGATGTTGAGTTTAGCGAATTGCAGCCAGCAGACGAGGCTTGTAATATACAACTGTAATTGATGGAGGGGTCGTGGCGAGGATTACAAAGACCCTTCCTGCATGGTTGATTGGTGGCAGTGGAGGTTACCCTGAATTATTAGGTTCATATCATGGCTACGAATTGACAAGCACTTGCATCCATTAAAACATTCATTCTCGTATCGCTCATGTTATTGTTCTTAAAATATGAATCAACTTTTTATTTATAGACATTAATCATTCCATTTTATTCATTCAGGAGCCCCAGATTTACTGGAGGTACTGGCCCATGAAGGCACCAATGTAGTCCTGCTTGCCCAGCTCAACACCCTCCTTTCTCAAGATAGCGTAGGCGGTGGTAAGGTGGAAGAAGACGTTGGGAATGCCGTAACCCTGAACGTAGTCACGGCACTTCATGTCGGCGCTCTTTCCAGGTCCGAGGCCAATGGTGACGACCTCAGCAGCGCGCTTCTCAACGAGCTCCTTGTCGGCCTTCTCAATAACGTCGAGGGCCTTGGCAATGAGAGCGTGGTACTGCTCGAAGTTGGTGCACTCGTCGCGGGACAGGCTGAGGGGCTCAGTGCCGGTAGTGCGGGCGACGATCTTCTGGGCGGTGTCGACGGTGAAGAAGACCTGGAAGTTCAGGTCGAGCATGTCGGGGGCCAGCTTGGCATTGGGGAAAGAAGAGGCATTGGCGTGAGACTCGGCCTTCTTGAGGATGTTGGAGAGGGAGTTCAGAGCCTCCTTGGTGTGGAGGATGGCAGCGTCGTAGAGGGTGTAGCTCATGATGGGCGATTGTTTGGAGTGTAGAGTGGTATGGATTGGGTATGGTAAGGAATTGCGTGCTTGAGTTAAACTATTAGAACATATCTAGGCTGAGAGTATATACATATATATATACCTATCCCTTCTCAACTACTCTTCTTCCTTCTCCATGATGCCCCTCCTCTTCTGCCACGTCCTTCTGCTCCACTATTGCTTCACCGCCCATGCTTCAGGTGAAGTGAACTTGCTAGATGCTTCCCTACGTATCAGATTAGTAATTCATTGCTGGATCCATTCGTAGTAATTACGTGGAGACACTGAATCGTGACGGCAAGCTTCGCTGCTACGCTACAATACAGGATGCGTGTCAACTGAGTGGATTACGGATCATCGGTTGCCGATATCCGGTCCGACGAAGCGAGTGGGATATATCCGGACAGGGAACTTGTGTAGTGTATCAGAGGCGAGGTTTAAGGTCAAAGATCATGTCAATTGAGGTGATGTGATAGGACAGGCTCGGTTGAACTGCCGACATGACACGATCTTACTACCGATGAAACACCATGCAGAATCCTTCCTTCCTTCCTTCTTCAGTCACAGTAACAGTAACAGTCTCACTTGTCAAAACAGCTTACAAACCATCTTTCATTAAAGTCCGCAGTCCGCAATTTGAGCTACAATGCTTACAAACCCTTTTCCCCTCATATTCAGAACCCTAAGACCCTGTTGGCACTCTCCACCGCCTCCTTCTCCCCCCTACTCCTCAAACTCTCCATCTCCAACTCCTCAAGACCCATCGCTCTTCTTCCCGCCCCGTCCCGGCGGAAAACGTCCTCCGTAGGTCGACCCACATGCTCCGCTTCCCCCGCGCCGCCAGGGAAATCCGGGCCCGGTGTGCCCCGCCTGAACGCCTCTCGTTGCCGGACCATGTACTCTGCGTTCTGTTCTGTGATGGGACACACGGGGATGTACAGGACACTTGAATCTGACTTTCCCGCGTGTACCTTGTCAACTGCGTGGATCGCTATAGTGCAATTGTTAGCAACGGGTTAATCAATGACCAGAGAGAAAAACTTACTGTCGCAGTGCCATGCTACAAAGTCGCCAGGCTGGATCTCAGGAACATGCACCATACTTCTTTCCAGCTCCAAGTGAGGATGTAGCTCATCCGTCAGCTCTTGTCCCGTTCCTGGTGTCGCACCTTGCAACTCGCTATCCATCTCCCCTCCCATAAACTCCCAGTTATCCACTCCCAAAAAGTCGCTTGCGCTCATGTTCTTCACACGAAAGAAGGGCCGCAAGAGAACATAAGCCATGGAAAGCTTCACAAGCGGGTTGACTAGTAACGTTCCCTCGCCAGGCTTGGTGTGACTCATGCTCATCCAGCCCTGCCACATTCTAAACATTGAGCATGCACCAAGACCATCGTAGCGATTATTCACGGCATGCACACGTCCACTTGCATCCCAAGGATCGTACTCGTTCCATCTTCCTGTCAAGATAGCATCGTACACGCCTCCACGGCCGTAGCCTTCCAGTTCCCAACGCTCTACGCTTCCGCCATCGATGTGCGGCCCGAGAGCAAAGGAAGCGTCGCCCGGCTGGCGGATGCGCAGCCTGTCAGCATAGCTGAAGGGCTGAGATAGAGAAATGGGAGTGTCGGGGTTCGAATTGTGCCATAGAAGGGACATGAGACGTTGTTGAACGTGAAGGAAATTGGGATGGGAGCGTGCTTTGAGTTGAGGGGCGGACCAGTAAAGTTCGTAGACTTGAGGATCATGAGAAGGGAATGCTGCAGTCTCTATGTTAGCAAGCGCTATTATGAATGATGCAAAGGGATTATACCTCTCGTAGAAGGGTTCTTGCGAACGTAGTCCTCAACCTCACCCTTCCACGCCCTCGCCTCGTCCTCCGGAACAACGCCCTTAATAACGACAACACCTCTTTTCCGAATCTCCTCTTTCAAGGAACCTGCGCTTCGCTCAAACTCTTTGTAGTCAACTTGCGGAATTACACTCGGTCCTTTCTTCGCAACGACATCATTCTCCTTGCGAAGTTCTCGTAGTAACGCTTTCCAGCTCTGCTCGATCTGTTCTTCCCGACCTCTAACAAGATCAAGTTTTCGTACGCGGAAGCGATCTGGTAGCGGTTCTCTTTGAGCACCCGAGAGGGAAGTAAAGGCATCTGAAATGTCACCTTCTTTCTTAGCAGCAGCTGCTGCGACAGCCATGTTTCGCTTCAAGCCCAGACTGGGACTGGGAGCAGCCTTGCATCTGGCTAATGAAGCACGCAGCATGGTGAAGGAAATTGTATAGAAAATTAAACAGTGGAACGCGAAGAAAATGATGAGTAGTAGAGTGAACTGAACCGAATTGAACTGCTGACACTCGGTCGCAGTGTCGCATCTTATATTCTCGTCATGAGGAGAGTACGGCCCTTCCCCATTAGGAAAGTCCGCCTACGAGGGAGAAATGTTTAATTGATAGTCTCCAGCTTCGGAGAATTTCCCAGTTTTCGTTCTCGCTCGCTACTGTGTGACATACTTCTTGGCGTTGTCAACGCGGGGGTTTTACTTTCCTTCTAACGATCATATGTCGCCATGGCAGTTGTAAGCGAGTAGTTCTTTGATCAGCTTGCATCAATCCTTGACAACCTTGGCATTAAAGCTATCACTTAGAAACTTTCGGAGGACGCTCTAACATCATAAAACTGATTAGACGGCGACTTTACTCGTCTTGATCAATTGTAGCGATCGTGTACCTGACGCTACTGAGACTCTACAGTGCACTACAGTACTTGATATTCGAGGCCACCAACAACCGAACCCACTCATCGTCATGCCTCACTCTCATTCGAAAGTCGGGCTCTCACGGTGTGCAAGAACAATGCCGAGTATTGAAAGCAGACGACCGTTCATGATAATTCATCACTGCGTTGCAATGGCAGCAAATGTCAAGTGAACCAGTAGAATACCCAAGTCAATTCCCCTCGAATGCTTTGCTTCCATCCACGCCTCGAGTAATAGTAAAATAAAAATAGACAGGAAATAATACCTATACCGAACGGGTATTTTATACAAGACACAAATGAACAAATACCCCAGACTCATGCCAGGTAACAAACACAACAAAAAAGAACACCCTAGCTCCATATATGATTAATTCCTCTCTTTTTGTTCATGGCTTTCCCTTGCAAATCCATCGACCTGCCCCCAACTCCTACGCTTGCTTTGCTTTTTAATCGATATCCCCTAAAGCCCTCTTCATCCGCTCTTTCAAATCCCTGTTCTCCATCTCTAGACCACCTAGTCGTTGCCTTGCGGCATGCCGATCTTGGTTTCGTCCTTCGCGCTCCATCTTGAGCTTGTATTCCATGTCGCGGAGGCGGAAGAGCCATCTGTTGTCATTGTTGGCACCCCCGCTACCATTGTTGTTCTCTTCGTTCAGGGCGGTCATGTCTCGTAGACCTAGGCCACCTGCCGAAGAGCCTGGTAGAGCGGTTGTTGTATGTGCTCTTGTCAAAGTGGAGGAACGTGATTTGGAGCGGCTGGTGCGATCGCGGCCTTGTTCGCCGGGACCGCGAGGAACGGAAGGTGATGGTGAGTGGGGGACAAGAGCATCCGAACTGTCTCTTGAAGAATAGGCTGCGCGCGCTCGCACGTCATTAGCTGTGCGTAGAGTAGTGTTCTCAACCTTGAGTTGGCGGTAGGCCTCTTCCAGACGGTTGTATCGAGAATCGTGACTTAACGAGCCCGAAGAGATGGAGTTCCTAACCATAGTTTCCAGTCGATCCAGCTTCTTGGTGCGCACTTCAAGATTGCTCTCAAGAGTCTGATACTCCCGGTGTAGATCTCGTTCCACGGACTTGATGCGCGTCTCGAATGATCCGACCATGTTCTCGATGGCCTTGATAGCAGCCAACAGGTTCTTTGAGAAACTGGGCAATCGGTTGGCAATGACCTCAACCGATGGCAGGACTTGACGGTCGATGAGTGAGTTGCCGTTAACCCACTCCCTGCCACACAGATGGCTAAGCTTATGCCACAGTTGCAGCAACAGCTCATTGCGTTCTTGTAATTGATCGCGGGCTGTCTGTTCGAGCACAGCAATCCTCCTGCGGTCCTGACTCTTGTTGGTCTCCAACTCAGCAATGCGGACATCCTGACTGCTCGCAGTGCGGGTAAGATGCTGATGTGACTTCTGGAACGTGTCATATTGCGACTTTGTGTTTCGATGAGCGAGACGCTCCTTGTCGAGTAGCTCAGCGAGTTTGCGGCTTTCCAGAGCATGCGACTCGAGCAGAGAGTCACGTTGCTTGATAATACGATCCTTCTCCACCAGCGCTGCCTTGCTGGCGTCGAGATCTCGAATTGTGTTCTCAAGCTCGCGTTGTAACTTGGCAATGGACTGTAAAGCGTTAGTCGACCTTCTTCGCCAACAGACAAGCAACATACCTTGAGGAGAGAAGATCGGGTACCGTTGAGATCACCCAGAGCTTCACGAAGGTTATTCTCAAGCTCCATCAGCCTCTCCTTCCACTCCGTCGCCTCAACCTCCCTCGATGTCAGGTTCTTACGTAGACGACGAGCCTCGTCCTTGGCTGCTGAAGCCTCCCGGTTAAGCTCGTTAACGAACTGCTGTACCTCTTCCTTCTCTTGATCCGCCACAATCTCCCGCTGGTGTCGTTCTTGCTGCAGACGGTTGTCCAATTCCTTAACTCGTTCCTTTTCTTCACGTATGCTCTGCTCAGCGTTGGCAACGGCAGCTTCGAGGTCTCCAATCCGAATCTTGTCGGTTTCCTGCTCTTCCCGTAAGAATGCAATCTCTCCCTGAGAGGATTCCTGCTGCACAGAGAGTCGCTGGTTTTTATCGTTGGATTCCATGAGCTTCTGCTCCAAATCTTCAAGCTCCTTGTTGGACGAGTCCAACTCCTGCTCGAGCTGCTGGATTCGTCGTAGCTTGTTCTCCTGATCATCTTCAAGTCGTATCAAGGCCTCGCTCATCTTGCGCATCTCTTCCTGTAAGGCGTCAAAGTTTTCTGAGCGGTCTTGAAGATCAGCCTGCACTCGCTGCATCTCTTCGGCTTGTTGATCGGCTTCTGCTTCCAACGCATCAATCTCTTCTTGTGCCTCCTTCCTTAGTGACTCGAATTCGTTCTCCATCTCGCTTTGCTCGCGGAGCGCTTCGTCACGTTCAGATTGCAGGGCGACAAGATCATTCATGGCATTGTTGAGATCCTCCTGGAGTGCTAACGCTGCATCTTCAGCTTGTCGCTTACCGTCCACAGCCGTCTCAAAGTCCTCCATGCAGATCTCAAGTTCGCGCTGCAGCTCTTGATTCTGCAGCTTTACCTCGCTGATCTTGTCGCGCATCTCGGCCATCTTATTCTCAAACTCCTCTCGTTCGGCTTCCTCCTCAATCTGTGTCCGTGTCTTGAAGCTTCCGCGAGACTGGGGCCTATCGCCGCCGCCAACCTGCGAAGCTGATCGTTCAAGAAGACTATCAATGGTTGAGGGAGCTGGCCGACCTCGTCGCTGAGCCATTTTGAGATCCTCAATCTCCTGGTAGAGGCGCTCCTTCTCACGGTTCCTCGAGGTCAGCATGGATGTCTGCGCACCAACCTCACGTCTTAGTTCGGCGTTCTCATGACGTAGTTGCTCGCTCTCTCGACGCAGTTCGTCAACAAGGGTAGTAGCCGAGCTGAAGTTGCCGTTTGAACTCTCCATATCGCCCGATAGACCAGATATAGGTCGACCTTCCGACATGGTGCCATCCCGGTGCTTTTTGGTGATGTTGTAGATGTTCGTTGTGTGATGCATGCCTCCCTGTCCACCAGACAAGTCCTGCTTGAGCTTAAATACCTCCTCTCTTAGCCTTTTATTCTCATCGTCGGCCTGTTCCCTGCGGGCGGTTTCTTGCTCGAGGAGGTCTTTCCATACATCAGCCTCCTCTTGTCGCTCCATGTTGTCGCTCGAGCGTTCGCCTAGCGACCTGACGATGTCTGCAAACTTGCGCCTCTCATTCTCTTTGGTTAAGCTTTCCGACCGTAGCCGCTCGATTTCGGTAGCGTATTCTTCGACGCGCTCCCGCAGGAAAATAAGCTCTTCCTCCCGCTCTTGAGCCTCCTCCTCTCCCATTCGGGCCGTCTGGTCCGTCGATGATGCACCACTGTGCGCTGTGCTTGGTCGCTCCCCTTCGTCCCTCACTTGCTTCTCCAACTCTTTGACCCTCCTTCGCAGAACCTTATTGTCGCGCTGTAACACAGCAAGGCCAGTTTTAAGGTCGACATTTTCCGAGATCATTTCTTTGATACCCTCTTCTGAGAGCTTGTCAAGGCGATCGCTCAAGAACATAACTTTGAGCTTGAGATCGAAGTTCTCCTTGGACAGCCGTTCAATTGTGCTGCTCTGCTCCTTCAGTGTCAAGTTCCTACCGGATCTAGCCGTATTCACTGAGCCCATGGCAATTGAAGCGGGCTTTTGGGGAGTTTCCAGACCACCTTTGAACTTGTACTCCTTAGCTAAAGATTCCGGTACCTGGACGTTTCTAACATGTCGTGCGATAACGGTATCTGTGGGTGCTGTGGTGAACCCTTCCTTAGAGGGCTTTGGTGTTGAGAGCAAATCTTGTTGTCGCGGCCGTTCGGGACTATCGACTTCGGGTAGCGGCTCGAGTTGCGGTAGTGAGTTGTCAGTGTAGTCCTCGGCGCCAAAGGCTGACCCAACACTGCCCATGCTTCCAATGCTGATGGACCGTAACATTGGGTTGCTTGGATTCCGTAGCATGCCCATTGCGGGAACGGCGCCTCCGGATTGGAGAGCGTAATCAGTGCCGAGACCAACAGTCATGTCGCTGCCTTCATGAGATTCGGGATTGGTTGCGAATGACGATGTCGACGATCGCTGGCTTCCAAAGCGACTGCGCAGATATTTGGGTCGATTGCTTCGTTGTGATTGTCCATGCGTGCTGCTGACATCAACCTGTTCGGATTGCGAATGTGTTCTCGACAAATGGGGATCGTTATCGCCAGTGCTAGACACTTGTGAGCTCTCCTGTTCGGTCTCCTGATTCTCGCTTTCGTCGTAGTTTGCGCTGCGATCCTGTGTCCGCTGGCTTGCCATGCTAACAGCGCGCGAAATAGTTCTCCTAGTGGCCGCAGCGGTAGGTGAAGAAAAGTTCTCGAAGCCAGAAGTGTTTATAGACGAGCTCGTCACATCGTGGTCTTCCTCGTATTCTTGCGGCGATTGCAGCTGTTGTGATTGCTGCCGTTGCTGAATTGGCTGAGGGGCAGGCTTTTTCGTGGGTGAGTCGAACTGGAACGTATCGTCAATACCTCCCTCCTTATTTGTGTGAGCAGTGGGAATAGGCGACAGGGCAGGCAAAAAACTAGACTCCACGTCTCCCAGGTGGCGTCTAACGTCCTCCTCGGTTAATGAATCGTCATGGGCACGGGTAAGATCGTCAAAATAGCTAGTTTCAGGGGCTGAACGTCCAGGGCGTTGCAGCATAGACTCTTCATGAGTTGTCGGGGGGTTGCTGTGGGAGTTTGTCGGGGTTCGAGTTTTTGCATGTGTGTCGTCAATGTTTATCGCAATATCATGGGGAGATGGCGCTTCGATTGACTCTGTCGGTTCTGATTCTTGACCCTGGATTTGCGAAGTATCGGCGACTGTATCATCTATCATGTCTGATGTCTCAGTGGACTCGTGGAGGTCATCGCTATGTGAGACGCGATGGGCCGTCTGTGGGCGCGACCCGTCGTTGCTGTTGTTAGCTGGGCCTGGAGTAGATGGTTGGCTGCTGTGGCCTTGGTCGTGGTCTTGCTCATCGTTGGCCATGATGCATTGCGGCGACCGCGATGCGTGGCTGTCTGTGGTTGGTGGTTATCAACGCAATGCAGTGTCGAAGGGAGGGAAATAGAAGTGGAAATGGTCGGGTATTGGGATGGATCTTGGGTCCCCTAGCCTTGGACAGAAGTGCTGAATATTATGCCAGCTTGGGCGTCACCTCTCACTAAACAGAAAACCTGACAGGACCCGACAGCGCTAAATTAGCATCGAGCTCTCGGCGCCGTTGGATAGGTAGTTGATTGTGCCCGCCAATGAAATATTCTCATTCGGTGTTGACTCTGTTTAGCGGCACGAGGGGAAACAGCGGGGCTACCTCGTGGCTGGTTCAGTAGCTGGCTAAGACTGGTTGCTGGGGACAACGTTTGCCAGCGCAGAGCAGTTAGGTCTCTGATTCAAATGGTGTTGAAAGTAAACTTAATATCCCTTGTGAGTAATAAATGTCGAAAGTACTCCTGCAAGCAAGAATATTTTCAGAGATAATAGTAGATAAAGCTGAAACGATTACAGGTATCCCTCGACAATGCGTGTCGCAGTGGCATATGGGGTAACAATCGGGGAAGAAAATACGAAGTACAGCACTCACAATGTATCCAAAGTACAGGGTATATCGCAATGGTTCTGTGGTTTTACACAGTGGATGCTTATGACCGTATCGGAAAATTACTCTACAGTTCCAACATTCACATGCCAGACGCGGCGCCATTTTTGAACTCAATTCAGCCATCCATTGTTGATCAATAATTATTTCATATTAATTCATACTAGCTCATCTATCGCTTTGAGCTTCCATTTATCTCATTAGACATCATTATTCTCTTTAGTTAGAGATCTTGGGGTCGACCTGGTTGCTACACACCATCATTGTTAGTTGCGGTTTATTTATATGGATGATAAGGTCCTCGCATGCCACTTACCCAGTTTTCTTCTCGTAGGCGCTGCGGCCGAAGTCGGTGATCTTCTCCTGGTTATCGCGGGAGATATTTGTGCCAGCCTTGTCGTTAACGGCGGAGAAGGCTGATGGGTGTCAGTAAAGGCCAAGTATTATGTAGGATCTGAAGGAGAGTGTATCATACCCTTGTCAACGTAGTCTGTGCCCTGGTTACCGCCGCTGGACTTGGAGGAGCTGTCCTTGTTACCTCCCATAGCGTTCTTGACGAAATCCATTGTGTAGTTTGGGTGTGAAAGTAGAAAGGGGATTGGGTTGATGTAGTGCTGTGAGGAAGAGTGTAGAGTTCTTGTTGGTGATGAATAGCAATCTTAAGCAGCAACAGTCGACCTTCTTATACTTCTCAGCTACCGATCTAATAATAGTCGAAGCCTTCCAACTTATCCCAAACCCATTGAGAAATAGTGGAATAATCCGCAGATCCCCTCGATTTGCTGCCAACCTTCTTTCGTCATCCCACGCGACAGGGGGCACAAGCTACGTCACTTAGACCCTGAATTACCAACTCTTCATTCACATCTTCTACCTACCGGCACGCCGATTCCGGGAATCTCGGCAGTTCCGAACTCTGGGCTTTCATCATACGCGTTCCAACGATTGAACTTGGCAACTTTTCTTCGCTGTTGCTCTTGTTTCATTGGGGAGAAGGACCTTGAGATTTCTCGATGATTGTCGCGATGATATCAAAGCTCCACTTGAGCTCAGGTGGAGAACAAAGGCTTGTCGTCGGTTCGAGACCTTGGCCATGGCAGCTGGAATGCAGGAGCGAGCTAGCAACACCGCCGTGCAGAGACAGCTGAAATAATCACGCTTGCAGAGATGGCTCTGCCACTAGTCGAAGCTGGCTTTGCTCGTGATAGAGGGATTAATAAAAGTGCCTTACTTCGCAGGTCTCGGCCCTTTGTCAAAGAAGCTCGGGTGCTCTCAGGCCGCCAACCCTACAAGACGCAGCTTAATGCAGATACCAAGGCAAACTACTATTGACCAACTTTGTTTCATGTGTATAATGATCTTGTATTAACAAACTAGTTATCGAGCCCTGTCTATGCAATTCCATTATGTGAGCTATACCTGTAAATGCACTCGTTGTGTCGAATCGTTAACAACTCCAGTCCAATGCAAACCGCATCATCACGTATCAAACCATTCAACTCCGTGGCTTCGTTGCCATGCATCGTTATTTCGTTATAAGAGTAACCTTCCATCAATGGGCATCTAAAATGGGCTTATGAGTTGACGAACACTTGATAGGCCATGATCATAACCCAGATGAAGAAGACAGTTCCCGTAAGGGCCATTGCGAAAACAAGCTGCCACGATTGACCTAGAACCTGTTAGTATGGAGAAGTCTCAGTGATCGTGGAGAAGTGAAAAACGTACAGATGTTTCGCTGTTGGAGCCATGCCATAGTCGCCTCGCCCGTACCCTTGGGATTCCTACCAAAGACTTGCACGTCGCAGACACTCTGGATAGACCCATCAGGCCCAAACAGCTGTATCGCAACCACGACAAGTCCAACAAGCCATAGTATAAAGAACATGAAGCCGCCGACCATGACGATCGCGGGGAGTAGTCGTCGCTGGCCAATGAGCCAGAAAATGCCGAGAATGAAGAGGATCGAGAGACCACCGACGGTGATGAAGTAGGGGAAGTACCTGGATTTTGTTAGCGTCTAGACACCAGGATCACTGTTGGGTAGACATACCATGGGATGCCGAGTTCGAGTTGATTTTGCACTTGTACGAATGTCGCAAAAACGCCAATGATGCTTGTTGACGCGAGGAGGATCACAAAGATCCAAAAGTTCAGCTGCCAAGGAGGCCAGTTGTATGTTCGTACATGAGTAGAAGGCGGAGGACCGTCGTAAGTCATGGAAGACCTGGTCTGGCTCGTCCCAGTCCTCGTTCCAGTCCATCCCGTTGTTCCAGTCCATCCTGTTGTGCCGGTTAAACCGGTAAGTGTTGATTTGGCGACCATGGTTGTTGGACAATTTTGTAAGCTTCCAAGCGCGGAGTAACAGCACGATCTGCGTTATTCGGCAATCGAGGAGTTAACGGAGATTTAAAAGCAATCCCCTTCTTTTTCAGCCTCGCACGCGTTACTTGCAGACGCTCCTTTCCTGCGTCTCCTACCCAAAGACTGCCACGTTGCCAGCCCCGCCGATCGCGGCGCGTATTATTGTCCAGTGAATTCGAGGTGCTTCGTAGACGATTTTATTCAAGATCGGATGCCTCAAGAATGTAGACGCTGTGTTGATGTCGTACGCTTCGCTTGATCGATGGGAGGAAGAGTGATTTTTCTCGCGTCGTGTTTGGGCCAGAAGATCCGGGGGTGGGGATTGTGCTGCGCTGGCTACACTACCGATAGAGATGTGACGTCGGGCGTCCAATACGCCAAGAGGGTGGAATTGAATTGAGGCCTTTTGTACAGAGTATCAACGAGAGAAGAGACGGGATGTTAGGTATCGACTAGGCGTTGGACGTGAGAATTGTAGCGAATGATGGATCATAAAATTGATAATGGTTGAGGGATCCGATTATCAAGTGAAGTGTTGTACTGCCGAACCTTGGCGTTTAAACAGAAAAGATGGAAAAAGCAAAAGAGGAATTAATTGTAAATGGACAAAAGCCAACAGACAAGGAATAATTTTCTAAGCCAAAGAATCTGTCCAATTGACGAGCCCATGTGAAATTGCTCCTAATGCATTCTTTGGTGAGGCTTTCTTGAGGAGGTTGGGAGCTGCTGTTGCGTGGCTGGGAACGCGACACAACAGGGGCTAGTGACGCTGTAGCAGCTCGTGAATGGATACACGTCAAAATTCTAACGGATCCAGCCCAGCCTTCAAACGATCAATCATTAATCGTTTGAAGATCGAAAGATCGATTGATTGTTAGAAGCCTTTAGCATTTCTTTTAGTATATGTATTTTCTATGGGGTTAGGTAGTTGTCGATTCCGAATGCGCGGATCCTCACAGTATAGACTTGACTTAAACAGCACCTCCGAGAGAAATGTATTTTATTTCGAGAGTGATCTCGCAGTTCGCTTATATAGAGATGTATGATATGCACTGGCCCAATCAATCATTCATTCAACTCAAGGATATCATCAATCATCCGCCCTCAAATACAGATAGTACTCCATATCAATGCATTTGCCCAAGTCATCATGTCTTCCAGAATCACAAAAGAAAATCTCGCTCCTATTCCTTTATAGTAGTGTCTCGCCAAGGGCGCATCGGACAAGTGAGCATCCGGCGTGGATGGTGTTCTGCTCGGCTTGCTTGGTATCAGCCAGGTGAGGGTTCACCTCGACCAGGTCAATGGCAACAAGGTTGCCTGTCTCGTGCACGCTCTCGCAGATGAAATCGCCTTCGCGGAGAGTCAGACCGCCGCGGACAGGTGTGCCTGTGCTAGGAGCCCACATGGGGTCGAGGGCATCGACGTCGAAAGACAGATGGATGGGGGTGTCGTTGCCGATGTGAGCGAGGGCCATCTCGACGACACGGCCAATACCATGACTGCAAGTAAAAATCAGTAAAGTTCATTAATGTGGAACGAAGAATTACATACCGATCAACGTCGTGCATGCTGAAAGCCTTGATGCCATGTTCGCGGAGGATCTTCTTCTCGCCAATGTCGACGGAGCGAAGACCAATGTACACCAGCTTCTTGACGCTCAGACGCATGTCATCCTCGAGCCAGCCAAAGCACTCCTCCTTATCCTCCTTGGCCAGACCTGTCAGGAAGGCAACAGGCATACCGTGGATATTACCACTGTCACTGCTCTCAGGAGTGTTGATGTCGGCGTGGGCATCAACCCAGATAACAGCGATCTCGCGGTTCAAGCGCTCTCGGGTAGCCTTGGCAGTTCCGGCAATGGTACCAATAGCAATGCTGTGGTCACCGCCAAGTGTAAGAGTCATGCGTCCCTCCCGTGAGTGTTCATAGGTGTGCGAGGCAATCTTACGAGTCACGGCAGATGCGTGACGGGGCTTCTTCATACCGCGGTAGTCAGGATCCGACTCGGGGACGAGATCCTCGAATTGCTGGACAGACTCATCGCCGAAAAGCTTGTAGCCAAGCTCATCACGGATCTCAGTGAGAAGGCCAGACTGAATAAGAGCAGCAGGTCCAATGTCAACGCCGGCTTTAGGCTGACCACCTGAAAATCCGACAGCAACGACGCCGACTTCATCTGGCTTGGAGAGGAAGCGGCTGTTGACAAGACCGGTGTTCATATTGGCGGTTTGGTGTAAGTGGAAGCGAAGCGGCGGAATGTGGGGGAGTGAGGAATGACGTAGAGCTACGATAAGAGATAAGACGTAACAAATAAGAAGAGTGAATATGAGAAGAAGGGGCTCGCGAAGGATAAAGAAGAAGAGAAAGAAAGGAAAAGATTAATCAGAAAACGGCGAGAAAAGCCTCCATTTGTATCTGGACGTCAATGGCACTGCCCGTCCATCTTCTCGGCGTCTTTTGACCTTCTCGATAGGCTGCAATCGGCCGGCGGCACAGACCAGACACTGACTGACACTCCGAGTCTCAAAGTCCCATTCCCTGAGAGCGGAATATGGATAAGGTAATAGCGTCGGCTTTTCGGTTGCAGACGGGCGGGGGTTTCTCTTACATACAAAAAACCCAGTTCACAGAGTCAATTCAAAATGTACTGTATCAACAAAGGAGCTGTGCTGTCATGAGTTGCCCTTTGTCAACACTGTAAAGTCGATCATGGTGGTCATCCGACAACCTAGTCACTTGACAAAAGTGGTTTAGAGCCAACGCCTTCTGTTGGCTCGTATTGGCAGTGCAAGATGCAAGAGATAGCGCGGTCCCACTGATCTGGGTCCTGGTCCTGGATAGAGGTGGTTTCTGTTACCAATCCATTCTATTTGCCCTTTCTTTTTTTACCTCCATCCAATGCCAAAAATGCCCGCCCCAACGGCAGCTCAGCTCGTTCCCTCCACTTATGGCCAAGTGCCGGCTGTCAATCGTCCTATGTTTTTTGCCATGTGAAGTTGTACAGAAACACTCAACACCAGGCACTATCAGTAAGACTCGAGATGACTTCTCAACGCCCGCCATCTCGCAAAAAAGCGTGGGATGACCGTTCCAAACCGCCGATAACCAGCTTTTCATCTTAGGTAATGTTAGGTAATGGTAAACAGCCATCTTTCTCCCCGACTCTTGTCCATGGTCATGCCCATGGGTGATGACCCGGCACTCCTTACCCCTAAGTTACTAGCTGTATTTTCCTCGCTGGAGCCTCGGAGCCAACGGGCATAAGAGTCGCGGGTCTGCCTTCCCCTAAGTTACTAGCTATCGCTGCAACCTACCCCTAAGTTACTAGCTCTATATATTGCCAATACGCCTAGGTTCAGGTTTCTGGGTCTTTTTGTCTGAAGTGTCCCACGCCATGACGCCCGCAGCAAACAAGCCAGCGTTGCCGTTATCTTTTGTCTCTTTCTTTTTTACCGATGAGTTTGAGTTGGGCCGACATGACCCGTTGAGAAATGGATCAATACGAGTAAACATTCCTGACAGAGAATTTTCACCGACAGGCATTCCCTGGATATCTTGTTGGAATCTTGGAATTGCATCGAAAACTCCAAGTTGTATACCTACCACCAGGTTGAACAACGGTAGCTCAGCCTGCACAATTCACCGGCCGGTTTATTTCCAGTGAGCTGGGGAAAGCTCCGGAGCCGCAACTCTTACTCCACCGATGGGATTCTTTCTCTCGTACTACCGAGATAGGGCTTTAAACAATGACTTGTGCGATACTGTCTCGTTCGCTTCGACAACGACAAAGCAAAGATCGAAGGCAGAAGTTGCGCAGACGACAGCGAGCAGGCTTGGCAGTACAGGCATATCCTCAAGTCAACGCAACGGATCTCAAGACGGATAAGGCAAGTGATAGGACCGTTGTATTTATGGCAATTGTTGGCGAAATTGACAGCTCGTTTTGGAGCACAGAAATGTGAGCAACAAAATTGACAGTTTAGGCGACATCATAAGCACACGGTTGCAATTCCAACGTTGGGGTAGGACAAGCCTCAGGTCATAAGAGCATTGGACTGCCTCTTCGCAACCTTTACCTCTTGCTGGTTCGTGTTGCTCAACGAGCAAATCAAGGTACACGTTGCCCATCAAATCATGCACAACCAATCTCAAGCGTCCCTCCCTGTCTAACTTGCAACATTGTCGTATACAGAGTCAGAGTTATGAGTATCTCAGCTGAGTCAGTACAGCATCAGGACGTCAGCTGACTAGAATCTCGTATTGAGATCTTGCACGGCAGTCGTACCGTGGTTTAGACTAGATCTCGCCTCTGTTTCGGGCGGGTTCTCCACTGCAAAAGCTTATCGTGCTAAAACCCTGAGAGGATGTAAGACCTTGAGAAAATCATCTTCTGGTGAGGAATGGTCTGGACGAGAAGAGAAGAGATGTTGGCAGACGTCACTAGCCGTCCTGTGCACTTCTCGTCACACTATTGTCGGGTGTGCCAAGCTGTCACCTTCTAAGATAGTACAAACACAGCGCATGTGAGTCTCGCAAGGATGCGTCGTTTGCTCAGGTTGTGTCTTGTAGATCAGATCAGATTTGATGTATAGTGTTTTCTTGAAGCTCAATGCTTAATGAAACATGCTTTGGCAGTGCGCCTAGCAAACATTCATGGAAACATGTCATTGCGGTATTTACATGCAAACTACCGTCTCTTTACATTCCCAAGGTTCTAGCTATGGAGAAAGTCATAAACAGTTGTCGCTTAATTAAACCGAATCCATCTCTTTGAAGATCTCATCCAACAATTATGATCTATTCCGAGATGGTTAAGATCGCGCCATGAGCGGGCCAGGCCTTTTAGCAGCCACACCACTCAGGGGATATCATGGCAATTACCCCCTTGGAGTAAAGTATTGAACCTGTGCCGCCGGGAGGATGAGTGTATCTGTCAAGTTATTTCTGGCTCAGCTAAATCATTTCGAGACAAGAGAAACGATCCTCCCGTCTTGGCCAGATGTTGAAACATTGGCGTTTATTTTAGAGTAAACGTTTGAAGATCAACAGTTTGAAGTTTACTTGACGTTAATGCTGCGAGTACCGTGGCTTGCATGGGGCCAAACGGTTGCCACGCAGGGACTACATGATATTTCAGTGGGACATTGGATTGCGGGTTCGATAATTAGAAGCGAGGTATTTGCTGCAACTACGGATACAGTAGTACTCCATTATGTCCCCATCCATCAAGGGCATCAATTCTGTCTGCTATGAAGACATTGGATGGAGACGAAATGGTATACCTAGGTCTAGGTGTGTAAAATGGCCTCCAGCTATCTGTGACTCTCTGTCAGCCTTGAAACAAGAGCTTTATTGTTTAAAAAATGCCAAGCTTTTCACACTTGGTTGCTTCAAGGCGATTTGGAGCTTAAGCTTCATGATGATCCCTGCAATCTGTAACTCATCTGACACGCGTCCCATATTGTTCCAAGGAAGATAGTGTTACAATTGGGAAGGCCGTTTGGGAAGAGGACACTGTACCCTTTGCTCTGGATTGGTATCCCTTGGGTTTGTCTCTCTTCAACTGTTGCGATACGTCAACTCTTTGACGGACCACCATCTAAGTGGACATGCAAGAACTCGGTCTCTGGATTCTCTGTACGTTGAGCAGAATTGTTCTCGTCATACCTTGGTACTGTACTCAATCTCCAAAGCGCAAACGCAATCAACTTGACGCGTGTAAAGTGTGTGATCGGCCCCTGATTGTCCCCAATTCACAATGCTAAGCGGCTATCTCCCCTGTAGAAAACCCCCCGATGGCAGGGCCAAGGGTCCACCGATCAAGGCCTTCTCCAAAATCGCCCGCCTTGGGTATTTTGCAGCCCCTGAGAGGATACTTGGCTTCTCACCAGATTCAAGTGATCAACCATGTATCGTCCGGCAGCTAAATTGGTGATCCCACATTTTAGGTTGAGCTAGTCTAGACATGGAGCTGTTCTGTGCCTGTAAATGCAGCGCTAAGTCTGGAAATTTTGAGGACGAGCCAGAGGCAAGACAAGTCAAGTCAAGCAAGCAAATCTTTGAGGCAAGCTCCTTCCTCTTCCCATAGTCTCTCCCTCATTCCGACTTACGATTCATGCTTCTTATTTCTCCTTGTTCAGCTCCTCCTCACAATCATCAACCTCACCTTCTTTCCTCCGTTGACCTCCTGTGATCGTTGAGAATTATCTCTTCTTTTTATTCCTCGACCCCCTTTATTTTGACAATCCTTGTCTGTTCATTCTCTACTGTCACTAACCCACTCTCCCCACGATTTACCCTTCCCAGTATCGCACCTTCAGTGCGGCAAAACGACAGCTCGATATTCTCTCTTGCCTGCGAGCATCACCAAAAGCACGATTTAATCATGTGGTGAAGAAGCGATTTTATTAATTACATCAAAACGTCTTTTCTTTTTCCTTGCGAGCTCCACCACGCTGCAGTATCGACTTTGAAACGCTCTTCTGCCCCGCGATCGACCCTACCGTAATTCGTCATCTCGCCCTCGAATCGAAAAAGTTGGCTGCGCATACGTCTTCTGTCGCTGGCGTCAGAATACTCCTTTGCGCTGCGCCGTCAATCGGGCAACCCGTATCGAATAATAATACCCCCCGAAGATATGCCCAATATGCTTGCGCCCGGCTTCAGGACACGGCGCACTTCCTCCTTCATCCGCTTCGGCGCCCTCGCTACTCTCATTATCTTCGCCTTCTGGACGTTCAGCAACCGCGCTCCTACACCTCACCTACCACCTCTGCACAAGTCCCAGCAGCAACCTACCGATAACTCGAACCCTATCTCTCCTCCTTCACCTCCCAGAGAGGCAGTGGAACAACCGGTAAGTGGAAGAGAGGCAAGACCCCTAAACGTGTCCGATTTACTAACTAGTTGTCTTGAAGTTGGTAAAGGATCAGCCTGTGAGAGGTCCTCATCCAATTGACAAGCTCATACACGATGGCGGAAAGAGGCACAAGGAGCAGCTCTCTAAGGAGTCGCAGACTCTAGAAGAGGCTGCGCAAGCCTATCGCAAGCGCCGTGGACGTCATCCACCTCCAGGTTTTGACAAATGGTGGAATTTCGCCAAGCAGAACAACGCTATCGTCGTCGAAGAATTCTGGGATCAGGTTTATCATGATATCGAACCCTTCTGGGGTGTTCCCCAGCCTGTCATTCGCAAGGAGGCCTACAGCTTCGAGATGTCGATCCATATTCGCAACGGCAAGGCCAATTCCACAAGCGATTGGTTCTGGACGTTGATCTGGCTGGACATGATTAGATCGATTGAGCATATGCTCCCAGACTTGGACATGCCCTTGAACGCCATGGACGAGCCTCGTCTCGTGGTGCCCTGGGAGGATATCAACGGTTATATGACCAAGGGATCAGAATCACGAAAATTGTGGTCGGCAAAGGAGGTGGTCTCAGACTTCCAAAAGCTTCCCGCACCTGGACGACATGACAGAAATGTCAGAATCCCCTTCAAACGATGGGAGAAGACGAGTAAGCACCCAGACAAGAGCTTATGAAAGAGCATTGCTAACATGCCACAGGCCCCTATTGGCCCATTGCCAGTCGAGGATGTTCCCCCGATAGTCCAGCCCGTCAGGCTCCTCTTAAAGATTCGTTTAACGAGCCTCCCCAAATCGATATCTCGAACGCCGAGCCGCACTCGTACGCCGGCTATGTCTCCAACTTTACCCAATCGAGCGAGATCTGCCATCAGCCTGACCTTCAAGGCCTTAACGGACTGTTGATCAACCCGATTTCTGTGTCATCCACCAAGGTCCTGTTCCCAATGTTCGGCGGTTCCAAGCTTGCCATCAACAACGAGATTTTGCTCCCTCCTCCTATTTACTGGAAGGCAGAAGAACGATTCACAGGTGGTGAAGATAACGACGTCGAATGGAGGGATAAGGGCAACACTGTAGTTTGGAGAGGTGTTGCGACTGGAGGCAAGAACAAGGCGGAAAATTGGCGCGGTTTTCATCGTCATCGCTTCGTTTCGATGCTCAATTCTACAAAGCTCACCGCAGCAGAGAAGGGTACTGCGAAGCCAGAAAACTTTGTCCTCCCGTCCGAGCAGTATCATCTCCAGGCGCAGGCTCAGAACCGACTTGGCGATTGGGTAGGCGAGTGGTCTGACGCAGGCTTCGTTGACCTCATGTGCTCGCCCAGCGAAGAGGAGGGTAGATGTTGGTACACAGATCACTACTTCGCAAAGGTCGACGGAATGGACATGAACAAGCAGTTCGCCTATAAGTACGTCCCCGATATCGACGGGAACTCCTTTTCAGGCCGCTACCTCGGTTTCCTCAACTCGACATCCCTTCCCATAAAGGCCACTCTTTTCCGTGAGTGGCATGACAGCAGACTCGTGCCATGGGTTCATTTTGTACCTATGGACAACCGCTTCCAGGACTTTTATGGCATCATGGAATACTTCCGTGGCTACGCCGATGTTGCCGGCCACGACAAGGCTGCTGAAAAGATTGCGCTCGCGGGTAAGGAGTGGGCGAACAAAGTACTGAGGAAGGAAGATATGCAGATCTACGTCATGAGATTGCTTCTCGAGTACGGACGTGTCATTGCGGATGGCAGAGATAAGATGGGCTGGGTAGACGATGCGCTCAAGGATCCATCTATCGAGAAGACCTGGCAGAGCTTCGGCTTGTGAATGTGAAGAAGACAAGTTAACATTGTTACGGAGTTAACCTTGATTTAAGGAAGGGCGATGGCGTTACGGCGTGCGATATTTATTTTGGACGATGGCATGTCGAGGGTCTACAGACTCTTCCGACCAGCGAGATAAGTGGAGGGCATTTCAAGTACATATAGAACTACACAACCACACAAGGAAATGAATGCCAAATAAATGGGTCATACTTGACGCACATTTCAAATCGTTGAATTTGTTATCTCAATACCATAACACGTTTCTATATCATAAGATGGTGATACACGTAAATACCTTTGAACGCCGATGTATGCTTCTTAATCCAGTGCCTAGTCGTACAATTCTGTCCTTCTGTTTTACATAGCACTCGGCGCGTTGCCCAATGAGGGGGTCTTCGAGTCGTCCTCTTCCACCAACTGTCTGTCGTAGTCGTCCGTTAGGCGTCCTACAAGCGTTGTATACTCAGGCGCAAACGGCCAGTCAAGCCACGCTTCGATGATGTCTTCCCACTGCTTTGGCGTCACACATCGCGCAGATAACGCTCCATGCTTCGATAGGGGTGAGCCTGCCTGGTCCGGATCGTGGATGGAGGTCACACCGGGTGCCTGGTCACCGAACCCAGGCCATAGACTGTTCATGGCTTTGGGAACGCCTGAAAGCGGATACTGCCACCAATAGCGTAGCATGGTTTCCGAAATAGTGCCGTTACGCGCATCGGGGCCGTGTTGACGAATAAACTTGCTCATTGCTTTGGGTTGGAGGTCGAGAAGAGCGCAGGGCATTTTTGGGTAGAAGTCCTCAGCGTGAGTGACGAGAGGTTCGAATGGACGACGGTCCCAGAAGAGGACCGGTTCTTTTTGTCGGAAGAGCTGGTAATTGTCACGAACCATCGCCCACTCTTTCCGTGTGTTCTTTTTGATGTTATCGAGGCGACTGTCGAATGCTGCCTCGGCGGCGGGAAACTCGGATGGGGATTCGGTGGCGAGTCTCATGAGTCGATCGCGCTCTTGCAGAAGTTCAAGATACAACTGCGCGTCTGCAGCTTCGTACTTTTGACGGAAGCGCAGCGCTTTGAGACGGGTTGAGGGCACCTCTGCAGAACTCTCCAACTCCCTCTCGGCTTCTTCGAGCTCTTGGCGGAAGGGCCGGCTATGGATGGGAATTTCAACGCCTGCAAGTTGTCGGTCTGCGTACTCTCTATTGGCGGTAAGATTCTGATAGACTTTTGTTTCACGGCCAGAGGGCATGGTAAGACCAGCCTTCTTCATGCGATCGAGCGTTCGGTATCCAGACTCCATATTGATCCACTCATCGCGGAGTTCGTAACGGTCCTCAAATTCGTCGTGGCCTGCGATTTCATGCAACCATTCGAGGGAAAGTTCGGCTTCGAAAGCGCTGCGTTTGCGACGGATGGAACTTCGTGGGAGGAGCCTGCGCTTGCCGTCGTCGGAAATCCAGATGAGCATGCGCACGAGGCCGTATTGCTGGAAGAGCGCGGCGGATCGGATACTGGCCATAAGCTGGTAGAGAACCATGGTGCTGACGCACTCGAACATTTGGTACTTCTTAGCTGGGCAATAGGAAATATTAACATTGACCAGGAGCGTATCGTTGCGTTCTGGCTCGGCGGCTGGGTCACGAGTCGGCTGGTCGATAGAAGTTTCAAGCATCTCCTGTAAATCTTTCCAAAGAATGCCTTGTTTGGGAAGAACTTCGACGTTTGGTTTGTTGATAAAGTCGCCAAGGAGTGGCTTGTAGAGTTCGATGTCTGGTTCCATGAGGATGTGTTTTCGAGGTTGAACTAGTTCATGTAGGGTTTTGCTCCAGATGCCAGCACCTGGGTTTATGTCGATAAGATCGCAGCCACGATGGCGCTCGAGGGAGGGACCCATAAGGTTGGCGATATCATCTAAACAGTTTATTTTATGAGAAAGTGAGTCTATGGGATCGCGTGAACAAACTCACCGCATAAACCTTGGTTGACAATATTAACACGATGTTTATCCCCAAGAACATTTCTTCTTGCCCCTCGCTGGAGCCAAAGTCCTGTATCTTTGAGCTGTTGTGACAAATCGTTGGACGGTTCGAGCTGATCGCCGGTCAGACGACCCGTAGCGTAGGGACGAAGTCGAAGTTGAATCGGCGACGTCGTGCGCCGCAGTGGTCGCGCAAGAGACAACCGCGCGTGTTGTCGGGCGACGAACATTGTGTGGAATGTTCGCTGGGTATCTTCTCAGGGCACAACCGTCGTTGGCAACAGAGGATGGGTGACATGTTTCGATGGAGGGGACGGAAATTGTGAATTTTGCCATAATTGACCGCTGCGATTAGATGGATAAGATAAGATTAGCTCGATGTGTTAATTACCTACCTAGAGCTCCATGCCAGTGGGGCTTTGATAGTACAATCAGATTGGGTTGGACGCCTCGGACAATTCATGGTCATGTAAAAATCAGACTTGGCATCACTCCGCCTCTTATGCGTACTTCCTGAATCCGTCCATACAATTTTTCCTTTACTCCAAAAGGTCAAAAGATCAGGTACCTATCTAGGTATGTAACAAAGATGATGTACAGGTTGCCAGGAGAAGTGGATAACAAGCACTGCTTGAACAACCATTCTGTCAACCAACCCGCAAGAATGTCAACCTTCTCCCAAGCTAACCATACGGTACAAACTAACAGTGAGTCTCTTGAGTAGTGAGAGGATAGTGCAACCATTAAAATATCACCAGCCTGATCGCAACCAAACGACTCATATCCGATTACATAAAATAGCTATTAGTTACCCTATAACAGTAGTAGCCTCGATTGGTTGTCTGAAGGGAAGACTTGTCTAGGAGTGTACGCGACTCATTCAGAACACCTTCGCGATATTCAACAGCAGACTCAACGTAGCGTATATATCAACATTTCTTTCATTCATTCCCACACCAGTATGCCCAAGCTACAAGATAAATAAAACTCCACGAGACGCCGCCATGCTGTAAGAGACAATTCTGGAAACTCGCTGCCTCCCTCTCCTTTCTCCTCCTTATGTATGTGCAACAAGTGACTGTCGCAACTCATGCTGTATCTTCATCATGCACCTTCGCTGCCAAATTCGTTGGTCCATTCGATCTGTCTTGCGATATCGTCCTTGGATACAGTTGGATGCGAGTCGTCGAGCGCCATCTCAAAATCCTTCAGCTGGACATCCGGTGCCAGTAATTCGTCCGATGAGACATCGTCGTACGTCATCTCGATCTTTTCTGGGTCGCCAGGCGAGCAAGGCGTCAACATGCGCTTGCCATCTTTCATGACCTGAATGTGTTAGTATGGATTCAGATATGTGTAAGTAAACGACTTACAGGCTTGAAGTGAGTTGCTTGCAGAATCTTGCGGACTGGCCGCATTAGAGCAGATTGAACAACGTTGGCGATATCACTACCGGACATTCCTTCGGACTTGGCAGCAAGAATATTGTAATCGCTTGCCACGAGGGCAGTGTCTGTGTCACCAATAGCCAATTTAAACATGCGCGCTCGACCATTTACGTCAGGAAGACCAATATGCACACGGCGCTGGAAACGTCGTCGGATAGCAGCGTCGAGTTGCCAGGGAATGTTGGTGGCTCCCAGAACCAAGATGCCCTTGCTGTCGTTGCCCACACCGTCCATTTGGACCAGTATCTCGGTCTTTATACGACGTGAAGCCTCGGACTCGCCTTCACCTCGGGGACCACATAGAGCGTCGATCTCGTCGATGAAGATAACCGAAGGCTTATTCTCACGCGCCATGGAGAACAGGAGCTTGACCAACCTGCGCGAAACTGCGTTAGCTAAGGCATATCACTAATTACAGCAAGGAAGCTTACCTTTCACTTTCACCCATCCATTTGCTGACAAGATCGGAACTGCTGATACTGAAGAAAGTACTGTTCGCTTCCGTCGCAACGGCCTTGGCGAGGTAACTTTTACCTGTACCTGGGGGTCCGTACAGCAAAATACCCTTCCACGCCTGTCGCTTACCCTGAAACAGACTGGGAAACTTGATGGGCAGCACAACAGCCTCTTTCAACGTTTCCTTGGCACCCTCGAGACCAGCGATATCCTCCCACCGCACGTTAGGCCTCTCCTGAAGAATGGCACCTGACAATGCGTTGCGCAACTTTTTGCTATCGTCGTCCTCGCCCGCCGCAGGCTTGCCCTTACCAGTGGAGCTGCCGTTAGCGCCCATGATGGCTTTCCCGCTGCCATTTGCGTTGTTATCGTTCTCGCTGGCAAGAAATTGCTTGAGCTTCTCGGCGCGATCGAGGTAGGTAGCCATCTTTTCCTGCATGGTGACTTTGAGAGCCTTGTTCTTCTCCCACTTGAGCGCCTTGACCCAGAGTTCCATGGAGGACATGTAGAGGTCAAAAGCTTTTTGGTACTCCTTATCATGGTCGGCCGTGATGGCCTTTTGCACCTCTGCGATGGCGCGGTCGCGAAAGTTGGTCGACATGGTGACGTTTGTCGGTCGAAGAGAACGTGGGGGAGGGGGTTTATGCTGGAACTTCCAAAAGTGAAGGGGTCGGATCTTGTGCAATTCCCCAGCGGGATCGGGAGGTGACAAAGGCGAGGATCGAACAGTAACAAGCACCTGCAAAAGCTGGAGTCGTTATCGAGATGGTGGACGGTTTGCTTGAGGCAACAGTCAATTGCGCTGGGCTGTACAGAGTACAGTACAGACAGGCTGGGACCGATTGGCGGGGAAACATGGCCCAGATCCATAACCTAACACAAATGATGCTTATAGCGGGGCAGAGAGGGGCTACACAACTTTACTGTATCGTCAGTTTAGGCGACAAGAAAGAGAAAGGACGATTCTTGATAAGCAGGAACATTTCTACTTGCTTAGTGGTATTTTATCAAGTTTTACATCATCCTTCATCGCCCCCAAAACACCATGTCGGATCCTCAAGCCAGGCTCCAGGCCCTGTCCGAAGAGTTCCAGAAGCTTCAAGGCGGTATGTTCGTTCACCTTCTGAATGAACGAAAGACATATGCTAATACGCAACCCAGAACTCCAAAGCGCTGTTGAGTCGCGACAAAAGCTTGAAGGACAGAAGCAGGAGAACGTTGGTGTGCAGCAGGTTGGTCATCTTGACATAAGCATCTCAATAAGTCTCTAACCCAAGCTCAGGAGTTTGATCGGCTACAAGAGGGCGAGACCATCTACAAGCTCACTGGTCCCGTGCTACTGAAGCAGGACAAGTTTGAGGCCGAGAACACGGTCAAGGGCCGCCTGGATTACATTAGTAGTGAGATGTGAGTAAAAATCCCATTCCAAGGTTGTACCCTTGTCTAATGTCCCGATTTAGCACCAGGCTAGAAGGCACAATCAAGGAAACCCAAGAGAAGCTCGAGAAGAAAAGGACAGAAATAATTCAGATTCAATCAAGCGCTCAAGCAGCTCAAGGCAAGGGCAAGGAGGCATCCAAATAACTTCACAAAACAGGGGAGACAGGAGTGGGTTAAAAAAAATAGACCATGAGTTGAGTTATATTCTACAAAAACATTGATGATGATAATGCAAATTAGACAAATACCTGGCACTTTATGAGCGCCGCGCTAAATGATACCAGCGGGAGAGTCTTTCGTCGCCCACCCAAACGCCTGTCGTGATTCGTGAAGTGATCTAATTGATCGCCATGATGCTGAAACCCCAAGGAACGCCCATGTTCTTGTGTTCTAGAGCGGCGCTGGGTGAGAACATAAAGTCATGCTTGTCGTCAGCGGCAACAGGCTGAGGTGTCGCGGCATCCTCATCAGCATCAATGGCAGCGAGGATAGCCTCTGCGATGTCGTTCTTCTTCGTACAACTCTCAAAGATACTGTCGCCCTCAATAAGACTCTGTATCAAAGCCCGCTGGTCGCTCTCGGTGAACAACTGGGCCTCGCGATTGAGAACACCATAGTTGACCTTCTCACCCGTCAGTGCCAGGCGCTGGAAGATAACGGTGAACGCAGCGATGGCCTGGGCCAGGATGCGAGCTCTCTGCTTTGAGCTGAGGTTCGCGAAGAACTCGGACGTCTCCTGCTCGAGAAGCAATTGTGTGTTTGTGTCGAAAATGGATTGGAGGATGCGGTGCAGAATATCGCGGCAGTTGAGGTCGAGGTCGGCGCAAACGTCGAGCTCAAAGACTGATGAGATACTGCGGAGGATGCTGGAGAGAGCGTCGAGAGGGCAAAGGTCGCTGGGGAGAGTGACATGACCTTGCTCAATTGTGAAGATGTCGACGGCAGTGTTCACAGCGGCTACTCATGTTAGTTCATTCATCCATGGCTTGTTGCTGTTGTTACATACATTTGCGGACAGCGTTGACATTAAAGGGCTTGACCTCAATAGCGGATATGGTAGTGTTGTTCTTGATGGCTTCCATTTTGTAAGTGAGGTAACGAAGGAGAGAAGTTAGGTGTTAGATGAGATATGATCAGGGAGGCTGAGCTCTGTGCAAATCGAGATTCTTTACAAATGATACTGAATACTAGATAGACGATCGAGGCATGGGACCTGGGAGAGGCTGGCTTTTTAAACCCAATCGCCCCTTGAGAAAACTTTGCCTAGGAGATGCCCAACTTGCTGAGAATAATGTCCGGCATATATCCTGGCAGCCTCATAACAAGGCCTCATGGCCACACCGTGGTCAATGCCCCCTTACCTGAGGTGTCATGGGCGTGGGTAGATGGGCCGATGACCGATGGGACCATCGGGGAGCTTTTCTCACCGTGGGGTTGACCGACTCGGCGAGACAGCGGCGGCGATATGATGCGGTTCGATCATGATCATGATAACCCCTAGACCAAGACTTTGCCTCTGGGGGTTGACATGAGCATCTCTTGGTAGTGAGATCTAATCATGACTATTGCGGCACGATTACCAAGTTTGGAGCCTAGTCAACAGATTGAAACCTTCATCTACTGTCGGTTCTTGACTTCCGTCTTGTCGTATTTCCAATTCTGGTAGTCTAATTAGGGACCGCGACCCGGATTCCCCGAGCCCAACCTTAAGCTTCCATACATGGATGCTGAGTGTATCTCCAAGGCGAGTTATTCCGAACTGACTATAAACCATCGGGAGAAGTCGGGACAGAGAGAGACGTGCTCCTTCAGGGCATCAAGTGCCTGAGGATATCTTCCAAGGAAGAGCGGGCTCGGTGAGACAGCGTGGGGAGTGCATTGCATGGAGATAGCAATTGTACGATTCTCATACACAAACCACGCCATCAGCCCATGATAGAAGTTGAGTGTGGCTGTGTCTACTGAGGCGTTCCACGCCACACAAGGCTAATCTGGTGTTTCATCCTTTTGGCTTATGTGCATATTCTCTGCTTCGTCATTCCATACCGCATAAAGTCATACATTCCCCGCCATTGGGCATGGAGGGGCAATCAAGGTACCGGCCACCTGCCGCGAGACGCTGCGCGTCGTCACAGGATCCATTTGATTCCATCTCGACACTTTAAGATTCCCCATTCCCAGGCAACTTCTTTTAAAGTTGTCGCCTACAAGCCGCGTGGCACCTGAATTACAACCATGTACTAGAAATAATTGCTTTGACGACTTTACGACGTCAACTATCAACCCTCCTTCCTCAACCTCTTCCAATATGGACTCACGAATAGCGATGCGGCCTACCCGGCCTCAGACTGTCAAAGAGCTGGTTGCCCAGGCCGAGAACTTCAACTTCAATACAAATATTCCCTTTAAGCACTGGACGCGTGCGGCCGAGACACTGTACCAAGAGGTTTGTATCATCAATCTCCGTGCTTTACTTCAGCTAATCTGTCTAGGCTTCCTTTGCAGTCTCCGATGGCGATTTCGGTCGAGCTTACATGATGCTGTACCGGCACTCCGCTCTTGTCCTCAAGTATATTCCGACACATCCCCAGTTCAGAGATCCCGAGAACAAAAAGGCCTACGCAGCGCTTGCAAAACGCAAGCGCATCGAACGCGTCATCCAAGATCTCGAACAGCTCAAACCCGAAATTGAGAATGCCGTCAAAGAATGGGAGCGGATGGCGCTGTCGCCGAAGCCGGCTACCGAGGCTGCACCAAACACTTCGTCGCGATACGAACAATTCGCAGCTCGCGATCCAAGCTTGACCGGCAATGCTAGAATTCTGGATGCATCTGATCACCAGGATCTAGCAGTTGATCTGGCCCAGAAGGAATTGACACGAAGAGATACAGCAAGGAGGGTCACAAGACAAGCTGGGATCACTGACGAGGATATCATGTCGAGGAGAAGAGGAGGCAAATGGGACCAATGGGACGGCGCACGCATTGGGGACGACGAGGATCTACGGCGACAGATGGAGGCAACTAGGCAGGCCCTCGACTCGGCGCACGAGAGACGTAACGACCATGATTTCCGACCGACGTCGCACACTTACAACTATCCGTCTATTTCCAGACCTCGGCCACTCGAGTACGAGAAAAGTACAACGCCGACTACTCCATCCATTCAACCAAGCCGACCACCGAAGGAACCCGTGGCTCTACCACCAAAAGAGCCTCTGCACCCGTCTCTATCCCAACCGTTACCTCCAAGCCTGCCACAAAAGGTGCCCCTATCAGCATACGAACCTCTTATACCATCTTCGTCGCCTCAACCTGTCGATAATAACCGACCTGAGGTTCCTCGCAAAGAGGCACTTAGCCCGACCGGAGATGCTGGCCCACCAACAATTCCCAAAAAGGAGCGTCTCACCTTCAAGCCTGGCGCATACCTTGAGAACGGTGATCCGATACGGTCTCTCTTCCTTCCCAAAAATCTCCGACAAAAATTTCTCGACATCGCTGCTGATAACACACGACGGGGACTTGAGATGTGTGGCATGCTGTGCGGTACACCCATCAATAACGCTTTGTTTGTCAGGTGTCTCTTGATCCCCGATCAGAAGTGCACGTCGGATACGTGTGAGACAGAGAATGAAGAGGTCATGTTTGACTACTGCATGAATGAGGACTTGCTTCTTCTGGGGTGGATTCATACGCACCCGACACAGACGTGTTTCATGAGTTCACGGGATTTACATACGCATGCTGGATACCAGGTTATGATGCCTGAGAGTGTAGCCATTGTCTGCGCACCAAAATTCCAACCTTCGTAAGTGACCACAATCAATTATCGCTCGTTAAGCTAATCCGCCAAGGTATGGAATCTTTCGCCTGACTCACCCTCCAGGGCTGGATCACATTCTGAACTGTAACCATCAGGATACTTTTCACCAGCATTCAATTGACAATATCTATCGTGGTGCGGGTCAACCGAAGGGACATGTGTATGAAAGCGATAAGTTGGACTTTTATGTACACGACCTTCGGACCAAATAGAGTAGGAGTGGAATGGGATGACTGCCAATACAATGCGATACCTACAGTGGGATGGCCGAGGAGGGCGACCATGCATGCATAGCGCTGGAGTTTTCAAGGGTGATGGCGGGCCTCTTGCTTTCAGTACTGTAGACAAGACATGATATGAATGACTCTTTTAGACGAGCAAATGGGATCAGAGGTTACCGTGCGACAGGATCTGCGGATTGACATGTCGAATGAATTGAGAAACACGGAAGATTATTCTACGGTATCTTTGTTTCTGTACACAACCTTGGTGACTTCAGACAAGCAGAACATCAGTATAGTTAGTGCGTGTGCTCCCTCGGCGTACTGAATACAATGCAATACAGTACAGCTATCAGTGGAGCTCGACGATCCTCTCGTCCCGCTGTGGAGAGCATGAGATTAAGATTGGGTTGGGTTGCCAGCCCCGAGCCAAGCCAGTCCAGCTCGGCAGTGGAGGGCGGTTCTGTTCTCTTTTCTCCCTAGTCTAGCCTCCAGAGCTAGGGGCAGCTCGGTAGCGTGGGTTTAGTGCTGCACTGTAGGTGAAAGTGAAGCCCAAAAGGGCTGATGATGGGCATGCAGGGTAGCGATCAGCCAGCTGAGAGTTGGACTCTAGTCTCTGCGTCACCCTTTGACCAGGTGAGTGGGTAAGAACTGAGATGGAGGGTTTGTAAATTTGAACAAGGAAGTCTCTGGTTGTTGAGTGATATTTCCATGTAGTTGGTAAGTTATGAGATGAACAGTGTCGCAGGACATGTTGATAATACCGATGAAGAGTCAATTGCTATATTCTGACCAACATCGGACATAAGATTATGTCAGAAACATAGCCATAGACTACCGGAAATTTAACAAAAACAATCCCCTCAATCTCCCTCCAACGACGACAAACCACGTCATTGGCTCTGTCTCTCCCTCACCTCAATTCTCTAGGCCTTTACGACACGGCACAGACTCAGTACAGACTGCAGCCCATTCCCAAAAGGGTCTTTCAGCTGCGACTCAGTCTCGTGTAACTGACCATTAACAATCGAGCTGATTACATACAAGCAGCCCACAGTGTCTCAGTTGAAAAGGGATCATCCCAAAAGGCTAAAAGCTTTAACCCAGGGAGCTGGACAATCACATCACAGCTCAATTGCCGGGTACAGTACCTAGCTAGATACTTTCTTAGCTAGTCAAACTAACATGACTTAGTGCGCGTAGATCTTGGGACGGGAGCGATGGATGAATGGGGCCGAGGGAGGCTCGGACCGCTGGAGATATCGGGAATTGGGGTCTTGTATGCTGGTTCTTATGATGGGTGTTGGTATTGACAGATAAGTATCGAGCCATTGAGTCATGCGACAACAACAATCGAAATGCAGGGAAAGATGCATGTTACTCTTATTGATTTGTTCAATTGCTCAGATATCTATCCATGTCTCATTTCTCAAGACAAGATCTTAGACAAGCGGAGAGTTCCATCGTAGATCGCTCAATATCATCCACCACTAATACAGTGCCAAAGCCCACACTAATCTCAACAACAACCTCACTAGACTCTATCTCAGCCCAATAGCCTCCTATAGTTTGCTATCCACAGCCATCAATTGATCGACCCGGTGACCAAGATACACTGAACAGTGGCGCCGCCCTGAACCAGGAGGTATATGCAGATCGCCCTTTGTTGATACAGCGAGCTTGAGCTTCGTATGCACCCCATCTGCTCCGGCTCCGCGCCTTGATCTGCTCTTGTTCCACCGCATCGTCTTGGCCAACCATGTTGCTCGGAAAGGAAGAGTGGAATGAGCATGTCTTACTTTGCAGAGGGACTGTAGGTCACTAGCATGTGCTGCGAAGGAGGTAAACTCATAAAGGCGAGCTCATGCCCACCTCTGCTTGATCTGCTCTGCTCTCCTCTCGTAGTAATTGCAAATAATCATGGCGTCGAACCAAGCAAAGAACGGCGCTGTCGCCACGAACGGGTACAGCAATGAGAAGTCTTCTTCTTCAGCTTCGTCAAGCCAGAAGAAGAATGACTCTCCTGCCCCTGCTCACGACAAGAGTGAGGGTCTTGTGAAGAGTATCAAGAAGCTCCGCCTAGCTTCCAAGAGACCTCTTCCAACAGAGATGGGCGATGGATCGTACCGAAATGTTCAGAAGCGTCCGGGCTTGAAGCAGGATGTTCGTCGTCTTCGAGGAAAGGGTGAGTGCATGATTTGATGCAATGAGATGGGTGGTTGAAGGGGAGTGCTAACATCAACTAGATCTCAAGACGTTGTTCGAGATTATCCAGAGTAAACTCAAGGGTGAGACGCAGCAGGATGACAAGACCATGATCATGGAGCGAACGATACAGCTCGTTGCGAACTTGAGCGATCACTCCAAGGTCCAAGAAGCTTTGACGAACAGCTTCATCGCACAGCTTTGGAACTCAATTGATCATCCGCCTATGCTGTACATGGGAGACAAGTTCCGCTTCCGCCAGCCTGACGGATCTTGGAACGTAAGTTGTCTCAATCGGTCGAGTACTGAGAGTGTTCGCTGACTTGTATAGAACCCTTATCTTCCTCAGCTCGGTGCTGCTAGAACACCCTACTCAAGAACAGTTCGTCCGAAGGGCATGAGCTTGGGTGCTCAGCCTGACCCTGAGGCTATCTTCGAGTCTCTCTTTGCCAGAGATGGATTCCGCAAGAACCCCAACAATGTGTCCAGCATCCTCTGGTACTGGGCCACTATCATCATCCATGGTATGTCGTCCTTGCTAAACACACTCAATACATGTACTGACAGATCGTAGACCTCTTCTGGACCAACCTGAAAGACCCAGACCAGAACGACTCATCCTCTTACCTCGATCTCGCTCCCCTCTACGGCTCAACTGAGAAAGACCGCGACTCGATCCGTACATTCAAGGATGGTCAGCTCAAGCCCGACTGCTTCGCTGACAAGCGTCTCATCGGCAACCCTCCCGGTGTCCCCATCCTTCTCATCATGTTCAACCGCTTCCACAACCACGTCGCAACTAACCTCGCCGACATTAACGAGGGTGGTCGCTTCAGCAAGCCTGGTGCTCACCTCGGCGAAGAAGCTGCTGCTGCGGCATGGAAGAAGCGTGATGAGGAGCTTTTCGAGACAGCAAGACTGGTCACCAGTGGATTGTACATCAACATCACTCTTATTGACTACGTCCGCAACATCATCAACCTTAACCGTGTTGACACTACTTGGACCCTCGACCCTCGTCAGGAGATGGGTGTCTCAGTCGGTACTAAGGACCTGTCCGAGAGCGGTACTGGAAACGTCGTCTCAGCAGAGTTCAACCTGTGCTACCGCTGGCACTCGTGTCTCTCTGAGATGGACGACAAATGGGTCCAGGACTTCTACACGCAGCTCCTCGGTGAGAACTACGGTCCCATGAACCTCCAGACCATGATGAAAGCTCTCAAGGCATTCGAAGCCTCTGTCGCCGATGAGCCTTCTGAGCGTACCTTCGGTGGCTTCAAGAGAGGCCCCGACGGCAAGTTCAATGATGATGAGCTCGTTGAGGCACTCGCTACTGCCATTGAACAACCTGGCGGTGCGTTCGGTGGCCGTAACGTCCCACGCATCATGAAGCCCATCGAGATGCTGGGTATCATGCGCGGTCGCAAGTGGAACTTGGCCGGTCTGAATGAGTTCCGAAAGCACTTTGGCCTCAAGGCGTACGACACCTTCGAGGATATCAACTCCGACCCTCAAGTCGCTGACGCCCTGCGAAACCTGTACCAGCACCCCGACTATGTCGAGCTGTACCCTGGTATCGTCGCAGAGGAGGCAAAGACTCCTATGTCTCCGGGTGTGGGTATCGCTCCCACGTATACTATCTCCCGAGTGGTTCTCTCTGACGCTGTGGCCCTTGTTCGTGGTGACAGGTACTACACCACCGACTACCACCCGCGCAACTTGACCAACTGGGGTTACAAGGAGGTTGACTACGACCTCAAGATCAACCACGGATGTGTCTTCTACAAGCTCTTCCTGCGCGCATTCCCCCAGCACTTCAAGGGCAACTCTGTCTACGCGCACTACCCCATGGTTATTCCTACAGAGAACCATAAGATTCTCACTGACCTCAAGCGCGTAGAGCGTTTCGACTTCAGCCGTCCCGCGCCTACAGCAACACGCATCAACATCGTGGGTTACAAGGCTGCCAAGTACATCCTTGAGGACCAGACCAAGTACCGCGTCTGCTGGGAGGAGGGCCTCAAACACCTCATGGGCGAAGGAGGTGGCCGCTTCATGCTCTCGGGCGACACAGCATTGCACGCTCAGCAGCGCAAGTGCATGGGTCACCTGCTGTACAACGATACCTGGCGCAACGCCGTCAAGTCGTTCTACGCCACAACGGCCGAGATGCTTCTGAAGGAGAAGTCGTACAAGCTCGCGGGGAAGACGCAGGTTGACGTTGTGCGCGACGTTGGTAACGTTGCACACACTCACTTTGTCGCCAGAATGTTCAACCTTCCCCTCAAGACCAAGCAGAACCCCAAGGGTGTCTTCTCCGAGCAGGAGCTGTACATGATCCTTGCTGTCATCTTCGTGTGCATCTTCTTCGACATTGATCCCGCAAAGTCTTACCCTCTGCGACAGGGCGCTCGAGAGGTCGCTCAGCAGTTGGGTAAGATCGTGGAGATGAACGTCAAGCTTGCCAACAGCGTCGGCGTCAAGGGACTCTTCACCAGCAAGCCCAACAAGAACGATGACCCGCTTGCTGCGTACGGTGAGAACATGGCCAAGGGCCTGAAGAAGGCTGGTCTGAGCACCGAGGATATCGTGTGGAGCCAGATCCTGCCCACTGCTGGGGCTATGGTGCCGAATCAGGCTCAGGTGGTGAGTATTTTAATCTATTTCGAGATTGACGAGAATGCGGTGACTAACATAGTGTGTGTAGTTTGCTCAAACCCTGGACTGGTACCTTTCTCCTGCTGGTGAGAAGTATCGCCCTGAGCTTCACCGCATTGCGGCGCTGGAGACAGGCGATGAGACAGATGCTTTGCTTCTCGGCTACGCGATGGAAGGTATTCGCATGGCTGGTACTTTCGGACTCTACCGTGAAGCCGCGGTAGCCGACGTCATTCAAGAGGATGACGGTCGTGAAGTTCCTGTTCAGCCTGGTGACCGAGTCTTTGTCTCGTTTGTCTCGGCTGCCAAAGACCCGAACATCTTCCCCAACCCTGAAGTGGTCGATCCTCGACGCCCTCTGGACTCATACATCCACTATGGCGCAGGCCCACATGCCTGTCTTGGCAGGGACATCAGTCAGGTTGCGTTGACAGAGCTGTTCAGGGCATTGTTCAGGAAGAAGGGACTTAGGAGAGTGGCTGGTGCGCAGGGAGAATTGAAGAAGGTTCCCCGACCTGGTGGTTTCTTTGTCTACATGACTGAGGACTGGGGCAGCATTTGGCCGTTCCCTACAAGCATGAAGGTTACTTGGGATGAATGAACTGGATCTTGACATGGAATTGGAGTATGAGTATGATATCATGAGACGGGATGGAATGGAATTGAGTTTTGGGGTACCCGGTGCCTACTGTACCTGTCTAACGTTGGTAATTAATATGAGTTTTCTTTGTCGCCACATGAACATCCTTTGTCTTTGTTTTGTAAACTTGTACTGATGCATTGACTCGTGATCAACGAAGGATCGTATCGCATCAAGTGACGATCCTCCTTCACTATGAGTTGATTATTTCAGCCTCAAGCGCCTGTATCACAGTGAATCCTTCAATCATCCTCACTAATCTCAGCCCTGAACCCCTTGCACTAAAGCCCCCCAATTCGCCTCCCGTAGGGTGCCGCAATGCCGAGCTCCAGCGTGTATAGGCCGAATAATTGGCCCGCGATCGCTCAACCGTGCCTCGTCTAAACCGCTTTCAGTAAAGACGGTTCGTTTCGAGCGTTTCAGATTTGTTTGTCTGCGCCTCTGCAAGGAACGCGATTGGGTTTGATCAGCAGATGACAATTGATGTGACTCTGATAAACGAAAGACGAGATGGTGATGAAATTGTATTTATTCATCTCTTCTTTCCCGTTAATTATTTCCCTTTCTTCCAGTCATTCCATTCGGCTGGTTTTACGAACGATTGCATTGATTGCATCTCCACTTCCTCAGCCTTGTTGCTTACCGTCTTACGCTCCTTTTATTCTATTCTGATCCTCTTTTTGCTGACAGCTCCGCTACGTGATCTGACCGCAGTCTTTCACAGCCCTGTCCTGTTCTTCCCTGACCTTGTTCATCAAGAAAAGTTCAAAGTCCCTGGAGGATATTTAAACGCTCTTTATCCCACGATCTTTGTCAACATAACATCACATACATACAACAATTCAAACATCAAACAAACAAACAACCAACCAATTCAACTCACTCACAATGAAGTTCACCACATTGTCTACCATCCTGGGCCTTGCCGGCGCCTCTGCAGCTGCCCTCACCGCTGTCCCCATCATCGAGCAAATCGCCCCCAAGTCAAAGAAGTGCCCTTCCAAGCTCACTGACTGTCGCGACTCCAAGCAAATGGCTCCTTACCTCATCGATGCTTTCCAGCACTACGACATCTACGACCCCAACGCCATGGCTGCTGTCCTTGCCCTCATGGCTTTCGAGTCCGGCGACTTCCAGTACAAGCGCAACCAATACCCCGGTCGTCCTGGTCAGGGCACAGCCAACATGCAAATGGCTCCCTTCAACCTTCTCTACGCCAAGAGCATCCCCGAGCTCGCCTCCAAGTTTGAGGGTATCGATTCAACCGAGGGCATGTCCAAGGATGAGCTCAACGATCTGCTGGATGCTGTCACTGTCGACAAGTACAACTTTGCCAGTGGTGCTTGGTTCCTTGCCACTCAATGCAAGCAAGAGGTTCGGGATGCTTTCAAGAAGGATGCCGACGAGGGATTCAAGATTTACATCGAGGAGTGTGTCGGTACTGAGGTTGAGCCAAGACAGGAGGTCTTCAACATTGCTAAGAAGGCATTTGGCGTCTAAGATGAGCTAAGCGGGTTTGGGTACTGGGACTTTCAAGCATAGAGGGCTGTAGCGTGGTTTTGCAGCATTTCTTTTTCTTCTCTTTTCTTTTTCTATTCATATATCCACTTTCTAGCAAAGTATCGCTTATGATATCCACTTCTACTTCAATTATGACCTGAAACTATGATCCCTTGTCTTGTGCTCCAGTCTGTGAGAATGATGCTGCCTTGTTACTACCGAGCATGAGAAATCGATTGTGCACATCAAACATGTCGTTGCTGCCAAAACATTGGGCTTGCTGCAAACTAACCGCGCTTCGTAGTAATACGAGATTAATCTCCGATTAAGCTTACTTTCATGCTTTCCAAGCGCGATACAGTCAGACGGAGCGGATAAGGTCATCCGCCAAGACTCCGACAAAATCCTCCGATCCACACTCTGTGGCTGTGCGAAATGTCAAGCTTTTCATGTTCTACAAATAACATAGGTATAAATGACACAGCCTCGGCACAATTTATGTAACTCGATTATGTGTCTCCTCATTACGAAGTGCATTCTTATGATATACGCTTGATTTTGCTGGAACTCGGAGTTTTACATTGGACGGATGTCGACCTGGTCCTGTATTTCGTTACTCGTTCTATTCTATGTCTGTATCTAACTATGTACCGTAAGAATATATGGCAAAGATAGCATCGATAACGAGGCTGCGAATTCTCCGCGACCCCATCCATGTCGAGGGCCACCGGTCGCAACAGCTACTCGATATGAGGATTGGAAAGACCTAGAGCTCAACAATCTTCAGCGGAGAAGGAGTACTTGGCTGAAAAAGCAATAGTTGCAGAGTATGAGAGCTCAGGTTAGCTGTACATGCAGACTGGGTCTATACTTTGAGCCCATGATTCACTTGGCAAATAAACATGTACATGAATTCTGTAGCCAACTCAGATTCCCAACATGTGCCAAGTCATTTTCCGTTGTAATATCCATGATAGGTAGACCTGATCTTGATTTCAAGCTTCGTATTATACTGATACTCAGAATTGGAATTCTACTACTCTTATGCGTAGCCCTCCATTGTGTACAAATACCGAGCTTCTGATAAGAAGGACTAGTATTGGAAGAATAGCAACAATATATAAACCAGGGATCGTAGAGAATAACGGAGGATTATTTTCTGATCCTACGCATTCCCTTGGAAGTGCTAGAAGTAGAAGTAATTCTGGATCTCAGGTCTTAGACGCGTGTTATGGTCCCGAACGACTTGATTGTAGCAGCTACCGAGACCCCAGCAAGATTGGCCGATGATTGAATTGAAAAAGATACTTGGAAGTGGTGACGAAAGCCTGATATGTGGAATCAGCAAAAAATGCAACATGATATAGAACCAATCATATACGACGGAAATGAAGAAAGATGCTAGAGAAAAGCAAATTACCATATGTATGGAACAGTGGTAGTATGGGACTCGTTCGATTCAGGAGATTTTTACGGCTGGTCGAAACGTGCCAGATGAGCGTTTTCACTCTGACCTATCATTATAGTTGGAAGTATTGGATACAATTTGTCATGCCCTCTTCGGCTTAAAAACTTGGTTTGAAGCCATATGTAGTGTGGCTATTCGTCAGTGTGCTCTATCTGTGACAAGGAGGAGGGCCTCAACGTAACATTGCCATCGACTATACATTTACAGCTCTGGGGAAGGAAGGATAAGCGTATAAATGAATAGAGTGTGATGATTTGATATATGATTACTTTTTGTTGGTATAGAGAATCATTTAACTTTGCCGAGGTCTTTCTGAAAGCTCATAATTTGTGTGTCCTATAACCTTTCCCAGAAATTCCAAAGCTCATGTACTACTCGATTAGAACGCCATATCTTGAGGCCGGTCACGTACTGCGAAGTGGAAACCACCAGACGATTCGTGCGGGCTTCCAGACGCATGATTCACTCATGAATCGGCAGTTTCGATATTGATCTCGACGGCACAGAATAAGCTTTCTTACCTTTCCATCTAGGCTCGTCTAGTACAACCTTAAACATGACTATCATATGCGTACAGCCTCGTTTCCATCACCAGGTCAATATACCCAGACCTGCAAGATACATCCAACAGGACCAATGTGACAGAGCCTCAATGCACAGATCTTCTAGTTAGAGGCAAATAAAGTGACAAGACTAATTCCGTGACAGTTCCGGTCTAGAATAAGGCGCTTGGATGCGGGCTGAACGGGAGGTCTGTGTCGTTAATATCGCCTTGGTCCGATACTAAATCTATATAAAACATGCACCAACTTAGTTAGAGTTTAGATGATTGGTTAGCAAGGAAACAGGTCACTAGAGAGTTTGGGGTAAAGTTCAAATACCAAGCACTGGGGAAAAGGTTGTCATGATATTGAGTAGACTTGCTTGAGGTTGAAGGTCACACTGATAACAATTGATGATTATACAGATAACGTACCACTGATCGACGTTGATGAATTCGAAACAGCCGTTCTAACTCTTTAAAATCTGGACCTCAGCAGCTGAGTGACAGAAGAATTGTCCTTCAAGACTTAGATCACAAAATAAAATAACCTAAAAGCTTCTCTAAGACGCCATAAAGTGACCAAGTTATTTCGTCTTCTGTGCCTCTAGGGGCCAGTTCTTCTGACACGCTGAGGCTCAGCCGATATCCGTGCAGATCTTAGCCGCGCTCAGAGCGCCTCAGTTGATATTTGGTGAAATGACTCATCACAGGGTCCAAGCCGCAACGGGACAAGGGTAGGGGATGAGAGCCAGTCTCGCCAGTTTACAAATGACAGTTTCATATCAGAGCGGGTATTCGTTTCGTGATGGCTAAAGAGAGAATAGAGGAGAAAAAAACAGTCTCCATCAAACCAATTTCTTGTAAACATGACACGGCTCAGCATTTGTCCAGCGCAATTGTCGTGAAACGAAACTAAACATCAGCCCTGTTTCTTTTCGGTTAGTTTAGTTCTCGTCCCATTTCCATTTAGGTAACTGGGCGGATCCGAAGAGCAGTCACACGGACTTTGGTTAACTCTACTAGGGTACGGGCAGTTTCATGCAGGGCGGAACAACGCTCCTGGATATTGGGCTTTGACGTTTCTGATTTATTCATTTTAATTCTTCTTAAACCGCCCCTCGCGATGTGATAAAGTAACAGTCATGCCCTTCCTCTTCGTGGGGAAAGGAGACGACGTCAGGGCTTCTTTTTTTCATTCTTTCTTTTTGTTGCCTCGGGTAGGTCTTTTTGTATTATATTATATTGCATTGTATTGTATTGCATTGTCTGGTTACAATGCCTCAAGTTGAGAACAAGCCCGAGGTAAGACTCATCTTCCTGTTTATGGAATCAATAACTTGGCTCACCCTGTCTTAGTTTCTTGTCGAAATATGGGGCCTTTATTCTCTAGGCACCATCATTCTTTTCACACGTTACGCTGTACGACTTAGGACTGTAGGATGGAGAGGTCTCAAAGGCGATGACTTCTTTTCGTTGCTGGTCTTTCTTTTTTACACTACCGATGCAGTCATGGTTCATCTGATATGTCAGTCGTCCTGAATCTCATGCGTGACGTGAATCAGATTATTAACACCCATATAGATTACCTTGGCACCAACATCGAGGCTGGGGTCAGTGAACTTAGACATCGTTAGTTCCAACCAACCAACCAACGCTTACTGATTGACGACATCCACTGACTGTCTCATAGATTTGACCGCAGCTGAGATCCGCGAGTATGAGCTGGGCTCGAAGTTCGGACTTGTGGCTTGGTACGCGTACACAGCATTGATCTGGAGTCTCAAGGGCACTATGCTATGCTTCTTTTCACGAATGACGTTTGGAGCGTGGTATAAATACTTTGTCAAGGCCGTGTCGATCCTGTGTGCTCTTACCTACGTTGCCGTTGTCCTCACGGTATGTTGACCTGTTATCATGCATATGGTCAGGGAATTGGTTAACTAACTGACTGACTAGCTCACACTTGGATGCCTTCCTTACCATAAGAACTGGCAGTAAGTAATCCCGTCGATATTGATACCTGGATAAATGCTAACAATCATCCCAGAGTTCTGCCTGACCCTCCAGGTTCGTGTCGATAATATCGAAATCATATCTATACGAAACTAACACCCTTATAGCTAGATGCTCCTTCAAAATTCAGAACTTCTTGTGTACGGCGGTGCTCAATGTCATGTAAGTATATCAATCTCTGCACTCAGTATCATATATACTCACTATTGCAGAACCGACGCCCTCATTCTTTGCATTCCTATTCCTCTCCTCTGGAAACTCCAGATTCCTTTCCACAAGTAAGCTTTCACGTCACTCGTCCACGACTCATCTAACAAAACCAGAAAACTCATCATCGGTCTCCTTCTTTCCTCTGGAGTTTTCGTTATTACAGCAGCTGTCTTTCGAGTCGTCCTCACCCTCTCAGCCTTCCCATCAGCAATTACCATCAACGCCTGGGGTAGTCGAGAAATCATCGTCGGCATCGCAACCGTCAACCTCCCTGTCCTACGACCGCTCTTCTGCAGTTCCTTCTGGGATGGACCGTCCCCAGCCGAGATATGCCCGTCGTACCAAACCTCCAGAGGGAGCAGCCGTAGCCGCAACAGGATCACTAAGAGAAATATTTCGCCTCCATGCCAACCACAGAAGATTTACTCTGGAAACGGACTGAAGAATGGGCATGACGCCAGCCAGGATTCGATCCTGCCAACGGTGCATAAAATGGCTGATATTGTTGTTGAAAGATCTTATGACGTTCAACATGAAGACAATTATGATTATCGTGGACATCGACCTAATATGTCACAGACTTCGATTTATGCGAATTATGCGAGGTCACCAGTATAGCAGTCCCTTTCTCTAGTGTATTCAAGATAGATAAAAAATAATAATGCTAATCTTACCATATTGCTAGAGGCGTAATCGCTCACTGTTATTGATGTATTGACAGAAGTGTCGAGTTGGCACGAATATCCATTAAAGAACATGTAGGTGTTGCGAGGGTAGAAACGACGTAGATTGTTTTGATGAGAGTTCTCGCAGATCTTGATCTTTTAACTTCTATCTATCCCAATATCATCATCTACTTGGCCCAAGAATAAGCCGGCATGTTATCCTAGTACTCAACGCTTCCAAGCTAGCCGTCTGCAATCAACTGGTTACAGAATACCTATGTGCCGATCCGCGCACGTTCCAGTACCCAAGTACCAAAAGGAAACCAACAGCCAAAGACAGTAGGAACGAATCCTAAGCATTCGATACAGGATTCATGTGGTAAAAATGTGGTCTCAGGAATTGTAGGTAGAACAGCCTTGATATCCTGAACATCGCACGAGTACTCGGGAACCTGCTGTTTGATGCAGATGCGACCAAATGCTGAACACTCGAGGAGTTCGTTGCAAACAGGACACTTGCGCTGTTCGGCATACGCATAGCCTACGGGTTCAAATCGCAAGGCTGCCTCTGGCCAGCATTCGTAGCAGACGATATGCCCACAGGGAGTGATCAGGCCTTCCTTTGCTTTACCGTCGGGACGAGGAAGGCCAGCAGCGCTGATTTGAGAGTTGCAAACAGGGCACACACATTTCATGGGTGTTTCGTCAAGACTGGCTTGGCCCAGGGCGTGTTTACGGATGGTGGGCCAGTAATGCTCTTCTCGGCATTGATTCCCTGGCTGACTGTTAGCATCGACGTCAAACGAAAGGGACATACCATTGTTGACATTGCTATTCTGGGGCCCTTGACTACAGTGAAGGTTAGACATGGCGATTGTGTTGATTGTAGGGTGAAAAGAACGAGTTTGAAAGTTCAGGGTCGAAAGTTGAAGATGTCGGGAGAGTTAGAAATGGATTGATATGTCCAGAGGGATACTTTCAATGGTAGTGCGTACCTATATAGGTAGGCCTCGAGTGAACTGGAAAATTTTGTTCATGAGTTTGTGTTGATGTTCGACTTAAACCCATCACTTAAACTCATGTTCAACCCTTGTTAAAATGAATTGTTCCCTGAACAAGCCACTCAAACACGCTATACATTGTTTGATGAAAGGTATGCTATAATCTAACTCTTGTCCGATGCATTACCTTTACTGATCATGGAGAATCAACGAGCTTTGTTGGTTGATTTGGTTGATTGAGATCCATAGGAACAAGCGGAGACGTTCGGTCTGATCACAGCTATGGGACAGTAGGAACAGCAAACGATGGTCTGTCATCATAATAGAAATTGGCATTAGTCTTCGCTAAAAAAGAAAGAAAAAGTAGTGATAGTAATTAGACATGAAATCATAAGTAAAGAGAAGGCCATCTGAGGTGTATCAAGGAAGTTCGAACCGCTGATAAGACCTCTGTGAATAGACACCGTGACCAGCTAATTCCTGGGGCGAACGTGGTGGTAGCTCGTGGGGCTTCGAATCATTGTAATGTTGTACCATGTTATGTGCAATAGTGGACTCGGGGGCTGGTTGAGTCTGAGTCTGAGCTCGACGTCGACGCCAGTAGATAAAGGCCCCGACTCCAATGGCGATCACAGCAGCAGCAATCCCAGCGCCGATACCGGCCTTTGCCGCATTCGTCATTCCAACCTCTTCCTCTTCCTCATACTCTCCTTTATTGCCATCATCCGTCGTGTCAGCTGTGGAGCTTGGTGTACTTGAAGGAGCCTGTTCGTCATCCCAGAACCCAGTCCATGATTGGTTCCAGTCATTTCCTCCCTTCTCAACCGTGGTATACTTCTCCCCGATCGTGACAGGATTGGCGGTCGCTTGTATATTAGGCCCAGGAGCCTGAGCTAACCACCAAGTATCGACGCCTCGACGCATATTTGCTCCGATAAAGGCATCTTGAAGAAAGGCGCGTCCTAAGACCCATCTATCACCGCCGTTGACATGACATGGAAAGTATGGAACCGGATCATCGACGAGGGGTGCTTCAAGGGTGAGGTTGAGGTGCATGAATGGAATGCGGATCTTGACTGGGTTGGTGTTCGATGTCGAAATGAACTCGAAGCTCAACGTCGAAGTGGAGGAGATGATCTCCTTATACTTTTCAGATTTGGTGTCCCATAGGTATAGTCCGAGGTCTTTGCTGAAATTGACGGGGAGATGTGAGGCAATATTGTTGCAGGTCGACTCGGGAAGTGTCAGATAGGGTGAACAACCATCAACCAATACTTTGAAGGAAGGTCCAATGGATGAGTTACCCTCAGCAAGCAGACCACCTTTAGACCTGAACTCGAACGGAGATTTGCTACCCGCCACATCGATGCTGATGTCTCGAAGCGTGATTCCATCTCTAGGACCGCCATTCATACTGAGGATGTCTCCCACAACACGGTTCTGATCATAGCCTCCGAACCATAGAGAGCCAGGGACCCTAGTCGCAGGCTGAACAGATCCAATGTGCATCCCGAACGAGTATGACTCTGTATATTCATTCTCCCATAACCAACCGGACGGGAGACTGGCGTTGATGGTTGGGGAATCATCACCGACACTGAAACTCTGGTTGGTCTCTCTCCTTCCGCCAAGGCTTAAACACCCAGCAAAGAATCCAGCCGTCTGGCCTCCGGGATACTTGAGCTTCTGCGGTACTGACGTTCCCAGTACAGCAAGACTCGCATTTGTCACCGTGATGCCACCCAGCTCGAGATCGTCCAGATACGCAGTTCCGCCTTCACCTTCCAAGCTCACTCCACGCATGTAGTTCTCCAGCGCTGCTTTCCATGAAATCCCTGCTGTAGTGCCAGACGACTTGCCGTAGGTGCCGGCCTCGGAAGCGTAGCAGGTGCCTTTTTCACAGTAGTCGTCTTCGATCAACCACGTCTCCCAATCGCTTCCAGGAAAGAGGTTGACATCTCGTCTGTGTTGGCCGACTTTGGCATCGATAGCTCGCCATGGTCCGTCAGGTCCGAATGTTTTGTCCGCCCAGGGGATTTCTCGAGGGGTCCGCTCGGCCGAGATGGTGGCGATTCGCGCCAGTATAAGTGTAAAAGCGGCGAAAGTGGCTAGCATGATCAGAGGAGTCGATGAAAGAAGGAATATTGAACAGAGAGAAAGAATAACAACCTCGAAAGAGGCATCAGAGTTGCAGGGAAACGGTTGAATGACTTTGTTGGAGCAAAAGTGTTATCCATCGACAATAAACGAGAGAAAGCGAAAACACGCAAAGCGGCTATGACTGGGCAAAGAACAGCTCAGAACCGAATCCATGGACCCAAGAGTTTCGCTTGGGCAAATTTCAGCCAACAGGCGACATGGGTAGTTCAGCTTAAACCAGTTGTTCTGGTTGAAGACAACCAACATGCATCAGATAGAGCTGTTGGTACATGGATTATCAAGAATGTCCTGAAGTTGTACCAATAGATCGTTACGCCAGACGGGAGAACCTGTGGTACAGCCAGGCTTCCTGCCTCTGAAATTCAAAGTACATCTTGGCGGCCAACTGTGAGGTTTCAAGGAGTTATTGCTTTTTGCTTTCGTCTGAGTTGGCCATCAACCTGCAGACGGCCACAAATCGTAGGTTCATCTTGGTTTTTAGAGGTAAGAAACAAAGGGGAAACGTCTGAACAAAGCTGGTAGATATAGTGACAGCTTTACATCATGGCATAAGAACATGCTGGCAGTGTCGGGTTGCAAGAGTGTGATTCTAGACTGACAATCCGATGAAGACGAAGTTAGCCCCATTAATGACAGTCACGCCATGTAATACTCTGAGTGAGAGAAGAAGAGCCGAAAAGGTACCCATGGTTGTTGACAGTAAGCCTGATTGGCAGCAAGTCACCTGTTGTCTCCTCTCGCAGCCGCCCAAACCCCGTCAAATTATGCACCCCTGTCAGCTTTGCAGATCGGCTAACCAAAAAGTATACGGTTTCACATTACAAGTGTGACCAACACGCAGATGTTTGCTAAAATAATATCATGGCGGCTCCATTTGCACGACCAACAGGTGGTACTCTTCCGAGGGTCTTTGACGGCCAAGGCCGCCACGCCGCAGTTATCAGGACAAAGGCTGGCTGCATGCTTTCGACACAAGGCCTTTTGCCTGTCTTTCTGTTTTTCTTTGTAACTGTTTCCTGGTTCATGGATATCATGCCTGAGAGGTTCCATCGTTAAGGCTGGTTCCTACTCCTCTCCCACATTGAAGTGGTTCTAATGCATCCTTGTTTTTATTTACTTCATCAACAAATTTCCCATTAAACCTTTTTCCAAATGTTACGACGGTGGCTCCCGACTCCAATGTCGCGCTGCACAGGCCGGACTAAGGATTTACTGCCTGAGCAAACATCTCCATTTCTGCCAAGCACCCTTGCGCCGAGGCGACACCGATGGACGATAGCCCTGGCATCTACCATTATTGTCTTTTACCTCCTCCTCAGCCATGACTACATTCCTACCGAGTCATTTAGGTCGATGGATTCTCACAGCTCAACCGAAGTTGACTGGTCGCAGTTTGCATACACTCAGTATGTTACTAATAGTGATTACCTCTGCAACTCGGTCATGATTTTTGAGACGCTGCATCGTCTTTCTAGCCGGGCCGATCGGGTGATGCTGTATCCGTCCAAGATGTTCAAGTCGGACAACGATACATCCCTTGACGCTGGATTAATTATCAAAGCGCGGGATGAATACAACGTCAAGCTTGTTCCCATCACTGTTCAACACAAGGATAATGCTGATGGTAAGCGAGTTTCTTCATAAACCCGATCAATGACAAAGCTGACCCGGGTACAATATTAGCTACTTGGGCTGACTCGTTCACCAAGCTTCTAGCTTTCAACCAGACTCAATACAGGCGCGTCTTGTCCATCGATTCTGACTCGATGATCCTTCAGAACATGGATGAACTATTCCTTCTACCTCCAGCGCCAGTAGCAATGCCCAGAGCCTATTGGCTACCGCCCGGCTCCCATACTCTCTCATCTCAAGTCATGCTCATCCAACCTTCCAAAGCCGAGTTCTCTCGCATCATGGCCAAGGTAGAATCTGCATCTAGCAACGACTACGATATGGAAATTGTCAACCATCTTTATGGCGGCAGCGCACTCGTCCTTCCGCACCGTCCATACGATATGATCAGTGGTGAATACAGAGAAGAGAATCATATCAAGTATCTCGGCTCTGAGGCTGAGACTTGGGACCCTGTGGCTGCTTACAATGAAGCTAAACTGATTCACTTCTCGGACTGGCCACTTCCTAAGCCATGGCGACCACAACCGGAGGATATTCTTCTCAAGATACAACCTCCATGCACATCGATAAACGACACCGAAGACTGCACGACGAGAACTATATGGAAGTCTTTCTATACAGATTTTAAAGTCAAGCGCAAGGTAAGCTGCCCACCTACTATATCTTGGTGCTTAGTCTCATATTTTTATAGGAGGTTTGTGGACCCAAATGGTGATGACCGGTGCGGTATCGACTTGCCAGCTGAACATTTCGTCTGATAGAGGCGCAAAGGAGTAAAGGCGTTGAGGCTACGGAACATAAAGAACAAACATCAATGTACATTTCAGAAGTACTTCATAAGTTGAATTTTAAACCCGGTGGTTTATCCGTTTCCAATTGTACTTCTTTTTAAAGCGTCTATTCTAGTCATGATAAGGTGATGCAAGATACCATAGTTTATCAGACAGCAACGCAACCTGGTCAACGAGTTGAATATCGACAGAGGCTGGCACGAAACGGTAGGCGCCCAGTGGCTTTTTTTCATCTGTGTGTTGTCAGGCGCATGTAGAGACATCGCGGCTGGAGCTGCCAGAGTAGGGCGTAGACGGGCGCTTAAATTGTTTGTCCTGGTTTTATTCCGTGCCCCTGCATCATGCCACAATCACAAAGAGGTTCCATCCTATGCACTGCTACTCAGCCCTATAGAAACAGTAACTTCTTCATGTCAAATTCGAGGCAGCTCCCCTATTCAACACTCAATTTTATAAGAAGCGAAAAAGAATGTAAAGATACTAGCCGTCCATCAGAAACAACGAATTTCATAGTAAAGCTCAACTAGTACGGATTCAAGTTCGACCATTTCGATGTCCAAGAAACCAAAATGGTCTTGTACGAGCGTCTTGGACGTAACTACAACAGCTTAAAATTCAATACAATCTGGCTATATACTCGGATGCGTATCAGAGGAATTGTCTTCTAAAAAGCCACAGAAATAAAATAGTCTAATTGCTAGTCTACGCTCACGTAGGATTATCAGGTTATTTCGCCTCTTATGCTTTCGGCGGCCAACTCTTCTGACAACCTGACGATACTGCCAGAAAATTATCCCTACCCGTCGAATTTTGGCCCTAAATTCTCCTGCAAGCCCCTCCCAGCTGGAGGTCATTGTTACATCCGCTCACGTTACAATAGCAACATCCCCCGCACTTCCAGCCGAGTTCACCTTCTATTCTCGCCCAAGATCGACAAAAAAGATAACCGAAAATACGATGTGAACCACCATTATAATGACAGTCAAAAGCCGCCAGTTCAATTGAATCTTTCTCCTCTCCATCCACAGCGTGTCGTCATGGTGATCAAAAGCTATCTGGCGACAGCTGCTCTGCTGGCATCACCCTTTCTGGCGCGCGCACAAGATCTTATTCCTCCCATCCTCGAAACAGCAGATGTCCTCATACAAGTTATTTGGTCCGTCGAAGAAAGTCAGAAGATAATATACATCGACGATGATTTCGCGTCTGTGTCCGATTATGATGGGTTGACACTCATTCCGCCTACCGCACTTGACTTTGCGACTACGTTTCGCGATGACATTAATGAGATCACGGGCCTGAACTGGACGCTGAAACAAACGGGGAGAGTTCCAGCTGATGCCACTGGTATTTCACTGGGTGCCTACACAGGCGAATCATCCGACTTCATCTACGCCGACGGAAAGTCTACTTCTGAGGGCTATGAGATATTCGTCAACTCCTCTCGCATCACCATCGGCGGAAACGGTGCTCGCGGCATGTGGTGGGGTACCAGAACTCTTCTCCAACTTCTTCTCGCCGGCAATGGAACTATCACGGCGGCTGAAGGGAGGGATGCGCCAGCTTACGCCACAAGAGGATATATGCTCGACGCAGGACGCAAATGGTATTCCAAAGACTTTCTCAAGGAGCTGTGCAGCTACGCGTCTTTCTTCAAGATGAACGAGTTTCATTACCACCTGAGCGACAACTACCCGCTAAACCGTGGGAAGAATGAGACTTGGCAGGATGTTTATTCGCATTTCTCGTTGCTACCAGAGGATAAAGAGTTGCGGGGTATCCTTCATGGTCGAGAGAACGAGACTTTGTCTAGGGAGGATTTTGAAGATCTACAGCAGCACTGCGCTTCAAGAGGTGTCACTGTTATTCCGGAGATCGAAGCACCAGGACATTCGTTGTACCTCACCAAATGGAAGCCCGAACTCGCCCTACCCAAGAAAGACCTGTTGAACCTTACTCATCCTGATACCCTTCCGACGGTACAGAGCATCTGGGAAGAGTTCCTCCCGTGGTTCAAAACTAAGGAAGTCCATATCGGCGCAGATGAGTACGATGCCGAACTAGCGGATGACTACATCACATTCGTCAACAAGATGAGTCGCTTCATCAACTCCACATCCGACAAGCGAAGTCGAATCTGGGGTACACATGAGCCGTCCAAGAGAAATCAGACTATCGACAAAGACGTGATCATCCAGCACTGGCAGTATGGTCAGTCAGATCCTGTACAGCTCGTCAAGGATGGCTACGATGTGATCAACTCAGAGGACTGGTGGGCCTATACAAGCTTGAAGAACGACCACATGCCGATTCTACCTGCCAGATATCCTCAGTTCTTCAATGAAAGCCGCATCTTCAACTTTGCAGATGAGGATGACTGGCAGTGGACGCCTGCTGACTTTAATCCTTTCAACACCAGCATGCAAGTCGAGGATGACGAGTCGCGGTTAAAGGGTGCTACAATGGCAGCATGGAATGACAACGGTCCTGATGCCTCGACTCAGTTGGAAGCTTACTACTCTATGCGCCGTGGTATCGCCTTAGTTGGAGCTCGTGCGTGGAGCGGAGGACGTGGGCCCCAGCTGCTCAACGAGACAACCGACACAAGCATTGGCTTCTACTCCCCTCGGGCGCCAGCTCAGAATCTTGATCGCTCTTTGTCATCATCCGATAACAATGGAACTTTGCTGTCATGGTCTCGCTCAAGCAGTGATGGCGAGAAGGTAGAACTCGGCCATGGAAGCAAAGGCATGAATTACACCCTTACCCTTTCAATCAATGGGCCCTTCACCTTGTCAGGTCCGGACAACTCTTTGTCGCTAAGCAGGAACGGGAATCTTGTTTTTGAGGCCGATGGGTGGGAGTACCCTCTCCGTCAAGTCAGTGAGGAACACGCTTTAGAACTTGACTCCGGCCATCCTGGTCGCATTTGGGTCAACGCCTCATCATCCACACATAAGCCTGTGAATCTGTCAGTTCCAGCTGAGATTACTTTGGTGACAGATGTTCTTCATGGTACGGTCGTGTTCGTTGATTCCGAACTGAGAGGAAGATTCGAGGTATTTGTTTATGGTGGTCGGAACACACAGTTCAGCTGGAGTCAAATGGCATTTGTTGCGCCGTTGAATGATGTCAAAGGTGGAATTACCCACTTGAATTTGAATGGAACTGCTACTTTCTCTGGGAGTAGCACAGGTGGAAGACCTTCCGGTCTTCCAGGTGGAAATGCCGCGACTCCCACTATACCTTTACCTGGCTTGACCACCATGGTCCTGATCACAGCCGTCGTACTTATATTTCAATGATGTAGGAAGAAACATGGACCGTTAGAAAGAACACCCTTCAGTTCCCACAATAGCTCATTTAACCGACCAGCTGGATACAGTGATACTTCCATCGGGCTAACCTGACTCCATCAACGCGTGCCTTTGCCAGGTCCAGTACACACCTCCAGCCTGCGACTAGAATAGAAGCCCACTCCACAACTAGGGCGATTACCATCTTAGCAAATACTATCCAATAAAGTATGGTTACCGCACTTTCAGTCGATCCTTCCTTGAGGAGAACTGAGCTCATAAAACTCTAGACAAATTAGGGTTGACATTAGGTCAAAGGGACTAAACAGGCAGAACCATAGTCTAAGGTTGACAGAGTGAGCAAGCTGGCTTTTCTATTACGTTCGTAGGTATGCAGAATCCTTGTATTCGCTAATATGTACTCAAAACACGGCACTGAAGGACAACTACCATGGACAGATGGACAGCTCCCCTGCTACTTCTCACTGTTAATTACTAAGGTAACTCTCACTCTGACCACTACCTCCGTCCCCCTTCCGCTGCTATCACTGTGATTATTATGACTGATAAACCAATCGTGAGCAATATGTTTGATTCTGTTTTCCCATCATGGATCCCCCGTCTCCCTTTGCATATCTAATCTTGTATGATGCTCAGTGGCCCTTGAATGATGGCTCATGCTATATCAATCCTGCACATAGTCGACTTGGTTGCTCCGTAGAACTAGGATGGAGAAGTAATCCCTGATGTCAAATTTATCTCTCTCTTCCATGTCACTCTCTCAATAGAAGCTCAAATCGTGCGTTGCGCAGTAGATCTCTTGCAACCTGAAATAGAATAAACTCTCAAGATAGCGGAAGAAATCCAGAAGAGCGCTTCCTTCAGCAAGACGTATTGAACACCTCTGCCATCTTTTCCAATTCTGAAATGGCATTTCAATATACTCTCCATCGCAACCATGAAACGTGGGTCCAATAGGAGGATATCGAGAGGACCAGTCTGCATGCCTGTCGATGATCTTGGTCTTGTAGTCAATTGTTTCGCCCACTTTGTGGTAAAGTAACTTAATCACAAAGTTTAGCGAGCCGGAAAAGTTCTTGTCTGGGGAATCGCGGGGCCGTTTGGCGAGATCTTCGTTCCAGGACGAATCGAACTCAACCACCATGCTTTCAGGTGGAAATCCCCAGCCCCGACCATCATGGCTTAGCGACTCCCAATCATCAGTGGTAATGCAGAATATATCGCTGTAAAGATGAACGATTTGGCGCCAGTGTTCGTGGTCAATCCTTGAAGGTAACACAAAGAATCCCGAGTCAGCATGATCTTTTTCATCTGGCCCAATATGACATCGGATGAGGTTGATTTCTTCTTCTGACTGGCATAGTCCCTTCTCATAATCGTTTATCCGTCTGGGCTGTTTTCCCCAGTGCCTGAAAACAACCTCTCTTCATTCTCGGCAAGCCGTCCAGAGACCAGCGTCCCAAAGATACATTGATCTGTTCTTTGGCTTCGACTCATCCCAGTTGTAGTCCAATGAAAACACCACCCCATTCGAAAAGTCGGTCACGTAGTGAATTCCGCGACGTCTCGGGCAATGCTCAAGGCATGCTGCTTCCCATATTAGCAACCTAAGTTCATATGGCAAATTTGGAAATGGGTGGAAAGTGGTGCAGATCATCTTGGGGAGCGTGTCAACGACTTGAAAAGACTTTCAACAACTAATGTGAGAAAGAAAAGAATAAAGGCTAAACTTGAAGCCAAGGTGTGCATTTTATGTAGCGTAGCAAACCTTGTTTATGCCGACGAATAACTAAACGTACACACTTAAAGTTATTGATACAAACCCATATTTACATGTTGACTGTATCCTGTCTCTCAACCCTTTTGGCAATATACCTCGAGTAAGGATCTGGTTGAATCCAAGGGTCGCGGTTGTAGGACCGTAATCGAGTCAGCTACTGCTTTGTCTGCCTTGTAGCTTCGTGAAGATTAATTTATTCAAGATAGGGAACTCTGATGGACCTGTCGAGCAGTAAAATTGCGTGTGGAACGAAGGTTTGAGAAGATCAAGAAGGAAAAGAAAAAAACATGCATCATGAAGGTTGCAATCGGCGAGGTGATGTCAATAAGAGATTGGTTGATCTGAACCGTACTATGAAAATACACCGCAGTAGAAGGGTAATAAGATCAATTTAACTTGGAGAAACCCAAGAGAGCGAATTATTTCCAAGAAGTTTAAATGTCTCAAAGCTTCGATTTTGGTTTGGTAACAATTCCTACACACTTGATCTCAATGTTGGCGTTCATAGGTAAACTCTTGACAGCGACACATCTACAGGCCATAATTATTAGTGTTCAATAAAGCCTTCCGAGGCAAACGACTCACGTTCTAGCGGGCTTCAAATCTCCCCAGTACTCGGCATACACCTCGTTCATCTTGGCGTAATATTTCATGTCAGACAGATAAATATTGACTTCCACCACGTCGTTGAGGCTGGACCCAGCCTCGTCTAGGATCGCACCCAGGTTACGGATGATTTGACGCTATAACCTTTCTATTAGCTTTATTCAAATCCGATCCTGGATAGATTCAACTTACAGTATGAGCCTCAATGTCGCCGTCAATGATTTTGCCGGTCTCGGGATCCATGGCAACTCCACCGGAGGTAAAGACAAAGCCATTGGCGATAATGGCCTGGTTCATCAAATTCGACGGCACGGCCGGGGCCTTCTTGGCAGAAACAGGTGTTCGGGTCATCTTGTTTGTCGCGGCTTTCCAATGCTGGTTGATTGGCTGAGGTTCTTTATTCAGATGTTGATGTCGCTTTTGTCAGCGAGCCGATTGACGTTGATTGCGGGGTGTAGATCTGGCATCCGAAGCTCCGGCCGGAAAAGAAGCGGAATTGCTTGGGGGACAACGCCTTTACAAATTCCACTGAATATCTTTCACCCATTCTCACACCATGTGCTGGGTGGGACGCCTGACTAAGAGGCGCTGAATTCCGCGATGACAATACAATAGCTTTGTTTATTATTTCTTTCTTCAATGTGCGTCCTGCGACGCTTCGTCCGCAACAGATCAGAGATGATCCATGCATGTATTCTTCTATTCTACACAGGCGGAGAGGTCTTGTAGCAGATACCAGTGTCAATTCGATGCCGCGGTGCTATGTATTTGAAGGTTGACTGATAGCTTTGCGAGACTCGGGTCATTTAATATCTAGAGATTTATATTCGTGTCACACTCAGAGTAATCTCCCATTTTTAAGGTGCTGATGAGATTCGCCTATTCCTTCGGACCCTTTCCACCCCATACATGGTATGTGTTGGTTGCAGCTCGCTAGTACTCAAGGTCAGACAAGGTTTTTCGATTTTTTTGGACGGCAACCACACCTGAATAATCTGGGAAAATCAGATACTTAGCAGGCGTTGCAACGATAGGTGAGTCTCCCACCACAGCATCGCTGTCCGTTGACGCAAGGTGTAGTGCATGGAGACTGTCTCTCTAGTAGCATCTTCACTCCTTCTTCAGGAACAGCCGAAGCAACAGTAGACGCGGCAAAGATAGAGAAGAGTGCAAGGTAAAACTTCATTGTGGATTGTGGATAGGATATGGGTTTGAGACTGGTGGATGCGTGTTGTGGTCTATAAAATCCAATCCTTCAACTGTCTTATATAGCCGTGCTCAAAGGCCTATGCAACCCAGATCTCGATCCCCAGCTCATTTAAGGATATAAGAACTTCAGGTGGCTAATAGCCTGAATCCTTCTTCCCATTGTAAGCATGAATGTCTTGTCATACGTACTCCATGCAGCGCTACAAGCCTGCGAGCCCCATCGAGAGAATCCTTCGCATACTGATTACTGGTTCCCTGACCTGTCGATAGCTTTGTGCGGAGTTGCCAAGACTAGGCTTACAGGCAGGTAATTACCAAAGTTCCTATGATTGGTATTTGAAAGTACCCTCCGCTTATCGCTGAAAGCCTTTCATAAGTTTTTGTTAGACGAATTTGAAACGCTAAGCACACCTCAGGGTATCAGAAGAGTTGGCCCACGAAAGCACCAGAGATGAAGTATTTTGTTCACTTCATGCCAGCTTGGGTAAGTACCTATTTAGATTAGCTACTTGGGCTGCTTTGTTATGGCAGTCTAAGTCACAGAGCAAATCTTCTGTTACCCACCCTGGGGAGGCTCAAATAGCAAAATTGTCGATAAACAATAGTTTCTAGTGATAGATGACTGACAACCTGCTACACTTTCTTGCTTGCCCACTTGTGACTGCTTTCAGCTGTTCATAGTTCTTGCCAAACTACCTACCCAACATTGACATAGTCCCGCTCCCCAGGAACCAAGAGGTACAGCCTCCTGATGTTGGAACCTTTCTCTTCAAAACCATGATGCTCTATTTCGACACCATAGTGGCTCGTATAGCAATGCCATATCCGGCTCCGGTGATGTCATTGCTGCGCCCGTACCTTCCCATTTGAAGGGGGCCAATGGTGATGTGAGGCAAGTGCAAGTGTAAAACGGAAAGTGCTCGGGCTGTGTCTGTCCCATTATGTATTTCGAGGCTCACAGCCATGTTCTGTTTTCCTTTTTTCTTCATCAAACCACATTCTCGGTAAGTCCCCGAACTATCCATATACGATGCGTTTGTATCGATATCTGGACTATGCTAACCATCTATCTTTATTCTTAGACCGTTATCGCACACTTTTGGTACGTCTAAACCATTCCCCTGGTATCTGGGTCCTATGAAGACTAATCATCATGTCAAACAGCACACCGTTTCCAACAATGTACGTATCATGTTGGCTTTTGGCCTCTTGGCTTAGAGCATTGCTGATTGTCATGTCTTCGCAAGACTGCAGTGTCAATTCCTTTTTCATGTAAGTTTCCCCTAAACTGGCTGAACATTTCTCCCGTGTCAAGGTATTGGAAGACTGGCCGCTGGAAGCAAGAGAGACAAAATAGCTTGGCCACTTTACGCAAGCTTAGGCCTGGACTTAGGTTGCTTTACCTTGCCGCCCTAAGACTCAGACGACAATTCGTTCGTCGCCTATCTGTCCCGTCAGTGCTTGTTTTATTGCCTACTAGTACTAACCGTCTTCGTAGTCCAATCCATCACCATGACTGTGATTACAAACCCTTCTCCCATTTATAAACACAGTTTACTAACTTAGGTACGTAGAAAAGCTCGAAGAACAACGTAAGTCACTTCCGTAACAAAACCCCTACTTGTACTGACATTGAAAAAGCAGACCAAGCCACAGGCTGGCTCACTCGCTGTAGGTCAACACAGGCAGGTTGTCCTGAGCATCATGGCAATAGTACTGATAGACCTTTCTCGACATAGGAAGCCGAGAAAAATATTCAAGTGTGTATTCCTCGCTATCCTCTACATCTACTAACAATATAATAGTTTTGGAATGATTATGTCATCGTATGAGCTATGTGCTGTCCAGTCTTGTCTCGTCGACCATGACAGCTGACCGTTGAAATCCATCTCGAACAGTCCAATAGGGAGAAAGAACTCGTGAGTAACTCCCAGATGTTGACGTCGTGAATATTCAGAGGTTCTAACTTGTTGCTCTCGCTATAGGCCGCCCAAAGCAACATCAAGGTAAGCTCTCTGTCCCATGTACCTATATACTGAACCTCTGACTAACAACCTTTTGTAGACGGGCCTGGAAAAGCTCGCCGTGAGAATCACTTTCTCGTTACGATGTCTTGGACACATACTAATCAGATTGGCATAATAGGAATGGACACTTATCAACGAAGTAAGTCACATTTACCTTACTGCTGTCCGGTAATTGATTATTCTATAGGAACGGTCCAAGTAGGCCTAGGGCGAAGCCTTGATGTAAGTCTATTCCAACTATACTACGGTTTCACTACTAACATATCATAGGAAGAGCTCAATAGAACAGTTAAGAAGAAGGTCGAGGCACCATAAATACCAAAGAAGTAGGGCGTAGAGCCTGAATATTCAACCGTCCTTCCATGTCCAGTGCTATCAGTGAACGTCAAAACAAATGCCATATGAGCATCGAGCTTAAATTCTCTATCTCTTTAGTGCAGGTCGTTCGACGTGCGCTGGTGGTTTCTCCGATGCTTTGGAAAATGCAAAGGAAACGCGGAGGACGAAGCCAACTGGGACAATGGAGGGGGGCTGGAAAAAATAAACCGCACATTTGTTGGGGTTCGATGATTGACTGCGTTCTCCGCATTTCATTAATCAACAGGAGGGCTTCTACATTTGCAGATTTCATCAATCTAATAGCGAAAGGCTATTATCCAAGCATTTTCGGTCTCTATCGTATAGTAGCAGCCAAGATGCTGCGACCAGCAATGCGGTGCCTTGGCCGACTGCGTCATCCCATCCTCTCACAAACTCAAAAGAATGCCTTCTCAGCAACAAATACGCGTCATCTAATGAGCATGGCTGGTTTTACAGAGAACCAGCTTATGGTCCGTGAAGCGGTCGGTCAAATTTGTACAGAATTCCCGAACACGTACTGGCAAGACCACGACCAGAATGAACAAGACCCGAAAGAGTTCCATGCTGCCCTTGCAAAGGCAGGTTGGCTTGGCATTGCTCTTCCTGAATCGTTAGGAGGTTCCGGCCTGGGTATCTCAGAAGCGACGATGATGATGCAGGCAATCACAGAGTCGGGCGCGGGTATGGCGGGCGCACAGTCTATACATGCGAATGTCTACGCGACGCAACCACTTGCGAAGTTCGGTACGAAAGAACAATTAGAAACAACCATTCCCAAAATCGTTTCTGGCGAGTACCGTGTATGCTTTGGAGTCACCGAACCGAATGCTGGGCTTGATACCCTTCGTCTCGAGACAATAGCAAAGCAAAACTCGGATGGATCGTACAGCGTAACTGGGCAGAAGATCTGGATCACCTGTGCCCAGGTCGCTTCCAAAATGATCCTTCTCGCTCGAACCACACCATTAGAGCAAGTCAAGAAGCCCAGCGAAGGCCTCTCCCTCTTTTGTGTCGATCTAGATCGCAACCAACCAGGCTTGGAAATGCGCAAGATCAAGAAGATGGGTGGTCGGGCCGTGGATGCGAACGAAGTATTCTTCGACAACTATCATATACCATCTACTTCACTTATCGGCCAGCAAGACAAAGGCTTCAAAATGATTCTTCATGGAATGAATGCTGAACGCTGCCTTCTCGCTGGTGAAGCTCTCGGTCTCGGGTACGCAGCACTGACAAAAGCAAGCGAATATGCCCGCGAACGCGTCGTCTTCAAGCGACAGATTGGCATGAATCAGGCCATAGCTCACCCTCTCGCGGATGCATACATGAAGCTCGAGGGTGCTAAACTGGCGACGTATCATGCTGCGAAACTGTACGATCAAAGCAAAACGGATACGTCGATCAGACAAGACGACATAGGTATTGCTGCTAATAGTGCGAAGTATATGGCCGCAGAAGCAGCATTCACTGCATGTGAAAGGGCGGTGTTGACCCATGGAGGTATGGGGTACGCGATGGAGTACGATGTTGAAAGGTGGTTCCGAGAATGCCTTGTCCCGAGAATCGCGCCTGTTAGTAGGGAGATGATATTGAACTACATTAGTGAGAAGGTGCTGGAGCTGCCCAGGAGTTACTAACTGGCCACCATTATTCGCTGCATATTACAGGACAAAGTTTTGCATTGTTGACCAAGTTTAAGTTTAGTAGATCTCGAAGTTGAGTATTACGATGATGAAGGTTCGCAACTACTAAGTCAGGTGGGTATCAGAAGTCCTCCAAAATTTAGTATACAGATAAAGTAGCCTAAATGCTAGCCTAAATTGGCATAAGGTGATTAAATTCTTTCGTCTCTTATGCTCTCGGGGGCCAATTCCTCTGACCCTGTAGGTAGCTAATGGTAGTGTGCAGAGTGTGCTCAAAATGTGGACTTTTACTATTTCCAACGTCTATGTATCCTCTATATTACACCAAAAGCAACAAACATCAAGACATGTCCCTTAAGCCTCAATCTGAGACTTAACCCACTTTTCGAGACCACCGCGAGCAATGATCTCCTGCACGTTGGCGGGCAGCTCGCCAACCTTCTGCTCCCATGAAGAACCATCCTTCTCAGTGATAACAACCTTGGAACGACGAACGTCCCAGAGAAGCTTCCAGCCGGTGCGACGAGTCAGAGGCTTCTCGGAGTCGTTCTTATATGTCTCGCGTAGACGCTCAACGAGACGGGGAACCTCGACACCCATGAGGGCGTTGTTAATGCTGTTACGGCTGAAAATGTTGCCAAAGCTGCCAGAAACAACGAGAGGGATCTTCTTGGCCAAAAGAGCGGTGGCGGCTTGCTCTCGGGAGCTGCCACAGCCAAAGTTGAAGCCTGTGACGAGGATGTCGCCGGCCTTGGCGACCTTACCGAACTCTGTGTCGTAGTTCTCCATGCAGACTTCGGCCATCTTCTCCACCGAAACGTTGTCCTGGTATGTGTACTTGCCTAGTAGGTTGTTAGTGAGACCAATATTGCAATATGCTGACTTAACTTACCAGGGTAGATGCCATCGGTGTTGATGTTGTCACTGTCGCAGAAGACAATCTCGCCCTCAACCTTCTCGGGGAAGCCGGGGAGAATCTCGGTCAAAGACTCCTCACCCTCGGCAGCGGGAGCAGCGGCTTTCTCACCAGCACCCTCTGAGTTCTCAGCAGCAGCGATCAAAGCGTCGGCTTCGTTGATAAGCTTGTCCAAAGCATCCTCAATAGACACAGCCTTGTCGGCGACATAGTCACCGCTGCCCTCGCCAATGATGACCTTTTCAACACCCTCAGGCTTCTGGTACCATCCAGGGCCAGCGATCTTACCCGTGAGAGCACTAGCAGCAACAATCTCAGGGCTGGCCAGGTACGCCTTAGCAGAGGTGGAACCCATACGTCCCTGTGGCTTGTTAGCTTCATCTTCAGTTGAACTGAAGGACTCGTCATACCTTGAAGTTACGGTTACTGGCGCTAATTCCAACCTCACCAGGCTCAAGTAGACCTGTTCCGAGTCCGATGCAAGGCCCGCAGCCCGCTGGTAAGACCTCAGCGCCAGCGTCACGTAGTACTTGCCAGTCACCAGCCTCCTCAGCGATCTCCTGTTCAGGAATTGAAGCCGCAGCAATGTAGAACTTGACACCGGGAGCGATCTTGGCCTCCTTGTTCTCCTTAGCAGCCTCGCGGAAGACACGGGCAGCAGCGGCGATATCGGAAGCTCGGGAGTTGGTGCAGGACACGAGGTAGGCCTTGTTGACGGGAATATCCTCAGCCTCAAGCTTCTTCAAAGGTGTGGCAATTTTAACAGAGTTGGGACCAGCGACAATGGGTGACAAAGTAGACAGGTTCAGGTAGAGCTCCTTGGCGTACTTGGCACCAGGGTCAGCCTCCAGTCTGTTTTGCTCCAGCTCGTCGACGCGCTTGTGGTTGATGCGGTCCTTGGAAGAGCCACCAAACATGGCGTTGGTGGTGGCCTTGCCGCGGTACCAGGACACAAGCATCTCGTCGACGGGGAAGACACCGGCGAGAGCGCCCCACTCGGTGGTCATGTTGCTGATGGTCAGGCGGTCGTCAATGGGGAGACTTTCACCACCAGCGAACTCGACAGCGTGGTTCAAGACTTGATCGTCACGGAAGAGACCGCAAAGAGCGATGATGACATCCTTTCCAGTAACACCGGGAGGGAGAATACCAGTGAAAGTAACCTTGGCGACAGGAGGGACTTGCCACCATGTTTGTCCGGTAGCCCAGATCGAAGCGGCATCTGTGCGAACGACTGCGGTTCCTAGACAACCAATTCCACCATACATGTTGCTATGGCTATCACTCGCGACGGAAACGGTTCCTGGCCAGGCATATCCTGTGAAAATGTCAGCATGCTGCTTACACCAGAGCATTGTATATTTTACCTTCTTCGACCATAATCTGATGACCGATACCCCGACCGGCGGGGTAGTGTGTGACTCCATGCTTCTCGGCAAATTCGTTGATGAGAGAGTACTTCTTCAGATTCGATTCAGATTTGTTTTGAACGTCGTGGTCCAGCGTAAACACTTTTTGCGAGTTAGTATTCGTCGCATCCTAATACAACACTAATCGTCCCAACCATGACTACACACCTAGCTGCTTGTTGTCGTGGACCTTGGTGGCGCCAATCTCGAGGAACTTCTTTGCGATAGGCCATGTATTGTCGTGGCTCATGCAATGGTGAGGAGCGAGTGTAATGTAGTCTCCCGCCTTGATCTTCTTGCCTGGGGCGAGTCCAACAGCATACTGCTGAGCGATCTTTTCGACGAGGGTCTGGGGGTTCTCAGCGGCGGAAGCCTGCTGGAACTGGAAAGCAGAAGGAGTAGGAGTGTTCTCGAGTTGGGAGTGGAAAGCGTATTGTTGTCGAGAACTTGTCTTGTAGGTGCGGTACTGGGATGTGGCGAGAGCGAGAGATCGGGTGCGGGCTGTCAAGGCTCGTGCTTGTATGCGCGCGACAGCGACGGCATTGAGAGCGACAGCTCTTCTCTGGCAGAACAATGTAAGCGAAAGGTCTTCAAATCGAGTAGGAGGGGCAAGTTTCCAGGTCCCAGGCCGATTATTACGAGCGGACATAACGAAGACGGAGCATACATACAAGAGCAACCATGATGGAGGATTAATTCAGTAACTAGGGACAAGAGACCATACCAGAAAGTTAATTCTGGAACGAGTAGGCGACAATGACAAGCGAGAATAATAAGAATGCGAGTTTTAGTTTTGGATTGGGGATAGCTTCATCTTTCTTCCGCGCAGCCGGCCTCGGAGATGGGTCATAAAAATTTCTGGGGAAACTGGACGGGATTTCAATATCAACGATGTGATTGGCCGGAGATTGAATGCCCCGGCTCCCGGAACATGATCGCCTTCCGAAGGTGGAGAAGGCTTTGTTTGTCAATATATTCCACGCTAGAAGCCGTTGACTTGGTCAATAATGCGACTAATAATGATGTTTCAAAGTTCAGAGACAAGAATATATTATAAGAGATACTTTGTAGAACTGATGAGTATAAGTTTCGTGGTTGAGCTTAGGGACTGTCTGATGAATGCATTCGTGGCTGGTTTGACCCCATTGCATAACGACCACTCAAAGTCCAAAAGTAATTGCTGGCAAAAAGAAGAAGAACTTCTATCAATTAACAAATTCTAATTACACTTTTGATAAAAGTGTCTCAGACCCCTACAAAGTGTCGGACAATCCTTGACGTGGCCCGTCATCATCTTATATGTCTTCCCCTCCCATACTCAAGCCCCGCATATCACTTACACTCACTCACAATGTCCTCAAGATTCCGCCATCTCAAAGCTACGGCCTCGGACGCAGCAACCCACTTACTAGAGACTTCTTCCAACAAGTCCATCATCCGTCGTCAACTAATAGATGCGAACCAACTACAAAAACTAGCTGTCACTCTCAACCGGCCTCAATTGAACGGTCGGGACGTCTCTGAGCAACCACCTGCTGAAGGAACGCCTGTGCCACCTGGTTATCATCTCGTATATTTCACCCCAAATGGCACCGAGGCAGAACTTGGTGCCGATGGAAGTGATACGACATTCAATGCCTCGGCGCCTTTTACACGGAGGATGTGGGCTGGGGGTAAAATGACTTGGGCCAAGGATGTGTCACTTTGTGTAGGTGATTACGTCGAGGAAAGGACAAAACTTCTAAGCGCAACACCTAAAAAGAGCCGGTCGGTTGGCGAAATGGTTCTTGTGGAAGTTGAGAAAGAGTTTTGGGGTCCCAAGGGCTTGGCATTGACAGATCGTCGCTCGTGGGTATTTAGGCCTGAGATTGACCTTGAAGCTGTACACGAGGCGCCGAAGCCTCTTGAGTATACAATGCGAGGTCCTTCTACTGTTAGGGACTTCGAATCTCGAGGTGAGGGTAGGCATCCCAGTACTATGGGCAGACGTTGCTAACATACCCAGGTCATCCTACAAGAGAACTTCGTTGGTCGCCCGTCGGCCTCTTTAGATTTTCAGCATTGACGTTCAACGGACACATGATTCACTACAATCAGGCCTGGACTCAGAATGTCGAAGGTCATCCCGGCGAAGTCGTCCATGGGCCATTGAACCTTATCAATCTCCTTGACTATTGGCGAGACATCCATGGCAACGGCAATACCCCTCGAGACATTACATACAGGGCTCTGTCACCACTGTATGCTGGCCAGGCATATAATATCCGAACTGAGGCAGTTAAGGATATAGAGAATGGGAAGACTTGGGATGTTCTTGTTGAGAGAGATGGAAAAACATGTATGAAGAGCGAGATTACTTCTTGAGCTGGACTTCGACTGCCGTAGCTATATGGCACTGGGGCGATAGAGATTTTATGCATGCAATGATTGGATCGGTGAGTAGGATTATAAAACGCCTGCAATAGTCCAACTCTATACAAGCGCCAACGTGTGCAGCCAACAACGATAAATGATACACATTTCCACCCAACTAACCCAATCAAAGCATCCCATTCACGCTAGAATACAAATGAGTCCATGACTTTTTAAGCAAGGAGCATGCGAGAAGGATCCTCAATGAACTTCTTGACGGTGTTCAAGAAAGCAGAAGCCTCTCTGCCGTCGATGAGACGGTGGTCGTAAGTCAAGCTGATGTACATCATCTTACAAAGGTTAGTTAAACAAGCCATGGTAGGCATCGAGCGGAGAACTTACAGGTCGAATAACAGCCTCGCCGTTGATAGCGACAACCTCTTGGCGAATACCGTTCATGTTGAAGACAGCAGCCTGGGGGTAGTTGATGACGGGGGTTCCGAACATGGAACCGAAGATACCAGGATTGCTGATGGAGAAGCTACCGCCCTCCATATCCTCCATGGTAAGCTTACCATCGCGAGCCTACACGGATTAGCACTTTTGCAATAATACTCATCGATCACGGCAACTCACCTTCTTAGCAGCAGCAGCAACCGCGCGTTCTAGCTCGACAATGCTCATGGACTCAGTGTTTCTCAGAACGGGGGTGACAAGACCCTTGGGTGCTGAGACAGCAATGCTGACATCGACGTAATCGTGGTATGTGATGATCTCCTTCTCAGTGTCGATCTGGGCGTTGATCTGAGGAACCTTCTGGGCAGCCATGGTGGTAGCCTTTGTGAAAGCGCCCATGTATCCCAAGCGCACGCCGTGCTCCTCAGCGACCTCCTCCTTGTACTTGGCTCGCCAGGCGATCAGGTTGGACATGTCGACTTCTTGGATGGTGGTGAGGGAAGCGGTAGTGTTCTGGGATTGCTTGAGACGGCCGGCAATGGTTCGTCGCATACGAGACATTTTCTCCTGAAATACTCGGTCAGTCATGCATTACGGCCGCATATCTGGAATGCCTACAACTCGCTCGCCTCGGTTGGGGGCACCTGAGGTCTGGGCAGGAGCAGCGGCCTTGGTCTCCTTGGGCGCAGGCTTGGACTCGGCAGGCTTTGAGGGCTTAGGAGGTTCCTCAGCAGGAGAAGACTTCTTCTCCTCAGCCTTGGCGGGCTCCTCGGAAGGCTTGGATTCCTCCTTCTTAGGCTCCTCCTTGGCAGGTTTTGACTCCTCGCCCTCAGGCTTCTTAACGGAAGCAGCATCCTCGCCAGTCACGATACGCGCAAGATCTTGTCCAACGACAACGGTATCGCCCTCCTCGGCAAAGTATTCGGCAATGGATCCGGGTTCGTTCGCGTTGACAATAACGTCGATCTTGTCAGTCTCGATGCTGGCGATCTCTTCGTCCTGCTCAACCTGCTCGCCAACCTTCTTGGCCAAGCTAGACAGTGTACCTTCGGTGATAGACTCGGCCATGGGAGGCACAGAGACAATATATGAGCCATTGAGGAAGCCAGAGTTGTTGAAGAGACGTCGTTGAGGGTCGATGGCGCCGCGCTGGCAGAGGGTTGCGCTGTGGGAGAGAGCGCCGATCTGGACTCGCGAGACAGCAGCTCTTGATAGACCGGAGAGGCCTGTAGCGGCCTTCATGCGTAGTAATGAAGCCATTGTGGAAGTTTATCGTGGACGAATTGAGGGAATGGTGATTGGAGGTTGAAGAGATGGAGACGGGAAAGATCGTGGGGAACGAAAACAAGTTCTGAATTAAGCGGGCCGAGTTTCTGAGGGCATCGCACGGACTTGCAGTACCTTTGGAGCTATATTATACGAACGAATACCGTTTAACGACTACAAGGGTACCATACTAACGTCGCAGAGTAGAGATAGAATCTTCAAACGTCTTACAAGTTTAGCACTAGCTATCAATTGCATGATCATGCTCAGCGCTGCGTTGAAGCTAGCGGAGCCTCCAGCTGGAGATATAGTACGTCACTTGAGCCGATTCAACTTCGTGATCTCCATTCGACACATGTTATCTGCGTATAGCGTTACCATAAAAGTTCTCACTTTGTAAAATGCACATAAATGTCCTTTTTCCCATCGAGCCAAACTACAAGGGCTCGAACGCCGGATATTAAAGACCGGTGATGACAATCCGCCTTCCCGCGGGACAGCTACTGAACCGTACCACATTAACCTATACCCAACGAACACTGACCAGGTTGATATAACTTCAATCCATATCGTTCAAACAATTCATCGGCTTAAGAATGACAAGCCGACAAGCCAAAACCAAAATAGATTCGCGATTCATACGATTTCTCGTTTTGGATACCAGGCTCCGTACATTGCGGAGCAAGGTGAGGTTAGCTTGGTCAAGGTGAACATCAAGCAGCGGCAATGTTCGGCATAGCGAACTGTGACGCTTCAACTGCGATGCACGCCTCAGGCATGCACATTTGGGTGATATTATATAACTCCTGCAACACCTGATCCGTTCCCAACGGATTGGTCCTGAATATTTCCGTGGAAACCTTGATGCAGGCTGGAATGTATTAGCATCAAGGCTGACGGGCCGATGCCGTCGTGTTGGTACAAACCCCAATTTCGACCACGATGTCTCTTCTCCTCAGGGAGCTTCTATTCAAGTACATCACATCACATCATACGACACTATCGACAGCTTGTTTAACAGAATTAATATGGATTTGGCATTATCCAATGGTATCTAAAGTTAAGTATCCAACATCGCCATTATGGTATTCCAAAACGCCTAGGGTCGCCGCCCTATTTATATCTGGTCGTCACGCCGTTGGACAGAAATATCGGTTTCTTCATTGACACGAATTCCCGCCTCGCCACTTTCATAGTCTTTCGCAGACGTATACTTTCTGAAAGGGCTTGATATCGTTGTTTGGGTTCCATTGGGCCATTCTGCCATGTCGTATATATCTGGTGGTCCACCACTATTTGACGCCAATTCATGCGTTGAGCTGCCTCCGTCGTTTTCACGAGACCTCGTCTTGGACACGCCTGTGAGGCGTATGCCATTGCTGAATGGGGCGCTGAAGGGAGCGCTGAACTGGGTGGATTGGCCGCCACTGTTGGAAGTAAGGAAAGATCCTGGCAAGACACGACGAGCCACGGGTCGAAGCATTGGAAGACATGCTATTCAACAGTGAGTAGGTGACAACATTGACAGACACGATCGAAACATACCAGCAATTACAGCAAAATTGCACTCGGCGATAGACCAAGCGTAGTGGAGTCCCATTTGCAACGTCATCTCCTTGGAGTCCGACTCAAACTTGAACGACTCGATGAGGACGAAAATAGAGGCAAGGCACGTCATGGCACCAAATGCAAACAGGGCGATGACGGCAAACTTCTGGCCTTTCGGCAGATGAAGTTTTCCAACCTCAATGGCAGGCAGGATGAGAATCGCGCAGTCGATCAAAACATGCGTCAATACTGTTGAGAAGAAAAACGTCGACTCTTTAATGTGGCATTTTGCTGCTCTTTCTTCCTGCGTTCCATCCCACAATGCTGTAAGAGGCAGGCATTGCAAGCACACCATGAATAAGCGCAATAGGAACCATGCGACAGTGATACACGAGAGGACTTGGATGGGTATTCGGATGTCGGAGAATTGGAAGAGGCGCCAGTAGAAGGCGAGTATAGCGAATTTCGAGAAGGCGATGGCGAAGGTGTAAGTAAAGCTCGTCGTCCACATATGAATCCATGCTAGTCGGTTCTTATCGTAGAAGGTAAAGTCGTCTGTGAGGCCATTCTCCATTGGTTTTCCCAGCCCATCCGTGATCCATATCATTCCATTCGTCATCAAGGCCACTGAACCCAACTTGAAACGACGTTAGTACACATCATTCACCAGCGGGTATTGAAGAACAACATACCCATCCAACGACGGAAAATACATCGTCGATGCCATATCCAGCCTTTGTAATCCGTCGCGCAATGAGTCGAGCAATAAGGGCCAAGGTCGCGAGAGGAAGTGTTATGGCGGCCGAAGCGATGATATTGGGGGTATCATCCCTCATGATTCATTGTCAAGAGGAATGGTTGAAACACAGAATTTCTGGGTCTCCACGATCGATGAGATGCGGAAACCAGAGCAAGCAAGTAAACAAGCAAAAGCAAAGACCCAAAAACAGAAGAGAAATGGGTCAGTATTAAAGAAGATGGGGCAAAACTGAAGGAGGAGTGATGACTCGACCTGAGCTTCTGGGGGGACCCGTTACCATTTTTCCCTCTTCCCCAGACCCGGAAAACTTGTGGAAAAAACGGGCCATCGTCAAACTAGAGCCAACGGCTGGCCTTAGAAATGGTTGGTGTACAGTAGAGGGAGAGGGAAAAACCGCGCTATCAACACCCTGGCGCCCCCCATGGGGAGAGAAGATGCCGGCGCCTTGTGATGATGTGGTAGCGGATCAGAACCCTTGAGGCCCATTTCTCTGAGGCCCACCGATACAGGAAGCCGGGCTCTTGATTTGCCTCGCAAGCCTCAGTCACGGGCTGAATTAGGCGATCTTCCTCAGACTTCTTGTTTAATAGGATTAAATGGTGATCATGGTGGCAAAGCTGTTGAAAGCTTCGTCCGCGAGCGAGTCTTCTGCGGCAATTGTTGCTTGTCAAAGTCAAAGCTATAACATGCCCTTGTTACCAACGGCGTCTCGTCTGACATTGAGCTGCCACTTCTGGTGATGCTGCACCTAACATATGTCACGCATTGATCGCCCTGCGCCTTGTCTTCAGCTGCAACTTCCAGGGGATTCGAAGAAGCATCAAACAACCTACCTATTTAGGCGTAGCCAGCGCTCAACCCAAATCAACCCAATGATATGCTGAACTGCTGAGGCCAGAAGATGGTGTGAGCTAAATTGCACCAGAAGCTGACGGTGCCTGCATTTTCAACACTGGGTCATCATGCATTCGTTCTTTACATGCATGTCGTGGGTAATTAGGGGTCATTACTACGTATTGCTTATCTCAAATTACGGATCTGTACCTGTCAGCTTGGAACCAAAGCCAAGAGGAGTATTCGGACCTTTAGATATTATGGATCCATCACTTGGACTGGGGTGTTATCGATGTCGAGTGCGAATCCCGACAATCCCGAGTTTGTAACCAAAGGACGGCGAGAAAAGTTCTCACGGATTTAAGCCTAAGACGCCACTACAATTAGAGACTGAAGAGCCGTTGTGAAGCCGTCGAATTCTATCCGTACTGTGTTATAAACTTTCGGGAGAACGGACATAAGAAGTGGCTGACACGCGACACGGACGATGACCTCGCAAGCTCTGCCCGTTCTCGACCTTCTATGGTAGAGCCCCAAGGATTGTCAAACTTCTAATCCAAAACTGAGTCTTTCTTATCCCGGTCAAATTCCTCCTGATGTCAGCATAAAATATCAGCGAGTTCCACTGAGCTTATCTCGAGTCCCACAAACAATACCTTGCGGAGGATCTACATATCCCTCTCGCTGGATACATACATTTGTACAAGGTCACCCTGGCATACCCGTTTAGTTTCCGGTACTATTCCATTGGATGCCTCGGCTCGGCAAACCATTGACTCAAAAATCTACATCTTCAGACTTTGCCTTAGTCACAAAGGCCCATCTTTACCGAGGCACAGAAGCAGATTACCGATTGCAAATCATGGTAATTGTGGTGGTGGTGGAGGCGCTCCTGTGAAATAAGCATTTCGCCATGTGCATAAGTCTTCTGGGTCCCGAAATAAGCACATACACTGAATAGAACTTATGGGATGGGCCAAGAAAACAAATTTCAATTAGAATTCAAAGTATTAACATTTGTCATCCAGTCTAAAGGGTAACGGAAGACCGATTTAACGCCTACGCTATGCACAACCATTAACTAGATAGCACCTGGTTCTAGATCCACGGCCTCTACTCCGCATGGCCACTGATTCCACCCTTGATACCTTCTAAGATTCCAGACCATTGGCCGCCATTTCGGATCTTTGACACCTCAGCAAACTGGTCGCAAGCGATCTTACGGATGACAAGTGTGTCCTTGGCCTTCTTGTGATTCTTTCCGTTGCCATGGAGTAGGTACTCTTCGAACCATGCTTCCTCAGATTTGTCGAAGGGTAAGAAGGCGAGCTCAGTGGCTCGGTCCGAGAAGTCTTCACTTGAGCCATCCAAGACGGCAGCAATCAATTGACTGAAGAGCATCTCCCTGGTGTGGGGAGGGTATGTTCGGGAGTAAAACAAAGCCTCAGAGATATTTGTGTGCGCCATGGCATTGAAGAGGAGCTCAAGAGCAGCAGACGTCTTGAGTATAGGCTGCACGGCATAAAAGTACGATAGAGCAATACTGTAATCGTGGTCCTCAGCAGAGCGAACGAGGACGGTGATGATATCATCTGCAAAGTCGGGTATAAGAGAAGGGTGCGAGATGTACTCCAGCGCTCTCTGTAAGAACTTGTCAGTCGTTGTACGGGCCAGCACAGTCACAAAGCTTACCGAGAAGTCTCGATGATCGAGATACCACAGACCCTTCATGAAGATCTGGTACTTCTTAGGCATGCCAGATGCATCCACAAAAGCGTCGGAAACGTTGTCGCGACCTGATGTTCGGTCGAAATCGAGAAGAATGTAGTAGAAAATGGAGAACTTGTGGTGGGTGGACATGTTGGCTTCGCAAACCTGCTGGTGCAGCTGCTTCAAGGCATTATCGGTCTTGGGAGGGTATATCTTTGCTGTGAGAATAGTGTTAACAAGAAGCGATCCTTCATGGCTTTGCGCAACACCTACCCTTTGTGATTCCGACAGCTCTCAGAACGCGATCAATAAACAAAGCGCCATCGAAACTCTTGCGAGACGTCTCGATTTCTCGCTGGGTCTCGCGATCGTAGGGGTTGGCTACCCCTTCAGTAAAAACGTGGTGAAGATTGGTGTAGTCGAACATTGTGGGCGATTTACGGTGTCGAAAGATTGGGCCAATGTTTGCGACTCAAGCAATGTTTTGTTAGCTAAATAGCTTCAAAAAGCTATCGCGAAACCGGCCAAGCCAAAAAGTGAAGCTCCATCGCGGGATCACGTGAAATCATTCCGGCGGGGTGGCCTGTGTGGTACGTACTTGTTGTTTACATGGCCGATTCCAGGTTGGGACAATTCTAAACAAACGCGGGGCGCAACCGTTGAATTTGTACAGCTTTCTTTCACACAACAAACCGGTCGACCTGGAATTACAACGGTCAGACTGCTTCTGCGTTTATACTAACATTTCTTTACAACAATCCTTCATATTTTTCTCTTGTCTGTGACAAGAACAGTCCTTCAGAATGTCATCCCCTGTTAGACCCCGGCGCGCAACAAGGCGCACCGCCATTGTTGAATCTGACGACGAAGAGGATGTTTCCAACCGCTCCAGAGTCCAAGATGAAGAAGAGGACTTTGAACCAGAGCCCCAGCCAGCCAGAAGAACAACCAGAAGTGGTCGCAAGTCAACAACGCCAGCGCCTACTCCCGCTGCTGCCCCTAGACCTCGAGGTCGTCCCAAAAAGGCTCCCACTCCTACCACTGCGACAGAGTCCAGCGCGGTCTTCGATGCCGACACAACAATCAAGACGGAGCCCATGTCATCTTCGCCAGCCAGGCCTTCGCCTCGAAATCGCAAGAGCACGGCTAGAAGCTCCATTTCATCAGTCCCTGAGCTGCCTCCTACACCGCAAGCGAAACCCCCAAAATCTCCAGAGTCTTCTCAAAAGCCAATGGCTTCTATAGCCGACATCACCGATGCCAGTATGAATGCTTCAAACGTCGACGATACCCAGGCTACTATTAAGCCGATCAAGCCCATGAGTACCATCATGGAAAAGCCTATGGATATTGTCTTAAAGTCACGGACAATGGCCATCCCAGTTGCTGAAGACACTACACCAAAGTCAAGAATTGTCTTGACACATCTTATTCTCAACAACTTCAAGAGTTATGCTGGCAGACAAGAAGTTGGTCCTTTCCATGCGTCTTTCTCGTCTGTTGTGGGACCCAATGGTTCTGGAAAGTCTAATGTTATCGACTCCCTACTCTTTGTCTTCGGTTTTCGAGCTAGCAAAATGCGACAGGGCAAGATCTCTGCTCTGATTCACAACTCGGCTCAATATCCAAACTTGGACCATTGTGAGGTCGCTGTCTATTTTCAGGAGGTTATGGACCAGGTGAGAAAACTAATGTCCAAACAAGATTACAAGCTAATTTGTTCAGCCTGGTGGCGGCCACGAGGTTATTCCCAACTCCGAACTCATTATTTCACGAAAAGCTTTCAAGAATAACTCGAGCAAATACTATATCAATGGAAAAGAATCCAACTTCACAACAGTCACGACACTCCTCCGCGATCGGGGCGTCGATCTTGATCACAAGCGTTTCCTGATTCTCCAGGGTGAGGTCGAGTCCATTGCTCAAATGAAGGCCAAGGCCGGCAACGAACACGAAGATGGTCTGCTCGAGTATCTCGAGGACATTATCGGGACTTCCAAGTACAAGACTCCCATCGAAGAGTCTGCCGCCGAGGTCGAGGCTCTTAACGATGTGTGTATGGAAAAGAGCGGCCGTGTTCAGCACGTTGAGAAAGAGAAGAACAGCCTCGAGGATAAGAAAGACAAGGCCATCGCCTACATCCGGGACGAAAATGAGTTGGCGATGAAGCAGTCTGCCCTATACCAGCTCTTCATCCACAAGTGCAACGAGAATCTGACTGTTACTGAAGAGGCAATCACTCAGATGCAAGCGCAGCTGGATGCTGAGCTCGAAAAGCACCACGGCAGCGAGCAAATTATCAAGAGTCTCAAAGAGGATTACGATGTGGGTTCTAAGGAATTTGAGATCCAATCAAAGTCGACGCAAGCTTTAGTCAAGGAGATGGCCAAGTTCGAGCAGGAGCGTGTAAAGTTTGACGAAAAGCGAAAGTTCCTAGACGACAAGCGCAAGAAGCTCGAGAAGACGATCGCTAACGCCGAAGCGACATCAGTCGAAGCTGATGAGACTATCGAGCAATGTGGTCTGGAGATCGATACCCGAACCCAGGAAATCGCTGAGCTCGAGGAACAAGTTCAAACTGCTGAAGCTGAGTTGGCCGAGATCAGAGACAGCCTCAAAGGCAAGACACAAGCCTTCTCTGACCAAATCGCCGCCAAGCAAAAGTCTCTCGAGCCCTGGAATGAGAAAATCAACCAGAAGCAATCGGCTGTTGCAGTCGCTGAGAGTGAACTCAACATTCTCCAAGAGAAAGCCAATGCTGGCGCCGTGGCTCTAGAGGACCTTCAGTCAAAGATCGCATCCATTGAGGAGAACAAGTCTGCTAAGCGGTCCGAGCTCAAGTCTTGCCAGGCTGAGAAGGCCGAACTTCTTAAGGAGGCCGACAACATGAAATCTGAATTGTCAGTTCTTGCCGAGCAGGAGCCCAAGATTCGTTCAAAGATCTCCAATGCCCGTCAAAAGGCCGATGAGGCGCGCTCAAGTTTGTCTAACACACAGGCCAGAGGCAACGTGCTTTCTGCTTTGATGCGCATGAAGGAATCGGGTCGAATTGATGGCTTCCATGGTCGACTTGGTAATCTTGGTGCGATTGACCCAAAGTACGATGTGGCCATATCGACAGCATGCGGTGCCCTGGATAACTTTGTCACTGAAACTGTCGAGGCCGGTCAGCAATGTATCGAGTACCTTCGAAAGAACAACGTCGGACGAGGTAACTTCATCTGTTTGGACAAGCTGAGACGACGAGATTTGTCGCCAATCCAAACTCCTGAGAACGCTCCTCGACTGTTCGATCTCGTTACTGCTAAGGAGGACAAGTTCCGACCTGCCTTCTATCACGCTATGCAAGACACCCTTGTCGCTGCAGACCTTGCTCAAGCAAACAGGATTGCGTACGGCGCCAAGCGCTGGCGAGTTGTCACTCTCGACGGTGAACTCATTGACAAGTCTGGTACCATGTCTGGTGGTGGTTCAACCGTCAAACGAGGTCTCATGTCTTCCAAGCTTGTCTCGGACGTCAGCAGGGAACAGGTTGCCAAGTACGAGAGCGACCGGGATGGCTGGGAGACCAAGTTCCAGGAGTTCCAGGAATACCAACGAGAATGTGAGACTCGATTGAAGGAGCTGAACGAGAAAATTCCCCAACTCGATACCAGGATGCAGAAGATTGGCCTTGAGATTGAGAGTGCTGAGAAGAACATCGCCGATATGCAGCGACGTATCAAGGAGGTTAGCAAGGAACATCAGCCCTCTGCTACTGATAACAGCCGTATCGCTGCTCTGCAAAAGGAGATCGCCAAGCTCAATAGGGACATTGAGAGACTCCATGGCGAGACTTCAAGTGTGGAAGAAGAGATCAAGGCTCTGCAAGACAAGATCATGGAAGTTGGTGGCGAGAAGCTCCGTGCACAAAGGGCCAAGGTCGATTCCATCAAGGAGGAAATCTCTTCAAACAATGAGGAGATTTCCAACGCTGAGGTCCGCAAGGTCAAGGCTGAGAAGCAGAAGATCAAGCTCGAGAAGGACCATGCCAAGTCCTCCAAGGAACTTGCAGCTGCTTCTCGTGACCTTGAGAAGCTTGAAGACGACATCAACAACCAAGGCGAGAGAGCTGAAGAGCTTCAAGCACAAGTCGCCGCGGCTGAGGAAGGGTTGGCTGCCAAGAAGAAGGAACTCAAGGCACTCAAGAGTGAACTCGATGACAAGACAGACGAACTCAACGAGACCAGAGCAGTTGAGATCGAGATGCGCAACAAGCTTGAGGAGAACCAGAAAGCCCTCACCGAAAACCAAGCACGACTTCGACACTGGAATGATAAGCTTTCTAAGATCGTTCTGCAAAACATTGACGACCTTGTTGGTGGTTCAGCCAACAGCCAGCCTAAGCGTCGATCGCAACCAAAGCCTGAACAGAGTGACGATGGCGATGTCGAAATGGACGATGCTCCTCAAGATGATGTTGACATGACAGACGCTCCCGCGGAAGAGGAAGAGGAAGAGGGTGAAGAGGAGGAAGAGGAGGAAGGAGAGGATGAAGAAAGGGAGCATGTCAATGGACAGCCTAACGAGCTTCCAAGATACACGCCTGATGAGCTTGCCGATATGAATGAGAGGACACTAAAGGGTGAAATTGCGGCTCTGGAAGAAAAGACGCAGAACGTCAACGTTGATCTTGGTGTCCTTGCGGAGTACCGAAGGAGAGTGGAGGAGCATGCAGCCCGAGCCTCCGATCTTCAATCTGCTGTTGAACAGCGAGACTTTGCCAAGAAACGATGCGATGACCTGCGTCGCCTGCGTTTGGAAGGTTTCATGGAAGGCTTCAGCGCTATCTCCCTTCGACTCAAGGAAATGTATCAGATGATCACCATGGGAGGAAACGCGGAGCTGGAACTCGTCGACAGTCTGGATCCTTTCAGCGAAGGTATCTTGTTCAGTGTCATGCCACCCAAGAAGAGTTGGAAGAATATTAGCAACCTGTCAGGTGGTGAGAAGACGCTCAGTAGTTTGGCTCTTGTTTTCGCCCTGCATCACTACAAGCCGACTCCTCTGTATGTCATGGACGAGATCGATGCCGCGTTAGATTTCAGAAACGTAAGTACCACCCTAACCCTGAGACACTCGGCTGTGAATCGACCACCAGTGTACGCACTCGCGTGGGCATTCCGCATCGAAGCCTTCATATTTCGTATTATGAGTCTTGCTAACACGTTGCTCAGGTCTCGATCGTCGCAAACTACATCAAGGAGCGTACCAAAAACGCCCAGTTCATTGTTATCTCGCTGCGCAACAACATGTTTGAGCTCGCGGCGCGGCTGGTGGGAGTGTACAAGGTCAATCATATGACCAAGAGTGTTACGATTGAGAACAAGGACTTTATCGTGAGACCGCAAGGGCAACAGCAGGCATCGCAACGAACCCAGGGAGGCAACAATACCACGATATTGCCCTTTCGGTAAATGGGAGGATGATAAATAAAAGGTTCCTTGTTCTTGTATTTCACGATGATGATGAATATGGGTTTGGGCATGGTTGCGGATACCTTTAATGATATGGACGGAGGTTAGATTTATGATTATATCCAAATTTTTGACGTTTCTTGCATAGAGTCTCACTTGCAGCCGTTCTGACGAGATAGACCTGGCTAGATCGCAACTTCAACGAGACCTCAGTTGGTTGCTGGCATTTACCAACAGGCTGACCACTTCGGTCATTCTTTTTCTTGTCGACAAGCCGTGATAACAACTCATCACAGACTCAACCTGAAGTTGTCCTCCCCATACCGCCGCTCGTATCACACTTGCGTCCCACGATCCAGGAACTCAACTCCTGTGTGTCACCTCACCAAGCGCGTTCTGACCAGGATCTGGGACATTGAGGAGCCCTTCAAGCCACTCGCCTTCGACCAGACTCGCGAATCCTGGTGCTTCTTTGACACCATGCAGATACCCGCTCGATTTGGCAGACGCACACGCTGTGGTACTCACCAGGGGGCAGAAGTGCCGAGTGGTTCTTGTTTCTCTTCCTTCTCGGCTCCATATGTATGTCTTGACTGTCACTGTCGTGTCTCGGCAGATTCTGCAAGATTTGGACAGCTGTTCCTGTCTCAGGTCCAGCTTCTAGCAGCATGATGATGTACAGAGGCAGGGCTCGGAAGATCGTGTGCCTTGTCAAGCTGTTCTCTTGAAGCCTAAGATGCAAGAAGATGATATTCTAGAGGAAGATGTCCTGTCTGTACGTCTTATAAGTAACGTCGAAAGTATCAGTCAAGCACCACTTCCACCTACCATCATTCTCAATACACTCGTTTGATCAGCATCATGTGGATGCTACTTTTCTTCGTCGCTCACTTAGCCACTGCTTTTCCTGCCAACTGGAACGAGACGGCCTCTTGTCCTCACGATGCACTCTACTCTTCGCTCATTGAAGATGACGGCAAGTTCTGCTCGAGTGTTTTGGAAGGAATCCATTGCGGTGCAGGCTATAGTACTCCTACTGAGTATGTGCGGCACAACCAGACACGGATAGCTTCTTACGTGGGTGAGCCTCTCAGTCAAGTTTGGGAAGATGCTCATGCAATGTAGTGTGCATGTATTGTTACGACTTCGCAGGCCATAGGTACATCAAGCGATTCATCCAGGGCGACGACTCGAGAGGATTCGTTCACTGTTGAATATTCGGATACTTGGACTACTGATGGGGAGACATCAGCATCTGTGGGACAGCCTGCTTCAGGGACCTATCCTGAAATGACAACGACTGAGGCGAAGACGACATCTGGATCACGGAACCAGACTCGGTCCGTTCTTTCATCTTCCGTAGAGACTACGAAAGAGGCTTCGAGGACAGGTCCATTTACGAACTCAAGCAGTCTTGCCACAGAGATTTTCGGCGAGACGTCTTCGAAGCCTGCCGATTCAAGGAACCTCACTACTCCTGGATCTCCTTCAAATACTCATGGTCCCATCTCAGCATCGTCCTCTCTGTTCCAAAACCAAACTTCTGGTACACGGCCTACGTCTTCTTTTGTCCAATCTGGTAACCAGACACAATCACGACAGTCCAGCACGGATGTAACGCCTCAACCTTCAAGCACGAGTACTCCTGAACCCGAGATGACGCGATCTAGGACCACAAGCGGTTCGTTACCATGGTCTATCCCTGGAAACACGACGTCGAGTCCTTCAGGAAGTGGCACACGTCCAGCCGAATCAACCTCCACAAGGTGGAATTCGAGCTTGACTACTCAGAGTATCAGTATCACTGGAACGGGACGACAGTTTCCGAGTGCACCATTGCCAACAACTCCAATGACCACTAACTCGACAATGTTGACAAGCCCAAGTGCTGGTCCAGGATGGAATTCAACGGCTCCCCCATCTTCGAGTAATGTTCCTGTGCCGGCTGTCAGTATAACCAATGGGACGCCTACTCCTTTTCCAACCCTATCACTTCCAACAACCTCGGCGCTCACGAATTCCGAAGTTCTTTCGAGCGGCAGTACAGCTTCAGGCTGGAATGGCACCTCTTCACGGGGCAATGGCTCGGTGCCGACTATCAGTCTATCGAGTGGCACTTTCATGTCCTTTCCAACATTATCATTGCCGAGTCGGTCATCCTCGGCAGAGGTAACCCCAGGTACAAGCTCTGCGCCTAGCTGGAACAGCACTTCTTTGCCTTCCAGCAGCAATGTATCTGTGCCGACCAGCAGCACATCCCGATCTGGAACTTTCGTCTCGACTCCGACTCCAACTTGGCCTTTCACAAGTCAATCGTCTATAGAAAGCACTTCTCGCCGTGGTAGTTCCATACCTGGCTGGAACAGCACTGCTTCTCCATCAGGTGTGAATACCACACTACCGACGATTAGTATCTCTCGGACTGGAACTCCCGTACCATTTTCAACCGTATCACTTCCCAGTAACACAGTTCCCACTTCTGAAGAGGTGACGAGCTCGACATTAAGTAACTCTGTAGCTCCTAGCTGGAATGGTACCGTCCCTCCGCCGACGGGCAATGCTTCTGTGCCGACAATCAGTCTGACCCAAACGGAGATTCCATTGCCTTTCCCGACGACTCCAGCGCCCGCCAGATCTGTTCCGACCCTTTCTGGGAACATTTCCACATCAACTCGAAATGGGAGTGTGGTGTCGGGCTGGAATACCACATCTCGAGTATCTGAGAGTATTGGTACAGGCACAGCACCTGGTTCATTTGGGCCAGGATCATCTGCATCTCTTCCCACAGACTCCAGTTTGTCTCCCAGCACGACCCAAAGCAGCGATATTGGGTGGAACTTTACATCATCTGTTTCAGGCGTCGTCTCTCTACCGACTATCAGTGTGCCAACCTCGGAGATCTCAAGTCTGCCTTTGCCGACAGACTCTTTCGAATCCCCCACGAGTACCGAAAGCAGCAGTGTCGTCTCCGGCGGCAATAGCACCGCTTCTGTGACAGGTAGTACCGAAGCCGTTACATCCTTCTCGAGTCCTGTGCCCACAGCCTCGGCACCCACTGGTGACTCCAGCGGTTCCGCGTCTGCTGGTAACGCAACGACAACTAGAGCTCCCGAATTTCCCGCAGCCAACTTTACGCATGTTACACGCACCGCCGCTCTCTCAGAAGAAACTTGCTATACTCTTCCCGATGATCCGGAGGGCGACGCAACCCGTCGGGCGTTGTTATTTAACTCCAGACTTCGGGAAGACAATGTCTCGATTCCCATACCATATATAGAGTCTGTTGAGTTCGAAAGCGGCGGAGTCAATCCACTGTATCTCACGGTCCGCGATGAAGAGGGCGGGACGTACTTTGTCGACGTCTCCCATCGTGGGCGGCTCTCTGTCGTGGATCCTGCTGGGTTTCTGGTGACACTTGACGCTAAGGGCATTCACTTCTCGGGAAGTAACTGTACGTACGACATATCCATCACGATCGATGACATGTACGAGCAGATAACCGAGCTCGCTGGAGTACAGTGCGCTGCCCTCAAGAGGCAGAAGCGCGCCGACGATCTAGATTTCAGCCAGACTCTGTACCTGCATGACCAATGCGGCAATGTCGTCGACAAATCATTGAGACAGTACCCTCAGCTTTTGGTAGGTGACACAGTCTGTGCGGAAGCCACTGTTGATGAAGATACCGGGCGCTGGGATTTCGACTGCACGTTTCCTGGTTCTCAATCTGGCTCTATGAGATGCCAGGTAGCTGTCAAGAACAAAATCATCGACTTCATCGCCACAGATCCATTTGGAGGTTCATGCCCAGACTTGTCTACAGTGGCCACCACGTTGGAGGAGTCGGGACAAGACATTGTAGATCCATCAGAGCTTCGAAATGATCTCACCAATCGTGGTCTACGGACTGACAGGGCGAGACAAGAGGCCGACGAAGCTGTTGCTGCGTACACTCGCCTCTGGCAAGCTCTCGGGGCATTCTTCACCAAAGACGCCGAGTCATCCAAGGGCTCTTTGGAAAAGTACATTGACATGTACAATTCGCACCGTAGTTTCGAAAACGATATCTGCCAAGCTCTTCATGAAGGCGACATTCCTCTCAATTTGACGCTCATCGCTGGTGCGGCCCGAATACCCGCCATCACTACCCTCAACTGGGCACCTGAATCAACGAGGCCCTACAACATCACCGTGCAAGATTCCACACGGATTGCATGCTGTCCTGACGCTCAAGTTGCAGAAGGTGAAGGTGATACATGCGCGTATCCCCGAGAAGCCATCATCCCAGGAACGGGGTGTGTCTGTGGCACAAGCGCTGAAGGCATAGGTATTGCGTTTGAATGGACTGAATGTGGAAATTTCGCAGGTAGCTGTGAGGCGGATGCGGATTGCGGTGATGGATATTTGTGCTTGACAGGAAGTTGCTGCGGTGGAGGAGTTTGTGTTGATGCGTATGCTTGTTCAGAGAATGGGACTGCATTGATTCTATCCGATGGCGGGTTTTAGGGTAGATGGACTGTAAATAACATCAAACACGACGGGCAAAAAGCGTTGAAAGGATATCAGGATTGAAGTCTGGCATTGACCTAGAAAGAATAATTAATGTCTTTTACAATGTTTCTATTGTGTTCATAATTCCGCAGGCCTGCTTTGCCTGTATACATCTCGTATGGACTTCCTACTCATAGGCTTGGAAATCAACAACAAAACCTGTCCGCATCAGTTTCTGATATGGACTGATCTACTCGTCATCAAAATCATGCCCTATTGAATGCGACGTATCTCATACTGCCTGTCTTAGAACTTCCTTGACATTTATTCTATTACAGCCGTTAGACCTGGGGTACCTCTTAGTCATCACACAGTAAAGTTGAACACATCAATTCACATGGGCAAAGGCAAAATAATTTTGTCAAAGACGCGTCGACATCAAACGTCGTCCAGTTGATTTTTGGAATTTCTTAGTCTCATGATCCCAAAGGTATTCATCCCATCCATTTTTTGAATGCTGCTATCATAACCGGACTCCATCCCAGGTATCAACCCATCTAAGCCTTGGGGGCAGTGGGGACAATCTTCTTGCCGTCCTTGTTGTAGCGGACGCGAGGAGGGGGAGCGCGGTTGCGGCGGCCAACGACGGAACGGACACTATTATTACAGATTAGTTTTCATAAATCGTTAAACGTACCAGGAGTGGGCGACTGCGCTGGGGCAGGCTGGAATATGTTTCATATGGTACCACCAAGGTTCATCTAAAAGCACATACGCAACCATGGCGCAGTCGTCAAACTCCTGCAAAGGAGGACAACATACCGAACGATCTTGCCGTGGATAGCACAAGACACGCAGTACTGCAGCTTCAGGTACATCTTGGGGACGGTGTACTCCGCGAAGACGGAGGCATCGGAGATGTCACCTAGGAGATTGTAAGCGATCATTCGAAGCGAGTTGAGGTCGGATATGGGACGTACGAATAGCAGCGGACTCAACCATGTTGCGGATGGTGAATCTCTTGATCGCCTTATCCTTGGGAGTGCATCGCGAGCAGTTGCTGCATCGGATGGGCTTGACGTGGCCGCGGCCCTTCTTGTTTCGGCCGCTGGAAGCTTGTTAGCACTCGAGTTCGAAGGGTGGAAGTGTCACAGCCGTCCAATCGATCTCATGCATCATCGCGATACAGGCGTGAAGCATCGTCGGCAGCGGTATTGCAATGCGATCGTGGTCGGCTGGCTGGTGGGCATAGGGAGTCGTACTTGTTCTTTCTCTTCTTGACCATTTTGACGGTTGCTGCTGGGGTTAATTCAGGTCCACGCAAGTGAGGAAAGAAAGGAAAGAAGAAGAGAAGAGACTCACTAGAATGTGCGTTTGTCAAAAAGGCGTTGGCGATCAGTAGTCCACTTTTCGAAAGTAAAGTTGGTGGGTTGGAGGTAGGGCAAAGGCCAAAAGATGAGTGGAATCGCTTGCAGAAGCGCTGATGTTCTGTGGCCCCACTATCACCAGAAAGCCACCGCTGGAGAACCAGGGCAGCGAGGGGCAGGGCCGCAACGGCGAAAACCCTAGATCATGTGACTCCGCTTTCACGGGCTGGGCTTTCTGAATTTCTGAGCCGGCGCCACCTCCACCAAAAGTCGATCTTCTTCAACCCATTCGCACCATCTGAGGATTGCTTAGGAAGGCAATAATACTATTGTCGAGGTACGTCTGAAAGATGCTGCAAATGCCTGTCTCCGTCTCTGTCTCCGTAGTGAGAGCTTCATTGCTTTTCGCTTGAGAATTGCCTCTTTTTCTTTTGTTTGATACCCAACGATCGCATTTCTTCCCGCTCTGCGCGCGCATCTCGATGCTTCGAATTCTGAGCCTCGAGGGTAACCGCATACGGGCGGAGACGAGACGAGACGGCACATTGCTTCGAACATACACTTTTGGACATGGATTCTAATCGTCTCAGTTAGGCAAGATGCAGATTTTCGTCAAGACCCTCACGGGGAAGACGATCACCCTTGAGGTGGAGTCTTCCGACACCATTGACAACGTCAAGTCCAAGATCCAGGACAAGGAGGGCATTCCCCCGGACCAGCAGCGACTTATCTTTGCTGGTAAGCAGCTCGAGGATGGCCGCACCCTGAGCGACTACAACATCCAGAAGGAGTCCACTCTCCACCTGGTCCTCCGCCTCCGTGGTGGTATGGCCAAGAAGCGCAAGAAGAAGGTCTACACCACCCCCAAGAAGATCAAGCACAAGCGCAAGAAGACCAAGCTGGCCGTCCTCAAGTACTACAAGGTCGACTCTGATGGCAAGATTGAGCGACTTCGACGCGAGTGCCCCAGCGACACTGTAAGCATCACCACTTATGCTCATCACATCTTGCAATTGCTAACCCCTTTCTTAGTGCGGCGCTGGTGTCTTCATGGCTGCCATGCAGGACCGCCAGTACTGCGGTCGCTGCCACCTGACCTACGTCTTCGACAAGCAATAAATGCATTCAACACGGGATTGGGATTGATGACGGAACGGATAGGGTGCCAAAATGGGGCGTTGAAAGGCTGTAGCATAAAGCACATCCGGTTTCTGAAATAATGCATTCACGCTTAAGAAGACAAAAAACTTGATACCAACATTAATTCTTGAAATGTGACGGCTTCGTTATGCTCGTGGGGTTGTGCGCCATAGTGATCGCCACTCCACAAACCCCAAAATCTACCATGTCATGATACTTGCTGGCCTCTGGCCTTACAAGACTCGACAATTTCTCCATACCTGCCTGCCGACTCATATCTGGACGTTCATTCTGCACTGTTCTAATCGATTGAATTTCCGTAGCCTCGCATGAATTTCCTGGTGTTCGTTGGTGAAATTTTCGTCTCGCCAGAGCCTTGTTTGCCCTTGTGGAGTATTGCCTCAACACCAACATGGGCCCGACCGGGGAGTGGGGAGCGTTCGCGAGGGGCCGTAGCGTGCAGAAAGGCGGGCATACGTCCATGTCTCCATGTTTGCTGGGTAATGTCCCCTCAGTGTTCTCGACGTCGCTTCGTGGTCGACATACAGGCCTACTACTACTCACTCGTTATACAATCACAGTCAGCCGGTGCAGTTTTCAGTGAATTGTGTTTTTGTAAACAAAGGGTATGTGTTTTCCCTCGTAGTGAAAAACAATTTTACATCAAGCCAAATGCCCTCAAACGCCCAAAGCCAGAAGCCAGATCAGATCCTACAAAAACTCCGCAAACAATTGCGCATGGGCCCCTGAGATGCCAGTTCTCCACGCGTCATAAGTCGCTTCTCCCGCCACGAGGCCATTGCGATGCACGACTCCGAAGAAGCAACCCAAAGGGCTGAGAAGCCCAAGGGCCTGTTTCGAAGAACAACATCGCAGCGTACTTGACGGGAAATCCTGGCAATTATCCCAAGTCCGACCACCCTTGCGCAACGTCTATCATGACTGAAGATGCATCTCCCGTTATCCTCGTTCCGAAAACGTTCAGTGCTGGAGCAAATTAGTGTCGAGTAGACACGGAGGCACGTCCAAACACTGGCAAACGATGCGAAGAGCTCTACTCGTCATCCGCAGCCTTGGACTTTCTCTTCTTCTTCTTTTTCTTCTCGCCATCAGCCTCCTTCTCGGCGGGGGCGTCCTCCTCATCTAGCTTGCGCTTCTTTTCCTTCTTCTCTTTCTTCTCCTTCTTTTCCTTCTTCTCCTTCTTGGACTTCTTCTCGGGGACGGGAGCGTCGGCCATCTCCTCATCAGAGCCAGCACCCTCACCGTCGTCAAGGATATCCATAACTCCCTTCTGTAATAATTGTTAGCATTCGATCAGTGATGGCAAATCGAATCAACGTACCATGACCTCAGCGTTCTTGGCGGGCTTCTTGCCAGTAGCGTAGAACTCTAGTCGGTCCTCAACCTGCTGCTTAAGAGCCTCACCGAATCGGGTGGAGGGCTCCTCAGAGAAGTTGTCAATACGACTGGCCATACTGCACTTGTTGGCGAGGTATCGAGAGATGCGGCCCTTGTTGCGGACACCGGCCTTGCCGATGAAGCTGCTGTGGTAGATGAGACCGTACTTGGGAGTGTTGCTCTTGGTCTTGAGAGCGCGGAACAGAGCCTTCTCAGCACCGAGAATCTGGAGAGTAGAGGCAGGGTACTTGGAGAGGTTGGTCAGAGAACCAGCGTGGGAGATGAGACGGGCGGCAACAGGAGTGCCGATAAGGGTCTGCAGGTTGGGGGCGATGTCGGACATCTTCTTCTCAAGGTAGAGGTTGGTGGACTTGCGGTTGTCGGCCTGCTTGACGACGGCCTGGGCGAATCCGTTGACGATCTCAAGATCAGCCTCGGAGATGTCGAGACCCATGGAGACCTTGGCGGCGTCAATGATAGCCTGCGCCTTCTCACCGTCCTCCTCGACGAGGGCGGCGATGTCGTGAAGCTTGTCATCGTTCAAGCTCTTCTTGTCGCCAATGGCCAGAACAAGCTTGCAGTAGGTGTAGTTGTCGGAGACAATCTTGACAAGCTCAGGGAAATGCCAGCCGTACCATTCACGAACGCGCATGTAGAACTGGTTGACGCCCTTATCCTGGAAGTCGATGGTCGCGCTAGCCTGGATGATGTGGTTGTCGTTGCGGGTGACGCTGAACTTGACCTTGGCACGGGAGTAGGCGTGACCCATACCCAGACCGGCCTTCTCAACATCACCGTACTTGAGGCCGCCGAGAAGCTTGTCGGCGTGGAGTCGGATACCGCGAATCACGTCGCCGACAATGTCAGAAGTATCGGCGGTCTCGCACTCGAGGCCAGGGAAGTGGCTCTTGATCGCACCAGCAAGGTTCTTCTCGGAAACACCAAGGACAACCTTGCTCTTCTTGCCGCTCGTCTGGGGAAGGTTGAGTTCGAGGACGGACTTGAGGTAGTCGGAGACGATACCCTCGGTGACGAGGTTAATGTTCTCGAGCGCCTCGACATGGCCCCTTGTACAATGTCAGCGATCGCGCGTTCACTATCGTCACGCATCCGAGTCTAAAATACCTGAAAGGGCTGAAGTTGGCCAGCTGGACCATCTTGCCGAACTTGGCGAGATCATTGACGGCGGCCTGAGTCTGATACAAATGTTAGCAAACGGCGCAAGAACAACCAGAATCGGGATGCGGTTACTTCTTTCAACTTGAGACCGACAGCCTCCTGCTGATGCACCACCTTGAAGAGGGCATAGCCCACAGGGCTTTCGTATAGAGCGTAGTCGATGTGCGACATGATTTCGTTCCCTGCCGGTGCCGCAATTGGGAATGTTCCGCGTCGGATGAGTTTGGTGATGGCTCGAGACTTAAGATTTTCACACTTTTTTTCCAGGTGGAAATTTTTTGGCAGCTTGCGCACGGGCCAATGTGGCTGTCGTGGCTGGAGAACACACACGTGACCTTTCTGTGATCGTCTTAACCAATAGGTCTGGTTCTCCAAGTGAAAGTTGATCATGCCTGAAGCCCTTGAATTTCAATGCAATTAAACAGAGTCATCATATGAAGGCCGCGACGAATATCATCTTATTCATTTACTTAAGCACCCTTTTGGAAAGCAGAATCGTTGCAGACTGTCATCAATGCTCATTCTTTCTCCTGACCCACAAAGTCCACTTTAACGCCTCAATTATTCGGGAACCCATCTCGCAAGTTATCGTACTTAGTCGCGGGATACTCAATGCAGTTGTCCTGCCTCATGAGCGCTCCCTGTCCTCCAAATCCATTTACAACAGTTGTGATCAGACTCTTCTCACCCTGCTTATCCGCGCTACTCTCCCACCACATAGCGCCTCCTAGTTTCCATTTCCTCACGTACTCGGCCTTGTCCCAGGCGACCCGCGGCGTGTCGTAGGTGACCATGGTACGTGTCTGAGGGTTATAGCAGTAGCTGGCACAGCATCCCCTATCGCCGTACTCTTGCGCGCCTTCTAGAGGAAGTTGCTTGTAATCGTAGACTCCTTGCTCCCAAGTACCCTGTCCGACGCCCTGGTAGGGACGACCGGGACCATCGGTGTTCTCAAAGGCTCGGCCGTAGAGCGGCATGCCGAGAACAAGTTTGGAGGGAGCCACGCCGCTACGGACGTAAAAGTCGATGGCAGCGGATGTAGAGAATGGGGTCGAGGCCGGGTTGTCGCGGGATGGGTACAAGTTAGCCTGGTGACCTGCGTTCTGGTCCCAAGAACCAGCATAGTCGTAGGCCATAAGGTTCCAGAAGTCAAGATATTGATCCATTCCACGAATATCGAGCTTTTGGAAGTTGGTCGCGCCAGCTGGACAGGCCACAGTCAATTCAAAGTGATAAGGATGGCTAAGGGTCTGTGCATATGCGTCCATCTCGCGACGCACAGCACCCAGAAGCTCGACGTAGTCTCTGGCCTCGTTGGGGTTCTGAGGATACTCCCAATCGATGTCGATACCATCAAAGCCAAGATTCTTGATCAGGTCGACACAACTCTTAGCAAATGTGTCACGTCCTTGGGGTGTGCTGGCAGGGCCCTTGAAGTTGCTGCTGTAGGTCCATCCTCCTACACTGAGAAGAACTTTGAGGTTTCGGTTACGTCTCTTGAGAAGGTTGAGTTGCTTCATACAGCCGTACAAGTTGGTGCCGACATCGTTCCAGGAGTCCCCCTCCCAATGAATGTCGGTATCAGCCCATGCATCAGTGAGGTGGCTGGAATGTGTGAGCTAAGTAGTTCCATTATGAGACTGAAGAAGAAAGACTTACACTTCGCCAGAGTCGCTACGAACGTTGGCAAATGAGTAAAGAATATGTGTGAGGTTCTCTACAGGGAGGTCTTGAGGACGATGCTTTCGGCCATAGATAGCCCTGTTTTGCGTCAGTCATGAGGTTTCGATGAGATGGTACAGGGTAGATTCCTACCAGTTGACGAAATACGCAACGGTGCGGAAACCTTCAGGTCCACCACCCATTTTGGCTGAAGTAGAGGTATCACTTATGAAGATGTTTGGTAAAAGCACTGCAGCTAATGCAGCGAAAACGGCGCTTATAAGTAGAAGATTCGACCAGGTACACCGTCCAAGCCGGAGTCTTGGCTGTCTCTGAATAGGATCCGTGATGTTGGAAGGAGGGGCACTTAGAGGGATTTGAGGTGGGGAATCACTTTAGCTTTATGGGAATCAAAAGTGAATAACAATGCAAGTAAAGGTATCAAAGGAGGGCATACTTGACAAACAAACATAGAGTAAGATATAAGAAACACGGAGGCACCCAGGCCTCTTACTCAGCCGCCAGCTTTCAGCTCCAATGGCTCAGGTTCAACCAACTCTGTGATCCATGTGTTTGCGTCGTCATCTGCGGCGCTGATTTTAGGTCTGAGCGGTCCCAAGCGTGGCGGTGCTCAAACGTGGCAATGCAACCTGCTTCTTGACCTGGGGTATTTGCATGACAACACAGCTTACTACGGCATTGGCATCTTGGCAGGGCTTGAAGTCCAAGAATAGCATATATCATCAACTATTCTGGATTTTCTGTTGAGAAAATTTAGTGAGGCAGGCTATCAATGCAAAGCAAGACATAGTAAAGTACGGCATTTTCGGGTGAAGAAAAGCTCTTAATACTAGTGAACTCATTCTACGTAAGCTGTAAGGTATCTCTATGAATCATCGTAAAGTCGTCTCATTGGTTCCAGGCATGAAACCCTTCAGAACACAAAAAGGAAATCTTCATTCTCCAAGTCAGTCGTATCCCCAAACCCTTTATCACCTTCTTTCTGATCTGTCCTATTGTCTTCCATATCATGGGCTTGTGATATCCTATTATCCTCATCGTCGCCTGTTGATTCACGAAGTGTCGCACCTCCTCGTAGCGTTCTCTCCATATGTTCTATCCTTTCTACTTCCTCCGCTGTCTCGAGACTCCGGTCAACAAGCACGGCGCTCTTTCCAAGCGCTACTCTGCGCTGACTGTGAAGTCGGTTCAGTCGAGCGAGATGGAGAGACGCACCCATGACGAGGGCGATGACGAGAACGTAAAGCGCGAGGTTGGCGCGCAGACCGCGAGTGTAGGCTGGCGCTTCTCCGGGCGAGTATAGAAGGGGGCCGACGATGTTGCCGGCGGAGGCACTGATGAAAATGAGCGCTGAAGTGGTTTTGCGTTTTGTGTCGCCGGCAGTATTTTGTGCTGACCATGAATAGATCAACGGTGCTGAAACATGTTAGATTAATTTCATGAACAAGATAACCTGATACTTACTGATGCCAGTAAAGGTACACAGGCAAAAGTATCCGGTCAGACAAGCGCCCTTGTTCTCGAGGCTATGTGCAAAATGCAAGAGGATAGCACACCCAGCGATGGGAGGTACACACAGTATGGCAATGACTGGACCCTTCAACTTCCACTTCATCGATACATAAGCACTCATAGAGACGGCAACGATGTGCGAGATGCCAACGGGCACGTTGAATAGCATGGTTTCAAAGGGATCCGATACAAAGGATTTGATGATCAGAGGTCCAAATGTCGAAATGCCGTTGGAAGGGACTGATATGCAAAAGATCATAGCGACCCAGAACCAAGTTTTGAGGTCCTTCAATGCCTCAATGACATGAGGAGCCCTCCATTCACGAGACATGACGCCCATCTGGTTGTTGCGCAGACGTTCGATTGCGATGATCTTGTCCTCATCACTGAGAAACTTGGCTTCCGTGGGCGAATCTGGCATCCAGAAGAACATCACAAAAGACACCCCGACAGTGATGGCGCCAAAGAACAGGAATATAATCTGTTGATGTCAGCAAAATCCAACACAGACAGATGCTTCTCACATACCTGATAGGGTTTCATCTTGGACTCGATGCTGGCAAGTCCATATGTAATAAGACTACCAAGCTACAAATCACATTAGCTTGGTTCTCAACGAACATGAGGCATGTATACTCACCACCCATGTTAACCCGTTCATACAGTACCAAGATCCGATTCTTAGCGTCTGCTCTCTTGGAGATGTTAGACATAATTCTGTTGATCAGGTACCGACCATACCTTCTCCTCCACCACATCTGTGTAATAGCAATGAAACTCGGCCCTATGCTGGCTTCAAAAGCACCCAGAAAGAACCGCGCAACCATCAGCGTTTTGAACTCTTTCGCCCATGTCATGAGTATCAGCGTTGTTCCCCATGCTAACACCATGGCGCTCGTCAATTTTCCAATGGGTAGCTTGACCAACGCAAGGGCAAGCGGAGGCTGCATAATCAGCTGCGCTAGGAAAACAATACTGCCAAGCCATGAGTACTGGTCGCCTTCGAGTTTGGTGTCTTCGATGAGGCCGAATATCGAAGCGTACGAAAGTGTCGCTTTGTCAAGAGCTTGGAGGAAGTACACAGATAGCATCAAAGGAAGGAGGGCGAGATCAATGCGACGAAGTATCCGGGCGTCGTCGGCTGGTGTAACAGCGATCTGCTCGTCGGGAGAACGACCCATTTTGATAAGAAGCATCGCCGCGGCATCGCGATAATTCTCAGCCCTCGCATCCTGACTTCTCTCAGCATCCTCCATGCTGTTTTGCGTCTCATTTCTGGCATCATTTTGCGGAAGAGGATGGTACTCTCCGCGCGCAGCACTGGAAGAGCGGACAGAAAGCCTTCGAAACATGATTTGCCGGTTGTCGTCCCAAAGGACCCAAGCCCGATAAAAGGAGGCTTTCTTTATGTTTTATAAGAAAACTCTGTTTCCTTGTAAGCCGAGATCCTTTGGTGAGGTGTTGGTGAAACTCGAGATCCAATTGCGTTGCTCTGCCTGGCTGAGAAATGACGTCGGTTGGCACCTGGCTTCAGCGAACCAGACACTTTTATTAGCGAGAGACATGTGCTGAAGACCCTGGAAGTTGGGGGTTTATGGTGCTGTAATTCCGATGGATGGCCGGGTGTACGGCGCACGTGGGGTTGATTGTAACCAATCTTGGCACAAGGGAAGTCAGTCATCAACATCAAACGTCCAGCTGATGGGCTATGGATTTACAGTAACAGGAGGGCTCTCATATCAAGGATTTTTAGATAGAGTAAAGATGAACTCTTTTGGTTTGGAACGGCCTTGGAGCGCTGTTCCACCGTTTGAGGTTTCACAGCTTAAGATCAAAACTTGTTCCAAGATAATAAATACCCTACCACAAACAAAGCCACTCGTATCAGCAAGCAATCTTGTCACATATACGAATACTTGATGCTCTTGAGTCGCGAGTAAAAAGTCTTAGATCCAAAAAATTAAAGTCCAGGCCACTTGCTTTTATTCTCTAGTCTCGTGGGCTGAAATCAAGTGGTTGGAGCGCCAAGTGGATTGTCTGGATGTTTCTGTTCGGCACTTGAATCAGACCACCCACTCACGGTCCGATGACACTAACCGAAACAACCATCGTGAAGACTTCAAGAGTCTACAAAGACCAGACAGCGCAGAGACAAAAGTGTTGCTCAATAAACTACGAAAAATAAGCATTTGTGCCAAACATCAAGCGTTGGTGCTCTCTCGCCAGAGAAAATCGCCGCATCTAATCTCTTCATTACGCACAGTCTTGTACAACCCGATCCATGTTATTTCCATATCGACAACTTATTCTATATTTATTAATATCTCACTTTACAGATACCAGAACCAACATCATCAGTTACTAGGCCTTCAATGGTAAGAATCTGCCTCAGCGGGACCTCATCCCTGTATCACGTCTGTTCGTCGCAGATTAAGCGCCGGGGAGCGTCCCCCGACAGCTGAAGAACTTGCATCCCAGGATCCCACGCGCTTCTGAACTTGTTATCCAACCATGATTCGACAGATCACCACACTTGGGCGGCTACACCTTGGCCATGAATCCACCCTCGTACATGTTGACTTGAGGCACGGGTTTCACTGTCTTGTTCAGGAACCAACAGCTCTACGGATGGGATGGGTAGAAATCCTTCTTAACAACGATCTTTCGCTTCCTTCATGAATTGACTTTAGCTATGTTTCGTGACATCTCATCCTACAGTCTGTGCGTATCCGACCATCTGTGCTGGGCATAGATTGGCCACACTCTCTTTTACTACCCTCATGGCTAAAGGCAATGGTTTTATTGGTTTCTTCTCTTCTGATTATAATACTTTTATTTCTCTCGCTTTTACTACTCCTCTCGCTACAGCGTTACTATGTCTCTCCATCGATGGGACGCTCTTCTCGGGCGCGTTCCTCAATTTTGTCAATGATAACCGTCCTTCGGTCCAATTCGCTGTTCAGATTATTGCCAACTTCATGTCTGCTCTGCAGGTAATCACTATCTGCAGAGTCATCAACCTCAGTGTTCGAAGACGGCTCAAGACTAAGAGTATGAGTCTTGATCAGATGCGAGCGTGGATGGATGCTATGATACCCCGTATCAACTGGGATCTGCCCTTTGCATATATCGTCCTGCTGGGTCTCTTGGTCTCGGTTTCCATGGTTATGAGTGCCATTTGGGCTGCCGCCATGACGCCCGTTGAGACATTCGAGTACATCCAAGGTACTGTCCAGATTCCAACCTGGGACAACATCACCCATATCAGAGAATATCCTTCTGAAGTTGGATCAACCGGACCTACCAAGCACACTGCCCTTGGAAAGTTTACATACTCTGTGGGCATTCAAATGCTGGGCAGTCTCCTCGCTTCGGCAGCCTCAGCATCGCCCATCCACAACTCAACGCGCAACCACGAGAAGCTAGACCGAACAGGCTACAACTACGTCGGTCGATCGTACGGCATTGGCTCATCCCCAGGTCTAGGCGAAGTCCACTTTGAAGCTGGTCGCGACATCCTCGGATGGCAATACCAAGAAGTAGGATACCGGTCCACAGTCAGCTGCACATACAACACATCTACCAACTTCACTCTCTTTCCCGAGGGCGGCTCGATGGGCTGGGCTGCACATGGAGAACTTCCTGACAGTGACGATGGCTACGAACATTCCACTTACATTGGACATGGTGATGGAAATGCTATTGTTGCGATAGGAGTTGCGCACTTTAAGGACCACGATGTAGAGATTGCTCCTAAGAGGCGATATATCGGCTTCGCGGCGGGAGGATTCTACACATTCTTGAACGCAACCCAATGTGAAGTAGACTTTGAGCCTACACGGTTCAACGTCACCGTCAGCAGTCGGGGCAAGAATATTACTGTTGTGCCGACCAACGACACTGATGTTCCCAATATTGATACAACTCGTTGGCTGAAGGGCACTATCCTCCGACAATTTGAGCTGATCGCCAATGATGAGACGAATCTGTATGTATCGACTGTTGGCACCGCCTTCAATGCCTCCATTACAGATCATCGTCTTCGTCTTGAGATGAACAACACTCTCACCTCAAGAACATCCACAAACGTCACCCTCGAAGGCATCGAGAATTCCATCACTGCCATGGTAGATGATATGCTAGTAGCATATGCCTCAGCTCAATTCATGGTTGGGGGTTTCAAGAAGGATGTCAGTGGCACTATCCGCGTCACAGCCATCGTCATCGGCGAAAAGAAGTTCGCAATCGCGGCTTTTGCGCTCAACATGGTTGTCGTGGCGCTTTTCATTCTGGAAGCTATTAGAACAAGAGGCTGGAGGGATATAACTGAGTTTGATCCTTCGGATATTCGACATGTCATGATAGCTGCGTCTGAGGGTGGTACAGATCTGGCAAAAGTGGGATTCTCTGACAAAAATAAGCTGGGAGAGATCAAGGTGAGGGTAGATGAGGCGGAGACTGGAAGTTTCGCGCTTGCAGTAGATGGAGAGATCCCGCCTACTGTCAAGTATGAGAGTATGAGGGCTGATAACGAAGCTTATGTTCAACGAAACAAGGCGTTTGTGGTTGAGACTACCAGTACGAGGTCACGAGATGGCAGTATATTAATTAGATGAGATGCCTGTAGCACAATGACATGCAGTATTAGCTACTGCTGTTGGGAACAGTATTATTAATCGCAAACTTCCATGTACGAAACCCTCAAGTATATAACAGCCTATGTCTCTGAGGCCTATTCTCCTCAAGCGTAGACTTATGTGTGTAACTATCCAAGAACCGCAGCAAATTCTATAACCAAACACCACTTCAAATACAGAACTTCTACCTTGTTTTCCAGTTGATCCATTTTCCAGATTTGCCCACAGATTCACAAACTCTCTGCATAGCGTAGTTAGTAAATCGAACACAGCGTCTTCCCTATAGGCAGCACCTACCTCTTTACTATCCGCAAAGTCAGTGTAGAACCCGTTCCAGATATCCCTATCTGGACAACTTATCTCCCCATCCGGACAGTCAGGCTGATTGTGCATTCTAACCTCAGGATCATGAATCCATGGCTTCGGAACAGGCCAATCCGAAAAGTGCACAAACTTGGCCTCTTCAAGTACGGCAGTAGAGTTCCACTCCTCGCGCTCACTGCCCAAGTACGCAGTATGATCCTTGTTTCTGAACTCCGCCGTGAGCATGTCGTACTTGCGATGGGGCAGGATGAGAGCGCTGTCAAGGTATAGGCTATTCACGATCTCCATGTCGTAGTCGTTGGGGCCGATGCTGTTCATTTTTTGCACGATGCGCTCGAATTCGATGTCGTCGGGCTGGATGAGCATGAGCTGCGAGGAAAGGATCTTCTTGGGAGGGTTCTCGTTGTAGAGCCAGTACGCGCGGGGCATGGCGACAGGACAAGGAGGCAGTTGGAAGAGCTCGTCCATATGTTGGAGGACTGTGCTGTCTGAGTCGAGGGAGAGAACTCTGTCATATTGGGTCTGGTTAAAAGCGAGGAGCTTGGTGAAGGAGTCGGCCCATGTTTCTAAAAAGAGTCAGTTATTGTAGTATAAGTTGTGATATGGGTGAGTTTACCGTCTTGTCCGTCGCGATGTTGAATCTCAATTGGCTGGAGAGTAACGTTATACTCATCGCGAGCTCTGATTAGGAGTTGACCACTGTGTGTTTTTGAGTAGGGGGCATGTGGCGCGAGCATCTCCTTGGGGTACATCAGTAGACGATCGGCCTTGCTACCCAGACGATGCAACGCCTCAAAGATCATAATTGAGTTACAAAGATAATCCTCGTTGGTGACATATTGAATGTAGGCAAAGCGCGACCAGTCGACACCATCGTCATTGTCGTCCTTATCTACCCCTTCGTCGCCTTCATCATTCTCACTAGGAAATTCCTCACCCTCTCCAACAGCCATTTCCTTCCGAAGACCCTCCTCAGTCCAATCATCCTCATCGTCCAGATTAATGTATATATCCTCTTCGTCTTCGTCTTCATCCGAAAAGCCCGAGATATCTCCCTTGTTCTCGAGCTCTTCGATCTCTGCGATAGTGAGGACATGAGGAGTAGGAGTAGAATCAGGGTAACCTGTAAGAGTGACAGTTATGGTTTCTGGAGTCTCTTCCTCTTCCATGACTACATCGTGTTTCTTCCATTCTTCGGGGGTAGGGACGTCTGTGGCCTGGAAAGCGGAAAAGCAGGTACTGAAGATGTAGAAAGAAGCTAGGATGATGGCGGCAATGGGAATGATCCGCATCAGACGCACCGCAACAAATGAAGATGCCTCACCCATTTTGAAGATTCGCCTGGGGCCAACTTTGAAGCTGGAAAGAAAAGTAGCGGGGAAGCAAGAGAAGAAAGTAAAAGTGAGGACATTGTGCAATTACTACTGAATACAGGCAGAGGCAAGGGAGAGCAGCAAGAGAAGGATGATTCAGGGATTGGATCGTTGAGTTTAACACAACATCTTCCCTTTACATGGCTGAAGTGACACATTGTCTCACAGCAGGCCAATGGTCTAACAAAGAGCGAGGGCGCCAGCGCGTGGAATTCAATGGCCAAGAAATCATCAATTCAGATCCAAAATAGAAGCCATGTATCTGTAAAGCTTAGAACACTGAAATGTCTCAGGGAGAGGAGAGAAGGGATACTCCATAGTAAAGGTGCAGTTATCAGGGTCCCAGAAGAATTGGTTACTGAGAGCATAAGAGACGAAATAATTTGGTCACTTTACGCTAGCTTAGAATAGATCTTAGACTACTTTATTTTGGCGGCCTCAGCCTTGGAGAACAATTATTCTGTTACCAAGGTACTTGACAGTCTTGCATTCCAGAAGCTAAAGTTATGAGGGAGACCCTGATCCTCATCTATCCCTTATCAAAAGTAATACACTGACAATGGCCTGGCCACTTGAAACCAGAGGGTTCCTTCATTCGTTACGAATAGTCTACCGTAGGGCTAAAGTTGACCGCCCTTGTCTAGTCAGCCTGTCTGATGTAAATCAGGGTATAAGTGAGGAACGAGCTAGACAAGAATTAATGATTGAAAAAAATGTCTTTTAAATAACGAGACTTCTCTCAGTTGATCAATACTTATGCAGATGTTGTGGTCTTATCCCTCTTATCCTTCTTCTTCCCTTTCCAATGCGTCCTGGCAATCCTCAACAACCCCCATGCCAAAAACCTGTAGACAACCACACAAGCCGCCAAACATGCAACGTTCACAACAGGATCGACATCAAAGTTATACAACTCCAGCACATCCTGGCCCGTTTGGACCGGACACTGCCCGTTCTCAAGTCTTTGCTCATTATTGCACGTGAACTCAATACCACGTAGTGAGTATGGTGCCACGGCGCGCGTACCATATCGGATGGGCGAGAGGTAGTTGAACGCCTTGAACAAATCGGGCATGTCGATGGAGAGGACGCCGGCCATGGTGTTGGCGAGTGCCAGGAAGACACCCATGATGTTAACGGCAAAGCCGGTATGCCCGAAGAGAGTATTGAACATGATACCAAGACTCTCACCGCAGGATACGATGCCGAAGCAAGCAAAGACGGAAACGAAGTAGAGTGTTGCCGTGCGCGGGAGATCAACTGCGATGACACCCAGGACACCAAAGATCATGCAGCTTATAACCTCAAAAGGGACCTCAAGAATCGTGTAGGAAGCAAGGAAGGCGTCAACGCTATAGACGCCATCGTCATCCTCTCTATAAAACACATCGCGCTCGGTAGGGTAAATGGCGGTATTTTGTAACATGCCGACAAAGTAGAATGCGCCGATCTCTTGGACGAAACCCATACGGCTCTGTACGGAGTAGTAGTCGTTGTCGAATGGGGCGAAGAAGAGAGCCAAGATGATGGCGAGGCCGATGACTTGCATGAGACGAGCGACGATGAGCTCTGGTTGGCGGTAGGTATTGATGACGGCGCGGTGGAGAAGGAGAGGGAGAGCTGTTGTGATGGGAGCTCGTTTGCGGATGAGGGCTCCCAGTTCAGCGGGAGTTGAGAGGTTGGCCTTGTTGAACGATCGACGCTTTTGTGGTGGTGAAGGCGGAAGAGTTGTGCCCTCTTGAGTTGCGTCGGTTTCCGTATTCTTAACCTCATCGTTCTCCTGGATATCAGAAATCTTCTCATTCTTCGTCGACGAGTTCTCCTCTTTCCAATTATCAATCATATTCTGAACCCTCTTCCGAGACTCCAACTCCTTCCCTTCATGTTGCAAATCAATCGTGATCATATCCAAGGCAAAGTCCGCAGGGTTAGTATGCTGTGGACACTCATACCCGTGACGCGCCAGATATCCAAGCATATCCCTTCCAGGGCCAGAGTAAACCTGCGAACCACCACGTGCCAGAAGCAGGACATTTCCAAATTCCCTAAATAGGTCGGATCGGGCTTGATGGATTGTAAGGATGAGGGTTCGGCCTTCGTTGGCGAGACCTTGGAGCACTTCCATGATTGAGTTCGCGGTGAAGGCGTCAAGTCCTGAGGTCGGTTCGTCGAGGAGGAGAATGCGGGGGTCAGTCAGAACCTGAACGGCGATTGATACACGGCGCTTTTCTCCTCCAGAGATACCCTTGACGAGTTCGCCGCCCACGAGATTATCGGCACAGTCTTTCAGACCCATCTTGAGGAGAACCTCTTCTGCTCGACGGTTCTTTTCATCCTTGCTCATGAATGATGGAAGACGAAGTCCAGCTGCAAAGCGAAGTGTCTCTCGAACGGTGAGTGATGGTAGCAGCGCATCATCGTCCTGACAAACATATGAGCACACCGATCTAATGACCGAGTCTGAAGGAAGAGCTCCATTGAAGGTCAGCTTTCCAGCTGGCCGGTATTTCGTTCCAACAGAATCGCGCAGTCGGAGAGCCATGGCGTTGAGCAGCGATGTCTTGCCACTGCCCGAAGGACCCATGATAACGTTCAACACTCCGGCACTAAAAGTCGCATTGACAGGGTTCAAGATTGTTTTTGTAGGCAACTTCTTTCCTAGCTGCGTCCTCTTGTCCAAAGCCAACGAAAACTCGTTCAACTCCAAGTCGATGGTGCGCACATCTGCAACAGACCTTGCATTCATCTTCTCCTTACCAGCTGACAGATCAGTGTCCGAAACGCGAGCTCGAGCAATCGTCATCTCGACCTTGATAATGTGTAATCCGACAACTGCCAACACGAAGAAGAACACAAGAAAGGCTAGGCATACAAGAATCGGCTTAGCCACCCAATCCTTGGGGAAGCCGAGAGATGCCATGACGTATGATCCCGTGTATTGCTTACATCTTGGATCAGATGGGTCATTAGAGACGGGACAGTCGTAGAAGCTTCCTTCGAACTCGTTTCCGCAATATGCGCTGAAGACATAGAACTATAGACGTTAGCATCTAAGACGCAGATTAAGACCAAGATCCATACCGTGTAAGTAAGCCACTTTAACCAACGAACGTAGACCGGAAGACTGTTAACATTAATAAACATGCCACAAGCCATACTTTGAAGTGTGAAGATCAGATTGGCAATAACACTCGCCCCAGCAAAGTGCCTGACCGTTGCCACACAAACCATGGCACAAGTGACGGCAATATACTGGTTCAGCAGCGTAATAGCAAAGAAGATAAAGAACCGTTCCACATCACGCTCAAAACCAGCCATGAAGTAGAAGATGACAGAAAACAAAAATGGTGCTGCCACATCTTCTGTGATCATACGGGCTATTCGGCGTGAGAGAACGAAGGGGAGAGCGTCGACACATCCTTCCGAGTTTTCACGATCAAAGGTGGGAATGTCGAATGTCATGCGGTAGACTTCGAAGACAAGGATGAGATAGCCTTGAAGACCGGCTGCCGTATAGAGACCACCTTGACGGGATCGGATTCCAGCTTGGTCGCGACCGAGCTGGTAGAACATGTAGCCGGTCACGAGACCCATGAACACAGCTTCTGAGATGGATGCTGCCATACCGAGAGGGTCACGATATGTCACCTTGAGTGTACGGTCAGTGAGAACTGTAACTTGTCGTAGGAAGCCTGCATGCTCTTCGGTCTTCTTATCCCTCTTTTTCTTGCCATCGCCAACGTCGACAGTCTTCTCAGGCGGAGGGTATCGCTTTAAAGTCTCCTGATTCCAAGCATTCTTCAAGCGATCCACCTTGGCCATTGTTTCCTGTTCCAACTCAGGTGTTCTGTTGTCCACAGCTGCTATGTCGATGATAAACTCGGCTGGATTGACAAAAGGTGGTAGTTGAAATCCCAAATCTCCAAACCACGGAACCGATTCCTTGATTGCACCTGAGTAGACAGGACTTCCTTTCGTTAGAACGATCAAGTTGTCGAAGAGATCCCAAATCTCAGATCGAGGTTGGTGAATAGTCGTGATAATCGTTCGTCCCTTTTGCGTGAGTGTCTTTAGTGTTCGGACAAGCTGGTACGCACTCGTAGCGTCAAGACCGGTGGTCGGTTCGTCGAGGAAGAGGACGGAAGGGTTAGCTAGAAGTTGAACGCCAATGCTCGTTCGTCGCTTCTCGCCACCTGAACATCCATGATGTTGAGAGTTTCCGATTCTCGTATCGGCGCATTCCTTGAGACCAAGTTCGAGAATAACCTCTTCAACAACCCTATGTCGTTCTTCGGAAGTGGTTGACGGGGGTAGTCGCAAGTCGGCTGAGTATCGCAGGGTTTCTCTAACGGTCAGGGTAGGGAGCAGGATATCCTGCTGCATAACATAGGCATGGCGGACACTATGTACTCCAACTCTGCCATTGAAAGTAGCGACACCTTGTTGGGTTAATCTCGAACTCAATACTCTCTCGGCTACAGTGTTGAGCAGCGTCGTCTTGCCTGATCCACTACCTCCAATGATGGCCGTTAACGTTCCGGGTTGAAGATCAGCGCTCACGGAATGGAGAAGCGGTTTCATCTTTGGCGCAGTGCTGAATTTTGACGAGACTAAGTCGCCGTATGTCGAAGGGGCTAGCCATGATGGTGCTGTATCAACTGAAACTGCCAAGTCATGAAGTCGAACATGAACAGCCTGTACATCGGCGAGAGACAAGTTTCCGCCTCCAGATACAGACAACCGTGAAATATCACTCTGCTGCGCCTGAGGATCTATCGAGATATCCAACGAGCTGGGTCTGTCCATTTTCTCAATGTCGATGTTATGTTGCGACATCGCTGCGGTTTTGATTCTTTTCTTCGTGTGTAAGTGAGGAACTGAATTAAGCAGGCGATGTTATCTGTTGGTCCAGGCCCGGGACATTATGGTCTGAAGGATTTGCGAACAGGCTATTATCCAGAATCTTCAGCTGTGGTGAGAGTGAGATTGTAGTCTGTTTTGCGAATGGGTGTGGTCTATGACGCCGAGGTATAATAAGTAGGTAGTAAAGCCACGATCCGACATTTGACAAAGAGACTCGAGAATTCCAGAGGATATACGAGGATCTTATTAAAGGCAATCAGATCACCCCCCATGCCATGCCATGCGAGAAAGGGAAAAAGAGAGGCAAATTCATCTTTCAATTCGTAAACGGCGCAGCGCAAGCCGAGATAATATAAACGAGATCATGCTTATTACCCGAAGTGGATGCCAATTCGGCCGCCGAAAAGTACATTACTGTACAGCAGAGGTGAAAGCAAGCATGCAAAGGTCTCCTCTCCTCGTCTCGTCTTTGGGGTTGGTTATTAGTTAGTGGAGATGCAACGCCTCGCTTCGAGGTTTGCGGGGAGACAAGACCAACCAACAGCGGGGGAGTTGACTCGTTCTGGGTCTAGACTGGCCAAGACTGGGCAAAGAATTGATCCAGAAGCAACAATGTCCATGATTAGTGGGTTGAACACATCCAAGTACAGTAGGCGGCCCATGCTGACGTGGTAGTGGTAGAGATTCGCTTTCGGAACGGTGCAATCCCGAGGCATGGATTATTTTCAGAGAAAAGGTTGCATTCAAAAGTCAACAGCTCACTAATTGTCATATCCAAAGTCCCTTTCTTATCAATCTAACGTTCCTCTGTAAAATACACTTGTTCTTGTTCTAATTAAACTCCATCATATCTGGGTACTCTAACTATTAATATTAATCCCACCACTCAGAGACTCATATTCAAACTAAACCTCGCTTATCGATCCCTGACCGACAGAGACGGCTTTGCTTTGCATTTACGGGTCGCTTGCGAAACGATGCAACGGTTCCCAGGTTCATTCGCTTTGACAGCCGTTTTTGTATAAGCGAGGTCTATGTATAAAACCCTTTTTTTATTTTTTTCGCCAGACAAGGTGGGTTATTTCGTATTGGCCCATGACTCGGGAAATGTTAGCCGATGAGGATAGAATGCAAATATCTCGTGATCAATTCGTGATCCATTGCAGTTGGTGATATCCCCAGAACAATGGAGCATCATCCTATTGAGACAAACTCATTCTGTTCTCCAAGACTCTGAAGCGCTTAAAAGTTACTCTGAAGCGGAGAAGATCCTCCCAAATGCCTCACACCAATTCTCAATGGCGATGAGATTATCATCAGCCCCCCACAATTTCTCCAAATCATCTTTCAAGAAAGCCTACACTTTCCTTCTCCCACAGAAACCAAGACGAGACAAGACAGTGACACACATACAGTAGACTACTCACATGCACATGAGAGACATCCAATGACGCCACTTTCTCATCAATCTCTTCACATTACTCGTGCTATAGCTGTAGAGATATAGAAATAATAGATCATACAATAACAGAAGAGTTAAAACAAAAAACATATTTCTACCAACCCATTCCATCCCATAACGCCTTTCTTTGCACATGTTGTCTAAATGTCATCAATCATTTTCGTTTCGCATCGTTGTTGCTGCTTTAGACTGTTCGCTTCTCGGTGATGGACTCGCCAAGAGGCTTGCTGACAACGAAGCCAGAGTTGGGGGCACCCAGCTCAAACACCTTGTTACCACGCAGCCATGTCTCCTTCACGCGACCGGTAAACTCGTGGCCCTCCCATGGTGAGCATCGGTTCTTCCATCGCATGTCGCCTTGAGTGAATGTCCACTCCTCGGTATCGTCGAACACGCAGATATCAGCATCCATACCGACTCGGATAGCACCCTTGCGGTGGGAGAGACCGACTTGCACAGCAGTAGCTTGAGAGCAGAGACGGACGATATCGGTGATGCTGGGCGTCTTGGAGAAGTCGGCGCGCTTCTTAGCTGCGGAATAGAGAATGGGGAGACCGAGGCCGACAGAAGAGATACCACCCCAAGCGGCGAAGAAGTCACCGCGGGCCTTCTCCTCGGCATGGTTCTGAGTCTCGGGGACTGTCATGACGATACCGGAGTCGTTGTGAGGAATTTCGGGTCGGGCTGTGTCGAGGTGCTGAGGAAGGAGCTTGAGCTGAGGTGTGCAAGGCGAGTGATCAGACACGACAGTCTTGATGCACGAGTCCTCGGCGATGAGTTCTTCCCAGAGGCCATCGCGGTTCTTGCCCTCTCGGATAGGTGGGCAGCACTTGTGTCGAGTGTCACCCTTCTCGATCTCCTCAGCGGTCAGGCCGAGGTAGTGGAAGCAAGTCTCGGCTGTGATGTTGATACCAGACTGACGAGCGGCCTTGAGAAGGGGAATGCACTGGGTAGCGGAAAGATGGACGATGTGGAGGTGGAGGTGAGGAGCAATGTGCGCTTGGCTGAGAATCTCCTCGACGGCGTATGTTTCGAAAGCAGGAGGTCGGGACTCGAGGAAGGTCTTGTAAGCGTTAAGCTCACCAGTAGGGGCAAGGGGTGCTTCGGAGGCCTGGACTGTGTCGCCGACGGACTGGGTGATGGGAGGGATCATCTCGGCGTGAAACATAAGGGTGGTCTTGCTGTCCTTGAGGGTTTCCATGGCGAGGGCAATATCCTTGGAAGAGACGGCGGGGAACTCATCAACCTAATGATTGTCAGTTTGCTATTTGGCTTATAGGATACAGGTTCAACTTACACCAGACTCGATCAAGAAACCCTTGAAACCTCGAACACCAGCCTCGACGAGAGGAAGCAGCTCATCGGCATTGCCAGGAATGACACCACCGTAGAAACCAACATCGACCCAGCATTGTCCTTGACTGGCGCGAAGCTTCTCCTCGAAGCCGTGGAGAGTAGTGGTAGGAGGAATGGCGTTAAGAGGCATGTCAACGACAGTGGTAACACCACCACTGGCAGCCGCACGGGTACCAGTCCAGAAGCCCTCCCACTCGGTTCGGCCAGGCTCGTTCAAGTGAACATGAGCATCGACGAGACCGGGCATGAGGACCTTGGAGCCATGGTCGACATAGGTTGTGCCAGCAGGGAAACTGGATGAGGGAAGGACTTCGGGGATGATGGAGACAATCTTTCCAGTGACGGGGCTAACAACAACTGAAGCGGGAGTGACAACAAGAGACTCGTCAGGAAGAGTGACGACGACTCTGGTTGACACAAGGACTGAGAGAGGACCCTCGGGGTATTGTTCAGCGCTGGGAGAAGTCATGATGGATGATATGAGTGATAAGGATAAGGAGGATAAGGGATAAGGAGAGGAATAAAGAGAAGGAAAAGATGGAAAGGGAAAAAAAGACAAAAGATGTCAAACAAAGCTACTACAAGCTTGGAACCAAAATCTGGGGAAAGCTGGTTCACTCTCTTTTCCCAATTCGGATGTTCTTGAGATGCTGCTCTTATCCTTATCTCTCTGGCTCTTGTTGGAGGGGTGGCTTTGAGATTCGCCAATTGGTGGGGTTGCGACTCAAAGATAAGAGAGTCAGACGGAGCCAAGCGGTATGATGCGTCTGATAAGGATCTATTCTATCGACCAACAAAAAGGATGAAAGATAATTGGTTTGTTTTACTTCAACGAGTGTTGGTATAATGAAGAAGGAGAAGAAGAGGGAAAAAAGCCACCCCCAGGATTCGGCTATAGCCTACTTCTTATCGTGACTCTTCGGCTCGGTATTTTCACGGACAGTTTTATTCATTATTCGATCAAAACACCATTCTTCCAATCAATCATTTGCCTCCCGCTCCCCCTGTTCCTCTCTTTTCTTTCTAGTCAGCTCTACTATTCCACTTATAACCCTCGCACAAGTCCGATGTGTATGTGTTGTTCCCCCTTCCACTTCCCACTTGTGCATATCCGGTCCCAGTTTGCCAGTGCCAGTCCTTTCTAGACGGCCCAGTCCAGTCCCACTTACAGCTCAAAAGCTTAGACTAGCTTATCACTGCGACAGAGGGAAAAAAATCTGGAATTCAGGGTCCATCGGACACAGCCGGATGCCGGTTTCTCACGAGTCGCGACCAATCAGAGACTCGAATCTCTAAGCCGAAGGCGGTAGTGGGTGATTGAATCGAGTAAATATCGAGTAATACAATGCGAATGGAAGTCAAAAGAGAGCAATTACTAGCGCGTGTAACGCCGTTGCATTCAACAAGTGTGTCGGATATTTTCGTTACTTTGACCTTTTTCCTTACTAAGAATGGCAACAGTCTGAGGCTATTCGGGGTCGACGATACCGCTACCAACAGCCATTCGAGGCCCTGTGAGAGGAATGTCCCCGTGAGGCCATTCACTCTTAAATCCGTCAGCCGACAATATTTCATTCTAGCAATTTCTCAAAATAGTGCTTCTCGTGTCTTTGGCGGATGACTTGCCCCTACCTTGGACACGTTTCTATCGAGTAATGCAATCGGATCGTCGTGGTGTTTTGGCTCTAGCTCGAATCTGACCCCCCGCGGAGGAGCTGGAACCAATCCACCCCGTAGGCTGGTGGCTGGGCCTTTTCTGACCTAGCTTCCTCTCTTTTCTGAGGCTTACTCGATCAATAGATTTGGTATTACTCGATCAAAACACGAAGTTGAGCCTTTCTATGCATCCCCGAGGTTGCAATGCAAAAAGTCTTGAGCGTCATCCGCTTCACTTGCCAAGGCATGCCGATATCCAATATCTAGCTGTCGTCATCACACCCTCTGATTCTCAAAGCTGTAAAGCAGCTGAAAGAAAAGGTACTCTGTACTGTACAATTCTCCCAAATAGGCGCTTATAAGCGGCGTCCAGTAATCTTATCATCATCATGTCGAGTATGTTAGAAAAATAGAAATAAGTAGTACAGGTATAGTATAATCATACATGCATCACTTTCCCTCCCAGCCGTCTAGATCCCTCGGTTTTAGTTTGTTCAAAAGACAAGACAAAGCAAGCCTAAAAGCACAATCATACACCGCCATGCTAGGCCAATGCTACCAACTCCCGTCCCAGCTGACCATGTCTTGCTCATCCCGTCATCTCGAGATATTCCTGACTTTTCTCCATGTATTTCTTTTCTTTTCCATCGTTAAAAAAATAAGTGATATGATGTGATGTTGTATTTGTACACGGCAGACGAAACTGGACCACCATCATCCAGATCATCATGCCTTTTTCCCTCCATACTACTCGGCACTTTTACTTCTGTCGCTTGAGTGACTTGTGCGCCATCTCGATCAATCCATCCTTGGCCTCGCTATCGGGAAAGTCCGCAATCGAGGCAATGGCTTTATCCACGTATTCTTGCGCCAGAGCTCGTGTCTGCTCGATACCGTCGCTTTGGAGAACCAATTCACGTGCCTGATGTATTATTAGCATGGATCGTCTCCAACAAATGTGATTCGCCAAGACAATGCAACCAACTTACCCTTTGTACGTCACCCTCCTGGGCGAACTTGCGGCCCACGAGCGCTCCGAGCTCCGGCATCTGTTTCCAGGCAAATAGCAGTGGTGCTGTCGCAAGACCCAACTCCAGATCTGCACCCGCAGGCTTTCCTAGATCTGATCCACTCTGCGTATAATCCAAAAGGTCATCCACCAGCTGGAAGGCCAATCCAAGGTTTCGTCCGTACGAGTATGCTGCGTCAACTGTCACAGGATCGGTGTTACCCAGCAAAGCGGCAGCTCGGCACGATTTGGAGATAAGAGAGGCGGTCTTGAGGTAGGTCTTTTGGAGGTAATATGTGACTGTCTCCTCGGACCACTTGGGATTCCGCTCATCACGTTCTGTGTTCTTAAGCTGCATGAACTCGCCTTCCACCAAGTTGGCAATAACGGTAGCCAGCAGCTCAACAACCTCGGGGTTGCGAAGACGAGCTAGCGCAACAGATGCCCTGCCGAGCAAGAAGTCACCGGCTAGAACGGCCATTTTGTTGCCGAATTCCAAGTTCGCTGACGGCGAGCCTCGTCGAGACACAGAGTGGTCGATAACATCGTCGTGAAGAAGCGAAGCCGTGTGAATCAGTTCCGTAATTTCGGCGAGTCGTCGCTGGCTAGGAAGAATGTCTGAGTTGGCGTCGGGAACCTCTTGTTCGAGGGATGAGAGAGGATGAGTTGAAGGGTTTACGTCGGCGAGGATCTGAGCTGGTGATAACGAAGTGTCGACGCCACGAGATGTAACTGTAGGAGCGGTAGGAGATGTTTTGGGGCAGAGGTAGGTTGCTCTACTCATGAGTAAAACGATCAAGGGCCTAACATGCTTGCCCTCAGCCTGGGTATAGTATTTGGCAGCACGGTCGAGTGACGGATGTCCGGAGCCAAGAAGTTTTCGAATGTTGCCTGTGAGGAACTTCATTTCCTTGGCAACGGTCCGCAGAGGATCGACATGCATCGCATCCTTGGAAGCCTTCTTGACGACGTTGCTCACGACATTAGAAGCGACCTGCACAGCAGCGCCCCACGCTGAATCTCTTCGTGGGCTGGTGTGCAACGAGGCGCTGTGTATCCTCGTAGGACCTCGACTGACGGTCAATTGTCTGCACAGAGCGCACGCGGGTGCCGCTGCCAAATTTGTCCTCGTCCACATCGCCTGTCTAGCCATGGTGCCGCGCACCACCGAGGCCCCCGGACGGAGCATCATCGCCTTCGCACACTGAGGCGATTTATATGGATCGAGAGGGAAATTCGGTCGGTAAAAAGTCGAGGGTTATGTCCACATTCGCCCAGGTATATCGATAATAGTCGTCGTAAAGTGTCTTGTCGCCAATTGGGAGGATCAGTTGATATCGGGATCCGAGGGAAATTTGTCGAAAATAGATTTTTGGATTTTTGAACCTCGCCTCTAGTTATCGATTTGGTCCGATGGATGGACCTCTAAACTTTTCCAGCTCTAGCTGTGTTCTGCTAAGCCGGGGGGTTAGCGGGTCCATCCGACCAGAGCCCGTGGCAGGCCGTCGATTCAGAGGTTGTGATTGGTCAGGAGTGCTATGGGGCCGTTAAGCTAGAGCGTCAGCGGATGAATCGCTACCGATTCTGAGGAACTGGCCTGTAATTGATGCCTGCGAATTCATTAACTTTGACTTTCAATGTTAATTAGACAAGGATCGACTACAATTCAACGACTCTAGCATCGCATTTATCGCGCGGTCTTTATTGCCCGATATTCATTCAGTTTGCTCTCATACAACGAAATGGTTCTCCTTACAATGACATCCTCCATCGTGGAGGCATTAGCGACTGTTGAACCACCAGAAACACCAGAAAACGAAGATCATGATAGCGAAAACGAGACCCAAGAATCGTCAAAACCTACGAACGAACCTTCGTTAGACGATCCCGAAATCGGAAAGCCTATATCACATGGCCAAATCGTGGACTTGTGGAAACGCTCGAAAGCACAAGACAACACAAACTACACACTCGAACAACTTCTACGCGGCGCATCCGTCTACATCCCTCCACCACCTCCGAAACCCGAGCCTGTATGTCCACTAGCGACTCTCGAATGCACAAGAGCTAACCAGTTTCCAGTCCCCCGAATACAAAGCTCTTATGGCCCGTCTCCGCCGCGACGAAGAAGCTCGCTCCTACGAACGAATGATGAACCCTATACCCCAACAAGAAACATTCAAAGATCGCTTTCCTTCCAGCGCAGCTGCATTTGCAGAAGTTAATCGCCCTACAACAGCTGCGGATCTTGGCGACGATGATATTGCGATGGAGGAAGTGCACAAGCAGGTCACACTCATCATCAATTTCTTGGTCAGCATAGCCGGCGTTGCTGGCACATTATGGGTCACAGCGCGATGGTGGAGTTTGCCATCGAGGTTATTCCTAACTATGGGAGGGAGTATTCTCGTTGGTATCGCGGAAGTGGTGGTCTATAATGCGTATATGTGGAAGATGGATGAGGGGAGGAAGAAACATGGCAAGGTGAAGGAGGTGAAACAGGTCGTTGAGAGCTGGGTTTTGGGCAAGGACGACGATCAAGATGCGAAGACGGTGCTGCTCAGCGAAAAAGATGATGCAGTGAACGATGGAGTCCGGAAGCGAAAGACTGAACATACAAGACATGACCAGGATACTAATTAATACTGTTGGCCAGATCGTCAACTTCGCTTCTGAGCTCAAATACGAATAATACCAGCGCATTGCGAATGCATGTGGATACAAAGCAGTGTAGTTGACATTTTCTTCAAGTGTAAATTTAGCAAAAATACCAATGACATCTGTTCATCTTGATACCTATCTAACCCCCATCCATGGTGATATCATGGCTGATTTTAGGGTATAGTGATCGCATGTGACTGCGCGCCAGACGCGTCTCGACGCGACATCCTGGTGGGGATCCTTGTCACATTTAATGGCTTTCTTTCTCCAGCAAGACAGCAAATTGGGTCGAGGCTGTTCATTCATGTTCGTTTCTTCGTTCACATATTATTATAATCAGTTCTCTGCTTCACTATAATTCTTTCTGCCCCCGTGTACATCAATTGCCCAGCTATTGCGATTTGTTTACTTACGCTTCTACCTGAGTTGACAAGATCGATATCGTCTATCTTTTGAGTCCGGCATGGGATCTTTCTGAAGCTCAAACAACTGAAAATGTACGTCAAAACGTTAGATTTACAAGATTGATAGAACTAACTCGAACAGGTCCGAAAGCCCAGCCCCATCTGCATCGCGACCACGCGCCAAACCACTACGAACATACGGCAAACGAAGCATAAGGGACGACTCTCCGCGACAACAGAGCTTAAAGAAGCCGCGTGTTTCGCCAGAGACGACTCCTACGGAAACATCAGCACCCAAAGAGACGGATGAAGGGTTACCTTCGCTGCCGAAGATAGTTGCAGAAGACACTCAGAATACTACCAAAACCACCGCACCAACCAAACCTACAAAGAGTTCGATCCTAAACTTCTTCAAACCTATACCCCCGTCGTCCACAGTGGCTTCAAGTCCAAAGAGTGACGAACCACGACCTGGGTCGACACCGCCATCTTCACCACCAGCACCGAGGACAGAAGCACGGAAGAAACCACGACTATTGCGCTTTCGCGCCACTTCGCTTCCTATACTAGACGGAGAGAATAGTGAGGACGATACTCAGCAAATGGAAGGCGTAAAGGATGAAGAGGAGAGCGGCGCAAAGCCTACGAGGTCAACTCTTAGGGAGAGTTCGTTGAATCGGGAATCGAGCAGCAATAGCGATGCAAAAACAGGGAAGAAAGCAAAGGGGAAATCGACGGTGCAAACGACACTGAATCTTTCCTCTCAAGCAGCGTTTTCTGAGTGCAAGGTCTGCAATACAGTCTGGAATCCGCTATATCCCGACGATGTCAAATACCACACGAAGCAGCATGCGGCGGTTCTACGGGCGAGGAGAAAAGGGAAGGAGAATGAATTATAGGATTTTGATACCCAGCTTATGAATAATGAAATAAATATGCATACTGCATACTTCCGGCGTTGTGTAACTTGGTGCAGGAGTATTGGTTGCTGTGATGTTCACATAATCCTACAGAGCTACGCATTCTATTGGATGTATTTGTTCCAGGAACTCAATTAAATAGATGGGCAGTAGCTTTGTCGTAATTGGTGGAAGGAGATTGGTGCTCTTGTAAGTAACATGGATCCTTGCAATAGGGCTGAGCCAGAAGTGCTAACGTCGATCACCGCTGTCTTCTTCATGGGATGATCAACAGTACACGAGAGTATCGGTCGCAAGTTCTCTCCTCGGGTTATATTTTCTTCTCTCTATTGGTAAAGTGAAGTGTCCAGCTGGAATGCTCATTGGCATGACTCAAGGTTGAAACGAAGGTAGCATCGGGTCATCCTGTACATTTACCCATGCCTTTAAGGTGGCTGTGCTTATGGTGATAAGTTCAAGCGAAGGGCGCCAAAACTGGAAAAGAAACATTCCAATCTATTTGTTTCACAACAGAATGCTTGTACTCTCTGACACAGAACGACACAATGGCGCGAAAACCTGGTAATGGGTGTATTACATGTCGGCAAGTCACAGCTCTTATGAGCTCAGTTCAGTTGAGTTGACTAACCAATCTGATCAGCATTCGCCGCGTCAAATGTGACATGAACAAACCTTCCTGTCAGCGCTGCTTGTCTTCTAGACGTAAATGCGATGGTTACTTACCGGAGAACTCGACCATGACACGCCGGCAGCTTGCAGAAGCAGCTCGTCAAATCTCAGCCGTGGGACCCATCTCACAAGCTCTATCTCAGTATCCCGGCAGTACAGCGGGCAGACCAGCGAACTTGACGCTCTTTGACGTGTTTCGTACACTTACGGCGCCATCAACGGCTTCATTTATCCCGTCACAGTTTTGGACAAAGGAGATTTTGCAGTTGGCGCATAGTGAGCCGGCAGTGTGGCATGCTACGCTTGCGCTGGGAGCTATTCACCAGAGGCATGAGTTGTATTTTCAGGGCTATGGAGATGAGAGTGAGAAGATGTGGAATGATGCGAATGAAAGCTATGGACGCGCGATATCATGTGGTCGGGAAGTGAAAGATCCAACGAAACTTCTCTCACTGAGTCTTGCGCTTGTGTCTATTACGCACCTGATAGGGCGATGGTCCGATAGTCAGGTTCACATCATGGCTGCGCACAGGCTATTGAACCAGGCAGGATATAGTATGGAGACTTCGAGCGCAGCTGAGATGTTGACGCGTTTGGATTTACACGCCATGACATTCTCCGACTCGAGTGCTCCATATCCTTATCAGAATGCCCCTAGCAGGGTATGGATTGATGAACATATGCAGCGCATCGCCGGTCTTCAGAACTATGCACAAGCAGGAACGGCATTGTTTGGGGTCATGAGGAGACTCATGATGATGGCCCAAAAAACAGCGGACGAACTTGATGGAAGCTTGACGGAAGAGGAAGATTTAATAGAAGTGACAAGGAGGGACCTTGCGTCATGGGAGTATAAGATGGGACAGTTTGAGAAGAACCACGCAAATCCACACGATCAGAGAGGCGCAATATCTATCAGGCTGTATCATGCTCTCATGCGTACATTCCTGGCAGGAGGAGCATTTGGCTCAGAGTTGCGATGGGACAATTTCCTCGGTCTTTACGAACGAATTCTCACGCTCGCAGAGACACTATGCGCCAGCACACAGAACTTCCATGTCAAGTCACCTCTTTCTCTCGAGCCTGGCGTTATAGTCCCGGTTTTCATGGTCGCCCAGCGCTGTCGTCATCCATGGCTTCGTCGTCGTGCAATTGCATTTCTGTATAAGCTTAAACGACAAGAAGGCATGTGGTTCAGCGACGGTGCAGCAGCAGTAAGTAAGAAGATCATGGAAATCGAAGGGCAGAAGTATTTCGAAAGCGATCTTGCAAATACTGACGATAATGCATCATCTCTTGCTTCGGGGGATGTTCCGTGGGAAGCTTGGGCAAGTGTTAATGTTGAGAGTTTACCTGCCAGGACAAGCTGGGCGGGTATCGAGAAAGTCCCTGAAGAGAAGAGGATGCGAGAGACGATGGTGATGGTTTGTACAGAGGAGAGGAGGATTGAATTATCGCTTATAATGAGTTCAGGCGATGATTATGAGTCTTATGGCAAAGTGAGGACTGAATCGATAACATATTAGAAGTCGAGTAATGTACCCATGTAATCCCATGTTTTGCGTATTCGGTGGTGGTCTAAGTCATCTTCGCGTTCGTATTCGCAAACACCAACCAAAACATCGCCAACGGGCCCCGGACTGCCCGAATTTCCAGCTTTACAGCTGCAGAAGGTCCACCTCTTTATATACTCGTTCCTTCTTTCCTAAGCTGACTACTAGGCGGCCAATGGGGTTGCTTGTCTTTTAATTATTTCCACTGATAAAGTAGAATGGTTCGACCCCGGATCTCAAGTTTCCGTGACGGTGCCAGGATCCGTGCATTGGCGATGCTTAGATCTACGTAAGATTCGTGGTAATTGTGATTTTCAGGGAAGGAACAACTGGTTGGCTATGTGACACAAATTGTTTAACAGCCCTGCTGTGGCTTTCTGGTCGTTGTTTATAAAGGGTACTCAACTCTCAGCTTTTGTCTTACAGTAACACGGCAGCCTCTTTACTTCAACTTGACAACACTCACTTCTCATATAATCGACAAGATGGACACTATTGTAGAAGCTGTCAATGCAACGGGAAGAATTCCTCTCCATCCATACTCCCCGTTAAATGCGCTTCTTCCCGAGTATGTCGCCAACACAATACCCTCTCGCATGCTCGTTGGTAGCTTTGTCGTTATGTCATTTGCCATCTTTGCAGTAACACTACTGTTCATCAACTCAGCGCCACGAAAGCTGTCTAAAAGAGAGATCTTTGTGACGATGTGGTTTGCCCTTTGCGGATGCATCCATTTCTTCTTTGAAGGTAAGTTCCATACTCACTATTGGTTTGAAGCTTGCAATACTAATGATAACCAGGCTACTACGTCGCCAACTTCACCGATCTCTCTAGCAAACTCAGCCTCTTCGCCCAACTCTGGAAGGAATACTCTCTCTCAGACTCCCGCTATCTGACTCAGGATTCGTTCCTGGTTCCTATGGAGGCCATCACCGCTATTCTCTGGGGTCCCATGTCCTTCTTCTGCGCATGGAGCATTGTCAAGCAACACCCTCTGCGACACCCCATCCAACTCATTATCAGCGTTGGTCAGCTGTACGGAGATGCTCTTTACTTTGCGACCTGCTATTTCAACGAGATTGTGCATAACATTGTGTACTGCCGTCCTGAGCAATTCTACTTTTACATGTACTATGTGTTTTGCAATGCTATCTGGATTGTTATTCCTGCGGCATTGGTGGTGCAGAGCATCGTGGCTACCAAGAGAGCTTTTGCGAAGGTTCAGGCTGCTGAGATGAACAAGAAGGCTTTGTAAGCGGAAAGGTATTCATGATATGGACTCATTGGAAGGGACAAGGGGCTGGTGGTTGTGCTGCTCAGCGATACATCATGATTTCGGAAACTGATTGTTAGCGATAAAAGTTGTTGGAGCTTGTCAATAGAGGCTTTGTTGTGAAGGAGCTTAATGCGAATATTCCAATATTGCGTCAAGATCGTGGCGTATTGGCCCTTTTGCTGCTACGGTTGGGCGACATGCATCTCACAGCCAAGTAGCACAGTTATACTTCCACCCCAATATCTTTATATACTCTAACACATAAGAAACTGTCACATACGACCACAGCTCGTAGAAAACACGGGATCCCGTCCGCTCTCCCTTAGTTAAGCTGCGAAGCGCTGGATTAGTAGTT